CGGACATCTCCTTGGGTCCCTTAAGGTATAGGGGCCCTTGAGGTGGCTTCCCTCCTTCTATCAACTCGAGGTGGAGATCATGCTCGGTATGATGGGGCAGCTTGTCTGCTTCCACCTCATCAAACACATCTTGCAGGTGTTGGTATGGCTTTGGTATGTCTGCAGCCGTCACCACCTTATCTACCTCCACCTCCATCTCGACTCCTTTGTCTGCGCCTGTAGGTACAAAACCAAAGGCCGGAAGTGATGATGGTGGCTCCTCTAACAGCATGAACCCTATGGGTCCATCTTCCAGAGCTGCTCGTAGTATGCGCTCTGCTGAGACAAACTCGTTACCATGGAGGGTTGGTCTCCTCATGGTTAGGTCCCCTGCTCTTGCTGCTTCAGGGGGTCTCCTAGGGGGTCGGTCCTGCTCCTGAGTCTTGAACTCCAGCTGGCCCGTATCCCATTGTATGGTGGGTTTGAGCCTCCGTAGCTCAGTGAACCCCAGGATGAGGTCATAGTCTGCAGTGTCGGCCACTGAAGCTTCGACCACACCCAGATTGTGTGTACCAATAGATACCTGCATGCTCGCAGAACTATTGATGGAGAGTTGGTGCCCGGTGACACCATGGATCGATCTTGTTTTTATGGGTTTTGTGGGTATTTGGTACTTACTAATGAAAGAATCTGAGACTATGGACAAACCAGCACCGGTATCCGCTAGTATCCGAGCAGGATGGTCTTGAACCATTCCAGAGAGCTCCAGTACTGCTTTGCCTCCACTGGTAGAGAAACATACTTGACAATCTTGATATATACAGAGTGATGGCGAGGAGGTTTGTAGAGCAATGCATGCCATCAGTGCATCACCCCACTGACGTTTCCCTCGTCGTCATCATCATCGTGCTCCTCCTCGTGATCGGGGTCCATGGGTTGCTGGTATGAGCTGAGGTCCATGGCCTCGGGGTCACCCATCTCAGTGCTGCCTGTGTGGCCATCTCCTGAGTCGGTGGCCTCCTCGAAGGGGTCTGCTGTGGTGACCATAACCTTTGGTCCCATGGGTCGAGAGCTAAGAGGGTCTACCCTCCTGCTGGGGCAGTCTCTGGCCCAATGGCCAATACCTTTGCATACATGACAGGTGTTGATACCTGATGGAGCAGGGCTTCCTTGCTTCGAGGGTTGGGTGGGATGATGAGGAAGGGGTCGGTTTAGGTTTTGTATAGTTGCTTGTGTAGTTGCTTGTGATGGTGATCGAGCTGGATAAGTTTGAGTGGGTTGTCGGATGGGGATCGAACTTTGATTTGGCCGAGACCCAGTTCTTAGTGGAGGTGATGTGGCGTTTGGGAGTGAGTGTCTAGCCGAGGACTGCTGTAGTAGCATCCTCTGTCGATCGATCTCCTCAACCTCTCGATACCACTCCCATCTCTTCCCAGGTGGATTCCTCTCGAACTTCTCCTGTATGCTGCGAGTGAGACTACCTCTGAAGAGATCAATCACTAGCTCGTTGTCATCTAGGTTGACCTGTCCTTCCAAGTCTCTGAACCGCTCTACATGACGTGTGGCGGCACCAGGAGTATCACTTGTGAGTCTGAGAGCCAACAGCTTGTTGTATGCCTCCATCCTAGCATTGCGTGGGTTGAACTGCTCTGACAGTCGCTCTGTGAAGTAGTGCCAATCATTGAACAACCTTCCTTCTCTAGCTCTATCAATACGGAGCTTGGAGGTCCACCACTCTCTTGCTGTCCCTTCCAGTTGAGCACCCATGTGATTGATCATCCTAGACTGCTCATACACCTGGTTGAACTTAAACCATGCTTCGGCTTCTAGAATGAAGATCTCCATGTCTTGGGGATTGAACTTTGGAAAGGGGGTGGCAATGGGCTTTGACCGGTTAAGCTCTGCCATGATGCTGGTATCCTCCTCGTGGTCCAGGGGGTAAGGGTCCGTCCTAGTCCTGCTGTAGGGGTCCAGCTTAGTCTTGACATATCTTGGCCCAGTAGGTGAAGCATACTTCTCGTAGTTGATGTCCTCCTGCTCATCCAGGTTGAATGAGACTGATCGTCTTGGTCGTGGAGCTGGAGTAGGAGTATGTGGGTCTCCTATCATAGACTCATCTCCTCCTCCTGCTTGGTCTTCTGAGTGAGAGAGGTCCATTGTCTCCTCCCTGCTCAGTTGAGCTCGTTGTAATCGTTCCTCTCGATGACCCTGTCTGGTAAGCTCTAGCTGTGCTTCCAATAGAGTGAGTAGTCTATCGAGCTTATTGTTGAGGTCTGGGTCCGTCATGGTGATCGTGAGGAGCTGCTTGAACGATCCACTCTAATGTCAGGGGTCTCGCGCCTGAAACCCAGGTCGGTCTGTCGAGATACTCGGTGACTATCAAACTGTGTGACAGCTATTGTCTCGGTATCGGTGACTATCAAGTTGTGCAGTGACAGCAGGTGGCGTTCGTTGTATATACTATCGTAGGTTTCGGCTGACCTCTGTGGACACTCCGTTCAGGGGTAGCTCGGCACGATCAATATCAATGTTATGATGACACCAAGGTCTGGTGTGAGTGTTGATGATGATGAGGTTGATGGTGTTAGTGATGAGATTGGTGATGTCGGTGATAATGAGGTTGATGGTGTTGGTGATAAGGTTGGTGGCGTCAACACGAGTGTCCAGTGTGTTGACTTGATGCTTGAAGTGATCCCCGGACCGCAGTGGACTACTGCCTTCGGTTCTATCTATATCCGGACCGCTAACCTGCTATGGGCGCCTTCGGACGTCAGGTAGTGGTGATACAACACACACACTACGATGAGGAGCAACCTTGATAGATTGCTGCTATGCTGACTGTAACTAATGAGTACTTGTGTTTCTAAAGTATTGACTAGTTGTATGGTGAGTAGAGTGGATGAGGATCCACTCGACCTATGATGATGAGAAAGCATGGTTATATACCTCTTCTCAGCATCGCCAGCGATGCTGCTCCTGCTCTCTCTCCATAGAGTACCTTCTTCATCGAGTACTGCTCAGGGGCCTCTCCTGCTTGGCACCCCTGTGCCTCTTGGTCGACACAGCTCCTCCTCCTCATGACCTGGTGTCGACTCCTTCGACACTGCTCCTCCTCCTCATGACCTGGTGTCGACTCCTTCGACACTGCTCCTCCTCCTTTGATCAGAGACAGTTCCTTTGGCTCTTGTCTCTCGAGCCCCTGAGTGGTAACCATCTGCATGCTCCTTGAGCTTGGTCCTCTTCGTGGCTGTGCCTGCTCCTTGAGCTTGGTCCTCCTCGTGGCTGTGCCTGCTCCTTGAGCTTGGTCCTCCTCGTGGCTGTGCTTGGCCCTCCTTTGCATGTGAGTCCATAGGAGTCCATGGTCTCCATGGAGACTGCACTACGACCATGCTCTCTACTGGTGTTGACTAGGTCTTCGATACCTGTGCTCCTTCCATATGAACCAGTGACCCTCCTGCTTCTTGAGCATCCAGGCCCATGACATCATACTCTTTTGACAGAGGCAGTCCTTCAATGAAGTCCAATGATATGGAGCCCCATGGTCTGTCCAGGGTGGCTAGCAGCTGAAGCAGGCCATACAGATGATGATGAGGAGCCTTGTATCTGGCACACACAGGGCAGCTAGCCATATAGTCGGCAATCCAAGCTGTCATGTTGGGACACCAGTAGTGCCATTGTGCTGCCTGTTGTCATGGGCCTGGATGCTCAAGAAGCAGGAGGGTCACTGGTTCATATGGAAGGAGCACAGGTATCGAAGATCTAGTCGATACCAGTATAGAGCATGGTCGTAGTGCAGTCTCCATGGAGACCATGGACTCCTATGGACTCACATGCAAAGGAGGACCAAGCCATATGCGAGGAGGGCCAGGCACAGCCACGAAGAGGACCAAGCTCAAGGAGCATGCAGATGGTTACCACTCAGGGGCTTGAGAGACAAGAGTTGAAGGAGTCGACACCAGGTCATGAGGAGGAGGAGCAGTGTCGAAGGAGTCGACACCACTCAGGAGGCACAGGGGTGCCAAACAAGCAGCAGGATAGCAAGGAGGAGGAGCAGTGTCGAAGGAGTCGACACAGCTCAAGAGGCACAGGGGTGCCAAGCAGGAGAGGCCCCTGAACAGTACTCGATGAAGAAGGTACTCTCTGGAGAGAGAGCAGGAGCAGCATCGCTGGCGATGCTGTGAAGAGGTATATAACCATGCTTTCTCATCATCAAAGGTTGAGTGGATCCTCATCCACTTGACCCACCATATAACTAGTTATCACTTCAGCATAAGTATATATTAGTTTCAGTCAGCATAGCAGCAATCTATCAAGGTTGCTCCTCATCGTAGTGTGTGTGTTGTATCACCACTACCTGATGTCCAAAGGCGCCCATAGCAGGTTAGCGGTCCAGATATAGATAGAACCAAAGGCAGTAGTCCACTGCGGTCTGGGGATCCCTTCAAGCATCAAGTCAACACACTGGACACTCATGTTGATGCCACCAACCTTATCACCAACACCATCAACCTCATTATCATCCACACCCACCAACCTTATCACCAACATCATCAACCTCATCATCATCAACACTCACACCAGACCTTGGTGTCATCATAATTGAAGCATTGATATTGATCGTGCCAAGCTACCCCTGAATGGAGTGTCCACAGAGGTCAGCCAAAACCTATGATAGTATATACAATGAATGCCACCTGCTGTCACTGTGCAACTTGATAGTCACCAAACAACTAGCTCGCCGAGACAGATACCGAGACAATAGCTGTCGCACAGTTTGATAGTCACCAAGTATCTCGACAGACCGACCTGGGTTTCTGGCACGAGACCCCTGACACTACCCCTGAACGGAGTGTCCACAGAGGTCAGCCGAAACCTATGATAGTATATACAATGAATGCCACCCGCTGTCATCATGCAACTTGATAGTCACTGAGCAACATAGCTCGTCGAGACCAATACTGAGACAATAGCTGTTGCACAGTTTGATAGTCACCGAGTATCTCGACAGACTGACCTGGGTTTCAGGCGTGAGACCCCTGACAACCCCCAGTTACAGCTGCTTCTGGTAACTGCTTCTGGGTCTTGTCCATGTCATTCTTATTGTCCTCCTGTTCTTGAGCCTTGAACTCCAGTTGGCCTGTGTCCCAACAGATGGTTGGTTTGAGCCTTCTCAACTTGGTGTAACCCAAAATGAGGTCATAGTCAGCTGTGTTGGCCACTGAGGCATCCACTACTCCTAGTTTGTGCTTGCCAATAGCAACTTGTATTGTTGCTGAACTGTTGATGGTGAGCTGGTGTCTGGTAACACCATGTATCAATCTTGTTTTTGTGGGTTTTGTGGGTATTTGGTACTTACTGATAAATGAATCTGAGACTATAGACAAACCAGTGCCAGTGTCAGCAAGTATGCAAGCTGGATGGTCTTGAACTGTTCCAGATAGCTCTAACACTGCTTTTCCTCTGCTGGTGGAGAAACATAATGGGCAATCTTGATATATACAAATGGATGGCAATGAGGTTTGTAGGGCCATGCATGCCATTAGTGCATCGCCCCACTGACGTTTCCCTCGTCGCCGTCGTCTTGGACCTCTTCACGTCTGCGCAAACGCGCATCGCCTCCCTTTGATCACTATCGCTCCCCTTTGTATTTAGGAGCGCCCCTCGGGCGCTCAGCAGAACACAGCTAGAACACAGCCAGACATGTAAGGTATATATAGAGGGGATTCGCACCCCTTCACGTCTTAATTCTAAGCTTCCCTTTTAACGTACTTGAAGGCCCTAGGAAACAGAGCAGAGACGAATGGCAGCAATTAAAATTCAATTTGAAAATCGTGGTCAAGAAAAAGCTGCTCTCAGCAGGCGTCTCAGAGACTCTTTGTCGCGGAGCTCGAGTACCAAGACAAGCCTTTGGATGACGAGCAGCAGATGTCGAAGCGAGTCTTGAGTTGCAGTCAAGTCGTTCAACGGAGCTAAACGAGGGCATGTCTCTCCGTTGCGAAACAGAGGCTATCGAAAGCAGAAGCAAGCTTCGACGCGCGTCTCTTGTGGTATTCTATTGGACTCAGCTAAATTAAGGGTCGTGTGTTGTTGTTGCACAGCCAAAACTCACACAGACCAGCAACGCGTGGAGCTGGAGCTGATTCAAGTTGAGCAGTGAGGAGCTGCGAAATTCCGACTCTGTGTTTGCTCGGCTTTGCCGAACTGGCTGTGTCAGTGGAACACCAGAGCCGAGTTGGACCGTGCAACACTTGAACACTCTCGCTATCTTTGATCCCGATCTTTCTTCTACTCCATCACCACCCCTCAACTCTCATCAAGCATACTCGAGAGTCGACATAAAGACGATTCGAGCTGCAAGTCCCACCGCTCCCACTGAACTGGCCAAATTTGTCACGGTACCGGAGCAGCATAACACTTGACCTCGCAGCTGCATACAGCTAACTTCCGTACTCGAGCGGCAACCTCTCTGGACACTTCGGCTACGCAACGCTTCCCGACTCTCCATCACATCCCTGCCTACTCTTGCAAGAAGAGTCATCGTGTTACAAGATGTTCCTCTTCGACGCCGTCGTATTTCTCATAGCCATCAGTTTTTCGATCGGCATCTCCATTCTCATCTCGCAACCATTCAACGGAGCCATCGTCCGCTTACGTGCCAACTACCTCCCCAAAGCAGTCAGCCTCGACAACGTTCTTGAAGATGGGTCTGCCAACTCTACCGCTCCTCGTGCTGCTCTCTCGTCCTTCTTGCTCTCTGAACGACGCTCCTCCGCTAAGATCGGACCTGTCGTGACCGGCGTCTTTTCAATGATGCTCCGCACGAAGAGGCTGGAAGGCTGGGCAGGCATCTACAAAGGAGCGATTCCTGTGGCGATTCAGATCTTCACGCTTAGCGCGTTAACGTTTGTCTTCTTCAGTGGAGCTCCGGGTAGCTCTCCTGGAAGTGTGTACAAGGCTGGACCGGCGGGACCGGGGCAGTTTGGATTCTTTGCCAACTTGTTCTATATGCTGTTCGTCTCGATGGCTGCCTTGCCCTTAAACGTTATCACATATAGGACGATTGTTCATCCTCGTGTCCTGCCCATCAGCAATGCGAGGGAGAATCTGCGGGAGCTGCTGTCGTACACGGAGTTCAGTCAGCCTTGGAGACTTTACCTCCTCCCTGGCTTGCTGGCCGCAAACGTGCTGCATGTCGTCTGGATCGGGTTGGCTACACGAATCGTTCGACAATTGACGGTGCCAAGCTTGGGTGGGTTGCCAGGAGCTACACCAGCAGGATCAAATCAAGACACCTACTCGGGTCCCAACTCGAACATGCTCGAGCTCAGTCCTGTGGGTTTGCCACTCTTCGTACTGTGGAATGTGGTCAGTGTCGTAGTGCTGGCTCCGTTGGAATGTGCGATGGTGCGCTTGTCGACGCAGAGGCCCGAGAGACAGAACCCACTTCACAGGGCGTATGCACGGGTACCCAACGGCAACGGCGCCAACGCTCCTTCGCCGTACAGCCACCAAGCCACCGCCGCAGCTCAAGCTCAACCAGGTGGAGCATACAGAGATGACGCCTCAAGCGAAACAGCAAGAAAGTCAACCGAGAGCACCAACGCAGCCGACAAACCTCTCCCCTCTTCACCCGATGATCTGCCCGGTCGACCTTCCTTCGCTATCGAAGACGAAGAGTCGGATGACGACGGAGACGTCACCTCTGCTGCCAACAAGAAGCCCAAGTCGAACAAAGCTGCTCGTGTGCTTGGTCAGACCATTCCTGAATCCAACTCCAACTCCAACCCCATTCCGTCTAACAACACAAACGGTGCGAGCGGAGGAGGATTCAACTCTCAACCGCAATTCAGTGGCGGCGAACCACCCGAGCCGGTCATTGCTTTGCGTCCGATTGAGGAGCAAACTGCTGAAGAGGCCTCTGCGGAGTTTGGTGCACCGGTGGTCAGGAGATATGAGGGTCTGATGGATTGTTTCAATAAGATGGTGGATGAGGAGGGGATTGAAAGTTTGGGTAGAGGGGCTTGGGTCACGTTGTTGGCTATGTTTGCTGGGTCGTTTAGCTGAGCGCACGGCGAGGTTGTGGAAGTGGAAGAGTTGTGCTTGGGGGGAAGGAAGTCGTGGATATGTACGTTTCCGGAAAGCAAAAGTCAAAGTTTTCACTGCTACAGTTTCGTTTCGAGTCTGTGTACGGTTCGTGAGGTTCCGTCTCACGGCGAAGGAGTGTGCCGTACTATAAACTTGCTTTCAAATCCTGTGTTGTTGCCTTGAGGCTTCCTGTGCTCTTAAGTCTCTTCCTTGATCTCGAGACAGATGCCTCAGGACACATCGCCATCCGGAGTTTTCGTACGTCCGCTGGAGTCTTGTTGCCGCGCGAGCGTTGGTTTTTTCTTCCGCTAAAACTTTCGTCCCGCTCGAGCTGGTATCAACCTCGACCTGTGTCCAGACCAACGTCGACTCGTGCTCATCAAGGACCCTTTGCAATCCACTCAGCTCTCGAGACTCATCGCACACAGCATGTCTACGGTCATGTCTTTCGTTCGGGTGCAGGATGGGTATCATTACTTGCTATACTCGTCATCATCATCTACACTTTGACATTCACTCTAGCTGCCCTTCTTTCCTCTCGCGAGCCTGTTTTACATCCCTTTCTACTTGATGAAGTCGCCTAGACCAGAGTTGGAATCATACATCTGCAACTGATACTCGAGTGCATGACCAGTTCTCTGCAACAAATCTTTCGCTAGACTCCTCAGAATCACATCGCCTCTATTATCTCTGATCTTACTGTTGACGTTTGCTAGACGGGCGATAATGTTACGGACGCAGTCGATGCGTGATTCGTCCAACTGCGGGTTGAGGTGTGCGTATGGAGCGAGGGCTAGACGGAGGGCTCGGGGCCAGCCTTTGCTACCAGTATTTGCGGAGGAAGAGTCGGAGGAGAAGGTGCAGAGGTGGATGGGAAGGTCTCGTAAAGCTACAGCGAGGAGTTGGGTCGCTGCGATGATCGTTTCGAATCCACCGCCTCTCCTCTGTGTTGGAATTGGTCTCGAGCCACCACCACTTTCTCCGACGACGTAGAAAGGAGATTTGACATCAGCAACATCAACAGCCTTGATCAACACGTCCAACTCCAACTGCAAAGGCTCGAACTTGGCAATTCTCCAGTGCGCATTCTCTCTCGCCTCCCGCTCCTGTTCTTGGCTTGCATCACCAGCTGCTTCAACAGGGTCTGAACTAGGGACCACTTTGCTCTGCTCCTTTATGACCCTACTAACGGCCGAAGCAAGGGGAGTATACTGCGCAAGATGCTCCGTTAGCACGCACCAAGCTAGCCACCTGATCACCGCCCCAATCTCTCGACTCTGACCTGGGAACACAGAGACTAGTCGAGCACGAAGAGCCACTTTACTCGGACTCGAATCGTTGCCCAACGCTGTAAAGGTTCGCCGACAGACCGCTTCCTGCAACTCCCGTACCTTGCTCTGCTTACTCGCGAGCCCAAAGATACCGGTGATCGCAACCCCGACCTCACTCTGAAGGCTGGCATTAGTACAACTCGCACAAGCAACAGCCATACACGCCACGTACCCAGCCAATACCGACAAGTGCTCCTCCACAAATCCCTCCTCCACCACCGCACTGATCACCATCCCCAACACCTTAGCCAGATTGATCATGATATCATCCCGTTCCGTCTGCGTGAGATACACTTTGAACACCTTGAACTCAACGCTGGGCGAAGAAGAAGTGCTTCTCTCCCCACCCTCACCTTGCGCTCGCGTCTGTGTTGCCTTTGTGCCAGAAGAGGTGGTGCGTCGACGCGGGAGAATGCAAGGTTCGTCCGTAACGTTTGCGTTATCGGGGAAAGACTGTTCGATGACTTCTTCGTCTACTCCGATTCGGTTGAGGATGCGTGGGATTCGGCGGACGATGTCGGATAGTGCGCGGGGGATGGTTTGTTCGAGTTCGCGAGTGTAGGGTAAACGAGAAGGGTGGTGGATGAGGGAGGTGAAGAGGGAGGAGAGTCGGTGGCTGCGGAGAACGTCGCGCTCGAGGATGTAGGATATGGCGGTCCAGAGGAGAATGCGCCGGATGGTGCTGCGCTCGAGGTTGAGTGCGGGAGGGAGTATGCCGGCGAGCAGAACGTGAGGGGAGATGGTGTCCCATGTGATGCTGGCTGGTGGTGAGGTGGAGGATGATTCTCCTTTGTTGAACAGAGCGGGTTGTGCGATTGACGGTAGAGGACAGAAGCTCTCGACTAGAGGAGCGATGCTTCGACTGGGTCTATAGAAGGTGAGGTGGCCCTTTTCATTCTTATCCGCCGTGTGGATGCTATCCCGGACGTCTCGCTGTAGGATACTGAGCGTTTGCTGTTTTTCGTCCTCGTCCGCATCGACAGGAGCGAGCGATGCTGCAAGCTTTTGCTTCTGTATAGTAGCGTCGGAATCTGGCTCCGTGTCATGGTCCGAGTAAGCACCTTCTGACTGCGAAGACCACAAAAAAGACGAAATAGTTGGAGACAAGGCTCTCACCGTCAGCTTTTGCTCCTTTCCATCTCTATTGCCATCGCCGATGCTTGACTTTATTTTTGACGAAGTCGCACCCAAGGTCTCGCCTGTTCTCTCATTCCCTGCCTTCTCGTCGTCCTCGGCATCGTAAGCAATACCCATCTTTCCCAACCGCTCCTGCTCCATACTTCTCGCGATAGCTTCCGCTCTCGAGAACCCGTCAGCATCGGTTCCGCGCTTGATCCTCTTCTGCTGTTCACGAAGCAGGCTGTCGACGCCTTTCGTTCGGTTGTAAGATGTAAGAGCGTGCTTGGCTGCTGACTCGGGCAGCCGATTCGGATGGGAGTGTAGGCGGGAAGCATCGTCGGTCGGATCGATGCTGTAGGTGGCTGGTCGGTTGAGCGCAGCTTTTCGTTTGACACGACCGAGGGTGAGAGAGCCTAGTTCTTCTTCGTCGCTGAGACAGACCGTGTCTGAGAGGGCGATCAGGTCGATGCGGCCGCTGGATTTTGTTGTTGAAGCCGCTTGGGCAGTGAGTTTCTGCTGCGCTTTGAGTCGGAGTTGCTCGCGAAGGGTGAGGCGTGATGGGCCAGCCTCCGACTCTGTCGAGCCCTCAACTTTGGGCGAAGTGGACATGCTGTCTAATTTGTCGGCATAGGAAGTGGCGAGAGGGGTAGAGAGGAGAATGGAAGATAGAGGTGGAAGCAGAGAGTGAAGTGGATGAGCGGAATGACATGTCGAGAAGCATGTGGAGTTGTGTGTTGGTCTTTCCGCTTGTCAAGTTGAACGTCGAATATTCAAGGGTCCTTCTCACACGTGTCGGAAAAATTCTGAAGATGTTACATCGCCCAAAATTGTAGACACACGCTCTGGAAATTCGAACACTTGAAACTCATAATCGCAACTCGTTCATCACATGTCGGCACGATCAGGACAAATGCGTTGCAGAATGATAACCCCGAGTAGCAGTGCTGGGATTTTTGGTTTATGAAAATGATATCAAGTACACGGGAGAGGATGTGTGCAAATGGAAAGCAAACCCGGGCCGAATCGGACAGAAACCTATGCCGAAACTTTCCGACGTGACCAAACTTGCTTCGCCATCATATCCAGACAGATGGCAAAGATGATGACAAACGCCGTTTAAGAACGGGGCTTTTCTTTTAATCCGCGGAACAACGCAGCTAAACCGACGCCAGAGACCTTGACGACCTTGAAACGAACACCGGGAATATCACCCTTGGCCTTACCGGCACGACCGAAACCAGAGATGAGCACCTCGTCGTTCTCGTCGACAAAGTTGAGACAACCGTCGTTGGGGACGAAAGCGGCGACCTTCTTGCCGTTCTTGATGAGCTGAACACGGACACACTTTCGGATAGCCGAGTTGGGCTGTTTGGCCTCGACACCGATCTTCTCGAGAACGATACCCTTGGCCTGGGACGAACCACCGGTAGGGGAGGTCTTGTAGAAGTTGCCGAGGGCACGCTTCTTGTACTGAGCGTCGGCCTGTTGTTATCAGATAATGGTGAAGGAAATGTCACGAGAGAGTGCGCAAAAGGTCAGCAAGTTGTTCATGCACGAGTGGCAGCCAGCAGCTTGCTGAAGATGACCTCGAGTTACAAATGCCAATCTGGAAGCGCTCGCACCCTTCGCAAGGATACGGGCGAATCCAGTCGTGCTAGAGCATCGTCTCTGTGATAATGCGATCCGTCTCTGTTGCGTCTGTGACATGCGAGATCATGTTGACTGTTGCGACGAGAGCACGAGTGTGGCGTGCGGAGGGGAGTAAATACGTACCCATCGGTTGTCTCGGCGGGTCGAGACCTGCTTACGGGCTGTGTTAAGACCACGGGGCTTAGCCATCTTGAAGAAACTGCAAAGTTGGTGGAAGATGAGAGCGAAGCAAATGATCGCAGAATATGTGCTGGTGGTGAGAATGATTGCTCGGCGTCTTTCGGTCAAGTGGCGGATCTCCGGTCAATTTGCGTAGTCGAACGGTCGGAGTCTGTCCAGTCGCCCTGTCGCGCCAAGTGCTGTTTGTACTGTCAAGTCTTCAAGGTGCTGGTGTTCGGTGCAGCTGCTCTGTCGGATATGTGTGCGTAGTCCTTCAGGTGCAACCATGTCGCCAGTCTTTCCTGGCTGGCTCGGGGAAAATGATGCAGAGCGAGTCTGTCTGCATAGTGGTGACTGACCGTAGTGGGCAGGTGTTTGATGTCCAAGGTCTGATGGGTGGCGGCGTTTGCTCTTATCGAGAATTAACCGTAGATGACGATGATATTTTTGATGAAATGTTCGGCGCATTGCGTGCGTGTCGCTGCAACTTGTGGGGCTGTGTGATTCGATGATGCTGCGAAGGTCTTTGATATGACATGTGGTCGGTGCTAGGATAAGGAACGATGCTGATAGGTGGGCGGTTTGACCTGCGACGAGAGACTTGGACGACTGTTCGACTGACAATGTTCGCTGACGCAGATTGCCGATGATGCCGTATACTACATACGAAGTGCTGGGTCGATGTGTGGCCGAGAGATACCTACTTTGTTGACGAGGACGAAGGTGTTGATGGCGAAGAGAGGAGAATGGTAGCGACGGGGCGTTGGTATCCAGCCGGGCTCTGGCTCTCTGGCTCTCTCTCCTTGCGGCAGCAAATTGAGTCTCTGAACTCACACACTCCCTTGTTATCGACAGGCAGCGGCACGCAAGCACTAACTGACTGAGCTTGCGCGCACGCACCTTGACTGAATTTTGCACAAAATTTGTGTGGTGTCGGATCCGAAAACAACTTTTCGCTCAGGCTGTTCACGGCGAGGCTTCGTAGGCCATGAACGAGACCGAGTCGTGGGAGTTTTTGAAATTTCATCACGTGCGGACCAGATAATCTGGATGCAAGACTGGAATTGTGCCTGTCTGCACGCCAGAATTTCAAAAAAAATAAAAAGGTTGGAAATCGAAGAAAATTGACCAAGGCCCAGCTCTTGGCTCTCATCGAGAATTCGAGCAAGACATGGGCGTGACCAAATTGAGTAGCAGGCAGCACCAACTCAACACAACACAGCACAGCACAGCACAGCGCAGCTCGAGTCCGACTGTGTGAGTGACAGCCCAAGCGAGTCTAGAGAGCGAACCCAGAAGGTCACTTGTTCGACATCTGCGTTCTCGTCACCATCATCCTCCATCAAGATCCCTCATCCGTCACAATGCCCAAGATCTACAAGGTGCGTGCTATCACCACACCGTTCATTCGGCCAAATCAGCATCGATCCGAGCAGCAAAAGGCGCCATCGAGAGGCACGTAACCAGACATTCAGAAATGTTGATTCAAGGTCTTCGTTCCATGGCGTTGTAATGCTGCTTGGATGAGCTATGTCATCATTGTCAGGATCATTGCTGACATTCATATCCATTCGCATCACTCTATTGCAACTGATACCAACAGCCAGGAAAGGTCGCCGTCGTCCTTAGCGGCCGTCACGCCGGTAAGAAGGTTAGTATTCGCAACTCGACAACAAATAGCATATCAGCACCAGCTTCCGATTTCAATTATTCAGCATCAGCATCAGACCGGAGGACATCTTGAAGGGCAAAGCAGCACATCTCGAGGCAGCAATATGTGAAGACAGCACAAGCAATTCAGGCATCTGGCAGTCGAAAAAGGAAAATCGAACGGGAGTGGAAGAGCAACGAGACAAAGGTTTCATCATGCCGTTCGCCGCATCCACTAGACCACGGATCATGTTGTGGACGAAGAGACATGCAAGCTTTTGCAGATATTGCTCGACATATGACTTTCAGGTGGAACTGCACTGCTACCATTGGCAATAGTGTTGGATGTCCGGAATCGGTATTCTTGTCGTCGTAGGTTTGACATCAACAGGAGAAGGTCACGCACCAGAGTCATTCGGATTACATTCATTGTGACACGGTGAAGCATTTCAACGGCTAGGAACTTGGCGGCTTGGAGCGGTCACACTCACTTGCTCGATCACAGATTGCAATGCTGCTGGAGTAAACTTCGGAAAGGGACACTCGAAATGGTCAATGATAGAATCACTTGAACCCGGAAGCTTCGACTCGGCCGTTCTCCCTCACAGCACGCCATCAGCATCACTGACATTTGCGCAACCATCCCGTCTCTACTTTTGCATCATCAACAGGTTGTCGTCATCAAGCAATTCGATGACGGTTCCAAGGAGAAGTCTTTCCCTTACATCGTTGCCGCCGGTATCGAGCGATACCCCCAGAAGGTGACCAAGCGCATGGGGGCCAAGAAGATTGCCAAGCGCTCCAAGGTCAAGCCTTTCGTCAAGATCATCTCTTACAACCACCTTATGCCCACCCGTTACGCTCTCGAGCTAGAGGGCCTCAAGGGTGCCGTCACCCAGGACACCTTCAAGGAGCCTTCGCAGCGCGAGGACGCCAAGAAGCAGATCAAGGCCATCTTCGAGGAGAAGTACACCTCGGGCAAGAACAAGTGGTTCTTCACCCCTCTCCGATTCTAAATGCTTCACTTTGTTAAGTGACAGTGTTTCGTTTCGGTTATCTTCTTCTTTCGAGCAATTGATACATCTTTGGCATCTTTTTCCACCACGCACATAGCATATACTTCCCCCTTTTTCCTTCTTCGATCGTGGAGATTACATCACGGCTTTTTTCTTTTCGATATGGCCAACACTCGTTTGACATGAGGTGCTTCTATCCGGCATCTCATTCATCCCCCTTACCCCCACGTTGGATCTCAGGTTTCCTCGGTCTGACTGGGAATCCAACGTTGTAATGACATGCACAGCCACTACAAACACCCCAGACCTGGTTCAGCTACCAAAAGCTTTGTATGCACTCCGAGGAGACGCTTACGGCAATATCACACATTCCAGACAGAAACTTGCTCTCGTTGGCTGAAACAGTTTGTGCAGTGAGACCAATCTGAGATAGCCTTTGGGAAGGAGTGACAAGAGCAATACACGGACGAACGTATTTTCAAAGCAGCCATGACACAGCCTATCAAACAACTGGCGGTCTAGATGAAAACCACACAAAGTTGGGCACGGAGCATGCTGTTGATTCTTTTGAATAGTCCAAGCGTGACCCGAAGAGGTACGGCTTCAGTCTTGGTCTGAACGAGTTCTATTTACAAGATTGTGTTGGTTAGAAGTGAGTTGCAGGGAGGAAGGGGAGGTAAAATATGTAGAAGAGAGTCAACACCCGACCATCCTCCGTCGAGAGACGGAGGTTGAACAAGGAGCTGAGGTGTAAGTGAGGTTGCGTTTCCAGGAACTGCGTTGACTCAGAAAACAAGCCATGTCGACACGGAATGTCAACAGCAGCTACTCGTCGAGCCAAATGAGGTCGCCTGGACTACGAAGTTTAGGTGCAGGATTGATGGATCACCGTCGTTGAATGCTGCGGAGTACGAGGTGGCAAGGTTGACATTCTTAACCGAAGAGCTCGCCCATGGCAGCCATCTCGGGGCCTCCAGCCTCGCGCATGCCAATCTCGAAGTACGAGTAGATGATGGTGACGGCAAGCAAGATACCCGTACCGGAACCAAAGGCGCCAATGAGGTCAGCGCAAACGGACAGAGCACCAATAGTAGCTCCGCCGAAAGCGGCAGCGGTGGGGATGACGCGCTTGAGCTCCTTGTACATGGAAGCGTCACGGTGACCGGCCATGACCATCTGGTTGTCCTTGAGCTGCTTGGCAACCTCACGTGGACCCGAGCCAGAGACCTCGATCCAAGTCTTGGAGAAGAGGGCGCAGGCGGTTAGAGTGAAGGCGATGTAGATGGCAGTGTGAATGGGGTCGCCGATAACCTCCTTGAAGTTGTGAGGAGCCGACATGTAGTAAGCGATACCACCAACGGCATGGAGCTGAGCACTGTCCTCCATGGGCTCCCAAACACCGAGCAACTTGACGAAGAGGTTGGTGGGGAAACGCGAGGCTAGCATCTGGCTGATGATGAAGACGTTGGAGGTGAGGGCAGACTCGAGCATGATAGGCATGTTGGAGGTGTAGAAGAGCTTGACGGGATAGGTACCACGCTGGCCACGGAATCGGTTGGACTTAACAGGGATCTCGATACGGAAGCCCTGGAGGTAGATGACGACAAGGAAGATGAGAAGGGTGGCCAAAAGGTTCATGACGTTGGGGAGACGGTCACGGTAGAGAGCCTCCTTAAGGGCACGCGACTTGTCGTTCCAGGTGAAGAGAAGGTGGAAGAGAGCAACAAGGGCACCCTCGAACTCGGGACCACGGCCAGTGTTGACGGTGGTGGGCGAGAAGGCCTTCCAGACGATGGACTCGCAAATGTTGGTAGCAATGAAAAGCGAGATACCGGAGCCAAGACCATAGCCCTTCTGGAGGAGCTCATCGAGCAAGATGACGATGAGACCTGCGACGACAAGCTGAAGAATGAGAAGGAGACAGACACCGGCACCGAGATCCTTGGGCTGACCGTAGAGACCAGTGAGAACGTAGACGGTAGCCTGACCGAGCGAGATGATAAGGGCGAAAAGCTTCTGGGCACCACCGAAGAGGGCACGGTCCTCCTTGAGGCTGAAGTCGACTTCGACCAGGTTGGCACCGGCAAGGAGCTGCATGATCATACCGGAGGTGACGATGGGCGAGATACCGAGTTCCATGAGGGTACCACGATTGGAAGCGAGAATGACACGCATCCAGTAGAGCGGGTCGGAGCTGTCACTGGAGACGATACCATAGAGAGGGATCTGAGAGGAGACGAGGAAAATGGCGAGGACGATAGCAGTCCACATGACTCGGCTCTCGAAGGGCACTGCAGTTATGTAGCGTTGTTTGCAAGGTATGGAAGAAGGCAAAGGTCAGCAAGGCCATTGTAGCCGACGATTGAATCTCGGCGATCAAGACTTACCTTTACGTTCCGGTGCCGCTACCTCGGGCAGGACGGACATGAAAGGCCGCACGAGCGACAAGAACCGGACTGCGGCATTGCAAGGAGGATTAAGGAGGTTGAATGGAGAGTCAGCATGCTGTAGATTGGTGTTGCAGAGGAGATTGATGTGTGTTGTCCATGCGGCAACTTTGTACGCTCGACGAAGCGCAGTTGGTGAGCGCAGTTGGTGAGCGCAGCTGGAGGAATCGCAGCATACTTACAGCCGCTCATATTTGCAGACTTGACCCGGTTAGGCGATAGAGACAGAGACGGGAAGGAGTTGAGATGGTATAGATGCAATAGGGTGGACAAGAGGGAAGGTTGAAGGATATGATGTCTCGAAGGTTGCTGCAAGGCGCGGGGAACGAGACACAGGTTGGCTCGAGTTACACGTCAAGCTCAGATCTTCTTTACGCCAACTTGGACACTCTAATTGGAAAAGGTGGATGATGGCCCTGTGCTTCCTCTTGTGACTCTGTCTTCAATGCTCAAACTTTGGGCCTGTACACAACGGCGTTGGTGACCTGGAAGCTTGCTTGCTTGCTTGCTTGCTTGACTACTTGACTGGACTTCAAGACCTTCTCGTTCTTCTTCCAAAGGGTTCGTGCGCTGCCTCTGTGCTCAAGCTCTCTCACTTCATTTTCTGCTTCCGGCGACGTGGAACTGGGAAAATCAGCCTTATTCCAGACGAGGCTCTTCTTTGTATTCCGGGCACATCATTTTCTATTTGAGAAGGTCCGAGGGGACAGACAGTCAAGTCAGAATTGCTTCCACTGGATAACCATTTTAAGCCGTACGAGAGCTGTCCCGATCGCCTTTTTTTTATCCGAGATGTTAAAGTTTTGAAAGTAAAATTCCTTTTCTTTCGAGTGCAGCTTCCTGGCTCAATTTTTTTGGACACAAGTTCGAAGCTCGGATGACGGCCAGAGTGACCCTGAGTCGATTGCAACTTTGCTTCATTCTCGTCGCTGTCGCCACCGATACCTTCCTCTCTTCTCACAATCAGACCGCGCCTAAGCACCATATACCCTCTCTTGAACTAGATCGAACGACAGCTCCTGCTCTGCGGTACTTCCATTCCGTGGCTGGAGTCTTCCTTTGGTCCTAGGCACCCCTTCGTCTTCGCGTTGTCTTATCAGAATAATCTTCTTTTGGATCTCCAAACGACGGCTCGTCCATTTGAAAGATCGTGATCTCGTCCGTAGACTCGCTTCCACCACTCTTTCCTATCGCTTTGACATCAAACCCGCGGACATCACATCCCACTGGCCACCAATAGCACATCAAAATGATCATTCCCGTTCGCTGCTTCTCCTGCGGCAAGGTCATCGGCGACAAGTGGAACGCCTACCTTGCCCTTCTCCTTGACGGTCGCACCGAAGGCGAGGCTCTCACTGAGCTTGATCTCAAGAGATATTGCTGCCGTAGGATGGTTCTTACCCACGTCGATCTCATCGAGAAACTCCTCCACTACAACAGTAAGTCGCCTTCACAGGAAACTTGTCATACCCTGACTTACATGATCGTACTGATCCCCTCTTGCTAACTTCACTCCATTCTCTTGCTAACCTTCCCTGTCTCCTTGACCACCTCACAGTCCACGAACGCAGAGTTCACGCCTAAGTCTGCAAACATCGTATCAGCTCCGTCTTCGCATCTTGTATTCTAGCATTCTTCCCGATTCGACGGCAACTACGTACAAACAGCTATCTCTTCTTCACGCCACATCGTGTCGCAATACGGCTCTGTCTCCTTCGACAGCGTCGACACCGCAGTCATTCTCTATCCGACTCAAGAGATCAGAGTCATACAGAGCAGCAGACAAAAACGTTCAAGGGGAAGAGGATGGTCGAATTGCGAAGGCATAAGAGCCTCTTTTGGTAGTAATACAGGATGCACAAAGAAGATTGGCGGAGCGGCAGAGAAGCCATCGACAACCCGAGGTATCGCCTGCATCACTGCAGGTAGAGAGGTTGTACGTCGCTCACGGCGAAGGCCAGACCACAGTGAGGACACTTGCGCTGGCGTGTCGAGACTCGTGCATCGATACACACCGAGCAAAAAGTGTGATAGCACTTGGTCAAGATACGGTTGCGGTATCGTTCCTTGCACGAAGAACACTGCAATAGAGCTTGAAGTGCATCCTTGTCTCCACCGTCTCCTACTTCCGACTCGCGACGTCCCTTGTTCTTGGCAGCAGAGGCCGCCGCCTTGGCCACTTGACGTTTGGCGCTTTCCAAGTCCTTTTCCAGCCGCACGATGCGTTCTTCCGCTCGCTTCCGTTGATCCTTCTCAGTGCTGGCTGCGTCTATCAGCTCTTTAGCTGAGGCGCTGCTTGCTGCATTGACCCGTGCCACATCTTCCGAACGTGCCTTGGCTTGCTCAAGTTCGCGCTGTAGCGCCTCGATCCGTTGGCTGTGCTCTTCGGTCGCCTTTTTGAAGATGTTGACCTGTTTGTCATGCAGAGTCAACTGTGTTGCAAAATTGCGCTCTGCCTCGGTGTGCATCTCGATCGTCTTCTGCTGCCTCTCGCTAAGCTGCTTGGCTGTCCTGAGTTCTGCCTCGATGCTTTCCTTGACGCGCATCGTCGAGAAGTACTTGTTGTCTGCTTTTGACTTTTCTGTCACCCATCGCAGCGCTTTCTCTTCCAAGCGGCTCACATCGGTGACCTTGACAGAAGCTTGCCTTTCCAAATCGGCGTAGGCAGCGCTGATCTTTTCTAACTCGTCATCCACAGCCTTGCTAGATGCCTCTGCAGCTTGTAGCGACAGTCTTAATCGTTCGTTCTCCGCTCGGAGCTCGCTCTCGCTGGACCCAGCCTCGCCTCCTTCCTCGCTCTTGACTTGAGTGGTCTCCACCCCGTTGGGAGCGCCGTTTGTACCAAGTCGCTTCTCGAGCTCAGCTACACGTGCTTGTGCTTCCTGAGCCGCTCGACTGAGCTCCTCGAACTGGTCCTGCTCCGACTCGCTCTTGACCAGCGTGGCTACGCCGACTGACTGGCCTTGGAATGCGGCGACAGTTATTCGCAGACGTCGCACTTGGCTGCTGAGCAATGTCAGACGCTCCTCCTTGCTGTTGAGCAACGCTTTCATCTCTTCGATCTGCGTGAACTTGACCTGCTCGCGGGAACGACGTTCAGTGAGCTCGGCGTTGAGTTCATCACGCTGACTGCGCAAGCGAGTGACATCTGCCTCTTTTGCCTTGACGATCTTCTCCAGCTCCTCGGTCCTGGTGCTTGCTTCTGCTTCGACAGTCTGCTGGAAGGTGGCCCGGCCTTCGCGCAATGCATCAGCCTCGGCCTCGAGAGAATGCATGGCTTCTCTGGTGCTCTGCAAATCTTGCTGTGCGTGACGCAGGGAGCTCTGAAGCTCACGATAAAGCGCAGAGTTGACCAGGACCTCTTCCGGTAGACTGTTCAACTTGGTCTGCGTCTGGTGAAGCTTGTACATGCGCGCCTTGAGCTCTTCGTTGAGGGTCTGGATCTCGGCGTATCTTGAGTCGCTCTCTCGCCGTGTGAGCTCAACATCCTGGCGTGCGGACTCGAGCTCGTCCCTCGCCTTCTGCAAGGCTTCAGAAGACTCGGCAGCGTTCTCTGTACCGAGTGATGACGTGGGCTCCGTCTTGACAGTGGTTTCGCTAGACTTGTCAGCACTTGCAGCAGGTTCGGCAGCGGTGACAGTGGTGCCGTCCGGTACTGTCGGCTTTCCCTCTGTGGCGCGCAAGAGATTGCTCTGGTAGCGAACGTACTCGTGCTCTACTTTGGAAAGCTTCTCTGTAGCGTGACCGAGCGCATCTTCCGCTCTCTGCAACTTGGACTGCGTGAGGAAAAGGTCCTGCTTGTGGCGTGAGGCTTCCTCTGCCAGGTCGTGGAACTTTTGCTGCAACTCGTCTACATTCACCTCGCTCTGCTTGGAGAGCGATTGAAGAACGATAGCCAACTGTTGTTGAAGCTGCTTCTCCAAGGTTGGGACATCAGTCGTGGAATCGAATGAGAGCGATGCGAATGCATCCTGATCCTGAACAGCTAGTCGAGCCGCAAGATCTGTGAGAAGGAGGCTCCAGAAACGGTGGAGGACGGCAGCACGCTGCTCGGAAACTGCAAGATGATCCTGAAACGTTCCTGCTTTGCGCTGAATGCGCTGAAGGTCCCTTCTAGCCTCTAGCAGTTTACGATAGATGGCCTCCTTCCTGAAAGCTTCGAGGCCAGCATAAGCTGGATGAAGAGCCTCTTGGTCCTCGTCATCGTCATCGTCGGCAGGAGTTGCAGAGCCGCGTTGCCTGGTCTCGTCCGAATGTAAGCGCTTTCGGGGACCGTCTTCGGCACCAGCGACCAAAGATCGCTTTCGGTCTTCTGTGCCTGACATGGATTGCAGCATGACCGCGGTCAAGTGAAGCTGCGAAAGAGGTTAGAAACGTAAGTGTCCGGCGAACGTCTAAGGGAAAGAGGGGAGGAGAAGATGCACGTTGGTTGGAAACTTTCTTCAAAGTCGAGCATCGGTCCGCAAAGGCTCGATATGCACCACTTGAAAGCCTCGGGCAGAACGGCCGGACCCGGATGAACGAGCTGCCTGCTGAACAAGATTACAAGACAAGGAAAGAAGGTGATTCGAACCTAAGGCCCGATGAATGCGGGTGGGATTCGCCTCCCTGAGCTTGCACTTTTGATGATCAAGCTGCAAGAGACACTTGCGTATGGATATGATCCAAGACACAGCGTCCAGAGAAGGATACGAATGGCAGGCCGAGGCGTCTCGCTGTCGCCAAAGGACAGGTCGAGGGGAGCAAGGGCGAAGTAAGGTCGTCCACAATCGACAAGCAGAAACAAAGCTAGCCAGGGAGATTGAAACTCTGCCGTATAAAAGGGTCGAGGAAGAAGGTGCGAAAGGCACTCAACGCCGGAGAAAAGGGATAAGATGATGGTGATGTCGCAAGAGGTGAAAGCCGCTCAGCGTTCAAGCAAAATCTCAAACCTCGAATTTGCACACACACTTCTCAAAGCCTTCTTGATTTTTCGGTGCCGACAAATTTTACGTAGGTCTAACAGCAGCAACAATTTCAACTTTAGGTCAAAGCTCCAACTCTCCGAGTTGTTCTCTTAGCTTCACTTTGAGTACTTACCAGCATCAAAACCTCCTGCATCTCTCACACCGCAATCCTTCAGCCGTTCCGCTCACCATCATAATGCCGTCGAGGGCGCCTTCAATAGGCGCGCGCTGCTGTCTTTGCATTCGTTCGCAAAGATCAGCAAGGCTCAGCTGGCAATCCAGCTGTGTTCCAGCAAGGCGTACTCTGGTAACGGCTGCTCCAACAACAACGTCTCTGCTTTGTAATGGCGTCACACCTTGCGCTCGCGAGGGCTTTCATACGGCTTCTACACATCGACAAGCAGTCGAGGTCGCAAATTCCACGCAATCATCCCACTCGCCGACTGCACTCGAAGCAGAGAGCATTCCCGACATCGCAAGACGCGCTCAGAGCATCGCCGACCCGAACCAACGGATCCTGACAGCAGAATGGACGAACAGAGTGGAGCTTCTCAATCGAAAAGCACAGAATTTTGGTGCCATCAGCGAAGGCGATCGTGTTTCCACACGCATAGTGTTGGTTGGATCGTCACTCAGTCAGACGCAGCAGCTCTTGACTGCCATGGTCGACGAGCCGCTTCGTGAAATCAGCGAAGGCAGATCCAACGAAGCGGAAGCAATCGTGTCCGCTCTGGCAAGCCTGCCTCCTTCCACTCCTTTCACCATCAAGTACAATCCCGGCCCCTTCCAGCTCCTGAGCAATAACACCGCTGCTTTGGATCGTCACTGGCTTCAGCAATCAAATCTCGAGATCACTGTCTTGCTTGACCCTACGGCCTCCGCCGAATCTACCTATGACCTGATCTACGACAGCGAAGCCGTCATCTTTGTCACCGACGATTATGCCCTCAGTCAGTCTGCACGCCGACCACGCAACGCAGATGAGAGAGGCAACACCATCTATGAGCTTCTCTCTCGCTTTGCAGCCAAGCCCCATATTTACCTAGCTGTCAATTCGATCCTCGGATTGGATCGCTTGCAAATCCTCGATGGGCTCGAGTCTGCCACTGGTGCGTCTGTGGCTGATCTCGTAGCACCGCACTTGGTTCCCGTTCGCATCTCGGACGCGTTAGCTGCCAACTCTGCTCTTCGACAAGCGCTTGACAAACAGGAGCCGCAAACGCCCTCACATTCCAACTTGAGCCCCACCTCCACCGGCTACTGGGATGAGTTTAGTGGGCATTATCAGCGTTCTAATGTCGGCTCGCTCATCCAACTCGTTCAGAATCTCAGAGCCAAACAAGAATCCAAGACCCTGGTAGTACAATCAGCCGCGTTCCTCCTCCAGCACTGTCTCGAGGAAGCTTTGGCTACCGTGAAACGCAACCTTGCTTGCCTGTATGAGCTGCGGTCACTTGCCAGCCAAGCAAAAGAAAGAGAGCAGACCACGCTCAAGCAGTCACTTGAGCGCATCTGGCCCCCATCGACCGCATACACCGGCCAGCTCTCCAGGGATGAGATCAAGATCTGGCGTCCAGCCTTGCCCGGCTCGCAGAGTGCCGTCGACGAAGCCATGCAACAGACGGATGATCTGATCGAGTCTACCTTTGATACCAAGCTGCAATGGTGGAAGCTCATCTGGAAGGCCGATGACGTTCGGAAGGAACTCGAATCTGCGTGTGCTGGGTTTGCTGCTTCGCTCGAATCGGATCTCGCGTACGAGTCAGGTCGCCTTGCAACGCTTCAAGTCGAGAAAGTCCGGACGGCAAAGCAGCACCTCGTACAGTTTTGTCGTCTGGCGCACCAACTCGGGCCTAACATCGCCTCCGCGTCTCGTGATGTCGCATTGCTCACCAACGAAGCCGAAGCATATCGTTCGACCAAGCTTCGCACCATAGAGCCATCCACCTTGATGGAGCCTATTCACCGCAGACGTGCACAGCTCTTGGAAACAGGTGGTCCCATCGATGTACTTGCCTCTAAATCTCGGAAGCTCGCAGTGACGAGCTCGGCAGCCGTTGCGGTAACTGCCGCTGGAGTTGGATCGGCAAGTGTGTTGGGTGCCTCGCTCGGTCTTGATGCATCCTCAGCATCGCTCGCATTAGATCCCAGCACGGGTCTTGGATTAGGTCTGTTGACACTCACCTTGGTAGGATGGAGGATGCAGGGTCAGTTTGGCAAGCTCCGTCGACAATTCCGCAAGGACTGGCAGCGTTTCTCCGAGGGTTTAGACCAAGATCTCAAGAACAACTTCGAGACAGTATTACGCCAGCAGATTAACGGACCATCTGACTTGGTCTCGTCACGCATTCTTTCTCTCACCCGAGTATGGGGCAACAATGTCCAACGACAGGAGAACCTCGTTAGGAGTGTCGCAGCTCAAACGCCCCATCACGTTGACACGACGAACAAGGTCAACGCAGAAGCAAAGGCTCGCGAATCACTCTGACGCCTGTTGACGCCATGAGTCGTTGCCTCGCTTCACACTGGCTGTCTGTATAACATAATTAGCACGTCTGCAGTCAGCGAGGCGGAGAGGCCTTTTACATAAAGAGTCGATTCAGATAATCGAGAATACTAAGACAAAGTCACCTGCCGCGCGTACGTTTCTGAGAGCCCAGACGGAGTGAAGAAGTAGACACAAAAGCAAAGATAAACCACGGTATCGAAAGTGAAATGTTACAGAAAGATAAGAGAAGTGGGCTCTGTTACTACAAAAAAAAAAAAAAAAAAAAAAAGGCTTTGTCGCGCCCGAGCGATGCGTCCAGAATCTCGTCGTCTCATGGACGTTGATATCCGAGGAGTGCGAACCCTTGCTATATGGGCTCCTTGTGCTGAGAAGCGACGCTAGGGTTGGAGCAGAGTTGGAGGATCCGCTCCCGTGAATCTACCAAGGTTCTGCTGTTTTGTTGTTGCGCAAATAGGCACATCAAGAGCTCTCGGGTGGAGCCGCAGGAGCCTCGGCCTCGCTCTTGGGTTCTGGCTCGGCGTGGGCAGCAGCGTCACCATTCTCCTTGACTGGCTCGCTTGATCCTTCAGCGGCCGACTCCTTGGGTCCGTCGCTAGAAGCCATGATGACTCCCCACTTGGCGCAGAGCTTCTCTGCACGATCTTTGAAGTGGAATTCGTCGTCGCGAGGAATTGAGCTGAGCTGCATAACGCGCTTCATCACCTTGCCGATCTTGGTGGTTCGCAGGTGCTCGGCTGTCATGCCATCGTACTCCTCGACGGTCTTGAAAGTGGCATCTGCTGCTTCCATGTCTTCTGGATTGATCTTGCCGTCTTTGCCAAGGAAGGTCTTTTGCACCTTGTGTCGCCATTCCTTGACCTGCCTGGCCTCGGGATCCAAGGACTCGTCCGACTTGTCCTCTCCATTTGTAGCCGCACCTTTGCTGTTTGGCTTCTCAACCTGTAGAACGATTCGAATCAAGTCATGGGAGTGAGTGTAAGCATAGAGGTTTTCCGTCTCTCTCCCAACAGCATCGATCAAAAGCGGCTGCGTTTGCGGCGTAACTTACCTTGGTCTTGGCAGCCTCGGCTGCCTTGGACTTCTTGCGCTTGTCGGCACTTTCGCGAATCTTGCCGCTCTCAGGCTCGCGTTTCCTCTTCTTGCTCGAAGGTTCGTCACCATCCTCGTCCTCTTCAAGCTGATCCTGGTTCTCTTCCTCCTCCTCAGCTGCATCTTGCAAAGACTTTTCGTAGTTGCGCACAATCTTGTTCTGCTCCTCGTTCCAAGAGTGAGGGTCGCGAGCAATCTCGTAGGCTTGTCTGAGGTCGCCCTTCTTGCGATTTGGGCCTGCGAGGAAGGAGTCGATCTTGTCCTTGCTGAGTAGCTCGAGGTCCTTGGAGAAAGCCCAGTGGCTGAGCAGATACGATAGGCGTTGCGTAGCGATGCGGTGAGAAAGTTGTCAGTAAGAATGGCAGGCTTCACACTGGAAAGTCGACAAGAATGTCTGCTGGGACACTTACTAGTCGGCGGCGGGGAAGAAGCGAATGGTGTACTGATCTCTGTGCTTGGCTACAGGTCGTTCTTTCAAGACGGCAGATGGCACGTTCTCGTCATCCATGACCTAATGTTAGGAAGGAAAGATGATCGCAGTGTCAGCTGTCATCGTGTCTGCGTGCCTAATGCGGACTACTATGTGCTTTCCTACTTACGATTCCTGGCCATGCTGGGAAACCGCGGACCTTGGCGAGCACCACATCGTTGACTTGGCTGTGTGATAGGCAAGTAAGCAGCAACAGTAGGCAGAAGGAGGGAGAAATGGGTGCGTCAGTCGAGAATTTACGCTACATGTAAGAGACAATGTGTACTCTTAAAACTTACAACTTGTGCGGGGTTCGGTTGAGTTGAGACTCCTTGGACTTCTTCTCTGTGCTCGTCATTGTAATCGTATTCGGAATCGGATGCGAAGACGGGGTAAAGGCCTAGTATATGAGCGCAGCACACCAGTTTGCAACCAAGTGAGAAGGGCTTGAAGCGGATGTTTTCGGGAAGAATGCGTTGCACAGGTTTGTCAAGTTGCTTCCTGCCTTTGAGAAATGAAGGAAACCGGATAGGTAGTCGAGCGAGATTGCGAGGGGATGGACGGGATGAGTCTTGAGACTGTTGATGGTAGGTGGATGAAAAAAGAGATGGTGGAAGATAGGATCTGGCCTTTTCCAGTGGAATATTCGCGATACAGTCCGGATGCGGGCCTAAAAGCGCCAAGCTCACTCACTCTCACGAAGAGAGCAAGAGTTGCTGGCTCTCCTTTGCGCGAAACTCACAGGGGACCGTGCTCAATGCGTCTCCCGATTTGCCGCGGTTGGATCGAGAGAAAAGGCTTTTTTGTCTCCCGTTTCTCACTGAAAATCAGACAAGGCAGATGTGCGACTGACTGATTTTCAACTGGAGAAAGAGTCTCTCGGCGCGTCGCGAACCGCCTTGTCCTCTTGAGGTCACTCTGCAGCCAGAGCCTGGTTTACCGCAATCCCGCTCAATGATCGCCTCTTGTCGTGCGAGTGAGACAATCTGGCTGAGACAATCTGGCCGAGTCAATGCGGAAGGACCAGCAGCGGCTCATCGCATGGATCATATATATACACTCCTTGCTTCTCGACATCATCCACATCTCCCTCGCAGACGACCTGGCTTCCATTCAACCGGGCTCGTCTAGTTCGTGCTTCCGTCAATCGATCTAATCGCTGCACTCTCAACTCTCAGCATTCTCTGATACGTCTCTGAAAATAAGTGGAGGTGACCAGAAGATCCTCACCACTAGTTGCACTGTTTGACAGTCGACTTCAGCCCAGTCGACCTCGCCGAGTGTTGCACAGGCCCAACTTGCACAACGTCACCCAACCGATCTGAAGGCACTCATCGCCTCCCTTGTCTTGCAAAGCTCAAACGATCGGCGAGAACTCATTGTGCGGCCTGCCCGTCGAGCTGATTCGCAATCATGAGCAACAAGGTCGTCGTAAGTGTCTTCGATGCTTGATCTGCGCCCTTGTCAGTGCTGCTGATGTTTTGCTCTGCTGACATGCTTCCTCTTGCTTCATATCACAGTCCCAGGTGTACAGGAGCATCATTGACGATGTCATCAACAACGTACGTCAGGACTTTGAAGAGATGGGAATCGAGAAGGAGGTGCTAGAAGAGTTGCAGAGATCCTGGGAAGCCAAGATTGTGGCTACGCAGGTTGCCGAATTCGAGGGCGCTCCCGCCTTGCCGCCTACCAAGTCGCGGTCGAGCAAAAAACAAGAGCCCAAGACCGAGGTCAAAGCCGAAGATGGTAATCGTACCAATGGTCAAAGTTCCAGCAGCAATGGTGCTGACCAGCATCGTTCCAAAGTGCCTCGAGCCGATGGATCTACCGATGTCGCAGGTGCTGCCGATAGCGGAGCACAAGACGCAGCAGCTGCATCCACCAAGACAGAGGATGATGATGCCGCTGCCGGGCAGAAGCGCAAGCGCATCAGCGACGACAACGAGATCGGAAGCGACCTCGACGACTCTGACGACGAGGATGCAGATGGCGGCGCTGACGGCGACAACGATGACATGGTCCTTTGCCTGTACGACAAGGTCCAGCGTGTCAAGAACAAGTGGAAGTGTGTTCTCAAGGACGGCGTTGCATCCATCGATGGTCGTGACTATCTATTTGCCAAGTGCAACGGCGAGTTCGAGTGGTAGTTTCGGTTCGAAGCTTGGCTGCAACAAGCTTGATCCTTGTCTGCATCGATTTTATCCCGCCCCGTCCTCGTCCACATCTTCGTCTTGCCTCTTTGCCAACCCCAGCCTTTCTCATCCCGCTTCGGTGATGCATCATCTGCAACACCGAAGTCCAAGCCCCCGGCCTGTCCTCAAGCCATGCTGCCGCTCCTTCCCAAAACCTCGCCATCTTCGTTTGGCCCATCTCCCTTGCATTCTCTCGCTTTTGTTCCGTTCTTGCTCACATTTGTACACTAGCTTTCATCCTCAATCCTGCAACATTCTCCCGAATCTCGGCTTTGCAATGCTGTATCTGTGTCGGGCTTTGAGAATCACAATAAGATTAAAAGATACAGTACAGTACACAATGTACAGAAGCTAAAGGACTCCGTTGAAGGAGCCAGAAGGAAGGGCGAAGTGCATCTATCTCATGGAAGGACGTGTGCTATCGTGTATGGGGTTTCAAGCACACTATGTTTGCCTTGTCGTAGTGACACTACGGCGACACCGGCTTGTCGTATTAGTCACATCACAGATTATAGGTAACAACAGGGAAGTAGAAGACGAGCCATGTAAACAGGGGCGATGCTCTGAACCGCTCAGATGCTGGGCCGTTTCGGAGGGCCGGCGGGTGTATGCTGCTTGCCACTTCGATCTTGAGGAGGGCCACCACTAGCACGTGTGTAGTAGGAATGCTGCCCTCGAATCACTTCAAGCATCTTTGCATTCACGTCGACGCCGGGTTGCGGTGGCGAGCTGAGCGCCCGCTCAAGTCGGTCAAGCATCTGCACCATCTCTTCACGGACCATCTGTGCTGTGAATGCTCTCGAGTCGGCCAGTTGATCCGAGAGGATCCTGATCTGTGATTCGAGGAAAGAAGCATGTCGAATGATGGCATCCGTGCGTTCCGAAAGATCCTCGAGTCGCGCGATCGCTTCTGCCCTCTCAAGATACGGCTCGCCTGCTCGACGTGCGTTATCGCCTGCAAAGGGCGGTGCCATACCACCAGGAGCGGGAGGGCCACCAGGAGTCGACATGCCAGGTGGATCTTCCATCTTGCCACGCATGTATCCGTAGTCGTCTCCCGAACCGGGTCCAACTCCGCTGCCGTAGCCTCGCTCGCCGCCAAAACCACGCATCTCCGAACGGCGATCACCGTATCCATGAGGATCCATACGATCGTCTCCGTAGGGGAACTCTCGACCACCACGATGACCGCCAGGACCCATGGGAATACCTCCTGCTGCACCGCCACCCATCATTCGCATTCCATCAGGTCCGCCGGGGATGGTAGCAAGAGGCACCTCTGGCGAGGGTGTAGAGCTGCCGCCGCTTCTGTCGGCACGCAAGTCACCACCGATACTGCCGCGTGGAGAGCCGCCCCTCTTTTGACGGGAGCTCTTGCGCTTGATGTCGTTGAGCAATGCGATCTCGCCTCGACGGAAGCTTGGATGACGGAACTCCCAGACCTGAACTTCGTCTGTGGGGTTGCCTTGATACGAGTGGTTCACCTTGTGGAAGCCGTACATGTTGAGCTGTCGCACAAACGACTGCCAGTTGGAATGCTTGAACCAGTTCGGGAGAACAAGGCGCGAGAACTCGGCAGGGTTGGCGACGCTGAAGACAGTGCCGGACGAACCCCAGCTGATCAAATCCGAGATCGAAGGGTCTTCCAGCATAGAGTAGAGCTTGCTCACAAAGCTTGGTTGCTGCTTGCCGCCCGGTCCACCTCCTGCACCTGGCAATCCAGCAAGCGAAGGATGAATCATCGGAGGGTTGCCGTACGATGTGGAAGGTGTTGGGCTTGGGTGATGGTGCATGAGTGGTGTGCGACTTGGAGGTGGAGGGTGGCCACCGTAAGAAGGTTGGTGGTAGGGCATGCCTCTTCGAGGTGAGCTCGAGTAAGGTCCCCCAAGCACAGCATCGTCGCGAGAACGGTGAGCCAATCCTTCAGGTTCCAGCGAGGCAAAGCCTGGCAGTCTTGGTGGAGGCAAAGATGGTCGGTTTCGGAAGCTGGACAAGTTCGGCTCTCCAGAGTGGGGCGGGGGCATGCGCATCGATGGCGAGTTGTACTCCATCTTGGTCTCGCCATGCATTCGATCGCGCGGATCTCGTTCATGCTCGTCATTGTAGCGCTCGCCAACCAGACCGCCAACGTGGCGTCCTTCCTCCCTCAATCCTGGTGCAGACTCATATCGACTTGGTTGCGATCGTTCGTACTCGTACCGACGCGAGTCTGACGCTGGTCCAAATTCTGTACCTTCCCGTAGATGGTGGTGAGACTGGTGATGATGTTGTAATTGCTGTTGTTGGTGCTGGTGGTATCGAGAATCAAGGTTGGCTGAAGCAGATCGATCGGCCCAGTGTGCGTGATGTGCTTGTGCAGAGGAGGACCTGCTAGTGCTGTCTGGTCCTGAGCCTTTGCGCTCCACTTTGGGCTCGTTTGAGTCTCCTCGAGACCTTTTGCTCCTCTCGTCGGTTTCGTCGAGTTCGTCCATCTCTTCTTCGTCAGCCATGCCGTGCGTGTGACCTCCTCCGACGTTGGAACGACCGAGACTAGGCTCGTACCGGGGACGCTTGCGATCAGGACTCGCAGGTGGTGGTGGCCTAGTGGATGCGTCGGGGTGACCAGGGCGTTGCAAGTCCCTCGGGACGTTTGCGTTGCTGTTGTGTGCTCGAGGCGAATTGGCCGTCATAGATGGACCAAGCGCGCTAGCACGACGTTCTGTGCTCATCATACCAGCCACCTGACGCAGCCAAAGAGGTCAAGACGTTTGGGATAGGTTGTCGACAGCGTCCGAAAGTGAGTTTGCCCTGCTACTGTGTCGATAGTGTCAAAAAACAAGACAAGATTAGGCCAGACCGGAAGAGCTGTACGGAGTTCGAAGTTGATGTTGTCAGTGTTCGCTGGGAAGGATAGTTCGTGAGCGAATGCTATAATGCTGAGAATCAAGGGTCTGGAGCAATGCGCATGGATAAGGGATGTCGTCGGGTCACGAAGACGGACAGGAGTAGCAGAAGACCTTTGGCCAAAAGTGTGCTGCTGTATAATGGCTCGCAGAGGTTGGGTCGATTGGCTGTTGCTGCAATGAATAGCACAGGTAGACGCAGGGTTGCAGCGAGTTGGTGTAATCGAAGCGACGGGCTGCCGAAGCGTGGTTGGGAAGACTGTGATTCGAGGCTTTCTTTGCTTGCTCGCCTTTCTTGCTCGCTGGCTTGAGTAAGTGGGAAAGCAAAGCAGAGCAAAGCAAAGCAGAGCAAAGCAAAGCAAAGCAAAGCAAAGCAAAGCAAAGCAAAGCAGAACAAAGCAGAGCAAAGCAAAGCAAAACAAAGCAAAGCAAAGCAAAGCAAAGCAAAGCAAAGCAAAGCAAAGCAAAGCAAAGCAAAGCAAAACAGAGCAATAGAGCAGTTGACAGAAGCCTCGTCTGGGCTTCGGTTCGGTGGGCGTTGAACGGCAGATGCCGTCCGCAATATGAAAGGGAGGCGCCTTTCGACCTAAATGAACCGACAGCAAAGCTTATTCAGTGCGGACGTCGTTCCACCTTGCAACGGAAGGTCGGAAAGCAAGCAGTGAAGAGGCAACTGCGCTCGAATATCGAGAGTGAACTATGACGATCACCGTAGATACAAGAAGGTCGCCGAATGTCAAGCGAGAATGACTGTAAGGACAGGTTACCGGTGCAATCGACCAAGAATCAATCGCCGTTTGGAGTAAGGGATAGGTGAACAAAACGCTGCAGAAGGAGAAGAGGCTTCCAAGGTGTGTTGATGAATGCGTCGAGTCTTCGGAAACGGAAGAGCGCTTCTCGGTCAGGCCTCGGCGGATCTGGCGTCGGCGTTAGGAAGGGAATGCAGTGGAATAAAAGCGCTGCACGTCAGGTGGGCTAGATTGCTGAGAACAGTAAGAGGGCGTCGTTTAGGCGTGAAGGTCCCGCAGATACGACCCCGGTTGATGAAACAAGGTGGGAAGAAGTCAATGCAGAGCGACCGAAGCAGCCGAAAGCGCGAAGAGGTCAAAGAGCCTCGTTTGGAGATGGAAGGAGGGCGATGGCGTTGGCAACAGGGCCGAGGCGTGGCGTAGGTGGTGGTGAGAAGGCAAAGTGGGACAGAGAGAAAGAGAGATGAAGGAAGGTTCGAAGGGAAGGTAAGGTGAAAGGATAAGATCCGAATCCGAGGGCGCAGTAAGTCAACCAGGGAAAAGTCAAGGTTGATGCAGACGCAAGGACGAATGAAGGTGAGAAGGGAGAAGTGAAAGGGGGCCGGTTGAGCGCAAAGGGCCGCAACCAGATTCAGATGATGAAAGAGGGCCAAGATGCTCAAAGGTAACGGTGTCCTGGGTGAGGATGAGGTTGCTCAGTTGTGTGTGCGTGTGAGAGTGTGTGCTCATGAGGAGCAAGCGGATTTGACTCTAACTTCATGCGAGACGGATCTGTTGCGCCAAGGCGGAGGGAGCCACGAGGCAGTCGGATTGAGTTCATTTGCCTATGTATGTTGTGCGAGCAAAGAGAAAGTTCGGCAAACAGGGTCGAGCTGGAGAGAATGCAGCTCAGCTACCGAAAGGCCACACGATCGGAAAGGAAAGACAGAGAGAAACAGAGGGAGCGGGATTGACACATCAGGCACAGAGTGAGACAGATTGAAAGAGCGAAACACAGAGGGAGGAAGGAAGGGAGAAAGGAAGGAAGGGAGGAAGAAAAAAAGATTGAGGAGGCGGCGGCGGCGACGGCGGCAAGACGCATGGCAAGTAGCGCAAACAATCAAGTCAAACACAGAGGAGCCAACTTGTGTATGTAACATGAGAAGAAGAAGGGCGTGGGCGAGAACAATGATGCCGTTTGAAGTGAAGCGGGAAGGAGAGAGAGAGAGAGAGAGAAGAGACAGGGAGAGATGTATATACAAGGACATCCAGAAGCGGGCTGTTTGGAACGGAAAAATGGGAGGAGCCACGGAAAGGTGGCATGCAGAAAGGCACCAAACGGTCTAAGCGAGAGGGTGATGCAGCAACAGCAGAGTGGGAGAAACAGAAGAGAAGGGGAGGAGGAGCGAAAGAGACAGAAAGACCAAGAAGAAGATAAGCGGAAACCGATTCCAAGTCCGGGTTGACTCGAGAAGGGAGCAAGGAGAATGGTCATGAAGGGGAGAAGAGCAGAGAGTGTCAGAGTGGAAGAAGGAATACAAGTGGAATTCATGGACAGCTAGACAAGCAGAAAGCACATGGGAGCTGCATCAAGAAATTCAAGGAACGGGCAAAAGTCTCGGAAGGGGTTTTGAAAGAGGATCAGCTGTCGAAAGACCAACATAAGCGAAGCGAACAGGCCGAAAGACGTGAAGGGCAAAAGGGCAGGGACCAAGCCTTCTGTTGGACAGTAGTGGCATGCGGGTGATACGATAGAGAGACCAGAAGAGACAAAGGTGAAAGTGGCACTGACAGCGGACGCCAAGGGCCGATTAGCGAGGGCCGACACCCTCGACCACTCTCACACGTCTACATCTACTTCTACACCTAAACTCACTCGCTCGCTCACGCACGCACGCACAGCCACGCAATCATTCATGCTGTGCCCTTTTCCTGTAATGCTGGAAGGACAGGCCGCGCTGCGCCAAGCGATAGATTCTACTTGAGGGGGAATCCTCCAGCTTCGGACGGCAATATATCTTCAACTTCACCGCGATGGAGAAGCAGAAGAAGAAGAAGAAGAAGCCAAAACTTGAAAAGCGTGGGGGAGAGGAACAAACGAGGGATCGAGTGTGTGTGAGGTTGCACAGAAGTTTCCGGATGACGGATTCCTCTTTTGTACAACCGAGCGTCGGACAAAGAAAATGTTGCAAAACAAATAAATCAATAAAATCGATAAACACGAAAAGGTCCAAAAAAAAATAAAAGGTCAAAAAAAAAAGGTCAAAAAAAAAAGGTCAAAAAAAGAAAAAGAAAAAAAGAAAAGGTCTGGTGTGAAGGGGTGTCAAGCGCAGAGAATAAGCCGGAGATTCGGGATGGATGAATGAAAGATTGCAGGCTGGCCTCTGTTCGCTTAGTTGCCTGCCTTCGAGGGCGACAAGATCTTTTGCATGCATCTCTGTTCGGATCCGGGTTTGCGAACTATCGCATAGGTCGCAGTCTGGCTGGAAGACGAGGCGTGGCCGACGATGAACTCTGTACACAGCAAAATGATTGCTGCTCTTGGTTGTCCCTAGGACCAATGCATGATTGGACAGGGGTCAGATAAGCTTGCGCATCACTGCGATGTCAGGTTGGAACAGCCGAGGTGGAGACAAGGCGACCCGGAACGGGGATATGCGTATGTCGTTCTGGCACATGGTAGGACGACGTTGCTTCCGCTGTACAGAAGCTCGATGCAGTTACAGGTTTACTTGTCTTGGACATTCGACGGACTTTGGATTCGATGGATCCATGTCTCTAGCATACTGTAAGCTGTTGTACACAATCATAGACTAATTCACAGCCTTGTACCACGGTCGTGGAGGGATTGCATAGCAGCCCGTCCTTCCATCTAGTGACATCACTCTTGTTCCCAAACCAACAGCCACTGAGCGTAATCACCAGCTCTACGTTTCGGCGGCACAGATTGCGATGATTATGAAGGCTGTTCGGGAGAGACAGAGGGGAAGCGGATGGACATGAATTGACGGGGATGACTTGAGGTTCACTAAAACTCAACAAAATCATCCGGTATGACAGGCAAGCATTTGTTGCAACGCCACATCACACAAGCGTTTTTGGTAGTCACGTGATTATAGTCACGTGATGTTATCCGTGGTCAGGGATTCTGCCAAGTCATCGCGCAGCTACAGTATGCTCTCTCTCCAATCACCACCATTCTCACAGCTGCTCGCTTAGCAGAATCTCACCAACTCTTCAAGTGTTTTCCCACCCTGTATTCCCACCCTTTGTCTTCCCGCTCTCCCGCGCTCATCCGGCCCTCCCCTCTTACGGCGGTCCGGGAGCCTCTCGAGCCTATGAGCACACCCACGCTCGCCCCGCAATCCTAGTCTCTGTTATGCTCTTTCTTTGCCCCTGTTATGGTATGAATTGAGGGTTCGGAGGTTTGTTTTGGTTTGTTTTGTTTTGTTTTGTTTTGTTTTGTTTTGTTTTGTTTTGGTCCGCATGGGCGGCATCAGAATTCGATTTGTCTTCTTTCTCTTCTTTCGTAAGGAAGAAGAGCTTGGTCACATTCAAACACAGTCTTGTCTCAGCCCGGGACGCATCCCCCCTTTTTATTTTTTTATTTTTTCCCGCCTCGGCAGTGGTTCGCTTCCACGATTCGAGATCTGCCGTTTCTTTCCTTCCATGGGACTTGAAGCAGCCGAGCACTTCCATGATACTGTCCGTGGATCCCAATTTCAGAGCGAGAAATGACATCTCCGTCTGTCGTCAACGGCGTGCGATGAATAGCGATCGCTATATTCTTTTTTTAATTTTGTTTTCTAGCAATGGCTTCTTCTCTTCTTTCGCCAAGAAAGCCAGACATGAATTAACGCCGACGTTTTGGAACCCGAGATCCGAATAAGAATCGTTTAATGGGATCGAAAGGAAAAATGCCGTGGAATCTGTGCGACCCATTTCAAGCCCCGACAGGCACAGGCACACACAGACACACACAGACACACTCATACACACTCATACACACTCATACACACTCATACACACTCACACACCACCACGGACAGGCACATTTGCATCTGCATCTGCTTCTATCTTGGCTCCGACCAACCACGCAACTCGAAGTCGAGAACCACACAAACTCGCCAAGTCGGAGTTGCCTTTTTCTCTCCTTTTCAGCTGGCTCTTCCTCTTTTCCTTACGCAACGCAACCAATACAAAAGAACGGATAGATTGGATATTCCGCGGGCAACACTGGCCGACGACCAAGTAAAAGGTTCACCATCATGGCTGAGTCCGATCCTGTTCCTGAACACTTTGTGCATCTGTCCGTCGATTCCATGAGACAAGTCCACGTCAGCTTGATCCAATCGCTTCCCTTCGCTTCCCTTCGCTTCCCTTCGCTTCCCTTCGCTTCCCTTCGCTTCCCTTCGCTTCCCTTCGCTTCCCTTCGCTTCCCTTCGCTTCCCTTCGCTTCGCATGCCAATTCGATTCCCGCTTTCCTCCGCTTCCTTGTTTCTGTTCCTGGCGTTGGCCATCTTTTTGTGTCGCTCTTCTGTCTTTTCCACACTGAGCATCACCACAATACCTGCCTTTCCAATCCAGCTGCGTTCCTGACACTACAGCCAAGCAAGCCATCACCGCGGTTCTCCCACGGGAGACCACAGGCGCTTGTCCAGTCTGCAACCGGAGTCCGACCTTTTCTTCTCCTAACGGCTAATACTACGGCAACCTCTGGCTCATCTTGTCCAACGGACCGTTCGAGTCATGCAAAAGTTCCTTCCGGCTTTTCGTCTCAATCTCCAGCCTGCTTCCTTGTCTTCTTAATTGAAATGAGAGACGCTGACCCTGGCCACTGCAATGATCCCATATGTCGCCATGGGTTTACCATACTGCGAGGCAATGCGAGACTGTTTGAGTCGATCGCAGACTGAGTTTTCAGATGTTTCAATTCCATCGGCATGTCCATGGAAGTACCAACAAAGCTGATCTGAATCGAATCGGCCACTTCCAGGCTCCATCTTGACACTCGCTGTACACAAGCCTCGCTCACATCAAGCGAGTACGGTGGTGGTCGATTACGCTGCCTGTTTCTCGTCATCACGTCTGCCGTACGACAGCTGTATCACACTCGGCCCCGCCGTCGTTTGTGTATGTACTGTTCATGCGGAATCAAAGTATTCTTCCTTCATGATAACCCAAGTACAGCCTGCGAAGCCCCCTGCAAGCAGATTCGGGCTCGTTGCAACCGACTTCTTCCAACACCTTGTGCGCGCTCTGCAATTTACGTTGATCCAGTCATCCTAGTTCGCCGGTGGCACCGGACAGCAACGACTTTTCGGGACAACCAGCCTGCGAGACAGAGACAATGCAAACAAGGTCCCTCTTCGCGCTCAGGTCGTCAGACGTTGTCATGAAATGCTCTCAGATGAGACCTGGTCTGGCAATAGATGCTCGGAAATACCGTATCTGTGTGTATCATGCGATAAATGCATCGACGTCAGCTGTGTGCGGTTGCAACGACGGACTGCAAGTAAGCTGGCTTGTAAGGAGCAACGGCCTTTGCTGGTCTCGAAACGAACTGAACGCGATTCCATTGATACTATGCATCTAGATCTTGCAAACTCTGAAACAAAAGCGAGAGCATCATCTAATACAAGTGAAGAAGTTATGGTCCCGATAACTAGCGATCGGGGAGAGTCCGAGCACAATGCCACTACTACTTTATGGCAGAAACATGTATACTCAATTGACTAAAGAATATGGTGAGGACCTAGTGTCCTCAGCTTGATATATACAGTATGCATGTGTAAACTGTCCCAAGATTTTACATGTCACCATACATCACTCTAATGCTCAATAGCTATAAGTTGTATTGCCACACTGTCTGATATCATCTGAAAGCACTGCTTCTTCTCTCCAAGACTGTGGAATTGATATTGACATTGACTAAAAAAATTGTGCTATGAAGAAGAGCTGATTTTTTTTTTAATTGTGGGACAGTTTATGGAGCACTCCTCAAGAACACCTTAGTACTTTGTATTCCCTCCTTTGGCCTTCAGAACTGCCTTGATGTGGTCTGGCATGCTCTCTATTAGTATCCTACATGTCTCTGGAGTGATCACTTTCCATTCAGCTTCACATCTCTTGAGCAGTTCATCCCTGGACTTTGCAATCATACTATACTGTGAAAGTCACATTTTGAGATGGTGCCAGAGGTGTTCAATTGGGTTCAAGTCTGGTGACTGCCCTGGCCATTGCATAACCTTAATGCTATTGCCTTCCAACCATGTTTTTGTCTTCTTTGACATGTGTTTCGGGTCATTGTCTTGCTGAAATGTGATGTTGGTGTATGCATGCTGAAGCTGCAAATCTGAGATTGTTTTCAAAAGCTTGTCATTCAGGATATCAATGTATTGGTCTGAATTCATTGATCCCAGCACCAAGCATATACCTCTGACCCCTTCCCACATCATACAGCCCCAGATCATGATGGAGCTGCTGCCAAACTTGACCATCAGCCTGACAAGCTTGCTGTTGAAGCCAGTGTTCTTAATCCAACAGAACTGCTTCCCATCCAGTTCAAAGAAGTTGATCTTTGTCTTGTCAGACCATACCACATCCTTCCAATCCTCAACAGTCATGTCCTTGTGCTCATTCACAAATTTGAGACATGCTTTGTAATGCCTCTTGAGTAGCTTCAGTTTATTCACTAACCTTTGTGCTTTGTAATGACAGTAATGAAGTGCTTTTCTTACTGTTGTTGGGCATGCTTTGATGTGAAATGTCTCCTGCAGTGCATGACATGCTTTCCTGACCATGGACATTGAATTGAGCTCAAAATAGTGGTCCAGGAAGCAAAAATGATGAGGCTGGAGTTTTCTTGGCCAGCCCCCCTTTGACTTTGGAGCATTGGTGGAGGCACTTTTGCTGATGTGAGACACCATAGACTTGCTCAGACTGAGTTTCTCAGCAACTGAACAGGTAGATTCTCCATTTTGGAGGTGAAAGAGTGCCAATTGGCACTTCTCAGGAGTGGTTTTCATCATGATGGTATAGATATGATGGTGTCAGACTGGAAGTGCTGCCAGATCACTCACAGTCATCTGATTGAGCTGAAACTTTCCATGTCACTACTTTCAATGTGTATGAAGGTGCCCACCAAGTTACATTACAAGTTCCATTGTAGTCAAAAGCCCACAAGGTCAGGAATGGAGTGGTGTCACTATTTAGGAGCATGCTCCATAAACTGTCCCACAATTAAAAAAAATAATCAGCTCTTCTTCATAGCACAATTTTTTTAGTCAATGTCAATATCAATTCCACAGTCTTGGAGAGAAGAAGCAGTGCTTTCAGATGATATCAGACAGTGTGGCAATACAACTTATAGCTATTGAGCATTAGAGTGATGTATGGTGACATGTAAAATCTTGGGACAGTTTACACATGTACTGTATATACAACTATGAGGTGCATGCCAAATGTGGGAGTATCCCCCTTCATGACCTAGCTTGACAACGAGCGGGGCTACATTGCACCTGATCTACAGACAGATCTGTTCCATCTGATCGCCGATTGCGTTTATGTCAGCATGCATCATCATATCGGATCGCTTCCTTCGGCATCATCATCATTTCGAGGAGGGCGAGAAATTTCTGCTAAGGACAGTTTGTTAAGCCTTTGAGCTAACAAAATCTAACTTTTCACGTGACCGAAGTTTTTGATGAGCAGACTTTGTTCTCTGATTTTTCTCGAGTCCAAGTCTTGGATTGCCCAGCTTTGCTCCACATCGACCTCAACCTTTGTACCTCAAAGCTTTCTATCTCCTCTTCACGTCCTGCCAGTCAAGCTTCTACCACACACCCACACACCCACACACATACAAGCACCAGGACCGGTCAAGAAGCACGCTACAGCCGATACATCGCTCGAACATGGCTTCCGTATTCCAGCAGGCCTCCAAAGCCGCCAAGGGCAAGCGCAAGGCTGATGCCCAGGACGAACATGCCGTTGCCACTCCCATCCGTAGAAACAAGCAGAGAATTCTCATGCTCCCTTCACGCGGAGTCACCTCCCGCATGCGACACCTGATCAACGACCTGGAAGCGCTCATGCCTCACGCCAAGAAGGACTCGAAGCTCGACTCGAAATCGCAACTTCACCTACTCAATGAGCTTGCCGAGCTCAACAACTGCAACAACGCTCTTTACTTTGAAGCAAGGAAGCGCGAGGATCTGTACATGTGGGCATCCAAGACACCAAATGGACCGTCTGCCAAATTCCAGGTGCAGAACATTCACACCATGGACGAGCTCAAGATGACCGGAAACTGCCTCAAAGGATCACGACCGATCCTCTCATTCGACAAGGAGTTTGACGAAAAGCCGCACTGGACTTTGATCAAGGAGATGTTCACACAGATGTTCGGTGTACCAAAAGGAGCACGAAAGTCGAAGCCATTCGTAGACCACGTCATCTCGTTCTCCATCGTCGACAACAAGGTGTGGTTCCGCAACTATCAGATTGTCGAGTCAGACCCTGGCGCAACAGCAATGGCCAAGCTGGACGAAGAGCAGCAAGGCAAGAAAAAGTTAGGTGCCGGCAAGGACTCATCAAGGCAACCCAAGCTTGTCGAGATTGGACCTCGTATGGTGCTCTCGCCCATCCGTGTCTTTGAAGGTAGTTTTGGTGGCGCTACCGTGTTCGAGAACCCTGAATACATCTCGCCGAACGCTATCCGCCACATGGTTCGCAAGCAGAAGGGTGACAAGTACGCAGCACGTGTCAACCAACAGGAGTCTTTCCGCACAAAGAAGGATCGTCTCAAACCGCAGGAGGACGCTCTCAGCCGCAACAAGGTCTTCTCCTGAGCACCATCATGCCTTCTTTACCACTGCGTTCTCATCCTTTTGGCGCCGCGAATGTAAGGCTGCTCTGTCTGTCTGAAGCCGCAATCCATTCCACATCGCTTTTCTAGCCGACACTAGTATTGATACCCGTCATTCTAGCTCCATTGCATCTCAATATCATCATATCAACATCATTCCGTCATTCAAATCCCTTGTGTTGTGCGACTGAAAGGGTAAGAGGTCTAGCACGGCGGATTCTTTATTGATTGAGTGAGGTTAAGTGATAGGCAAGTCTGTTGCTCTGTTTCACCTTGATGGCGGCAGTTGGCGACCAGAGAAAATTTAGGTTGGAAAACCAACACAGAACATGCGGAGAGCACGGACTTGAGAAGAAATGAGAAAAGTGCAACACGCAGTGCAGATCATACGAGAATGAGACCCTGTCGCAACACCTGTGTCTTGCTTCACTCCTTCCGCTCTGACCATACGCCATCGTCAACAATGTCGTCCGCTATCTACCAGGCGACCTGCTCGGCGCCCGTCAACATCGCAGTCATCAAGTACTGGGGCAAGAAGGACACCACGCTCATCCTTCCCACCAACGACAGTCTCTCGGTTACCTTGGACCAGGACCACCTTCGATCAGTCACCACTGCTCGCGCTGATGCCAGCTTTGGAGCACAGGACCGATTGTGGCTCAACGGCGAAGAGGAGACCATCAAAACCGACGGTCGTCTCCGCAGATGTATCGATGAGATGAAGAAGCTTCGTGAGGCTAAGGAGTCCAAGGATGCCAATTTGCCAAAGGTAAGCAGCTATCGAAGCAGATCCATATCTAGTCGCACACAACATCGCTGACATCATCACCTTGCCATCATTGCTCTACAGCTATCTGGATGGGCCGTGCACGTGTGCTCAGAGAACAACTTCCCCACTGCCGCCGGTCTTGCTTCGTCCGCCTCTGGCTTTGCCGCCCTCATCGCATCGCTCGCAGCGCTCTACGAGCTGCAACCAGAAGTCTCGAGCTCAGAACTCTCGCGCATCGCTCGTCAGGGAAGTGGATCCGCCTGCCGCTCGCTCTTTGGCGGCTACGTCGCATGGCAGGACGGAGAGCAGCCAACAGGTCAAGACAGTCTCGCTGTCGAGGTTGCTCCTCAATCGCACTGGCCAGATCTTCAAGCTCTGATTTGCGTTGTCAGTGACGCCAAGAAGGGCACTCCATCCACTGCAGGTATGCAGCGCACTGTGCAAACCTCGCCTCTGCTTCAGCACCGTATCAAGGAGGTCGTGCCCGAGCGCATGGTCAAGATCTCGGAGGCGATTCAGAAGCGAGACTTTGACACTTTCGCCGAAATCACTATGGCCGACTCGAACAACTTCCACGCATGCTGCCTCGACACTGCACCTCCCATCTTTTACATGAACGATGTCAGCCGTGCTATCGTTCAGCTTGTTGAGGAGCTCAACCGCGCCAACGAGGCTGAGGGCAAGGGCAAGCTCGTCGCGTACACCTACGACGCTGGACCGAACGCTGTTCTGTACGCTCCCAAGGCCAATATGCCTCAGATTCTGCAGACGATCCGCCACTACTTCCCCAACGCCGACTTTGATGACACGGTAAGTATCAATGTGCCAACACCTATCACTCAAAGATTGTCGGACACGGGCTTAGACTGACTTCAATTGACCTGTATCCCTACTTGACTCTGAACAGTTTGACCTTCTGGGCAAGGGTGTCAACGCTTCGCACCGTGGAGCTCAAGAGGCACTCGGTCTGCCTTTGTCGTTGCCAAGCTCGTTCAACTCGAACGTGATCCCCGTGCACGAGGCTGGCGCAGTACGACGACTCATCCACACTCAGGTCGGTGATGGGCCACGTGTGCTCGAGCGAGGCGCCGGCAAGGAGTCGCTGCTCAACGAAAACGGAGAGCCTATCCGTCTTCAACGTGCCAAGCGCGCTTGAAGCAGCTCGACTCGAATCCTGTGTCAAAGACTGAAAGAGATGTAACATATGGCTCTGCACACGACAAAACTCTTTGCATGTCTTACTAGATGAATTCAAAGACATTATGATACCGGTGCGGAGAGCTTGTTTTGTTGCAGAACTGTGATCGGTTACCAATGAAGCAAGAAGACAAGCTGTTATGTTAGTCATCTACACTCATGCATCGGATGCGTCGAAAGTCCACTCACCCTTTTCGAGGCTTTCTCGAAAGGCATCTGTGTCAACACCATGCGTACGCTCCGATCGCACCTCTCGAACAACGTTGATCTTCGCCGCTCCAGGATTGTCTTGAGCGTCTTGATTTGGCTCGACAATCCTCTCTTCTCTTTCGAGCGCTCTGAGCAAAGGGTTCTTGACAACGTTGTCCACCCAAGGACCACGGTAGATTTGCAGCAAGACACCTTTTAGACTCATCCCTCCTGTACCCGGAATGCCACCACCTGTGCCGAAAGAGGATCGTCCTGACAGAGCTGCAGATGCATTGCCGATGGAATAGCCTTCGCTGTTGCGACTAGGTATCGAGGAGGGAGGCGGGACTGGATCGGTGAGAATGACGAATGTGTACATGGTCGGGGTATGCAGATGCGCCAGGGTATATGTTGATGTGGTGAAGCTGTTGAAGTTTTCTGATCTGCCGAGCCAAGAGAAGGAGAGAAAAGGAGAGAGTTTGGATTACAAGCTCTGAAAGCCGAGACGTAAGCAATCGGAGCTATGAGTCTACTTACTCTCCACCGAGTTTGCGCACCATGTTGCGCAGCGAAAAGACAACACCATAGACCAGCTTGGCCTCTTCATCGAAGGGAAGTAGCTCGGAAGCAGGATTCTCTACTGCTCCGGCCCTCTGCTCTGACGTTGGACGAGCGCCAGACGCTGGGCCCTTCGACAAGGTTTGCTGAACGGAAGATGACGGGCCACCTCGTGTGACATTTGCAAGTGATGGCTCACCAGGCCGTTGAGGAGGGAGAGATGCCTTGCTTGATGGTGCATTCTGAGTGCTGCTTGTTGCCCGCTGAATCGAAGCTCCTAGCGAAGCGAATCCAGAAGTTTGTGACAAAGTCGGGCTGGTGGGACCGCTAGGCCCTGTTGCAGCAGCTGAATGTAGATGCGACCAGTCTTGGTAGTAGATGGCGTTACAGTGTCGGTCGAATACCCAGAAAGAGTAGACCTGGAGGCAAGTGGAGAACAAGATCGGGGATGGTTTTGTTTAGCTTTCTACGGGGCTTTCAACCGGTGTCCATGAGGTCTACTTACTCGTGTCATTGTGCAGAGCTTTGATCCCAACCTGATCTATAGCGTTTGCTGTTGACACCTGTGCTCGTTGAGTTGAGTTTGCTGCGAACGATACTGTAATGCTGTAAGGTGTGTGGAAGATGAGCTTCGGCGTTGCTTCGGAAGGGTCCGAGCGTTCATTTCTCCGAGTCCCGAAATGGAGAGGCTGCGAATCACGTGCGTGTGCCGCTTCGATTCCTGGTAGAAAGAGTGTTACTTTACCCTCTCTGAGATTCAAACGCTGTCTTCTCATCATACATTTACACTCACGCAAGCCTCTGCCTCTGTCAGTCTACAACACACAAGCCTGGTGGCTACCAATCACCATGAAGGTCTCAACGCCAAAGGGAGCCGCCCTTTCGGTGCTGGTGCTTACTCTCGCACTTGCTTCTCAAGTTGCAGCATGGTATCTTCCAGGAAGCGCTCCACACTCCTACAAGCAGGGAGACGAGGTCCCTTTCTCCGTCAACGCTCTGCAAGCCAAGGCGTTCACATCACAGATCAAGAGTGTCATCAAGTATGACTACTACGACCCACATTTCCAGTTCTGTCAACCAGAAGGCGGACCAGAAGCTCAAAGCGAAAACCTCGGAAGTGTTCTATTCGGAGACCGTATCTACAGCAGTCCAGTCAAGGGCGTCATGCTTAAAGATGAGATCTGCAAAGAGATGTGCCGCACCACCATTGCTTCTGAAAACGCCGCTTTCATCAATGATAGGATACGAGAAGAGTATGCCATCAACTGGATGGTGGACGGTCTACCAGTCGCTGAATCACGCAGGGAGATCAAGACACATGAAGAGTTCCTCTCGCTTGGCTTTGCATTGGGAAGCCTCGAAGACGAACACTTCCAACCATACGAGCCCCCAGCATTGCACAACCATTACGATATCTACGTTGACTATCATCAGCGTGGTCCGAATGAGTACCGCGTTGTGGGCGCTCGCATCTACCCGCTATCAAAGGACTCGCTCAAAGGCGTCTCAGCCAGTCAACCTGCCAACTGCCAAGCAGCTGATCCACTCCAGCTCAGTAACCTCACTTCGACAGGCGTTGCGTATACCTACAGTATCCGTTGGCGCGAATCCGCGACGCCTTGGGCCACACGTTGGGATGCCTACCTCAAAGTGTTCGATCCCAGAATCCACTGGCTTGCGCTCATCAACTCTGTCGTCATCGTCAGCTTTCTGTGTATGATGGTCGGCATCGTTGTCGCTCGATCCATCAGTCGCGATATTTACCGTTACAACGCCATTGACATGACTGAAGATGTTCAGGAGGACTTTGGCTGGAAGCTGGTTCACAGCGAAGTCTTCCGTCCTCCTGGCCGACCCATGCTCCTCTCCATCCTTGTTGGATCTGGATCTCAGCTCGTCGCAATGGCTGGCGTCACTCTGATCTTTGCACTCTTGGGCTTCTTGAGTCCTTCCAACAGAGGTTCGCTAGCAACTGTCATGATCGTCACATGGACTCTCTTTGGCAGCATCGCAGGCTTCATGTCGAGCAAGACCTATGCCAGCTTGGGAGGCGAGTACTGGAAGCAGAACATCTTGCTCACTGCCATGCTGTTCCCGAGTCTTGTATTCTCCATGGTATTGCTGCTCAACTTCTTTCTTATCTTCAGCGGCTCATCCGGTGCTGTTCCCTTCGGTACACTGCTTGCGCTCGTCGCTCTCTGGTTCCTCATCAACGTACCGCTCACTCTGATCGGCGCGTTGCTTGCCATCCGTTCCGGTGGCTTCTCACATCCTGTCAAGGCCAATTCCATCCCCAGACAGATCCCATACCAGCACACCTGGTACCTCAGGCCATTCCCATCAGCTCTGATTGCTGGCATGCTCATCTTTGCGTCCGCCTTCCTTGAGATCCTCTTCATTCTCAACTCGATGTTCGGTACCAAGATTTACTACGCCTTCGGCTTCCTTGCTCTTGCTTTCCTCATCACAGCAACGACCGCTGCCACTGTTACCATCCTCTTCGCCTACTTCCATCTCTGCGCTGAGGATTACCGATGGCACTGGCGAGCCTTCATGACCGGCGGATCTGGTGCCATCTGGTTCTTTGCCTATGGCTTGTTCTTCTGGGCAACCCGACTCGAGCTGCCTGGTCTCGCAAATAAGGTGCTCTTCCTTGGCTACCTATCCATTCTTTCTCTTCTCTTCTTCACACTCTTTGGTGCTGTCGGCTTTTTGGCTACCTACGCATCGCTTCGAAAGATCTACTCGGCCATCCGAGTAGACTAGACTTACACTTGCATGTGCACTTGTCATTGCATTGCTCTTTATAATTCAGCCATCCATCAACTTTGTTTCGTATGAATTGTGGTGTTGCACAGAAACGTTCTTTGTACCGGCGGGCCTCTCTGACACTTAAGAATGCATCTTGACGCGCGCTCCATACGTGTAGGGCGTCGATTTCCTCGGGATTCGCATGTCTGATCTGAGCATGGCTGCTGAGTTGAACCTTGGCACCAATTTGGTACTACTGTCGTCAGAACTACATCCACTCTCTCTGCTCTCAATACTTGACCGTCTCGACATAGCAGACAACACTCGGCAAAACGTTCGTCGAAACAGTGACAGATCCAAAGAGCACTTTGCCTTGTAGTCTCCTGGTCAGACGCACCGGCCTGTTGCACCGCTTAACGACACAGATCCACGCTCCTCCACTTGACTCGACATCATGGGCGTGGCGCTCTCGCTGCCCTTCCTAGGAGGCGGTCTCGCCTCCATCGCGAGCTCGTGCCTGGCCGGCCTCGCCTTCTTCTGCACTAGCACCGCCGCATCAGCTTTCTTCAAGTCATGCAACTGCCAGTCTTCAATAGCAACCCGTGTCGGCTTCGCCATTATCTTCTGTCTTGACGCCTTGCTAGCATGGCTAAGCTTGACAAGCTTCATGATGCATAAGATTCAAGAATGGTCCTACAACTACATAAAGATGGACTGCAAAGACAGGGATCGCTGCTATGGTGTCCTGGCCGTCCACCGCATCACGTTTGCGCTTTCCCTTTTCCACTTCATTCTCGGTATGCTCCTCATCGGCGTCAAGGACACACGAACGAAGCGAGCTGCCATCCAGAATGGCTGGTGGGGTCCCAAGGTGCTTCTATGGCTCCTCCTCACCCTTCTCATGTTCTTCATCCCTAACGGCTTTTTCGTCTTCTGGGCCAACTACTTTTCGCTCATCTTCGCCTCGATCTTTATCGTCGTTGGTCTCGTATTGCTCGTCGACTTTGCCCATTCTTGGTCCGAGACTTGCCTGGACCGATGGGAGCAAACCGAGTCCGACTTCTGGAAGTTCACTCTCATTGGCAGCACACTTGGAATGTACGCAGCCACGATCGCGCTGACGGGTGTGCTGTACGGCTTCTTTGCCTCAAGCGGGTGCTCGCTCAACCAGTTCTTCATCAGCCTCAACTTGGCACTGATCGTGGTTCTCACCGTGCTTTCCATCAGTCCACACGTGCAGGAGGCCAACCCGAGGAGTGGTCTGGCTCAAAGTAGTATGGTGGCTGCCTACTGCACTTATCTGATTGCATCAGCCGTAATGAACCGCGACAATGCCGAGTGCAATCCCATCACCCGTGGCCGCGGTGGCAGCGCAAAGACAACCACTGTAGTCATCGGTGCAGTGTTCACCTTCCTCGCCATCGCTTATTCGACCTCTCGTGCCGCCACGCAGTCCACGACCCTTGTTGGCAAGCGACGAGCGGCTTTGAACGAAAGCCGACCGCCCTCCGGATACGGACCATTGGCAACGCGCGAGTCAATCGACAAGTCATCCGGTGCTGTTGTCACTGATCAGCCAACAAAGAAGGATTCGCTTCGCATCCAGGCGCTGATGGCAGCGGTGGAGGCTGGTGCTATTCCAGCGTCTGCATTGGACGAGGAAGAGGACGACGAGGAGATGGAGACACGCTCCGAGCTCGGCGCTGGAGGCGACGAGAGTGATGATGAGCGTCAAGGGACTCGTTACAACTACAGCTTCTTCCACTTTGTCTTCGCCATCGCAGCATGCTACACGGCCATGCTGTTGACCGACTGGCGCTTTGTCCGTCTTGGCGGACCTTCGCCGGACCCAAGCGAGGATGGTGCTCCCATCGCCTACATTGGCAGAAGCACAACAGCAATGTGGATGCGAGTTGTCAGCAGCTGGCTCTGTATCTGCATTTACACTTGGAGTCTGATCGCTCCTGTTCTTCGTAAGTTTCGCTGCCCAACATCCTCACCTGACATCGGACATCACCACTGACACATGGTTTCTCCTTCTTCTTTTGCCCAACTTACGACCAACTTTCACGTACCCCACAGTCCCGGATCGATTCGGCCTCGATTAGTCACGACCCTGTCACACTTTACTGCACAGCAAGTTCTGGAATATAGGCTATCTTTATTACAAGTATGTCCACATGCAGCCATATTTGCTCATCCGAGTCCGAACTCCCACGTTCGACATTCACCACCACCTGCTTTGCTTGCGCGAACATTGCCAGAGTCTGACTCTCCACGTTGATGCGAGCGAGAACGCAGCAAATCCTCATTGCCACCACTACTGACACCCTCAATCCATCCGATCGTTCTACGATGCTGATACCCTCTCCATTCGGTAGGATCAAACTCGAAACTACGCCACAGGTGATAGCTTCTGTACTTTCGAACGCCGCGTTGTGGTTTGAAGCCTTTGGTCTGCGAGACCGCGCGCGAGTGCAAGTTGGCGGCGCTCATTGTTGAGAGTCCGTTGGCTTCAAGATCTTTTAAGTTTGGCTTCTTGACTCCCTTTGGTAGAGCGGGAGCTGTTTGTGCAATGACGGGAAGCATCTGGGGCAATCGCTTAGCTAAGTTGGCGACGTCCCACAATGTGTAAGGCGAAGCGTTGCGGAGGGTAATGAGGACCGAGCCCTGTCGGGAGGGAGGCTGAAGAGGTTGCAGCGCCGCAATGCGAGCCTGCGTGTCGTCCAAGATGGCCTGATCTGCGTCATTGATGCTTGAGCCAGCAAGGGCGTCGAGTTCGTCGAATGCTTCAGCACCAGTGGGTTGGGCATCATCGAAGTCGTCTTCGTCATCCGATCCTGCTCGTTTGTTGGATGATCCACCTCCCGGAGCATAGCCTGGTAGTGCTCCGACAGTCAGGAACGGTGCTACCGAAATCAAGAAGCGCAAAATGAGCAGTTGATTTGCGAGTACATTGCGAGTTTCATCCTTGTGACCGGCACCGACGTGGGGAAAGCCAAACCAAACTTTGCTCCATCTCTTCTGCGCTGAAGATGACGAGTGAGAGTCCGAAATGTCACCATACCCGTCAATAAGGTTGTGACCCGCTTGTAACTTGGTCTTTGATGCACCAGTCACCTGCTTGTACTTCTCTAGCTGTCCAGCATCTACCCCAAAGACCACAATATCGTCTCGGCCTGCGATGCGACGAATTTTTTCAACGTTCTCGCGAGCGTCGGGATACTTGGAGAAGCACTCCTCTTCGGAGTCATAGGCTGTAGCGAGGATTTGATAGGGTGGATGAGAGCGTGGTGGTAAGAGCAGCGAGAGCGTGAAGGAAAAGTTGGCTTCTCCGACAGTTAGGATTGTATCGTTACGATCAAATGGCTGGGGTAGCCTCTTGGGTGGCTTGATATGCGGTTTTGTCTCTGTCAAGGCTGAGGTGCTTTTCATACTGTCATCTCCGATGACGTCTTGTACATCCCGCCCGCTGCCTGTACTGTTTCTGTTGGGGGTTGCTGCTTTGCCCTTGCCATTCTTGTGTTGTTGTTTCCCAGACTCGGTAAGTGACAGCGCTTTACGTCTTGCTGCTTCCTGAGCAGCCCTCTCTCTCGCCTTTTGTTCTTGTTGAGCAAAGTGACCTTGAAGAGCCGCTTTCAGGTTTCCTTTCTTCTTTGGCATGGTCGTGCACTTTAACTGGGAGCAGATGGAGCACGAGAGTATCGACCTGAGGACATTGTGGCAGAGAAGAGCAAGGGTCCAAGAAGAACGCTGCAGCCTTGCTTCACTTTTTTCGTGCTCGGCAAACCTCCACTCGCGGTGAATCTGTGAATCTGTTAATCCGAGTCCCGACTTATCAGGCCAAAGTGCGTGTAACACTCTTGGACCCTTGCTACCACCTTTAGCATCTTACCGCCAATGGCCTCTATCTACCCTTGAGACTATCTTGCCTCCCGGTAGACTACCGGCGGTCGGTATATGCTACATACGAAATGGCTTCGCACTCGAGGCTCGGAGCCACCCAGCCAGCGACCGACGCCTCTGACGTCTCAGGTTCGTCGGTATCCATGACTTTTGAGGAGATTGCGCGAACCCAACGCCTCCTGCAGTCTTCCTACAGACGGTTCTTCTTCTATCATGTGCTCTCACTGCTACCGACCCTTGCAGTTCTCATTGCCTTCCTCGCGGGATCTCTCCAAGTTCGCGAGCTATGCCATTTGCAAGAGGCCACAAGGGACTATTCTGGATCACCCTTTTCGCTCTTATCCACGCTGCATTCAGTCTATCAGAAGGGACAATGTCGAAGCATTCTTGACGCTCAGCTTTTAACATCGACGTTGATCCTTGGCCTCGTCGGCTGGCTCGCCTCTTACACCAGTCGTAAGGTCTGTCTTGCATTCGCTGAACGAGTAATACCCCGACTGTTTTCGTCGTCGCTCTCGATCTTCTCTCGCACTCCACGTTTCCAGCTGCGATCTCAAGACCACAGCACGGGGAAGGAGACCATCGTCATCACCGTTGCCATCGCTCTGCAAGCTCTGATTGCCGAATCTCTGCGTATGCTCTCCTTTTACTGGGCTTGTTGTATTCTCGTAACAGCCCTGTACCTATACCCCATCCAGGAGAGGAACTCACATCGAGCGCACATCCAAAGTACCGGTCCTGATTGGGCTTGGCGCCTCAGCTTTCGAGATCCTCGCTTCTTCGTTGCTGCTTGGTCATCGTTGGCGTGGGCACTTGCAGAGTTTGGGTTCGGTGCTTTCCAGATTCTCCACCAGGTTGCACTCTACAAGCCTGCCGATGTCCACGTCTCTGACGATGTTCTTCCTCCAAGTCGAGCGGTCGGAGGTCAATCAGGCTTCAGTCTTCTCTCCGGCTACCCGACCATTGAGTCTGACCAGGCACAAACCCCCGAGCGCGGCAACGGCAAGGCAAGGCGCATGTCTGCCTCTCGAGCACTGGAGCAGGCACGCCAGCGGCTCATACAACCAGCTGGCGAATCGGCCACGGGCACTCGGCAGGCAAACTATGGAGCGATGGAGTCTCTGAGCGAGGCAGTCACTGATGAAGAGGATGGCAGCTCGCGAGCGAGCGGGTCCAGCTTCTCGGAAACTGCAACGACCATCTCTCTGTTGGATCAGGAACTTGAGGAGGAAGCGGAGCGCTTCTTGGTTGCGAAGGAGCGTTTCGAGGTCGAGGCGGTACTTGGCGTACCTTTACCCGAGATTCCTGTCGCTTTGTGTGCTTTATGGCGGATCGACGCTATGCTTTGGAGCGTGGGCAGCAGTCTCCTCCTATCTGCCTCGTTCACGCATGCTCAAGGCGGGCTCGGTCACCTATCACATGACCGATTCGACTTGTCGCCGCAGTTCCATCTTCTACCACGGTTCGATGGTTTCTGCCTCACTTTTGTCGTTTTAGTTCTCCTTCATACCGTTGTCTCTTCGTTGTGGGCTACTTCGCTACCGTTTATGGGCTTTGCTACCACCACTTACGCCTCCCTACTCTTTGGTCTCGCTATCATGGTCGCCGCTTTGGCCAGATGGGGCCTTCTCATATAGCTCTCTTAATACGATGCCTGGGCACCATTGCCAACAGTCGTGCAACATGTTCAACATACCGAAAAGTCGCCATGTGTCTGCTAGAGTCGTAGTCTTTGCGCCAGAAGCAGTTCGCATCGCATGTGAGGTGTAAAGATTAGTGGATGTTAGGTTCACTTATCGAAACACATTGGAGTGAAAAGGGCGCTTTTCGCTTTTCGTGCGAGTGTTAACCCCGGATTTCAGACGGTGGAGTTCCACGTTGGCAAAATGCACCGACGCTTTCGGCAATTTGGCGGAGGCTGAGATTCTTTCTCTCGTTAAGCATCCACGCCGACACTGGATTAGCATGAGCTGGAAGCTTCCACTGCTTCTTTCTCCCCTTCAACTGCTGCTGTCTCTGTACAACACCATTAAAGCCCCACACCCCCATCCTCGCATCTTGTTCCTTTCACTCTCTGCGATCTGCACACCAGCATCCTCATTCGCGCACACATCTCCAGCCTCTCACCTCGTCTCTCTTAGTGTCGCACAACCATTTGCCTGGGTTAGGAGCTTGCTCGACGTACTCCTGGCGAGGCTCCACCAACTACCACCATGAAGAGCGGGCTTCTTCCCTCGCTCCTGGCGCTCTCGTGGACGCTGTACCTTGCACTTGGACTTTCAACCTCGTGTGTCCTTGGTCGTGCTGACGGCTTCGCGGCCGCTCAGGACTCCTTCACCAGTAGCCCGACGTTAGCCAACCAGCACCTCACACAAGCTAATGCCGCGCTTCAGTCCGGCCGATACCAGGAGGCGCTATCATCATTCGACCTAGCCTTACAGGCGGATCCAACATCGTGGCTCACCTACTACCGAAGAGCTACAGCACAACTTTCGCTCGGCCGCACGTCCGCTGCGCTCCAGGACTTCCAGAGCTTGCTCGACCTCAACCCCAAGTTCGAGAAAGCTTACCTTCAGCAGGCTAAAGTCTATCTCAAAGAAGGAGACTATGACAAGGCCAAAGCAGCGCTCAAGACTTACGACTCGATTCGAGCCGAGAAGAATGCTTCCCAGTCAGGCTCCAGCGAGGCCAACAGCGTTCGAACCAAGCTTGTCTCGGTCGAGACATCGCTTAAGTCATTGAATGTTCTGGTCAAGGAGCTCGACAAGGCTAAAGCCAGTAACAAGGGCAAGGGTAAGGGTAAGGAGGCTGACGTGTCCAAGATGGATCATTGCATTCATATGGCTGGTGAAATTCTCAAGATCTCGCCTTCCCACCTGGAGACACGGCTGGTCCGAGCTCGATGCCAGACTATGAAGGGCAACGTTGAGGATGCCATGGCCGATTGGACACGGGTCGTTCACCTTTCGCCATCGCCTTTCCTACTCCGACGTCTCGCAGTGCTCTCCTACTTCCTTATCAGTGAGCCCGGCTCCCAGAGCAGGGACGCCGGCTTGCAACACCTCAAGGCATGCTTGCACTCGGATCCAGACAACAAGTCTTGTGCAAAGATGCACAGGAAGGTTAAGTCGTTAGAAAAGTCGCTTAAGAAGGCACGCAACTTCTACAATTCGCAGAGCTACCGTGCCGTCCTATCGGCGCTCAAAGGCGGTAAGGTCGGCGGACCGACAGTCGTTGACGAGATTAAGGAAGTCATCAAAGCCGCTGCCGACCTGCAGCCCGGTGACGAGGAGCCTTTGATCCCATCGACATACAAGGGCGATCCCGTGCAAGACTCCAACCTACTTCACGAACTCTACACCATGTACTGCAAGTCATACACGGAGCTCAATGACATGGACAAAGCCATGCCGTACTGCGAGTTGGTGCTCGCCAAGGAGCCGGACAACGTCGAAGCTGTGCTCGCCCGCGCCGAGCTAGCCCTGCAGCAAGAGAAGTACGAGGAAGCGGTTCGCGATCTCAACAAAGCTTTCGACGCTTCCGGTCGCACCGACAGGAACATTCACCAGAAGCTCCAGACCGCTGAAAAGAGACTCAAACTGAGTAAGAGCAAGGACTATTACAAGGTCTTGGGCGTCAAACGATCCGATAGCTTGGCTACCATCAAGAAGGCTTACCGCAAGATGGCACGTGAGAACCATCCAGACAAAGGAGGTTCACAGGAGAAGATGGCTCAGATCAACGAAGCATGGGGTGTGCTCGGAGATGAAGGGCTCAGGAAGCGATACGATGCAGGTGACGACCCTAATGACCCCATGGGCGGTCAACAGGGTGGATACGGCAATCCTTTCGCTCAAGGTGGTCATCCGTTCGAGATGTTCTTCCAGCAGGGCGCCGGAGGTTTCCCCGGTGGTGGCAGCTTCGGTGGCTTCCCAGGCGGTCAGCAGTTCCATTTCAAGATGGGCTGATTGTTACCACCTTTGCAATTCTCACAATGTCATCGCTCCTCATGTGATGCGTCTTTCACTCATCTGGTTCGGATACGCACATCATACCTTTGAAATACATTTCATCTTTGCATTCTCCGTTCAGATCCGTTAGATTCAGGCATGTGAGAAAGACGAATGAGTTTTGCATCATAGCATTTCGACGTGAGAGCCGTAGAGCGATGACTTTCAGCCAAAGAACGTGAGTTCGGCTGATGCTTATAACTCTGAGAGCTCAAGAAGGCCGGCTGCACCTTTTGCGTCAAGACTGACCAGTCCACGGCTCTTGGCCTTCAAGCGAAGGTTGCGATCCAAGGTGAGGAGCACACTCTTGTGCACCGACGATATCGACATCGTCTCACGAGACGAATCTGCCTTCGGACCATCTCCTTTGCTGCTGGTGCCTGCTGCCGAGTTGGTGGCGGCGCTGCTGCGCAACAAGTTTCGGCGATCGACAAACTTGTCCGTCTGCCAAGCAAGGATACGCAGGATGACTTCGTCGACATTACGAGCCGCAATTGACTTGGTCTCGTTACCGCTCGCAGCGGCGTCGAGTTGGTGAGAAGCAACAGGAGCTCCACTGCCTACTGAACCTTGCCAGGTAAAGTCGATATCTTCAGATCGACACGAAAGATCGCTGAGGTAATTGCCTCTGCTGGTTTGCACTTTGACATACTTGGCGTGGCTACGGATGCGAGCCTCGAGGAACTGAATCGCACGTTCGGCTTCTTGACCCAGCTCGTTGTCATTGCGCCGCAAGCCATCCAGCTCAGTGATTACGGCTAGAGGGATGATGACAGTCCATCGTTGCGATTCGATCAGCTGTGCAATCACATCGCCGGGAGTAACGATAATATTGGTGTCGACGACGAGGATCGTGTAGCCTGGAACGATGTTGTCCCACGCATTTGGTTGGGCTGCACCGCCTTTGTACTTATCAGTGCCTCCTTCGTGGCCCTTGCTTCCAGCAGCTGGCCGCGATTGCTTCCCGGAGAATGTGCATCCGACGTTCTGCAGTACGTCCCGAAGATAGCAGCTTCTTGCATGAAGAGCTTTGATCTCGTCGGTGGCATCCGCTTCATCCAGCTTTGCAAGAACCGCGTCTGCCTCGAGTGCTGGGTGCTTACCTTCCGTCTCTGAGTCCCAATCGCTGTCAAAGTCGTCATCTTCGTCCGTCTCCAGAGGCTGCTTTTCGTGGATGTCCTCTTGTGCTGCAGAGTCGCTTGCAGAAGAGGTCTGCAATTGAAGCTCGCGGATCCTCGCCTCGAGTTGACGATGTTCTTCCTCCATCTTGCGTCTCGCGAGACGACTGAGGAGAAACTTAGAGAGCGACAATGTCGAAGTCTTGGAATCGAAGTCAAAGCCTCGTGCCGCCTTGGCCAGCTTACGAGCGACGAAGGCCATGCGATATGCGCGAACAGTGTCGAGAGACGTCGGGCTTTCGCTGCTGTCACGCCTGCGCGATGCAGCGATGCGCCAAGCCGATTCAGTGCGGGTGTAGAGCTCCCCATCCTCGGCGTCGAGGACCTGAACCTCGTTGTCAAAGCCTTGAGGCGAGGAGATCGCACCGTCGTTTGTGGCGTTGCGCCAGAGGTTCCGGTCGAAGAGTTGACGGGACAAACCTAAGATGCCCCGAAGACAAAAGTCTTCTGGCAAAAGCAGCTGGGCGGTGATGTACGATGTAGCAAGGCATTTCGGCCAAGTACGTTCGGTTAAAGAGACCGACATCTCTACGTGCTGCAACCACAAGTGCCATGGAATGAAGCGCTCGAGTATTCTGAACGCCTTCTTGGACTGACAGAGTGAAACTAGGAAGGTGCTGATGGTGGTGTTGTAAGGGTTCGATCTGTACAGCGCATCATCGCTGGACAGATCAAAGGTGAGAGACTGGATGTCGAAACAGAGCTTGGCGGCTTTCTCTAGCATGCCCGGAAGCTCAGCAACAGCCTCGACCTCGTCATTTGTGGCCTTAGGTTCCAACGAGATGACTTGGACATCGTCATCAACTTCTGACTCTTCGTCGCTGGGATCGTCCCATTCTGCGTCTCTGGGCAGCTCGCTAAGGAAGTTGTCATCCGTCTTGCTTGTTGTAGAACTGACAAGGATAGCGGTAGGCGTGTTGATCTTGGATCTCTCTGCCCTGTTTGTGTGGCGGCTAGATTTGCCGGCCTGTTGCAGCAGGAGATCTGCAAGGATCGAGTCTTCGTGCCCGTATTGAAACAGACCTGCGATGTTGATGGTTGCCATCATGGTCCACACTGATTGAGGAAGGGCAGCTGGCCCTTGCTCTTCGACGAGTTTGGTGAGCCTTGCCAGCAACCTCTGAGAGACCGGCTCAAAGTCGTCGAGTTGAACACGAGTGATGAGAATGCCGTGCAGGTACAGGAAGAGATCCTTCACAGAGCTGTCGCGGCGGAGACGACGGGCTTGTCGCTCTTGATCGAAGAGCGTCAGGATGCTGTCTTTGGCGGAGACGAACGGTTTCGCGGCAATGAGACTCTTGGTCAAATGGTAGAGAGCCCGAAGATCGTCTTCGCCACGGCTGAGCACGCCGAGATGATGATGAAGCCGGCCGATATTGGGAGTCTCTGTGATGCCCATGGCATACCAGTCCTTGGCTGTCTGACGCCAAGTCTCTTTCTCGGTCCACTCCCAATCGCCAAGAGCGGCAGTGCCAATGCTTGCCTTGTCCACCTCGACGGTAGGTTTTGCAGCCTTTTCAGGCTTGCGGCCCGTGGGATGATTCGCGGTATCATTTGCTCTATCATTCTGGCGTGGGCGTATCTGCTTTGGTGCGTTGCCCACGTGTTGAGCTTGTTGACCTATCCTGTTGACATTGTCATCGTCTCGGTCACTCTCGCCAAAGAACAGGTCGCTGTCATCGTCTTCTTCGAGGTCGTCATCATCGATGCGTGCGTCGGCAGATGAGTCGGACGCTTCTTGGTCAGATTGTATGTTGCGAATGTCGCTTCCGCCGCTGTCGATCGACATGTTGGCGGCTAGGCCTGCAACAGCCATGCGGTAGCGTGACAAGTCACCTAGACTCTCTATCCAGGCTCTTCGGAAGCACTTATACCTTTCGGACTCTTGAAGTGCGGAATAAAAGGAATAAGCGTAGTAGATGAACTCGGTGAGATGCTCGAGGATCTCGCCTTTGCGCTCTATGCTTTGAAGGTGATGCTGAGAGGATAGGCTGGAGCGAAGGCTTTCGAGCATGAGGTGGAACGCAGTTTGCCACAACCTCGAAGGTAGATTGTAGACTTCGCCTAATTCTTGGATCGAGCGTGGTAGCTCGGGCCTGCAGGTCATCTCAAGGAAGAAGGAATGGCACTCTGCAAGGTCGCGATGTCGGCTGATCAGGTTGATCCAATAGGATAAATCGCGCAAATCTGGCGGGGTATAATCGGCCATGTTGAGTCGTGCTTTTTCCACTTCGGCTTGATGTGCTTCTTGAAGGCTGGCTTCGAGTGACGATAAGGATCGGTACACTTTCTTGATCTCGACGAGGTGCGCTTGCAGGGCCCTCGGATCTGTTGGATCGATGGCAGGAGCAAAGGCGTGGCTCGAGAGGGAAGGCTGTATGATTGGGCTGCGGCCTAGATGACTTGCACTTGAATTTCCTGATGCATCCCTTCGCATCAGTATCTGTGGCTGAGCCAATGAAGCCGGCGTGAGGCGAGGGGAAGCAGCAGCGGAAGCAGAGCGTGCGCGATCATCAATCTGGTTCCTTTGTTGAGAGGCAAACTTGACTGGATCATCGCGTCGTGGATCGAAAAGCTGGCGACCGTCACGACTAGTTGAGGCTTCCCCGGGAATACTTCTCGCGTCGTGAGGGCGAGTGAAGCGGTCTCGGCGACTAGAAGCGGAGTAGTGAGACCGAGTGGCCGCGTCGGATCGAGAGGTCTCATGATTGCGAAGGTCGGGAAGGATGGCCTGTGCAGAAGGCTGTCTACTGCGTTTGCCAGATAGACTCGGTTCCCTTGACCTAGACTGCTTCTTCGAAGTGGAGATAGAAGCCTCTGATCGGGATGATGGCGCAACGCGAATCTGCGAGCTGGCAGGATCCTCGGGGTCAGACTTGGCTCGGCGTTCCGATTGGTTGTGGTTGGATTGCTCTGAGCGCTTGTCGGGACGATGCCTAGACCGGCGTTGTCGCGAAGAAGAGCTTGGAGCGCTATCAGGGCCTACAGACTTGGAAGAGCCGAGCTCGCTGGGCTCGCGTCGACTCTGACGAGAGGAAGCACGTGAGTTTGAATGTCGAGAGCTGCCATGTTCGGAATGCTTGTCCCTGAGGTGAGAGGTGTCTGGCCGTAGAGACTGATCGGAAGCACGCTGATTGCGGCCACGACGCTTTGAGGCGTTCTGCGATACAGAAGAGGAGGGCTCGGGATGCTCCTGGAAGGAGACGCGATGTTGCTTACGTGGCGGAGCTGGAGCGGAATTCGGCTCATGTGGATGGCTGCGTGACTTGGATGAGGACTCGGCGAGAGCGGATTTGGTGGCTGTCGCGGGCAGAAGCGAGGATAGACTCGAAGCGCTGGGCTCGTGTATAGAAGCGGACAAGAGCTGCGTAGATGCAGCGCTATTGGAGCGTTGAAACGGCATAATCAGCGGCCAACTTGGCTGTCGATGGCCGGCAATGGGTGATCTGGTGCCGAGCAAGTGCGGCGAGCAATTTGGATTCTGTCAGAGCATCAGCGAGGCAAAGAGCCGTCCAAGAGTAGGTGGGAAGGTCGGACAATAACCTTCATGTCGCCAGATGGTGTCGACTTGCTTATGATGGCCTGATGGATGAGACGAGACAAGAGCGAGGATGAATGTTGATGCAGCACAGCGTGTAGCGGGGGATGGAGTTGATGGATGTCCTTTTGCAGCAACGTTTCCGGACTAGGAACGGCGTTGAGTGCGGAGTTGAGATCTTGCGCGAAGGATGGTGATAATGGTGATAAGGATGGAACAGCAGCTTGGAAGTGTTGCGGTAAGGAATCTGCTCGAGAGCTCAGCTTTCTCTTGTCGGCGTTTACCATATTTGTGCTACACAGATAACGATCCAGTGGGAAGTCAAAGTGGCGAAGGATCGGGCAAGATTGATCTAGAACGTAATCGGGAAAGGAGATCTGATCATGAATCAAACGGGACCGATCCGACTACAGATCGGATACAACACAGCCCCACTCGTTGCCAAGCTAGGTCATGAAACAGCATACTCCCACGATAGGTATCAGCCTCACGAATGTATATATATCAAGCTGAGAACGCTAGGTTCTCACCATGTTCATTCAGTCAATTGAGTATATATGTTTCTGCCTTAAAAGTAGTAGTGACATCGTACTCTGACTCTCCCCGATCGCCAGTATCGGGACCAAAACGTCTTCAAACTTTAACAATTTGGGGATGTGTGCCGAGGCTCAGCTTTGGCCCCAAAAAAAAAATTTGACAAGGCAGCCAGCCAACTCTGGGAAGCTCATATTTAATTTTGCTACTACTCTATCAAACGCAGGGTTCCTTCACGCCGCAACACACAACAACCATTTGCTGTTGAAAATAGCAATCCAATATGATGATGTAAGCTGACATGAGACGATACAAGAGGGATCGGGCGAAGTCGATCTGATCAAAGATCGGGCAGAAAAACAAAAAAAAAAAAAGGCTTCCAAAATTTAGGACTCGAAAATGGCTCGCAGCCTGGGGTCGCTTTTCCTTATGTCTCCACTTTCAACGCCCGTGCGAGGTTGCTGATAGCTTGCTTATCATTCAGAAGACCAGGTAAGATATCAGGGGGTCGACACTATCTTGCAATTCGCCGCCATCAGCTCTGTATCGACGAGGCGATGCTCGTGCACATACTCGACGTCACGTCACCATGTCTTCATCACAAGAGCCACTAGCTCTGCCAGACATTATCGTCGTCAAGAAGCTTGAGGTGCGCATGATCGTCGGCGTAGACAACTGGGAGCGTGTCCAAGCTCAACCCGTCACCATCGATGCGCGAGTCCACACGGATGTCTCCATGGCAGGCAAGTCGGATCATCTTCCCTACAGCATCCACTACGGTATTCTTGTCAAGCAACTCGAAGCACACTGTGCCACTCATCCCTATAGAAGTCTTGAAGCCCTTGCGGAAGGTCTCGCCAAAGTGTGCATCTTTGTTCTTCATGCTCCCAAAGTCACCTTGAACGTCGAAAAGCCTCGTTCCCTTCTTCATGCTGCTTCTGCTGGCGTCCAGATTGCACGTACTTCTGCCGACTACATGCTCGGCAACACATATCCTGTTCCATCGGATATAGATCCCACCCAACACTTGGACGAACTCAGGCTTTTTCCATCTTCCACGCTCGCGCTCGACGACAAGGTCATTGTGCGTGACTTGGTCATCAATACCATTATCGGTGTCAATCCTTGGGAACGAGAGGACAAGCAAAATGTCAAGCTCAACATCCTTGTCTACTCGGGCTTGTCTAGAGCAAAAGAGGCCAACAGTGCAACAGCTGGTCTCTTTGACGTGGTAAACAAGCAGCACAACTATCGCACCATCGTTCGCAGTATCTCTGCTTACGTTGAAGCAAGCTCTTACAAAACCGTAGAGAGTCTTGCTACCTCGATAGCAAGAGTTGCTGTTATCCAAAACAAGGTCGAAAGGATCCGAGTCAGTGTCGATAAGCCGAGTGCGATCATGTTTGCAAGCAGTGCAGGCGTAGAGGTGGAAAGAAGCCGCAAATTCTTCGAACAAGAGGCCTTACAAGAGGAGCAACCTGTAAAAGCGCAGAACCGTGGCTCTGTTGCTCCTACGCCAAGCAATGTGCCGCTCGCTGAATCAGCGAGCCAGCAAACCAACTCGTACAGCGCTATATCCGCAGTCGCAGTCGAGCAGGGCTGGCATGTCGCTGCCATTGCCCTCGGCTCCAACGTCGGCGATCGGGCAGCAAACATCGAAGCTGCAGTAGAGGCGCTTAGCGAAGCGCGAGACTGCCTTCTCGTCGACACAAGCTTCCTTTACGAGACTGCACCCATGTACATGCTTGATCAGCGCAACTTTCTCAACGCTGCCTGCCGCATTGCTACCAAGTTGAGCCCACACGACCTGCTCAGCCTCACTCAATCCATTGAAGTCAAGCTCGGTCGCGACAAGACCGGCGTGCCCGACAAAGGCCCTCGCTCGGTGGACCTCGACATCTTGCTGTATGACAACCTCGAGATCGACGATGTACCTAAACTCATCCTTCCTCATCCAGGCATCAAGGAGCGAGAGTTTGTTCTCCAACCGCTCAAAGACATTCTCCCTGACTTTGAACACCCATCTTACTCACGCACCATGTCACAACTTCTCATCATGCTCCAGAAATCACCCGACTACGAGCCGAGTGGCGTTTGCAAAGTACTTCCCATCCCTTCTCCAAGCACACGTTCATTGACATTGACAAAAGACACTAAGACATGGACATGGGGCTCCAAGACTTTCATCATGGGCATCATCAACGCCACTCCCGACTCGTTCTCAGATGGTGGCGACAATCTCGTTGCTGGTGATGCCGTTCGTTCTGCAAAAGCCATGGTGGCGCAAGGTGCGGATGTTCTCGATGTCGGCGGTATGAGCACAGCTCCCAATGCGGCCGAGGTCGATGCTGACGAAGAGGCTTGCCGCGTTGTTTCTGTGATCAAGGCAATTCGTGATGCAGGCATTACCACTCCGATCTCGGTCGACACGTTCAGAGCTTCGGTTGCAGAGGCGGCTCTCGCCGCTGGCGCTGACATGATCAACGACGTCTCCGGAGGCGAGCGCGAACCTGCCATCCTACAAGTAGCAAGGAAGTGGAAATGTCCCTACATCCTCATGCACATGCGCGGCGATAGCAAGACCATGAACGGACTCGTTCAGTACGAAGGTGGTGACGTTGTTGCTGGTGTTCGTGCGGAGCTGGAAGCCCGACTAGATCGAGCCCTTCGGGCAGGCGTGCGTAGGTGGAACATTGTGCTCGACCCAGGTATTGGATTCGCCAAGGACAGCGCTGGTAACCTCTCGCTTCTTCGCGATCTAGCCAGACTCACGCAGCCCGAGTCTGTGGCCAAGTCCACCAAGGGCAGGGACGTCGCTTTCTCCGGTGCAACAACACCAGCCGCCCTGGACGGCAACGCAGCTGATTCGATCTCTGCCGCTTCGCCGAACGCTTTGACAGCACGAGGCGCTCCCGACTCGATTCGTGACTCGATCACAAGGCCATGCTGCTCCCTCGCATCCTTCCCAACTTTGATCGGTGTATCGCGCAAAAAGTTCCTTGGTCACATGACGGGTAAGCAGGATCCGAAGGAGCGAGTCTATGCCACCGCAGCGGCTTGCACTGCTGCCATAGCGGCTGGCGCCGACGTGCTCAGGGTGCACGATGTCGAGCAAATCGGTGAGGTTGCCATCACCTCTGATGCCATCTATCGTCATTGACCTGACCTCAAGACCGGAATCTAATCGGATAGCTGGTTTAAGCTCAGCATATCCCTTTCCCTTACATTACGCTCGTTTGCATGCATCTGGTGGAAGTAATGATTAGCATTTCAGTATGATCGAGGTCTAGTAGTAGAAGTAGAGTGCAGAAGAAAGTGTCCAGGAGTGTCGATTTGAGTGAGTTGGATGATTACATCTGAGCAGGGGCTCGTTCGGGCATCGTGGAAGCGTCCTGTACAGCGATTAACATAGCGTTGTCGTGAAGATGCACAAAAACAGGAGTCATGTTGTGAGTAGGTCTGTCTCTCTTACTTGGATTAGCAACCTTGCATGCGTGACACTCACCTGAAGCTGTGCTGCGGTTCGTTGAGACGGGTCTTTCGGCTCTACAAGATGCATCTTTTCACCGATCTTGTGTACTTTTTCTTTGATACCAGCCATGCCGGCGGAGTTCTCACGACGGTGATTGCGTCTCTCTTGAGCCTGCTGTTGCTCTATTTGCTTTTCGACCCTTCGCTCTTCCCAGCCTGAGGGACCTTCAGGCGCCTTGCCTGGCCTGATGACGGACGGGGCTGGCTTGTTGACGGTAGTCATCTCGAATTCGATGTGGGTGCTGTCTGGATCCGGATGGGGTGATTCTGCGAGCTCTTGAGGATATGTCGAGCTGCTAGATGGTGGTTGAGATGATAATGGATGGCATGCCGCTCTTGTGACCAAGTCTTTGGACCCGGCATGGTTGTGAAAGCAAACTTTCAACGACAGCTTCCGATGCACGGCAGATGGCAATGGCAATTTTAGCGGATCAAATTGAGGCTGCACGATGAAGCAATCTCGCGTGTCTGTTCAATATAAGATCGCCGATTCTCCAACCCAATTTTTGAGAATTGGATCGGTGATGACTTGCTTCAACACGGCAAAGTCTATGCCTTGGTAGATTTGATTGAGCTGATAAGCTTTGATAGTCTAGCTCTCGACCACGAGCCAATATGAGTAGTCATGCTTGCAGGCCGCAGAGTGCGAATATGACCGTGCGCGTGCGGTTTGATGGCAATAGGATGCAACAGAAGAGAGCTCACGTAGCTAGGTCTCATGATTCAGCAACACCGATGCTCTCACATCACGCTTCTGACGCTTTTAAATGGATTGTCGATCGTAAGGGACACTGATTGCTGTAGGCCGCTGATGAATGTCACTGACTTTGCCCGCGTGAGGCCGTTGCATCTATCGTCTCGGCATGGGTTGCTGGTCTGTGCTGTCCTTGCAAGCGGCCACTGAAGATTGGGAAGATATATGAATCAGACGTTCATGGGTTGGAAGAAGGAGGCAACAATCTTCTCGTCCACCGTTTCAACAAGCATCTGCTCAGATTTTTCGCCGCATTCCGCGCTCTATAGACACACACGGTAGCCACCGACTCGAAAGACACCAAGGTGAGTAATGGCCGACGTTCTCAGTGGAAAGGAAGAGCATATACGATGGAAGCGTCGGAGTGGAAAAGCGCGTTCCGTGCGAAAGCAAAGTGGAACAAGGATATCAAGGGAGCCAGGCAACATCGAGGGGATTCCGAGGCCAGTGTCCGGCATGGCCCCTGCTGGATGTCTAGGGTATCGGTGCTGCTTTGCCTCTACAAGGACGGAGAAGGCTGCGCAACACTGTCAACCTCTCACATGGGCCACTCCGGATTCCCTGGCGAGCTTGGAGCCACCTTTGTCGGCGAAATCGAGAGGATCTGTGACTCTTCTTGTCTTTCGGACATCGGCCGCATCGTCCGAATTGATCCTGACTGGGCGAGTGCCAAAAAAGGAAACTTATTAAAGCTGTCGACCTCAGGCTCGCTGTCCGTGCACCGGGCAATTGGCTCCACCAGGCAATTGGCTCCACCTTGGCTGTCAGCCTTGGACTGGAAGTTTTTTTTTTTTTTTTTCTTTTTTTTTTCTTTTTTTTTTCTTTTTTTTCTTTTTTTTCTTTTTTTGACAGCTTCCCCGCACTCTGGCTGTCAGCTATGGAACACACGAACCGCGCCTCTCCGTCTTTCTATGCCATCTCGGACTGGCTTCGAAAGTATGGGGACAGGAGCGTGGCCATCTGCGTCGGCCTTTGCCTCGGACGCTTGGAAGCAGTCGTCTTTTGTTGTTGTTGTTGTCGATTGCTCGAAATCTCTGCTAACGTAGCAAGTGGCCCCTCCCTCTTTTTCCGCCCGTTGAATATAAGCAAGCATCATGTTCGCTCGAGCCTCTCGCCTTGGTACTGCAATCCCCCGTTACTCTCCATCTATTCGTTTATTCCACACCTCCAAGCCCAACATGGTCAAGGTATGTAACTCATTCACCAAACAGAACTCCTATATTTACAGCAGCTTCTAACGATCAAGATTGCATTTGCTTGCATCTCTTGCACCGTCTTTGATAGATTCTCGCTGTCCTTTACTCTGCCGGCAAGTACGGTGACGAACAGCCTCGTCTGCTCGGTACCGTCGAGAACAAGCTCGGCATTGCTGACTGGCTCAAGCAGCAGGGCCACGAGTTCATCGTCACCGCTGACAAGGACTCGACCGACTCCGAGTTCCGCAAGCACGTCAAGGATGCCGAGATCGTCATTACCACCCCCTTCCACCCTGCTTACTTGACCGCCGAGGTGCTCGAGTCCGCTAAGAACCTCAAGTGCTGTATCACTGCCGGCGTCGGTTCCGACCACGTCGATCTCGATGTCGCCAACAAGAAGAACATTTCGGTCTACGAGGTTACTGGCTCCAACGTCGTCTCGGTCGCTGAGCACGTCGTTATGACCATCCTCGTTCTCGTCCGCAACTTTGTTCCCGCCAATCGACAGTACCTCGAAGGTGATTGGAACGTTGCTGAGGTAGCTCGTCAGTCCTACGACCTTGAAGGTAAGGTCGTTGGTACCCTTGGCTCCGGACGTATTGGTACACGCGTTCTCCAGCGATTGAAGCCCTTCGACTGCGCCAAGCTCACCTACTACGACTACCAGCGCAACGAGCAGCTCGAGAAGGACACCGGCGCTGTCCGTCGCCAAGATCTCAAGGACTTCCTTTCCGAGCTCGACGTGCTCACCATCAACTGCCCTCTCTATGAAGGTACTCGTGGCCTCATCGACGCCGAGAAGCTCTCCTGGATGAAGAAGGGTGCTTGGATCGTCAACACCGCCCGTGGTGCCATTGTCAAGGCCAAGGACATCAAGGCTGCCCTTGAGTCCGGCCACATCCTCGGCTATGGTGGTGACGTTACTGACCAGCAGCCACCTCCCAAGGGTGAGTTGACAAGCAAGTTTCTTTTCACGAATTTTCGAAAAACAATTACTAACTTTTTACCTTGAACACTATGCAGATCACCCATTCTATACCATGTCAGCCGACCATGGCTCCCCCTACCGGTCGGGAAGCCAGGCAGGTAATGCAATGACGCCTCATATCTCTGGTACCTCTCTGGATGCCCAGACTCGCTATGCGAACGGTGTCAAGGAGATTCTTGAGAACTACTTGAGCGGCAAGCCTCAAAAGCCAGTCAACGTCATCGTCGAGAATGGTGCATACGCGACCAAGGCTTACGGTCAGCACAAGTGAGGCGCTTCTTGAGCCTGTTAGCAGAGGCCTCATGTAATGCTCTGATTGAATCGTATTGCAGTTGAGCATCTATCGTCCAAGACGCCGCGAACGAAACGCATTCAGATTTTGGCACAGCGAGAATTTAGGACCTGCCGGCCTAACAGTGTTGGTTTTTTACTGTGGAAGTGGGCAAGTATCCGGACAGGCTAGGCGCTTAACGACGTCGGTCGCGTAGATTGCACTCAACTTCAAGCATGCTCTTGATAGTGTCAGTTGACATTGCAACAAGATACAAATGCACATCATCCTGCACACAGAGGATGAGTGAAAAGCGTCTCTCGAGAAGAAAGGAGAGCTAGGCATCTCTGAAAAATGAAATGCCAAATCGCCGATTCGACACCACTGTGACTGTCGAGTGTGAGTCTAGGTGACTTTGTGGAAGAGTGTGTGGTGCTTTCTTGACCGCCGAAAAAAGTTACTTGAGCACAGTCCTTGTCCTCCTGAGCATCTTCCAAGTTGTACCTGCTCATTCTCAAGCTCTTCGCTCCCGCTTCTCAACACTCCAACCATTCCTGACTTGTTACACTTGCCAAGCTGATTCCAATTACCTCGGCCGCCATTGAAGCTGTCCAGCAATCCTCTACAGTCCTTGCATACACGACCCGAGGCTAGCAACGCATATGCCGAATGCCCATCACAGCGACGACTCCATCGAGCCTACTACACCACCCAAGCAGCGTGCTGCCAACAAGACAGCTCCACGCATCATCTGCCTCGACTCGAGTCCCATCATAGCTTCTCCGGCGCGCGCAACTTTCGCCTCATCCTCCAACATGCCCGAAAACAGCTTTCGCTCGGCGATGAACTCCGGCAATGCTGCTTCAATCACTCGGACCTCCTTTAATGCTACCCACAGCCAGAGCACCAACGGCCTATCACGCAAGTCCTCTGACAACAGCAATTCGACGGCGCCTTCCAATCGGTCAAAATCTTTCAGATCTAGTCTCGAGCAGTTCAGGTACGGCGGCTCCAGCAGCTCTAAGCGCGAGCCAGCTGCATCAGATAACAGCTCCCAACTCAGCCAAACCGAGTCGTCCGACGAAGAGCGCAAACCCAAAAAACGTCGTCTTGTAAGGGGCCGACCAACTCGATCTCACTCCCGCGAGCCCTCTCAAGACAAAAGTAGCGCGCTCAAGCCCAGTAACGGCATAAAGGATCCAATCAAAGGCCCGCACGATGACGATGACAACGATTCCGTGCGAGAAGTGTCACCGCCTCCTGCTCGCAAACCTTCCACTACGCCTTCAGCCACGACGAAACCTCCCTCTTCCCAGCCGACATCGAATGGCGCTCAGCCTGTGCCCATCTCTGATGAAGAGCTCAAGGAGAAGGCTCGACGCATCATGAAACTTCATCCACTCATTGAGGCTAAGCGCGTTCTCTCGGCTTTACGCCAAACTCGCGGCGACCTCAGGAAAACCTTAGACTTACTCACATCTAGACCTAGCACGGTTACCACCAAATCGGTTGGCGTCAAACCGACTAGCCATGGCCTTCAACGTCCACTGCAAGCCACCGTTGCGAACCGTGCCCCACAGAATGGCACTTCTCACCTGTCCAAGCAATCTAGCCACGGCAACGCCAGTTCCAGAGCCTCGACGCCGGCCCTTTCGCGCGTCTCCTCGCAACAGTCGACTCAACAGTCGGTCTCCGTCAAAAAGCAGCCACGAGGAACGGTTGAGATCAGCTCTGATGACGATGACTCTGACGGCCAGGATCGAAGCGAGAAGGAGGAGCGCGCTGCTGTCAAGTGGTTCAACACCGCTGACGCTAGTGCCCTCATGGACACAACCAACTGTTCTGCGCAGCAAGCTGGAACCATCATCGCACTGCGTCCTTTCCATGACGCCGACGACATCGAGCAAAAGCTCGGGAGCAGATCGGCCAAGGGGGTTACACCAAGACTCTTCCACCAGTGCAAGGATCTCATGGCCGGATACTACCAAGTCGATCAAGTGCTAGCCAGATGCGAAAAGATTGGTCGCGAGCTGAGTGACGCCATGGCTTCCTGGCTGCCAGACACCAGCCAGCCTGTATCGCCGCTGGCATCACCGGCATTGACTGCCTCCATCAACGCTTCCGTCGCAGGATCGCGTGAAGGCACGCCTGCAAGCACGCTCAACTTGTCTAGTATTAAGAAAGGCGGTTCTTCGACCGACAAGTTCTACCTAGAGGAGCAACCCAGATTGCTTGCCGATGGCGTCAAGCTCAAGGACTACCAGCTCGTCGGCGTCAACTGGCTTCACCTCCTCTACCGCAAGAAGACGAGCTGCATCCTCGCCGATGAGATGGGTCTCGGCAAGACTGCACAAGTGATCGCCTTCTTCGCGCAACTCAAGGACATGGGCATTCGAGGTCCTCACCTTGTCGTAGCTCCCAGCTCAGTGCTGGAGAACTGGGACAGAGAGTTCCGCTTTTTTGCTCCAACCATCAATGTCCGCAAGTACTATGGTAGCATGAAGGACCGTGTAGAGCTCAGAGAAGACCTCGCCGAGGATCCAGATCTCCAAGTAATCTTGACAACGTACGACATGGCCGCAGGTGGACCACAAGACCACACCTTCCTGCGCAAGTTTGGTCGACGGGGCTGCGGCCGCGTCGAATGCAAGCCTGGCTGCGACGAGAAAAGTTGCCGCGCTGGTGGCTTCGAGGTGTGCGTCTTTGATGAGGGTCATATGCTCAAAAACCGCAAGTCGCAAAAGTATGAAAAGCTACTCAAACTCAAAACTCGATGGCGCTTGCTTTTGACCGGCACACCCTTGCAAAACAACCTGCAGGAGCTTGTCTCGCTGCTCAACTTCATCATGCCCGAATACTTCTCAGACGCCCAAGAGGCTCTTGCTGCCATCTTCAAGGTAAAAGCGGGAGGACAGCAGAACCAATTGTCGAAGCAGAGGGTCGATCGAGCCAAGAAGATGATGCATCCTTTCGTCCTGCGTCGTCTCAAGGACAAGGTGCTGACCGACCTTACCACCAAGACGACTCGCGTCGAGTACTGTGATATGACACCAGTGCAGCGCAAGATCTACGCACAGGCGGTCGCCAAGACCAAGCGTGTTGCAGCGGCCGAAGCCGAGGCAGCCGAGTCCACAGCAACGACTACCCGCAAAAAAGCAGCAGCCGCGACCTCCAACAGGGAAAGCGGACACGTACTGATGGAGTTGCGTAAAGCAGCGAACCATCCGTTGCTAAGCAGACAGCTCTTCGACGAAGCTAAAATCGATGCCATGGCTCGAGACCTGATGAAGGAACCCGACTATGCCGACTGCAACTTTGAGCACGTCAAAGAGGATCTCCGCATCAACACGGACGCTCAGCTTTCCTTCTCTGCACAGAGCTACCCGGCTACCCGTAAGCACGTTCTTCCAGGTCCGGAGTGGATGAACTCGGGCAAGATCAAGGCATTGCAAAGACTGATCCCCGAGATCCAGGCCAAGGGCGACCGCATTCTGATCTTCAGTCAGTTCACGATGGTGCTCGACATCCTTTGCGTGTGCTTGGAGCATATGGGAGTCAAGTATGTCGGCTTTACCGGTTCCACACAGGTCGAGGATCGACAGGTGCTGGTAGATCAGTTCACAAATGATCCCTCAATTACCGTGTTCCTGTTGTCAACAAAGGCGGGTGGATTGGGTATCAATTTGATCGCAGCCAACTGGGTCATTCTGTTTGACCAGGACTTCAATCCTCACAACGACAAGCAGGCGGCAGACCGATCGTACCGAATGGGGCAGACCAAGCCAGTTTCGGTAATTAAGCTGCTCAGCCGTGGGACGATCGACGAAGACATTCATGCGCTGGGTGAACGCAAGCTCGAGCTAGCTGATCGGGTCTCAGGAGAAGATGACACCGAGTCGGACGAGGCTGAGCAGAAGAAGATGGCTCAGACACTACTGGCTAAGTTGCGCGAGGCTGCCTCGCCCGACATTCAGGAGATTAGCGATGACGAAGGCGAATCCAAGTGAACAACCTAAGCTCCATAGATATCTCAGTGTACAACTCGCGATAACCTTTCGCAATGCTATAACTTAATGCTATAACTCAACTCCATTGAAACAAAGCTGGCGTGCGAGCACAAGCGTACATAGGCGGGCCAGGTTGAGGACTATGCTGATAAGATTGCTGTGATTAGGGTATTAAGTTTATCCGTCAGCCAAGGCGTCCGAGATGATGGAGATGAACGATTGAGATGCAGCTTTAGGACTTGCAAATTGTCATAGCTCAATATGCTTGTGGGCAGCCGTTTGAGGTGGCGGAGAAACCGACTCAGCTGCCAACTTTTGTGTTGCTTGTGAGTGAGGTGAGGAATTGCCCATATCGCTGCCAAGATCGATCCACACACCAAGGCCTTGATGCTTGCCTAGACCAAAGTAGAAGCGCTTTGGGATTGTCACATGCCTTTCCGACCAGGGCAGCGAGAGGCGATAGAGTGATGAGCTTAGCTCTGTTGCAATGTTCCCAGCAGGTCCAGAGCAAGGTCTGTGGAGTGGGCTGAAGAAGCCGTTGCCACCGGACAGTCCGAAGTCGAGCCAGCCGTAGCTCGGACGAGGCTGTGAAGAGTTGGAAGCCGCTGTTGATGCTGTAGTGTTGATTCCACTGAGCGGCACAATGGTGGAGCTGGGGCCGTACCAGTCGGAGGATGTGCTGAATAGGCCGGTCAGTATCAGGGCGCAGTACATGCATGGTTGAGAGTGCATTGCAAACGAGACGAGGAAGAGGATGAGGAAGAGTGGGGATGTCTTGGGAAAGGGAAGCAGGAACAGTGGTATCCACCACCGGAGGCAGTACATCTTGTTGATGCTAAATAGCCGTGCTGCAGTGGCCTCGTACGATGGTGGAGTTGATGTGGATACCGGTGCGGAAGCGTAGCATAGTTACTTACATCGTCCAGAAAGAGCCTATGCACGTCACATGCTAATCCAGGATCGGGTTGCCGGAAGAGATCAGCCCCGATTTAGACCGAAATCGGGCAATTTGAATGCAACTCCTTTCGTCCCTGCATTTGCGGAGAGATCAACACTAGTCAACTTACCCGCGCTTCTTCCGCATTGAACCACCATCACCTCCTTTACTGACATTACACTCATCCTCGACAGTCTCTCGGTAGGCTCGCTGCTGACGCAAAAGGTAGGTGCACGGAGATTCGAGCCACTTGCATCGCGTCTTTCATCTGCACAGATCTGCATCTCTACCCGCGCTGCATGGTCACGAACACGAACGACGTGCATCTCGAGTCATAGAGACTTGGCTCTCCGACTCTCACCATGCCACTTCTATACCCGTCTGGAGTGCGATCAGCACTCAAGCTCTCTCCATTTCAGCGCGTGATCAAGATCGCGCGGCATACACCATCCTCTTCTGCCGACCCAGACTCTTCGACCTGCCTAGGCTTCAAACCTTCCGAACACGAAGAGATTGTTGAAGATCCTGTCTCCAGAAGTTCACGGCATGATCCGCGCAACGTCGATGATGACACGCTGGAAGGGGAATGGAGCGCAGTACCGTGCGACAACTGCGGTCGCAACATCAAAGAGCATGCAGCGCTCACCGATGCAAATGACGAGGAGGCAATACGAAGAGCGAAAGTCGCGGTACGATTGGACGAGCTACTGGAAGACAAGGGCAAGCTGCTCGACTTCGGCTATGCTGATACGGACATTGAGTCCCTTCGCAAGCAGATGAGACCAGTAGGGCCAGACGGTCTCGTTGAAGCATCCAGTCCTGTATCACAACTCAGCACTGTACCAGACGCAACACCCAGTCCTTACCCTTCAGCACAAGCCCTGCCGAATGGCTCGGGTCCGCACTCATCTACGCCGCTCTTTCAGAGCTTGGATCGGAAACGTAAGCTCCGTGATGCTTCGCGCTCGAGGTCTCGCTCGCGCGACAGAGAAGCCTCGGTAGCTACCTCAAGTCGCCTTTCCAGTCCGGAGATGACGGTGGTGCACTCAAATCCGGCATCTCGGCAGCAGTCGGTCGAGCCTGGAGCATCCAACGGACGACACGACCCCAAACGCAGGAAATTTGCCTCGAGCGACTTGGCAAAGGAAAGCGCCGCAGATGCAAACACCGCAGATGCAAACACTTCGACGGATCTCAGCGAAGAATCGGTGGACATTAGAGCGGCAGAAGGATTTGCAGCAGCAGCAACAGCAGAAGAAGAGGATGCGTACAACTCGACATCACAGCCGGAAGCAGGAGACCCGACAGATTCGGCGACTCGCAAAGATGCGAATGGAGAGGAAGGAGAGGTAGGGGAAACCAAGATCAAGGAAGAAGAGACTGTGGATCTCACAGAGGAGGCGCAACCTCCACCAAAGAGTGCTGCATCTGCCGTCGAAGAGGGCGTGGCACCCAAGAAGGAGCGTCCAGCTGTCATCGAGGAGCGCACCGGCCTTATTCAATTCCGAGTCGTGACCAACGATGGCAATCACGAATCGATGATCTTGCTAACAGGTCTCAAGAACATCTTTCAACGTCAATTGCCAAAGATGCCACGCGAGTACATCTCTCGTCTTGTATTTGACCGCAATCACCAGAGTGTGGCCATCGTCAAGCGTGGACTGCAGGTGGTAGGAGGCATCACATACCGACCCTTCAAGCAGCGCAAGTTTGCCGAAATCGTGTTCTGTGCCATCACCAGTACGGAGCAAGTCAAGGGTTACGGCTCGCATCTGATGAACCATCTCAAGGATCACGTCAAGGCTTCGTCGCCAGTCATGCATTTCTTGACATATGCCGACAACTACGCTATCGGCTACTTCAAAAAGCAAGGTTTCACCAAGGAAATCACTTTGGATCGATCGATTTGGGTGGGCTACATCAAGGACTACGAAGGCGGAACGTTGATGCAGTGTAGCATGGTGCCTCGAGTCAAGTACTTGGAAGTGCAAGACATGCTTGCGGCGCAGAAGGAGGCAGTGCTGGCCAAGATCCGAAGCATCAGTCGTTCGCATGTGATCCACAAGGGCCTGAAAGCAATGCGAGACCGCGATCGCTTGATTAAGCTCAAAGGTCTTATCGAGAATCCGGATGGAACCGTCGCAAAGCCAGAACGCGCGGCCAAACGAGATCAGCACCACGGCGAAGAAGACCCCACGGCGACGTTCTTGGTGGATCCTTCCGAGGTGCCAGGGCTCAAGGAGAGTGGTTGGACACCCGAGATGGACGAGTTGAGTCGACGACCGAAGCGAGGACCACACTTTGCAGTCATGCGACATATCCTCGTGGAGCTCAACGGTCATGGAAGCGCCTGGCCATTCGTGAACCCAGTCAACGGAGAGGAGGTAACCGACTACTACGACGTTATCAAGAATCCGATGGACCTGTCGACAATGGAAGCCAAGCTCGAGAACAACCAGTACGCCAACGTTGATGAGCTTGTTGCCGATGCTCAATTGAGTAAGTGCAAGCCTTCTGAAGTGCCACTTAACGTCGATCCGCTCACGAAGCTGACCTTCTTGATTGTGTCTATCTCCTCGTTGTTCGTTCAGTCTTTGACAACTGTCGATCATACAACCCCGCCTCGTCACCATATGCTAAGAGCGCGACCAAGTTGGAAAAGTTCCTCAAGGAGACCTTGCTTCCAAAGGTTCAGAGCTCACTCTAGGCATCTGTCTCTACTGTATCCTCTCTTGTTTTTAATCTTCCAAAATGTGTTCCTTAACGTCGCATTCCAGGCTCACGCATCTCTCTGGCCGCCGAAGTTTGAATCATTATGTTGATTGAGCGGGAGGGCATTAGCCTCGGTCTAGCATTACCTCCCTGACAACTCACAGTTCTCCGACGCGTCCTGCCCGGTCCGAAGTAGAGCATTACAGTGACCATGTACTGTAGAGTATGTTTGACATCACAATATGATCAGTGAATGACCAGTCGATACGAGTCACGACGAAATCGGCAAAATCGGGAAGATCGGAATCTCTGGCGGCTCTATGACGTAATCCAGTGATAAACCCATCTTGTTTGAAAGCTCATCTTCGATCCATAGCTCTCTCACAAGTGAACTTTGTCTCAAAGTCTTCGGACGGCCCTGGACGTGGTATAAACAGAGTTGCTGGCTCTTGATCGATGGCATATATGAGACGGGGAAGTGTGACAAGCGATGCCTGAGATGATGAGCTCTGTGGGAGCGGCGAAAGTGCACGGATCATCAGCTGCAGGCCGGTGAATTTAGAAGAGATGCGACTTCCGAGACTGAGACGAAGGCAGCTCGCCTGTGTCCCTGAATTAACTACTCGGCGTTAGCGTGTGTCAGTGGGCTTCACCTCTCCATGCTGCCTCCGTGGTCTTACAGTATTACTTGCTGACATCTTGCTGACATCTCAATCGACACCGTTCCACCACTCAAGCATACCACTCTTACATCCGCCGGCTGCATTACTTTCCTCTTCTTCGACACGAAAGCACTCGACGGCTTGTAGCGCACCGTTGGTAGAGCCACGGCGCAAGGATCTTGCATCACGCAAATTCATCCACCCCATCCAGTTCAAATTCGGCAGTCCTGAGGATTGGTTTCCTCTCGAACGCTCATCGGATGCTCTAGAGCTCTTCACCTAGCACACCTGCTACCTCGCAAGAGGCATATCCCCCGTGACAGGCCAGCGCAGCTCGTGGTGTACATCTTCGGCCATGTCAAGCTACGACAAGGTGGTCAAAGGCGCTACCAAGCCAAAATCAGGTGGCATAAAGCCAAAGTACATCGATCCCATCATCGCAACCACATTCGCAACGGATGGATCGCTTCAAGATGTCTGCAGAGCACTCGGTAACCGTCTGCGCGAACCTAACGCCACGGTCGTACTCAAAACTCTTGTCATCATTCACACAATAGTCCGCAACGGCGAAGTCGACAACGTCCTCGGGCATCTCTCCTCCGACATCGGCAACATCCGTCTACGAAATGTGTCAAACAACAGCTGGTCTGGCTACTCAGCTCCCCAGACGCTCTCTGTCTATGCACAATACCTCGACGAGCGTGTCCGCGCCTATCGTGATCTCAAGCACGATGTGATTCGCTCCTCTGACCGTTCTCGAGCACATTCCAACGGCGCCAGCAACAGCAATCGCTTGCGTAAGCTTTCAGTGGAGAAAGGTCTCTTGCGCGAGGTCTCGACAACTCAGAAAGTGGCCAGCGTACTTATGCAGTGCTCCTTCTTCCTCGATGACCTCAACGATGATCTCATCATGTCCGCCTTCCGCATGACTCTGAAGGATCTGCTTGCCATCTACACAGCCATCAACGAAGGTGTCATCAACATTCTCGAGCACTACTTTGAAATGGCCAGATCCGACGCAGAGCGTGCTCTCGAGCTTTATCGTCGGTTCTGCCGCCAGACCGAAAACGTGGTTGCTTTCCTCAACAGTGCTAAGAAGGCCTCGCACAGCCTTAACCTCGCCATCCCCTCACTAAAACATGCTCCTGTCTCGCTTGCTGGAGCACTCGAAGAATACCTCAAGGATCCCAACTTTGAACAGAACCGCAAAGAGTACAAGGAGAACAAGCGCATCGCAGACAGTGGCCCCCCGGCTTCCACTGCTCGACCCATCTTCACCATCTCGTCCAGCGTTCCAAAGAGCGAGTCCAAGAAGAGCATCACGATTCAGGAGCCTGACAAACCAGAGCGCAAGGTCAAGCCCCCAACCTCAAATCAGGATCTCCAGGACTTCTTTGCCAGCATCGACCATGACGGTGGTCAGCACGTCTTCTCCAATGTTCCCGCAGAGCACAGCTTCTTCTTTCAGGCTCAGCCTACGGGTATGATGGGCATGAACGGCGGCGGCTTTGGAGGTATGGGCACGGGGATGGGAATGGGCGGTCTGCAACCTCAGATGACTGGCTACAATCCGTTCACGGGTCAGCAGCAGGCGGGCATGCAGATGCCGATGCAGCAGCAAATGACAGGGTTCGGTGGTATGCAGCCACAGATGACTGGGTTCGTCCAGCCGCAAGCTACGGGTTTCAATCCCTTCCGACAGTCGGTCATGCCTCAGCCCACTGGGTTCGGTGGGCCCTTCGGTACTTTTGACGGTCAATCGAGCTTCCTCAACCAACAGCAACAACAGCAGCAGCAGCAACCGCAGCCTCAACAGCAACAGAGCCAGCCGTTCCAAGGCCTGCAACCTCAACACACGACCACACCTTCCCAGCCACAGCCTCCCACACAGCAGACTCAGAGCGGTGCCTTTGGTCAGGGTCAATCTCAGCAATCATCGGCACTTTCTTCATTCAACTCTGCCTTCTCTTCGCAAAGCAATGGACAAGAGTTGGCAGCATCCAAGCCTACGACGCCTGCCAGGTTGCTTGTACCACAAAAGACCGGGTCTCGCAATCCCTTCGCGCCACCTCCTGGGTCCACACCACCGCCAGCTTCCCCTCCTGCGCCAAAGGGTCCTTCGCTTAACCAGCTCGCTACGAGCGCATTTGGTGCACCTGGTGGTGGTCACTACGGCCTTGGTGCTAATGCTTGGAATGGAAGCGATCCTAGCGGCAAGAACGTGAACCAGCAACAGCAACAACAGCAGCAGCAGCAGCAGCAACAGCAGCAGAACAGCTCAAATGGTCTGCTCGCACCACAAAAGACAGGACTAATTGGCAGCATCGCGTCCGAGTTCGCTTTCCAGAATCAGAACGGTCAGAACAATCAGAACGACACCAACAGCAACGTCGCCGGCTCTGCGTTCGGAGCTAGCACGCCTGGCGCTGCTTCGACGCCGACTGGTCAGCCGAACGGCAACGACCTGTCGTCGCAATTTGGATCTATGTCCTTTGGCACGCCCTCATCCTCCACCCAGCAGCAGGCGTTGCAACCACAGCCAACAGGCTTTGGGGGAAGCTCAGTGCAAGCGTTCAAGCCACAGTCGTCATTTGGTGCTAGCCTGTCAACAAATTCGCAATTCCCAAACTCGAGCAGTCCTGGCGTGGCGCCGCAGATGACAGGCAACCCCTTTGCAAGGGTCGGCAACTCAGCAACCCAGCAACAGCCTTCCCTCACAGGCATGGGTGGTGGAGCATTTGGCAGCTCTTCGAACATCAACCCGACCAATAACACCAGCGCGGGTGAAAACTTCGGCTCGTCGACCAGCGGGCTTACTACAACTTCCAACAATAGCTCAGCCCTAAACGCGTTCAACTCTGCTTTCTTCTCCTCTTCCACCCAGCCACAACAACAACAACAACAACAACAACAGCAGCAGCAGCAGCAGTTTTCCAACGGAGCCTTCGGCGGAGCGAATGACTTCACAGCGGCCACTAGCAACAGCACAGGTATGCAGCCTTTTGGAAGTGGTGCTGGCCAAAGCTCGTTCAGTGGAGGACAAGTGCAACCTCAACCAACAGGGTTTGGAGGGTCAACTATCAAGCCCTTCCAGCCCTCGTCGGACTTTGGAAAGAGTATTAAGAATGATGGTCAGCCGAATTTGCTTCAGTTCTGATTGCCCGGCTGGGTTGTGTGTAAGATTAGTCTTGTTTCGTCGATTGCAATAAATTGTTTGAAACCTGAAAAGCTCGCTTCACACTTGCCGCCATCACGCGTCCAGTTCGGGCATGGTCGTTGGCTTGTTCCGACATGCAAAGCCAAACAGAAATCTATCCCGACATAAGACAATCCTTACAGGCCATTTTAATACCGGTCTCAGCCTGTGCCATATATTCTTTGAGCTTTCAAGATTGTAAACCGGTGCTGTAGTACCTTTAGCTGGAGTGTTTGCTTGAGCTGAAGCAGTGTTGCCCTGCTGGAGGGTTGATGTTACGTTATTACGTGCGCAAGCTGTATGCCCGCTGTAATGGTCTAACTAGATGGATTGAAGGAAAGAAGGAAGGAGGAGATCTAAGGAGAGGCTAGTTTAAGTACTAGCTTCCCTACAGAGCAAAGATAGGGATCGAACTTTGTGTGCGACGTGCATCGTTCGAGAAGATGTTGATTGTATGTTCTCGTGCGGTAAGCATTCGCACGAGAGAGTACACAGGCGTGACAGTTGACTTACGTGTCACAGGTGCTTGCGCAGACCGTGGAGGCGCACGGCGTGCGAAATGCGAAATCGGTCAGAACGAGCCCATCCAACGGATTCCACGGATCGCGCTGCGAGAAAGGCTCATCGATACATCGAGAATCAAGCGATCTCATGGGATCGAGGGACGCCCGTCGAGGAGGTGTTCACACAGGACAGGAGGAGCAGGAGGAGTAAGAGCAGTGTCGCAGGCAACACTGCATATATATACACATTCCACTGTACTTTACTCTTACTTTACCATACGCTCAGTATAGCTTTCCAGTCTCTCTCTTTCAGTATCGTCACCAGTTGCAATGGCAGTGCATTGCAACTACTTATGCATGTGTGTTGTATCACCGCTACTAGACGTTGTCGACACCTCCATCGACACTACGGCACCTCAACCGTAGGTAGCACCGCAACTGCGGTCCTGGCACCTCAACCAGTACCATCATACGACTGTCTGCGCATTACGAGCACTCGTGCAAAGACAGGCGTAGTCATATTACATATCAACTCAAGTATCCAAGTACTCCGAACGTGCCGCGCTACCTCCGAACGGAGTGTTCACAGCGGTCAGCCGAAATCCGCCAGAAGTCAGTCTCCCAGCGCATCTCACTGAGATTTGTCAGAAAGAGCTCACTCGGCAGATTTCGGGTTTCAGGCACGCGTGGGTAATTGAGCGTGCAGGTCGAGATGTTGATGGGAGGGACAGGTGCTGGGGGGAGTGTGGACAGAGAGGATCGAGGCCATGGGGGGATGGCTGAGCAACTATGCTGGCAGGCAGGTCTGTCAAAAGCTGTCCCTTAGTCAGCCTATCACCTCGACAGACAATATTGCTTATTTGCTGGACAACTTTGTGATTGATAGGCTGCACAAGTTGAAGCAGCAGAACATCGATGAGTTTGTCTGAGATGATCGTGTTTTCCATCTTGAGATGGTGTCAAGGCGACCAAAGACAGCACAGCCTGCAGAGCTGACGTTTGAGCTTGTGGCAAGCCCATATTTGCTCTATCACCTTCTTGCACAGCCAACATAGCTCAACAAACACATTGTTCAGCATTGGCTTCGTGATGCGAGAGCTCTCACGCAGTCTTCACACTGTAACGCACTCAGATCGAAACACACGCTTCATTGGAAGGAGAGGTCAAGTGTAGTCATTCGTTCTTTCGCGTTCCAAATGCTGTTTCGTTGTAGGCATCGGCATCCCGGTCAAACTGGGCCCGAGTAGGTGTCGTTCCGCTCGAGGACGGAGGACGAACGATACAACAGTGCTTTCGAGGAAGCCCGACACAAGTGGGATCGCAACGCTCCGGCTGCGTACGGAGCAAGCAACGGTCAAATGGAACCTAAACGACAGACGACGCTTTGTGTTGTCTCGTCTGCACACGGAGCAGAGGACCGCTGAGTGCTGGAGCTACAACAAAATAAGCTGGATATCAAAAGCTCAATGTCTTTCCGTTCGAGCACAGAGCAAGCAAACACATCATGAATGAAACGATCTATTGAGAAACTCTATGAACGAAGGGCTATGAACAAAATCTTCTTAGTGTGTGTAATGGATGATCGAGCGACTTGAAACGCTCAGAGCTGACTCAATGCCTTGTGAACCAAGTTTGCCAGTCGACGCACGACCGAAGGCAGCTCTGCTTCGCCAATCACAGCAATCTTGGCCTTAATTGCGATGTCAACCCCGTCGTTTCCGCCAAGCACAACATCGACGTTGACGTCAGGTTGCCAGATCGCAGCGTGAGTCTTGACAACTGTCGCCTTTGTCTGAATCTCGATGCCTTTCTGAACTTGATCATCCTTTGTAGCGTAGCTGAACGGATGTCCCAGATCAACAGGCTGCATCGCGTCTACAGCCTCTTCACCGTCGTCAGCCTCTTTCGACGTGATGAGCAAGTTGACAAAAGTATTGTAGCTCGGCTTATATGTGCTAAGCCCAGCCCATCGGTGTACGTCAACCAAGTCGGTCTGCTCGTAGAGGCCTCGCAAGCGAAGCTCCTTCGTCGCTGCTCGAGCCTTGTCCAGGACCGAGACTCCTTCGATCTTGATCGGAAGCATGTTCAGGAGTGGTCCTTGCACCTTCTCAATGCCATCGACTGCAGCTGAGCGACCGAGCTGATACAAGCCAAAGACAGGCGACGATGCGACAGAGGTGTTCAAACGCTCGGACAGCAGAGTCGACCAAGCTGCAAGCACGATTGCAGGCAGTGTCAAGCCAGCTTTTCGCATCTTCGCGTCCGTTTCGGGAGACACAGAAATGGCCTTGCGCTCGGCGTGGAACGCTTCTACAGCATCGGTGGCAGTAGCTACAGCGGGCAAGAGTCCGCTGGATGCTGTCGAGAGTGACTGAGACCAGTATCGCTCCGCATCTGCTCGGATCTGCTGTTGCTCGTCCGCAATATGCTCAACGGCTTGCACCCACTTGTTTGAGCTTGTCGGGTTGCTGCCGTGGTGCAGCAGTCCGAAATCATGAACGAGCATCTCAATTGAGAAAGCATCGTAGAGGACGTGATGTAGTGAGAAGACGAGGATGTCACCCACCAGGGTGAGCTGAACGGGTGGCCTTGAGAGGTCAGGCCAGCCGTCGGCAGCATGGCGAGCAACGACGGCAATTGCTGCAGCCTCGACGTCACTATTCTCCACGCTCACTTCTGAGAAGTGTGTCTGTTCCGGGCTCGACTCGGCCTTGAGCACGACCTGCACGGCGCTTCCATCCTGGCTGAGAAGGAAAGTGGTGCGAAGGATCGGCTGCAACTGGCGCAGCTTCTCCCAAGTGCTCTTAGCCTTGGCCGCATTTACGCCTGGAAGACGGTAAGCGAAGCTGTACCCGCCTTCACCTCGTCCAGCCTTCGACTGAGTCCAAGTTGCGAGCCACAGCTTTTGTCCGGCAAGGATGGGAAGCACGCGCTCGATACGATCTGCCTCGACTCCTAGCTGTACTGCGACCTGCTGTGCCAGGACGGGTGACACGGTGGACACACGATTGACATGGCTATTGCCATTCGCGTGCCCGTTCGGTCGAACATTCGCTTTGCCTGCAGTTCCTGATCCAGCTCCATTCGCCTGAGATCGGCGAGCAAGGATACCATTGATGGTCTCCCCGGCAACGATCTCGCCCATACGCAGGTCGATACCAGCTTTGCGCGCCTGCGAGGCGATGCGAATCGCAGAGATCGAGTCGAGACCCAACGTGGACAAACGAGAGTCGCCTTGCAGCTCACTCTCGACAACTCCTGAGACCTTGCTGATGATAGCAGCCAGCTGACGACCTTCTTCGCTGAGCTGTGCATCTCCATTTGTGCTCGGCTTACCGTTAGCGTGAGTGGAGCCGTTGACCGCAGACGTGCCTTCAGGCAGGTATGTGGGGAATGCAGTGTCACTGCAGCTCTCCGGCAAAGCAGAGACTGAAGCGTCGACGTGGCTGGAGAGGTGCTTCAACAGCTCTTCGAGTCGATCTACCACGGCAGCAAGGCGCTGAGCATCGTAACGCTGACTGTCTGCTTTGGCAACAATCGACATCTTGCTTGGACCCTGAACAAAGGCAACGTTGAGCGTGTACTGTGCGCTCTCTTCTCCGCTGTCGGGCAAGTCGAGCGCGCGCAAGCGGCTGTTGTCAGCCTGATCATATGCCCGCTGATAGTCAAAGAGAGCATCAAAGAGCTGACCGCGGTGTAGCTTGGCTTGGACATCACGTAGAGCAGCGCGTCGATGCGGTCGTCCGGCGTCATTGGCTAACTGCAACGCAACCGCAACCTGCTTAGCAGGCTTTTCGAGATCCGCAAATCGGATGCGAGTAGCCACAGTGTTGAAAGCCGGTCCAACCGCGGTATCGGCCTCTGGCATGAGATCCAGAAGACCAAAGAGCTGGCCGAAGCAAACATCTCGCGTGCCGCTCTCGAGAGCTAGCAACTTGCCGAAAGCAAGGTTGCAGAGCACCTGCGGAGACACTCCAATGGATCGGCACTGGATCTCGAGCTCTTGAGCTGTCAAAGCGATTTCCTTCTCGATCAAGACGGCGGCACCATGGGTTGAAGCGGCTGCAAGCAGAGTGGGTTGGAGCCCTTGCAGAGCATCTGTCCAGTACCGCACGTCTTTGTCTCGCGACAACAGCGCAGGCGCCAACTTGCAGAAGGGCAAGCGAGTGATCAGCTGCTGCTCGTTGCCGGCGATGAGTGCTTCGAAATCTTCGAGCAGCTGAGGCAATGAAGTTCCGTCATACAGAGCGTGGTGGATGCTGAGCATGATAGTGCTGTCTCCCTTCTCGTTTGATTTCGGCCACAAATGGAGGACATGAGGCGCAACGCGGAAGGCTTCTTCGTCCTCGAAGGATGGCTGTCCATCGAGGGCGTTGAGGTCAGGGCTCGAGAAGCTTCCTTTGTGTTTTATGACACGAGGCTCGACTAAGGAGTGCACCGCCTGCGCCCAAGGGTGTTCACCTTCGACAGCATGGAAAGTGGCACGAAGAATATCGAGACGCTCGACAAGCTTCTTCCAAGCACTGGATGCCTTATCGACTGTCACTTTCGACACCTCGAATGCGTGGTGGTGGAAGTACAAACGACCTGAGGAGGCAAGCGACTGCGCGATCATGCCTGACTGAAGAGGCGTGCACGGCAGGATCGACTCGATCGAGTCTGCATCGGACAGTCTCCATCCTGCTTTCTGCGCTATAGCAGTGGTTTCTCTGATCCATTCCTTGAGGTCGAAATCGGCTTGAGTCTTGTGCGCAGGGGGGGTCTCCTTCTCTTTCTCTGCTAGAGCAGCAATGTTGGGTGTGCTGAGAACGTCTGCAACCGTGAAGGTGTACCCGAGGGCGCACAGCTCTTTGACAAGACGAATCGCAGAGATGGAGTCGATTCCAAGGCGGTGGAAGGATGTCGTCCTTGCAATCTGGTCCTCTGGAACGTCGCTGAAACGCGCGATCAGCTTGCGCAGCTCTTTTTCGGACTCAGTCCAGGCCTGGCTCGAGATAGCGCCCTCCCTCATGGCGCCCAAAGAGCGGAGCAATGATGCATCGAGCCGCTCGTAAAACTGCGACAAAGCTTTGTGGTCTGTCTTGTTGTTGTGCGTCAGCGGGAGACCGCGGTTGGTCACGATCCAGTGTGTTGGGACCATGTACGCAGCAAGACGTTTCGCCGCTTCCTGCTCGAGTCGATTGCAAAGCTCGATCGCAGCCTCGTCTTCTCGAGGCTTGAGGGCATCACCCTTGGCTCGCAAGTCCGCAGCAGCGACGAAAGCAACCAGCTGCTTCATGCCCATCGAAGGATGCTTCAAGTACTGGACATCAACGTCATGAACACCAGTCTGGGCAGAAAGCACGGACGAGACCTCGTCCAGCTCCATCCGCTGTCCATTCACCTTGACTTGACGATCAGAGCCGATTCGCCCAAGGCATTCGACCGTCTCATCGTGCAGGAATCGACCGAGGTCACCAGTACGGTAGACTCGACTGCCGTCCTCAAGATAAATGAACTTCTCGGCGGTCAAGTCGTCGCGGCCATGGTAGCAGTCGGCCACCTGTGGACCTCCTACTACTAGCTCGCCGATCGCACCGGACGGCAGGACTCGGGTCGAGCCTTCCTCCAGCACATACATCGAGGATGTGGGGTACACGCGGCCGATCAGGTTCCGGGTCGCGCCCGTCTTGATCTGACCCAGTGTGTTGCCGATGGTGGCCTCCGTAGGACCCCACGCATTGATGAGGATACGTCCTGCCTGGTTCCACTCATCGACAACACGAGCATCGATGACATCACCTCCACTCATGAGCCACTCAAGCTGCACGTCGTCGGGATGGACCGTTCCAGCAAGGGCAGCAGGCAAGTCGGCGATGGTAATGCCGAGATGCTTGATCGAATGGGTTAAGTCCTCGAGAAGTTCTTGCTTGGGTGCGGTGCCGATCGAGAATCCAAGGGAAAGCGGCATGCACATCTCGATGAGACACACGTCGAAACCGATCGAGGCCAGCTGCAGGAAGCGTGACTGTTGTGTGAAGGGAAGAATGCGTTCCCACGAATAAAGAGCGCCGGCCAAAGCACGCTGATTGATCTGCACAGCTTTTGGCTTGCCAGTCGAGCCTGAAGTGAACAAGAGGTAGCATGGAGCATCGAGACTGGGCTTAGGGAGCTCGAATGCATTGGTACATGTCTTGGCCAAATCGGCGAGGTCGAGCACCTCGCAATGGAAAGTGGCCAGATTTGCTCTGGTACTCTGACTAGCGATCACGGGACAGTCGCTGACAGACTCGATCATGTACGACAGACGCTCGGCGGGCAGGGCAGGATCAAGGGGCAAGTAGGCCTTGCCCGCTTTCCAGATAGCGAGGATGGTGGCGTAGAGTTCAGGGCCGTCCTTGTTGAGATGCACACCGACGAACTGGCCAGGCTTGTCAGCCAAGCGGTGAGCGATGGTGGAGCTGAGCGAATCCAGCTCCGCGTAAGTGGTGATCTTCGGGGTCTCACGCATGGATAGAGTGAAAGCAATAGCAGAAGCCCCAGGAGTCTTGCTAGCGTGCTCGGTGAAGCGGGCGACAAAACTCTCGCTCGGCGATGCAGGCACGTAGCAATCCTTGTTCAGGATGGACAGTAGCTCGGCTTCGATAGAAGGACTCTGCTTTACTCCAGTGAAGGAGGTGAGAACAGAGTCGTACTGAGATAGCATTAGCTTGGCTTGCTCCACAGGGATCAAACGAGAGTCGAAGGCGAGGTGAAGGCTGACATCGTCATCAGTGGCGCTGACCTCGAGCGCAAGAGGGTAGTCCCTCTCCATCCGCGTCGCTCCTTCAGAAAACAGAAGCGGCTCTGAAGACGAGGTTGCCCGACCCAAGTACGAGAATAGCGCCTCGAACGGCGATCGTGAGAGGTCTAGCCAGCGCATCAGCTGCGGCAACGATACATGCTGATACGGTAGCAGCGCATTGACCACATGATGAGCGCGAACGCAAAGATCCAGCGAGAGAGGCTTCCTCGCCTCATACAGACGAAATGGCACCGTTGTGACGCAAGGTCCGTGAATTGTCTTGACATTGCCCACCGGAATGCTGCGGCCTGACAGTACCAGACCGAGAGTGACCTCGTCATCGCCGACGTAAAGACCAAGAAGGTGGGCGAAGACAGCAATCAGGATGGACTGAACAGTGACTTTGCTGGAACGCGCTACCACCTCCAGTTTCGAATAAGACTGAGATGATATGATCGTCAGCTCTTCACTCTTGCTGGGACGATTTTCCGGTCGCACACCTGTTAGGTTCGGAACTTGAGTGATTGAGAAGCCCGCGAGTGTCTCTCTCCAGAACTTCTTCGTCGCTTCTTCCCTGGCATCACCCACAATGGCGCGGGTCGCGACTGCGAAGGGAGTCGCGGGTTCTTCTTTCAGTTGACCCTGAAGGCGATCAGATGCCTCCTTCAAGAGCATTCGGATCGATTCACCGTCATAGATCGCGTGTGAACAGGTCAAGGTGAGCGATGGGGCCAAGCCCTTACTGTTCCAAAGCCTAATCCGCAGGGCAGGCTGGCTGTCCAAGGTGGCAGCGATCTCTCGAGCCGTGCGCGAGTGATACATTTCTAGCTCTTTGGCAGGCGGGAGCTCCTCCGCAGCGAGGGACCAGCTCGAGGCTAAGGCTTCGGGGGAGAGAACGACCTGCACAAGCGCACGGTCGATCTCTGCGAAGATGGTGCGGTAGATAGGATGTCTTGCAAGGGTGTCCATCCAGGCAGAGCGGATCTGCTCTGTTGTGAAGTGTCCGCGTGCTATGTTGACGGTGATAGTAGTGATGTAGCGTGGAGTGCCACGATCTTCCGAGATGGCTTGTGAGATCAACGCAGTCTGGATAGGAACACAAGGCAGGACTTTTTCGATCTGCGTCTGACTATACTGCGGCAAGGCAGCGGCTTTAGCAGTGAGCTCAGATACCTTGCGCTCCCAATCAAGAGCCGCATCACGTACGGAGGTCCCATCCTTACTCGAGCGTCGACGAGCAATGGCTTCAATGGAGGGTTCATTCATGATGGAAGAGACCGAGACGTCAAAGTTCAGCTTTCGGAGCTTGCTTGCCAGAGTCACAACCGTCAGACTGTCTAGTCCTGCCATGATCAGATCGAGGTCGTGCGTGAGTTCGACGTCTGACACCAGGCGAATTGTGGCGCGCACGGTGTCGGCCACCGTGTTCTCGTTGCTTGTTAGCTCTCGCTTCTGCGTTCCATCTGTGGCAGAGGCATTAGCTAGTTGACTGAGATCGATTGAGTGATACAAATCTTTGAGCAATCGGCGGTCGGCCTTGCCTGATAGCGACGAGATTGGCAGGTAGACCAGGGGGAGCACAATGCTGGGAACCATGTACTGAGGCAGTCTCACGCGAACTCGCTTCCTGAGCTCCGCTGCTCGTGTAGCAGTGTCAGAGCTCTGCAGAAGCAGCTTCGCTGGATCGCAAGCATCTTCCTCCTCCGTGCGAGCACCCTCGCGGGCGAAGAAGGACACGAGGCGAGCGGGACCTTCAATCTTCGGATGGTCCACATGGATCGTCACAGCTGACCCAGTCTGTCCGAGATCCTGATTGAGGCAAGCCGTAAGCGCTGCATCCACTTCGCCGAGTTCGAGACGAGCACCTCGTACCTTGACCTGGGAGCCATCCATGCGGCCAAGATAATCGGCTTTGTCATTTGGATGCAGTCGCACCATGTCTCCAGTACGGTAGATCCACTGTCCCTGATACTCAGTGAACGACGAGGCCTCGGGACGGTTGAGATAGCCTTTGCCAACTTGGTCTCCTCCGATGCAAAGCTCGCCCGGCTCTCCCCGCAAAGTTGGGACCAGCCGGCGGTCGACTTCTTTGAGAACCAAGTACTGCGTTCCATGGAAGGGAGCGCCGATGTTGCTTGGACGTGAGCGCTTGCTGACTCGAGCGATTGAGTTGCCGATGGTCGCTTCACTAGGCCCGTACGCGTTGAGAACAACAGGCCGTTCAGCTCCCTCACTTCCCCACAGCTGGCACAGGTCTAGAGTCAAGGCTTCGCCTCCAATGATGAGAGCTCGGAGCGAGGGCACAGCACTGGGCTTGACGCGCTGTCCATTGCTGAAGAAGAGGGAGGGCACAACGCAAGCATGGGTGACTTCGAGCGTGGACATGGTCTTGGCGATGTCGTCGTGGATCAGCGCACGTGGTCCGGTGACGATTGTGGCCCCAACACGTAGCGAGAGGAACATCTCGAGCAGATGAACATCAAAGGCTTCAGCCGATCGGGCCAGGAAGCGTGCTGGAGACTGGAAGGAGCCAGGCGCTTCCCGCTCGTATGTGATGTGGAAGCCTTCGATAGCAGCGGCGAGGTTGGCCTGGGTCAGTAGACAGCCCTTGGGCTTGCCAGTGGAGCCTGAGGTGTAGATGATGAAAGCAACATCGTCTGGCCCTGTCTCCACCGTTACGGTTGCATCGATTTTCTTGGCTGCGTCTTGAAAGCTGACAGAGTTGACATCGAGGTTCTGTACATCAGCAATCGAGTGAAGTTCAGGCTCTTGACTCGAGCTGATCAGAACAGCGGCAGCACTGTCCTTAAGAAGCTCTTTCTTCCTATCGACTGGAAGGGTTGCATCGAGCGGCAGGTAGGCGTGGCCCGCTTTCAAGATTGCAAGTGGAGCGATGTAGCTCTCCAAGCTACGCTTTAAACACACACCGACGACAGAGTTGCGCGGGAGATGGCCTAGCAAGCTTGCGACGCCGTTGCTAGCATGTTCGAGCTCTGCATACGAAATAGTAGCCGCTGGCTTTCGCCTGGACGCAGCATCGGCAATATCTTGGTAGACCTCGACAGCACATCTATTCTCGGAGATCGCCTCTTTATTGAGCGAGCTGCTGACGCCTGCGAAAAGTGTCTTTCGAAGTTGGGCTTGCTCGATCATCTTTGTGACAGAGTACAATGATGACGTCTCCTGATCCGGATAGGTTCCCTCTCGAAGGAAGGACTGAACGTTGACGTCACAGGAGGCGCAAAGTGCAGCCAAGCTGCGATTGAATTGCTCAAGCATCAAGCTGCCAAAAGCTTCGCTGACGAAGCTTTTTTGCCAGCTCAATCCGAGCTTCACACATCCGTCAGAGCCTGGAAGTACTTCAACACCAAGAACGTGTTCTGTGGCAACGCCGAGATCGGCAAGCTTGGTCAGGCGGAAGTGCTTCTGGTCAACTTGTTCTGGCTGCGATGGGGCTGGTTCGAGGACAAAGACCGAGTGAAAGAGGTGCTCTCCTGGCGGAACCTGAAGCAAGCGACGGATCGCTCCCAGATCGGTGTGCTGGGCTTCCATGACAGAGGTGTGAAATGCATTCATTTCCCTGATCAGGTCGCTGAGCTTCTGCTTAGGTCGAAGCACGAAAGGGACTGGTACAGTAGACAGGACGGGACCGTACACCTGATCAAGATCAGCAGACAGAGTCCGGCCAGACACCGAGTCGCCGAGGATGAGGTGGGGAGACTCGAGGTATGAGGAGAGAACCATAGCCCAAGCCGTCTGCACCATAGGTCGAGCGGAGACGCCGAGACGGCGGCAAACGGTCTCAATGTCCGCCCAACGGACGTTGGCTTCCATGTACCTAGACTGATGCAAATTGGCCTCCTCTGCATCTACATCTGATGCCTTGGTCAGCGACAGGATCGGGAAAGGGGCAGCTTCTCCTTTCGGATACGAGGAAAGCGCTTTGCTCCAGACCTCGGCATGTCTTTTCATCTCCTTTTCATCGATAGGCAAAATCTGAGCTAAGGCAGTTGAAAACTGACTCGAAGGCGGAGGCGCCGCGCCTTGGTAGTACGCTTCGACGTAGTCCTCGAAGATGCCAAGGGATCGAGCATCGTAGGTACTGTGATGAGCGACCAAAACCAACGACCTCTTTTTGCCCTGTTCAACCAGGAGGAAGGCAACCGGGGGTACGACTGCGAAGGGATCTAACTGAAGCTTCGACTTGACGGTAGAGAGAATGGCATGCTCGGCATTGACGTCATCTGCGATCTTCAGGTGCTCAATTTTGGGAGTAAATGACTTCCATACCAACTGCAGGAAGTGCGGCTGGAAAGGCCACTGTTGGCCCTTGCTGTCGATGTCAAGAGATCCGGCGTCAGCGAAGGATGTGCGCAAACTGTCAAAGTGCTCAACAGTCTTGAACAAGGCTTGTCGGAGTCGTTGGTCATCACAGTCCAAAGGCAGCTGGTACTGACGCTGGATGCGGTAGCTGGAAGTGTCACGCTGAGATTCTGCCAGCATACCTTCTTGTAGCGGTGTGCAGGGAAGAATCTTCTGGATGTCTGCATTCTCCACAGTTGACCCTCTTTGCCGAAGCCAGGAAGACACTGCAGGTCGGAAGGCGGCATCCCACTCGGCAAGGAAGTGAGCAGCCTGCTGTTCACGTTTCTGGCCGCTCCCCGAAGAGGACCGCAAATGCTCACCGAGCGCTTTGAGAGTAGGGAAGCGAGCGACATCGAGCACAGAGACAGAGTAGAATTCTTGAGATACACGCTGCGAGAAGGTCATGGCGCGGATCGAGTCGAGGCCAACGCTGGTGAAGGGGGTCTTGCGGCCGATCTTGTTGGCATCCACATTGCAGAGCTTAGCAAGCCACTTGCGCAGACAAGCTTCAGCCTCAGCGGATGCTGGGTCGATGTCATCGTCATCGCCTTGGTTTGCGAGCTTGTTCTCCCAATCGAGCTGATCAAAGTTGGCAAGGACGTTCTTGAGAGCGATACGATCGATCTTGGCGCTCGAAGTGCGCGGGAAGTGAGAGAGAATGACAAACAGGTTGGGCACCATGTATGACGGCAGGTTCTTCTTGGCGTTGGCTTGAAGTGCGCGTGCGACAGGAACAGCTTCATCGTCAGTCCTGAGAAGCTCTCCGGGCTGACCGCCTGGCAGGGCAGAGAAATTGATAATCTGCTGCTCGCTTTCGTTGCCCTTCTTGGGGAAGGCCATGGTCTCCGAGTCCTTGATCTTGTCGTGGCTATTCTTGATCGCGGCGTTGATCTCGAGGAGCTCGATACGGATACCGTTGACCTTGACCTGGTCATCGATACGGCCAAGGTACTCGAACTCTTGATTGTCGAGCTGACGCACGAGGTCTCCAGTACGATAGACCCTGCCGAGCTGTGGATGTGGGAAGAACTTTTCGGCAGTCTTGAGGGGATCACCAACGTATCCACGCGCCAGCTGAGGACCTCCAAGTACAAGCTCGCCGACAGCACCCTTGATGACGACGCGATCATGCTTGTCAAGGGCATGGCAGGAAACGGTGGGCAGTGCTACACCAATGTTGGGAGCCTTGACGCGGTCTCGGTAGGGAACGCGACGGTTCATGGCAATCAAGGTGGCTTCAGCAGGGCCATAGAGGTTGAGTAGACAGCAGTCCTTGCTCCACTCGTCTGCCACGACCTGGCTGAGCTTTTCGCCTCCCGAGATGACCACCTTGAGACTGGGCACACGATGACGCTCGGTCATGGCCATGACTGCCGGTGTCAAGAGGGTATGTGTGGGCTGGATGCTGTTGCAGACCTCGACGAGATCCTGCAGAAGCACGCCACGCGGACACGAGCAGATGGTACCGCCAAGGCCCCATGTGTAAAAGCAATCCATGATGGACAGATCAAAGTTGTAGGCCGAGTACTGCAAGTAACGGATCTGATCAGTGCCGATCTTGGCCTTGCCATAGGGGATGTAGAGACGAAGGGATCGCATAGCTTGGATGATGGCCAGATGTTGAATACCGACGCCCTTGGGAAGACCAGTGGTACCGGAAGTCCAGATCATGTAGGCCAGCTGCTGTATTGATCGAGCACCCTCTGCGTTGGGGATTGCATCGTTGGGGATTGCATCGTTTGGGATTGCATTGACATTTTGAAGCTCGGCATCGAGCTGATCGAGTCGGATGGCCTTGATACCACCCTTGCTCTTGACATGGCCGCTTTGCAGATCCTGCTCGAGCTGTTTTGAGATCTTATCGTCGTGAGTCAGGACAATGCTGGCGTTGGACTTGGCGAGAAGCGCCTGTCTACGGGAGGGCGGCCAGTCAGTATCAATAGGACACCATGCAGCGCCGGCTTTGAGCACACCGATGAAGGAGAGGTAGGTCTCGGGACTCTTTTCTAGATAGAGGGCAACAATGTGATCTACTTGAGGACATGAACTTGCAGAGCCAATGCCATGACTCCAGAGAAGCTGTTTGACCTTTTCCGCTCGCTCGTTCATCTGGGCATAGGTCCACTTGGTCGACTTTTGATCCTTGAGATCGAAGCGGAAGTCAAGCGCTAATGCTTCTGGCGTATTGTCGGCAAAGTATTCAAACTCGGTTTCTAGTCGGTCAGCATGTCGATCGTGAAGGTTTTCTGGATCAGGCAGATGGACGTAGTTGGAGTTGTCGGAAGCTCTGAGCTTCCAATCGAAGCGTTCAACAGACAGAGCATGCATTTTGGTGTCATGATGAAATGATCGGAGAAGTGCGGCAACTTGACGAACTTGTAGTTGGGCTGATTGTTCGGAATGAACGGCGGGAGCTGCCTTGATTTGGAGGAGGAGATGTTTGCTATCTCGGAGATGATACGAAAGAGCGAGCGAGATCTCTGGCCTTACGTCGAACTGTAGCTTGTCAAACTCGCTGGAAGGTGCATGGTTCTTGGTAGGTGCATAGAAAGCAGCGTAGCCGTGATCGAGATTCTGAGCTTGGATTGATCGTTGCCTTGCGGAATCAACGAGCTTGGCAAGTTGTGGTGGTTCGAAATCAGCGAGCTCCCGTTGCTCTGCAAAGTCGAGTTGGACAACGATCTCATGGCCATCTTGCAGTGTATGCAGTACTTGTACATTGGTAGCTTCATGCGATCCGTAGTGGAAGAGGATGACGCAGAGGGCTGACAGGACAGCGAGGTCGAGATCTTTGTTGGCGAAAGAAGATGCTGCGTCTGCATCCAGCTCAAGCGTCTCCTCGACTCGCAATAGCTTGCAGTGCTGACCGACTCGGGAAAAGTCAGGACCTGATGTGCGTAATCCAGCGACGTCTGGGAAAGGAGCGTGTGAGGTTTTGGTGGTCGCCATCTTGACTGCAAATCCGTCTGTTGTGATGACGCTGACTCCGGCGAGTTGAGGAGTGGGCTGGGCAACGCAGAAGAAGGCGAACAAGAACGTGTAGATCAGTGGCCTGTCCTTTGATCGCAAGCTAGTCCGACCGAGCTCAAACTTACCTCTGTGATCTGTTGTCTGTCGAGCGTTTTGGTAGTTCTGTAAGTAGTTCAGGCTGGTCTACGGATGCCAAGGCAAGTGCGACTTGGAGTCGAGGTGCTGATGTGTATGAGCGTCCAAAGGGAAAGGATGCTGTGGTTGGATGTTCTGATGTCGAGCCCTTAAAACAGTGAGTGCTATGTGATGCGCCTTGGATGGGAGGCGAGGGGATGAGCGACGGAAACGTTGCTGTAACAGCGAATCGGAAGGGCGAACGGAAGCAAGGACAAACGGTTGTCTGAAGTCGGTCGGGGCTAAAGAACACACATGGGATCAGGAGTAGCGCTTAGCTCGAGAGCTTCTTCCATTGCACATTCTCAACACTGTGTCTTGTCTGCTCTCTCCTTGCGAGCTAAGGACGAAAGAGCTACTCACACAAGCTCGTTGACATTCCGAGGTCAACACAAGAAGACCGCACCGGATGCAAGTCGAACAAGCGGCTCAACGGCAACACATTACTATCGACGTAGCTCTGATCTGTGTGATAGCCCCATCAAAAACAAGCACAACGACATGGTGGAGGCAAAGCAACCCGGAAAGGATGTGCATCAAATCACTTTCGCTCCGGTGACGACATCCAGATTCTCTGCAGTCTTGCAGATATCGATATATTTTAGCCTGATGAGCGAGTGTCACCTCTCTAGACTGAGGCTCTCTGGGTCGCTTGGAAATGATGTCAAGGCAAGCAAGCACAAAGGTTAGACCGTAGAGATGGCCAATAAGCTTGACACTCAGACTCTTGAGGCTGTTCGTGCCGTTGTCTGTTCCATCAGAAAAGCCGGTCAGAGAGTGGGAAGGAATTTGGCGGAACTGTGATGAGGTTGTCGCCAGGACAACGGAGATGGCACGATGACTTTCAGAAGTGTTGCTCGGCGAAGGAGGACGACAAAGAGGTACACCAGTCACAAAGAAACGCATCGATTCATCATTGATTGTGAAAGGTGGGGAGCCCTTCATTTGCTTTCGAACGAAGGCCAATCCTGTGAAAGCGTAGATCAGCCGCTCCTGCTACCACTGATCAGCTTGAATGGCCAAGGGGCTGGAGACAACTCTTTTTTTTTTATATCTGATAAAGCAATCAGAAGAATCAGGCCAAGGGGTCGAGGTGATTGCCGCAGCACATTCGATAATATGAACCTTTTCGGGCTGCTGAGTCATTGTTGCAGCGCCAAGAATGCAGTGCTCTGCAGAGCACAAACTGCCTCTTGCAGCTTCGGAAAGGACCGGCGTGGCCGCTAGTTTGCTCTCGACCAATCGTGTTGGTAGGCAAGGTCTCGTCGGAAGCAAGAAGCAAACTTTGGCGTGGTCGAGCACGGAAGCGAGTTGACAAACAAGTATGCGGTTTGCACGATGCTGCTTCAGGCGGCAGCGTGATCTTATCAGATGAGATCCCTACTCACCCACTTTCCCAGTAGAGCAGACATGATCCGGTGACAGCAAAAGTCTCTTGTACCACATTCGTTCTTCCTGACAACCTGCCAAGAAGACGCTAAGGTTGCGAGTCGGCCATCAAGCATCAAAAGGCGGAGAATGAAACTGCAGCAGCAAGCGGACCGGGTTGCATCCATGCGGCTGCTCTGTTGGCTCAAATGAACAAAGTTTGAGAACAACATGAGGGTGCTGCACCTTGGCTCGCAAGCCCACGTCGACAGTAATACCGGAAGCGGGCATTTGTGCAAGCTACTGTTGCTCGGGGAATGATCAGACCGAGACGAGAAAAGAGGGTGCTGGTGGATGTCGAGTGCTGCATGATCCCTCAGCTGAAGGCTGAACTGAAGAGATGTAGGTCTCTAGAACAAGAGCGTAGAAGCAAAGTTTGTGCGCCTGACTGGCAGCACCTACCGGAGGAAGATTGTGGCTTATCAGATTGAAACTTGCAGCAAGCGATCTTATCCGATTTACATCTCAAGAAGAAGAATCACCGCAACGGATTACATCATGTTTCATCTGAAACAGTACAAGATGAGCGAATGCTGCTGAAATGGAGATTTGAGAAACTTGTTGGCTACATCCTAGCCGAGCTTAGACTTGCAGTTGTTGGTCCATCCTTGTCCCATGAACTTATGGCTTGCTCCTGCTTTCTCACTCGCCCGACGGTTGTTTGCGAAAACATATGGCAACTAGGTAGACGAGCTATGTGTGTTGCGTAGCTTGGTGTGCTACTTTCTCTTGCTTTTTGGCGAGGTCTTCGCTGCAGCACAGCTTGCACTGGTGCACAGTATGAGGAGCGGTGTGAAGCGCCCCTGACCGGTTCAAAGTCGACCTTGCAGCCAAATTGTTCATGGATGGCGAGACAATTTTGCCAAGCAGCGGCCCTCGTGACTGGCTGGCTGGCTTGCATTGCATGCCTATGACCGCAGCCGAGTCGGAAACCCATTTTCGGATCACACGCAGCCGAGCTCTGGACGAGCAAACGGTGTCACCAATCAGATGGATCACTACAACAGCATGATCTCAGCAACCTTGTCCAACGAGCCTTCTTGGTCGCACTCTGCCCCTTGTTTTGTGAAACCTTCGTCCAGCTCTGTTGTTACACCTGTTCCATTGATGCGGTCATGCTTGGGTGGGTGGCGATCGCATTGCGCATGTTGGTCGCCGGCAACTTCGGCGGTGACGGGAATAGCCTCTTGTTCGACACTTTCTGCCGTTCTCCTTCGGCCGGAACTCCGAGTCGCTTTGCTCGGACTCTGATCGCAGTACAACTTCCATCCATGCAAGGATAGACAAGACTCATTCAGTGGCGAAGGGCTGGCAAAGGATTGCTAAGGCAAGGCGGGAGAGGACATTCTATTACCAGGTGGCCCGGCCGTCCACGGGTCAATGATGAGGGAAGTGGCATGGGCAAAAGAAAGATATATATATATATATATTTTTTTTTATCAGATTAGCGATCTTCATCATCTGAGTTGGAGACTTTAGCGCACTTGGCCTCTCTCTCTCTGCGTCTTGTTCGCCTGTTTTGCTATGTCAATGCCTCGCAACAATTCGTGCTTGCCGCCTCGGCACTTGCCAGTCCCGTGCCAGTAATCTGTCTGCCCTGTCCGGACTCGGGCACCAGGTTGTGTGAGCTGTCTATGGTCGGAACACAAAGAAGCTTCAAGTGATACAAAACTGACTCGTTTGTGCACGTTAGTCACTACTTGAAACCATCTCTTTCCACTCGTTGGTTCCTTCCATTACCTACCCTATATCATCGATCCGCCCTTCTTGCTCCCTTTGCGCTAGTTGACAACTTATTGACAGGTACGTTTTGCAATGCAAACATTGAACCAGCAATCACCGGAATTGGCGGGCGCGGCGACCGCAAATCAGACTGCAACATCACAGCTGTACAGGTCCCCCTGGATGGATGCAAGAATCGACTTCCTTCGAGGTCGGCCGCTGTCTCCATGCGCAGACAGCAGCTGATCGAGCACACGGTACGATCTGAGGAAAGCAAATCGGACGGCTACTACGACTGAGGAAGGAAAGTGTGGTGCTGTCTAGGATGGCGGGGAGGCGATATTCAGACCTGTTGTGACTTGCAGTATGGGCCATAGGGTCGTCCTCGTTCCCCGAGGCAAGAGAAGTCTCAGGTTTTCAGGCATTTGCAGCCTTTCGGAGCGAGGCTAGAATTCATCCAAGTTGCCGCAGTCCTGCTGTCCTTCCATATATGCTCAGCCTCGGGCGGCTTCCATCCAGGCTTTCTCTTCTCCTGGCCTCGGTGTCCGGAATCTTGCTACTTTTAGGGCCAAGGCAATCGGCTGACCAGTCTTCCCCGCCTGTTTTTGTTTTTGCTTCTATTCTCGAACGGGCGCTTGGTGATTATCCGATATTGCATGTTTGCATCATGACAGCTGTTCCTGCCCCGTCTCGGCGACACTAGCTCAACTTATTATTCCACGGCGCTTAGCCCGATCTCATTCCGACACTATGAGCCATTGCGCTGTTCATTCTGATGCGGTAAGTGCAAGAGCAAGCAAGCAATCGACTAGCAAGACGAAAGACTTGGATTCTCCGCGCGTATCATCGACATGATCTCAGCCATCGAATCGTCTCGGCCCTGTCGGATCCAACGCCTGTCCATCTCGTCTTCTCACAAGCCGGCAACATTTGCAGGGGCTCCGTTCATAAACGGCACCTTTGTGGGTGTGACGCGCTTTGACAGCTATGACTTGATTTCATCATGTTGGACAGCTGCGCTCTCAAACCCCCCAACACCGGGTCTAGCGAACTTTCGCAGCACACCGTGTCTAAGTGGTCACATAAAAAAGCGTCTATAGATCGCCAAATGCCCGATGGCAGTGCGACCGAGTCTCGTTGAAGCTAGCAAGTGCACCTTCACTTCCAGCCTTCGAGGCATTGTCATCAGCTCATGCTCGACCACATGCACCCAGAAAGTCTTGCAAGGTCTCCGAGACATATCTTGCGCATGACTTTTCGATGCTTCCAACGGGTGCGGTGCATACCTAACAGTCTTTGCTCCATCAGAAGCGTGGCTCTTTTTGGCCTTAAGCAGGGCACCCAGCAGTTGTCGCGTCGGCCAATCAGAATCGAGCTATTTCCAATCCATCCTCGCCTCCTTTCTCGTCTTTTGCAAGCTTGGGCGCTTGCGAGTACTGTAGAAAGGCAGCACAGCGCGACACGACGATTTGCCTCCACATGCCTCTCGCGTTGCACTCGTGTGTCAGCTTTCATGTTCTTTCTCGATGTCTTGTTTGTCAGCGTTTGTCAGCGTTCTTCTGTGGAACCGCGTTCGGATCGTCATCGCTGCTCGAGATCCAGAAACTGGTCGAACAGGTAGTTGGTGTGATGCCAGTGTACATGCTTGATTTCTGGGGTTTCCATCTCGGCATCCTATCCTCATTGCCGCCATTTCTACTCTTTGCCTGTCATTGGACTGCTTCTCCAGCGTTCTCGCTCCGAGCACGCTGGAGAAGCAGGCTGTCACTCTCCGCGTCGAGCGGCCAAGGTCTCCTTCTCCCAACGCCATGGTCTAACCAATCCGGCACCTCAGCAAGGCAAAAAGCCGCCAATCCGGTAAAACCTTGACGACTCATTCTGCTGCTGCACCCTTACGCTCCGAGCTTGTTCCTTGCTCTGCTTAGCAAAAGCGGAAAAGGTTTTCATTCACTGATTCGAGTTCTTCACCATGCTGTTCCCGCTCGCAAAAGTCGCCCGATCCCAAGTCTCAGCCTTTGTCACTTTGCTGGCTCGCTTCCTCCTCTTCTCCACCTCCTTCCCTCGACACGTTGCTCTTGCCTTGCCTCTCTTCTATGCACATCCTTTCCTTGGCCTCGCGATCCGGACTAGCATCCTTCCATAAGGACCTCACAGTCGCTACTGCTTTCATATCATCAGCGCATGCAACTGCCCTTAATATCTACTTCCACCCTACTTCAACCGAACGCAGCTCCCCTTTGAGACCATCAATCGCCGCTACCGACGCATCTTTGAACAGTTCTTTCATCATCCGACGTCGATCTTGCTTTCGCTATTGCAACTGCCACTCACGCTAACATAACTCTTTCTCGCAAACTCAAATCTTGTCGTGCGAATCATCGACGCAACTACTTTTGGTACACAACTTCGAGTGTCGCTATTCACATCAATAGCAGCCTTCCCCGGCTGCCTCCACTTCTTCGCTTGAAGCCATGAACGGTGTAAGTTCGCCGTCAACTTGTTCGCCCGATTAATCGTTCAAACAATCATGTACTGACTTTTTTACACCACTTGCTTATCCGATGCAGATCTCCTCTTCGCACACCACCGTTCCCAAGCAAGACATCTATGACCTGCTCGGTATCGGATACGGTCCTGCCCATCTCGCTCTCTCTATCGCGCTGAGAGAATCCGCCGAAGCTGCCGAGACCAACTTCAAGTCTCACTTCCTCGAGAAGCGCAGCTACTTTGCATGGCATCCCGCTCTCTTGCTTCCCGGCTCGCAGCTTCAGGTCTCACCACTCAAGGACCTCGTTACGCTGCGCGACCCTACATCTACTTATACCTTCTACAACTACCTCCACTCTCAGGGTCGTCTCGCTCGCTACATCAACAAGGAGCAGAGCATCCCATCTCGTCGCGAATGGACCTCCTACCTCGCTTGGGCTGCACGACGAATGAGCCAAGCTGTCTCCTATGGTCAGGACGTTGTCTCGATCGAACCTTTCACCCTCGCTTCCGCTTCGCCTGACGCCAAGCAGGACACCGTCTCAGTTCGGCCCGCCAGCAACGAGGAGGCGGATGCTCTTTATCTCTATCGCGTTCGCACCCGAGACCAAGCCACAGGCCAGATTCTTACTCGTTTCACCCGCAATCTGTCAGTCGCAGTTGGCGGTGTCCCCAAGCTCCCTCCGGTCTTTGAGACTGCCTACGCTCAACAATTCAATGCCGCCAACTCGGTCCCTTGCATCGTCCACTCCGGTACCTTTGTGCCATCGCTCGAGCACCTCGAGCCCAAGCTTCATCAAGCTGCCTTGCTCCGCCGTCAACAGGCCGCTCCCGCCTTGAAGAACGACGACTCAGCCCGACTGCATCTTGCTGTCATTGGAGCTGGCCAGTCATCCACAGAGATGTTGATGAACCTCCACTCTCGCTTCCCCACCGCCATCGTCACCATGATCTTCCGTGCTTCCGCACTAGTCCCTTCGGACGACACCGGCTTCATCAACTCGGCCGCTTTCGACCCAGAACGCACCGACGAGTTCTGGCAGGCAAGCGAGAAGCAACGCAACAAGTGGCGTCAGGAGTTCAAGCGCACCAACTACTCGGTCGTCCGTACCGATCTGCTCAACGAGCTTCACGACACCATGTACGACAAGTACAAGGTCCAGCTTCCCGAAGAGCTTCAAGACCCGTCAGAGAAGCAAGCTGGTCGTATGGAGATGCGACGATGCACCGAGGTCGACAGTGTCAACGTCATCGATGATGCCGAGGCCGGCGGCGTCGAATTAATGCTTCGGGACAACCTTCACAATGGCAAGTTTGAGAAGGTCCGCTTCGATGCGGTCTTCATTGGTACTGGATTCGTTCGTTCGCCTTCCAAGATGCCCTTCCTCGAGCCGCTCAAGCCTTTCTACCCTGCCCTTGACTCTGAGTGGGCTTCGCGCGACACCAGCGCAGAGGAAGATGAGGTGTCCAAGCTCGTTGACGATGAGGATGAGGAGGTCGTTGAGCGCAAGAGGGAGAACTTGCGTGGTATCACAAGAGACTACCGTCTCGTGCCCACCACTTCAATGCGAACCACGCTGCGCAGTGGCAAGTCTTCACCCGGAGCGGGCAGCGATGCTTCCTCGACCTCTTCACAGCAGACCCTGGCTAGTGAGGGCAACATGACTGAATCGTCCAACTTACCAGAACCATCACTGTACGTCTTGGGAGGCAACGAAGCCACACACGGTCTATCGGATAGCTTGCTCTCGATCGTTGCTCACAGAGCAGGCGAATTGACCACTTCGCTCATTCAGCGTCTCCCTCGCACTCGTAGAGGAACCGCTGCTGCCACCATCGTCAACAACACCGAGACAACCACTACACCTGCTACACAGAAGTTGACCACAGCGACTGTCAAGAACACGCCAACTGCTGCTGCAGTCAACTCCAAGCTTGCTGCTCTCTCCGGTTTGACTCTGGATGCTCCTTCTTCGCCTTAACTCAGGAGTGGAGAAAATTCATCTGTATAATAACACTCAAAAGATAGCACACATGCATCCATACATATCGTGCATAATATCATCCATTGACCAGATCTTGTGGCGTCCAGCGGAGGATTTCAACACAGACGACTCATGCACGAGCACCAACAATCTTTGTTGAGCATATGACCAAATAGGCATCGTCTTTGCTTCTGGACAGGATGTTAAGTGAATCAAAAGTACATACCATGATCAAAATTCAATCATCATCGCTGCTGGCTCCAAGCTCTGTTATTGGCTGCACATCGTCGACTCTCTTCCAGTTGTCCTTCTCCGCCTTGGCCTGAGCCTTCCTCTTTTTAGCCTTCTCCAACTTGTCCAACACTTTTGTCGCCGAGTTGAACAGCCCACTTGTCTGAGCACCGCATGCGAAACACTTTGAGTTCTTCGCAAAACGTTTGATAGCACATGCTGAGCAAAAATAGTGCCCGCACCGTGTCACAATCGGGTCTCTGAAAGGTTGTCTGCATATCAAGCATGCGAACGGCACCTCCTCTTCTTCCTTTTCTCCTTCTGATCCCTCTGGATCGGAGAGAATATTCTCGCGTGTCCGAGAAGAGCTGTTCGGCAGAACGTCCAATTGCCAGCCAGCAAGATAATCGGATCGGTCGTGCAAAAACTTGCATGTATCTCCAAAGCCGCAGTAGCCTGTCTCTCTGTAGTCTTTGCAGATGTCGGGTTGGTAGTCCATCAGTGATGTCGTTCGGACTGTAGTGGTTTGACGAATAGGCCCACGGGAACGCATCTTGGAGGAAGTGCCGTCATCGCGTGCGGCTATGTAGGAAGAGTAGGACTTGGCACCTCGATACAGACCATCTGCGTTGCTGCCCATGGGTGTGTCTTTGTTGGATGCTGCTACGGTGTCGAGATCCCAGTCGCTGTGACGTGTGGCGTCGTCTCGTATCCTTTGTAGACTGTCGGTGGCGGTGTTGGCTGTCAGTGACGCGCTGGAATCTCCGATTCGATCCCTATGGCTCGGTTGAAATCTAGACCTCCCTTCGCCTTCAAGCCCATATGATGAGGCGTCGAGTTCGTCGTCATCACTGTCACCCGTACCCGTGCTACCAAGCTTGGACTTGCGGTACACTGCTCCAGTTGATTGGACGAGGGGATTATTGTTGGTGCGCTTCTTCTTGATGACAACTGCAGAAGACGAGCCGAAGCCCTCATTATCCGAGTCGCTGTCTAGACGAGACGAAGTTGCGTTCGAAACGCTGTGAGATGCCTTGGAGGGCCCAGCGTTGCTGCTGGTTGTGGACGATGAAGTAGCGCCATTTGTGGAAGTGGAGGTTGCGGCTCTTGACGCAGGACCGCGCTTCCTTTTGAACACTACCGCCGGCGCTGATGCACTCGCTTCTGCAGAGGCATCCATGGTCGCAACAATAGAGATGTAAGGATGGGGGAGGAGAGGATGCGTGTGGTGATGGCGAAGCAGCAGGTTTGGCCAGGTTAAAAGTGCTCGGATCTCGGAGTTTACGGCTGAGTCCAAATCGAAGTGGAGTGAACATTTATCGTGCGACAAGAAGCTGCGTCTTTTGTCCAACTCTAAAAACTGGAAATTCGCACGAACCCTTTCTTTTGCCTTTCTGCCCTGAATCGGAAATCGGAAATCGGAAATCGGAAAAGGAAACACCAAGAAGTTTTTTTTTTTTTTTTTTTTTTTTTTTTTTTTTGGTTTTGGTTTTGGTTTTGGCTGGCCAGTTAGAGAGCAGCAAACCGCAGGCTGTAACTTGGTCTGTCGTGACAGGGGCCCCGATATCCAGATTGACGGTAGCCAACCAAGAGGTCAAGAAGTAAGGGTTCAAGGTCGTTGCTCCTTGTCTCTCGATTGATAGGAGGGCAGTCACCCCTTCTGCACCTTTCGACTCCACCGTCAAGCAGCCTTGTCTGCTTTCGATATTTGCTCTTGTTTCCAATAACACCATCCTTGGATCCATCCCTTTCTGGAACCTCATTCGCTACGGCGATACACTTCCAGCGACACTGTGAGAATCTCGCATCCTGATGGCAAAGCTTCTCGTTCGGCACAACATCTGACCTCTCGTTATATCTGCGTTCTTCCCCCTTCTCGACCTTGACATTGTCACTTGTGCCAATAACGCAGGCGATCGATAGTGTTCCGACCATCCGTTCGCTGACTCTGCTCGCACTTGATTGACAGAACCTCTCCGACGATCTTCTTATCGCCTTCGTCTTGCTCCCTTCCCTCAATCCAGCCATCCCTCAAGATGCTGACCTTGATCGGTTCTTCGCTCCTTCATCCCTCCAAGCGCGCTCAGCTTTTGGAGAGGGCCAACGCAAAGCTTGGTGGCAAGCTTGCTTCCATCGACGCTCTTTACATCCACTTCATCAACCCCGTCTCTGAACAGACTGAAGCTGTCCTCGCCGACACCAGCAGCCCACAGCAAAATGTGCTCGACAGCCTCCTCGTCTACGGTGATAATGTCGACCTCGAACACACCCGTCCCGCTGTTCAGCGTCTTCTCGCTGATGGTGCCGCTCCCACCAACGCCGCTCAGACCGTTCTTTTTGTGCTCCCTCGCCTCGGAAGCATCTCGCCCTGGTCCAGCAAGGCTACCGACATCGCTCGTATGTGTACCCTCAAGGACCACGTCGCCCGCATCGAACGTGGTATTGCATACGTTCTCCAGCCTGCCGCCTCAGCCTCGCTCGAGGCTGCCGACATTGCCCAGGTGCACGACCTCCTCCACGACCGCATGACTCAATTCATCTCGGCTGTTCCTCCCACTGTTGATGCTCTCTTCCACAAGGCTCAAGCTGCTCCGCTCACTCATGTCGACCTCCTCGGTGCTGACGGCACTTCGGATCGCCAGGTCGCAAAGCAGCGCCTTGTTGATGCCAACGAGCGACTTGGTCTGGCCCTCGCCAATGACGAGATCGACTATCTCGTTGACGCCTTCGTTGCCGGCAAAGGTGATCGATCCGACGCTCTTCGCCGCAACCCTACCGACGTCGAGCTCTTCATGTTTGCTCAGGTCAATTCGGAGCACTGTCGTCACAAGATCTTCAACGCCGACTGGACCATCGATGGCAAGAACATGCCCAACACCCTTTTCGGTATGATCCGCAACACTCACAAGCTCAACCCTCAGCACACTATCAGCGCCTACTCCGACAATGCTGCTGTTATCGAAGGCTACGAGGCCACTCGTTTTGCCCCCTCCCCTGCTGGCGGCCTCACCGTTTACCAGGGTGTCAAGGAGCCCATGCCTTTCCTTGCCAAGGTCGAGACTCACAACCACCCCACCGCTGTTTCGCCCTACCCCGGTGCTGCCACTGGCTCCGGTGGTGAGATCCGTGACGAGGGTGCCGTCGGCCGTGGCTCCAAGCCCAAGGCTGGTCTTGTTGGTTTCATGACTAGCAACCTTCTCCTCGAAGGCGACGGTCGTCAGCCCTGGGAGGAGGACTTTGGCAAGCCTTCGCACATCTCGAGCGCCTACGACATCATGATTGACGGCCCTCTTGGCAGCTCTGCCTTCAACAACGAGTTCGGTCGTCCCGGTCTCAGCGGTTTTTGGCGAACTTGGTCCGAGCGCATCCCCGTCGATGACAACTCAAGTGAGGTCCGTGGTTACCACAAGCCCATCATGCTTGCCGGTGGTCTCGGTAACGTTCGTCCCAAAAACGCTCTCAAGTCTAACATCACTCCGGATGCTGCCATTATTGTGCTCGGTGGTCCCGGAATGCTTATCGGTCTTGGCGGTGGTGCTGCTTCGTCCATGGCTAGTGGTAGCTCGTCCCGTGCCGCCCTCGACTTTGCCTCGGTGCAGCGAGACAACCCCGAGATGCAGAGGCGTGCTCAGCAGGTCATCGATGCTTGTACTGCTCTCAGCGATGCTCCTGGTGTCATCGAAGGTCAGATCGGCCAGGGCAACCCTATTCAGTCTATTCACGATGTCGGTGCTGGTGGTCTCAGTAACGCTCTTCCCGAGCTTGTTCATGATGCGGGTCTCGGCGCTCGTTTCGAGATTCGTGACGTGCTTGTCGATGACCCTTCTATGAGCCCTATGGAGATTTGGTGTAACGAGTCGCAGGAGCGATACGTCCTTGCTGTCAGCGCAGAGGACCTCCCTCGCTTCGAGGCCATCGCCAAGCGAGAGCGATGTCCCTACTCGGTTGTCGGTCGTGCCACTGTTGAGCAAGAGCTCGTGGTCACCGACCGTCTTCTTGGCGGTACTTCAATCCACCTCCCCATGCCCATCCTCTTCGGTAAGCCGCCCAAGATCGCTCGCCAGGCGCAGAGCAAGCAGCCCCTCCGCATTCCTTTCGACTCTACTCTCACATCCTACCTTCCCAACATCAAGGATGACCCCGTCAAGATGTTTGCAGAGGCTGTTGACCGTGTTCTCCACCTGCCAACTGTCGCTTCCAAGAGCTTTCTCATCACCATTGGCGACCGAAGTATCACTGGTCTTGTCGTTCGTGACCAGATGGTTGGTCCCTACCAAGTTCCAGTGGCCGATGTTGCTGTGACCCGCACCTCGTACGGCTTCAACGAGAGCCTCACTGGTGAAGCTGTTGCTTCAGGTGAGCGCACACCGTTGGCACTTCTCAGCGCTGCTGCTTCCGCTCGCATGGCTGTCGCCGAGTCGCTCACCAACATTGCTGCCGCCAGCATCGAGAGTCTCGAGCGCATCAAGCTCTCGGCCAACTGGATGTGCGCTGCAAGCCACTCGGACGAGGGTGCTCGTCTCTACGAAGCCGTCCAGGCTATCGGTCTCGACCTTTGCCCCAAGCTCGGTCTTGCCATTCCTGTCGGCAAGGACTCGATGTCGATGAAGATGGCCTGGGAGTCGCCCGAAGGTGAGAAGAAGGAAGTCACCGCTCCCCTTTCACTCACCATCACTGCTTTCGGTCCCGTTGACGACGTCAACCGCACCTGGACACCACAACTTCGCACCGACATTGATGACAGCGTCTTGCTCTTTATCGACCTTGCAAGTGGCAAGCAGCGTCTCGGTGGTTCTTGTCTTGCCCAGGTTTTCCGTCAGCTCGGTCACGAGGCCCCTGATGTCGAGGATGCTGCCGTGCTCAGGGCCTTCTTCGAGGCCTGCTACACGCTCAAGCAACTTCGCGTTCAGAAGCGCGATGAGGGCAGCCTTGTTCTTGCCTACCATGACCGCTCAGACGGTGGTTTGATCACCGCCATTTTCGAGATGTGCTTCGCTGGTCACTGCGGTGCCGAGATCTTTGTCGATGCTCTCGATGCCGAGCTGCGCGACCCCGTCGCTGCTCTCTTCAACGAGGAACTTGGTGCTGTCATGCAGGTCAAGGCAGGTGACGTCAAGGCCGTCTCGGCTGTCCTCACTGCTGCTGGTGTTCCCTCGAACAACTTGCACATCGTTGGTCGTGTTATGCCTGACTCGCAGGACATCAAGGTGGTTGCTCGTTCGCAGTCTTTACTCACGTCGACCTGCGCCACACTTCAGAAGGCATGGGCTGAGACTTCGTTCCGTATGCAGAGCCTCCGTGACAACCCGGAGACCGCTGCCTCAGAGTACAGCCTCATCACCGACGAGCCCACCTCGGCCGCTGCTCTCCGCTACGATCTCACATACAGTCCCCATGAGGATGTTCTCGGCGCTCAGGTCGTCGAGGCTCCTCTTGATGCACGACCGAAGGTTGCCATCTTGCGTGAGCAGGGTGTCAACGGTCAGATCGAGATGGCATGGGCTTTCACCCGTGCTGGCTTCTGTGCTGTCGACGTTCACATGTCTGACCTGGTTGAAGGTCGTGTGACACTTGACCGGTTCGTCGGTCTCGCTGCCTGCGGTGGTTTCTCGTTCGGTGACGTTCTTGGTGCCGGTAGCGGTTGGGCCAAGTCGATCCTTCTCAACCCTAGCGTCAAGGCTCAGTTCGTAGACTTCTTCCAAAAGCGTGCCGACACTTTTGCTCTTGGTGTCTGCAACGGTTGCCAACTTCTCTCGCAGCTCGGTGTCGCTGGTCTCATTCCCGAGGCGCAGAACTGGCCGCTCTTCAAGGCCAACGAATCCGGCCGTTTCGAAGGCCGTCTCTCGACTGTCGAAATCACCAAGACTGGCGGCGCACAGTCGATCTTCCTGGCCGACATGGCTGGATCTGTTCTTCCTGCCATCATCGCTCACGGTGAGGGACGCGTTTCGTTCCGCAACGCTGGCGACCTCGAAGCTTGCAAGTCCAAGAACCAGGTCGCTATGCAGTACGTTGATCAGCGATACCCCATCAACCCCAACGGCTCGCCCGAGGGTATCACAGCCATCACCGCCAACCAGGGCCGTGTGCTGGCCCTCATGCCTCACCCAGAACGTGGTGTTGCATTGACAAGCATCAGCTGGGCTCCTGCTGAGGCGTATGCTAAGGGCGAGAAGGGCTGGCAGGGCAAGGGACCTTGGTTCAGGATGTTTGAGAACGCAAGAAAGTGGGTTGCTTCGCAGCAGTGAGCTAATCAGCAAAATCAGACGTAAGTTATATCACATCGTCCTAGAGAAAACACTCGGGCTCAACTTGGGAGCACATGTACATAGACACTTGGCAAAATGAATCATCTCAAAGCTCTTGCGCGATATTGGTTTCGTGCTCGCTTCCCGTCTAGATGAGCGACAGGAAGTCAGACATTGAATTGATAGACACGCTGAAACCACAATGCCGAAAGATGCTGACCAGTTTCATACCAAGCCGTTCGTCAATCATCGTCATCGCCTTGATCGTTGCGATCCGAGGCCGGCGCTACCGTTGCTCCTGCTGCTCCTACTGCTCCTGCCAATGCATCGTATGAGTCCAGAAGATCGCGCACATCCTGCTCTCTGCCATGCTTCCACATGGGATCCAGATCCACTCTGACCAAGTTTGCGACCAAGGTTCCGGCTTTGTAGACCAGCACAGTTGGCAGCACCTCGAGCGTCTTTGGGTTGTACTCGTCGTACTCTTCCTCGTCATCTTCTCCATCGTCTGTGTTGGCAGACTTGCCAAAGCCAATAGCAGCGGCCTGAACTTGCAAGAACTTGGTACGTGGATATTGCCGCGCCAAAGAAGCTAGCGAGGCTGTGAGGACGTTGCACTGCGCAACGGCTTTGGAGTAGATGTGAATGACGATAGGAACATCAGCATGCTCAATGTCGATAGCAGATACGTAGCCACGCTCGTCGACCTCTCGGAGATGACCGAACCATCGGTTGCTTGCCCCTTTGCCCGCCGCAGCAGTGGGAGGAGCGACGGTTGCGCCAACGGCCGATGCAGGGTTGCCAGAAACGAGTGCACTGTTGCGGGCAGCGTTGTAGGATTTGAGTTCGGCAATGCGCATCTCTCTTCTTCGCTCTTTGGCTTGCAGGTCAGCAATCGCTTCCTGGCTTACAGCAACGTCGTCATCATCACTATCGGCGTTCTCGCGACGGAGTCGGGCAGCTTGCTCTCGCTTCTCCCTCTCAGCTTGCTGCGTGTACGTTTCTGAAGACAGGGCTAAGCCTTCCATGCGGCGGTTGGTGGCATGCACGGCGGCGGAACGAGCAGCGCTCTCTTGCTGGGCTCTGAGCTGTTGATCGCGCAGTACACCTTTGGGACCTGTCTTGGAAGCTCCTTCGCCACCACGCTTGGCGGTGCGCGAGGACATGAGACCCTTGATACCTCCCTCTCGCTCACTGCCTCCAGCAGCGGCTGCCGAGGAGGAAGCATGTTGATGTTGATCGTCGTCGTCGTTGTTGTAGTATAGGTCGTGCTCGTCGTCAGGAAGGTCGGAGTCGAGCTGGTCATCTGTGTTGGGAGCATCATCGGCGTCGGAGTCCTGTGCAGCTCGACGATCCTCACGATAGGAAGAGGTGGGGTGAGCATCGATGCCTTGCAGGATGGCAGCCTCCATGGGGTCTCGGCTGCCGGACATCTTGGTCTACAGGTTGTTAGGCGGTATGTGGTGGTATAGAAAGCTGAGCCGACCTCTTGAAAGGGCTTATGCGTCGAGCAATTTTAGACGTGTACGCTCTCCTTCACGCGTGTGTTGGCCAATGGCAATGCTTTTGTACGTATGCAGAACGGTGGTTGTGGGTGTGAGAAGAGGCTGTGTGTTACCCCACCTTGAGCGAGACCTGTTCAGGACACTGATTCGAGAACCGAGCGCTGCTTTCGCTCGTGCAAGTGCTGCTGGCTTCCTAAAGGCCCGAGTTCGGGAGACGTACGGTTGTGTCAAGGTCAAGAGAAGGCGAGAAGCCGAGAAGGTGAGAAGCCGAGAAGGTGAGAAGGCGAGAAGAAAGGGGTCCAAGCATCAAAGGGAACTCTTTAAAAAAAGTGGGCAAGTGAAGTTGGCCCATGCAAGCCGCACTTTGTGCACACACTTGCTCTCCTTTCCGCTCCTTTGGCTATTGGAGCTGTGACATGTGTTGCCTTGCGACCTTGTATAAAGCTGGTGTAGAACCGAACGGCAACGTCCCAGCCTAAAGGTGGCCGAGTCAGGCTAGTGGCGCACAAGCCTCGCTTCGACGCTGTCACTTTCGCCAGCCATGTTGGCGCAAGGCTATGTGGCTCAGAGCAAGTGTTGCTCTCAGTTGGGCGCTACTTTTTCCTTTCTGTGTTTTGGCTCGATGTAACATTTCATTGTAAAATAGGATTGGTTGTGTCGTGCGAGAGTGACTCGACTCGTATTTCACTCGTGGGCCGAGAAAAGGAGCGCTTTTTCAGTTGGCAATTCTTCCAGCCTTACGTCCGGCTAAGCAGTGAAAGCAGAAAGAAGCAACTCTGCTTCTGACCTTCCACCATCCTCCATCATTACCTGAAATCCTCTCTGAAACGCATTGCTTCACCAATCTTGGTGTAGAACGGTGCAACAACCAATACAATCATGGCTGAGGCTGCCGCCACTTTTGGCGAGCATGAGGTCACCACTCCCTTCAACTTTCCAACAGAAGAAGAAAAGGTCATTCGATATTGGCGTGCTATCGACGCTTTCAAGACTTCGCTAGAACAGAGTAAAGACAGGAAACCATTTAGCTTCTACGATGGCCCTCCCTTTGCTACCGGTCTTCCACACTACGGCCATCTCCTCGCCGGTACGGTCAAGGACATTGTCACAAGACACGCACACTCCACTGGTCACTACGTAGACCGTCGCTTCGGTTGGGATTGCCACGGCCTTCCAGTCGAACACGAGATCGACAAGAAGCTTGGCATCAAGGGAAAGGAGGACGTCATGGCTATGGGTGTCGACAAGTACAACGCAGAGTGCAGAGCTATCGTCATGACCTATCAGAACGAGTGGAGAGATACTGTCGAGCGCATGGGTCGATGGATCGACTTTGACAACGGATACAAGACTATGGACCTTAACTTCATGGAGTCTGTATGGTGGGTCTTCAAGACTCTTCACGACAAGGGTCTCGTCTATCAGGGTATCCGTGTCATGCCTTACTCCACTGCCTGCACCACTCCTCTCTCCAACTTCGAGGCTGGTCTCGACTACCGCGAGGTGCAGGACCCTGCCGTTACCGTCAGCTTCCCTCTCGTAGAAGATCCCAAGACCGCCTTTCTCGCTTGGACTACCACCCCTTGGACCCTCCCCTCCAACTTGGGTCTTTGCGTTCATCCTGACTTCAACTACATCAAGATTCACGATGACGAGCGCGACATGAACTTTATCATTCACGAGGACCTTCTCGCCACCCTCTACAAGGACCCAAAGAAGGCCAAGTTCCAGAAGCTTGAGACCTACAAGGGCAAAGACCTTGTCGGCAAGCAGTACGAGCCCATCTTTCCCTTCTTCCAGGATCGTTTCAAGCACCGTGCTTTCCGTGTTCTCTCCGACACTTACGTCACCTCGGATGCCGGTACCGGTATCGTTCACCAGGCTCCTGCCTTTGGTGACGACGATCACCGCGTTGCTATTGCCCACGGTGTCATCACCCGTGACGAGACCCCTCCTAACCCTGTCGATGGCTCCGGCCGATACACTGACGAGGTGCCTGACTATGCTGGTGTTCATGTCAAGGAGGCTGACAAAGCCATTCAGAAGGATCTCAAGGCGCGTGGCCGTCTCATTGTACAGGCTACCTTGAGCCATCAGTACCCCTTCTGCTGGCGATCAGGTACCCCTCTCATCTACAAGGCTATCCCTTCATGGTTCGTCCGCGTCGAGCCTGTCATTGAGAAGCTCGTCAAGAACAACCAAGCTACCCGCTGGGTGCCCGCCAACATCGGTGAGGGTCGATTCGGCAACTGGATTGCAAACGCTCGTGACTGGAATATTAGCCGAAACCGATACTGGGGCACTCCCATCCCGCTTTGGGCGAGCGAAGACATGGAGGAGATCGTCTGCGTTGGATCGGTCGAGGAGCTTGAGAAACTCTCGGGCGTCAATGGCATCACCGACTTGCACAAGGACAAGATCGACCATATCACCATCCCCTCGCAAAAGGGCAAGGGTCAGCTCAAGCGTGTTGAGGAGGTCTTTGACTGCTGGTTCGAGTCGGGATCCATGCCTTACGCCCAGGCTCACTACCCCTTCGAGAATAAGGAGAAATTCGAAAAGTCATTCCCTGCCGACTTCATCTCGGAAGGTCTTGACCAGACCCGTGGTTGGTTCTACACCCTCCTCATCTTGGCCACACACCTTTTCGACAAAGCGCCATGGAAAAACCTCATCGTCAGCGGTCTTGTGCTCGCTGCCGACGGCAAGAAGATGAGCAAGTCGCTCCGCAACTACCCGGATCCCAACTTGCTCATCAATCAGTACGGTGCTGACGCCATTCGACTCTACCTCATCAACTCGCCAGTCGTGCGTGCCGAGAACCTCCGCTTCAAGGAGGAAGGTGTCAAGGAGGTCGTCTCATCTACCTTCTTGCCCTGGCTCAACTCGTTCCGCTTCTTTCTCGGCTCTGTCAGTCTGTTCGAGAAGGACAATGGCGTCAAGTTTGTCCACGAGAACAAGGCTCAATCTTCGTCCAACGTCATGGATCGATGGATCCTGGCGCGATGCCAGTCGCTCATCAAGCTCATCAGCGAAGAGATGGCTGCCTACAGGCTCTACACTGTCGTACCACGCTTGGGAGAGCTCATTGACGAGCTTACCAACTGGTACATTCGATTTAATCGTCGTCGCTTGAAGGGTGAGAACGGTGTTCAAGACACCAAGGCTGCGCTCAACTCTTTGTTCGAGACGCTCTTCACCCTTTGCCGCACTTTGTCTTCCTTCACACCCTTCTTGACCGAGAACCTCTACCAGGGTCTGCGCAAGTTCTTGCCCGAACAGGCTGCCGACGACAAGGAGGACTATGGCAGTGTTCACTTCCTTTCGTTCCCCGAGGTTAACGAGTCATACTTTGACCCTGTCATCCAGCGTCAGTTTAAGGCATTGCAGTCGGTTGTCGAATTGGGTCGTGTCATCCGTGTCAACCACAACCTTCCCATCCGTGTACCTCTCAAGGAGCTGGTCGTCTTCCACACCGACAAGGAGTACCTTCAGGATGTTGAATCGCTCTCGGACTACATCAAGGAGGAGCTCAACGTGCGTGACCTCGTTCTCTCCTCGGACGAGGCCAAGTGCGGTGTTCGCTTCAAGCTGTTTGCCGACTGGCCCGTTCTCGGTCGCAAGCTCCGCAAAGATGTCGGTAAGGTGCGCAAGGGACTTGAGAGCGTCACCTCAGCTGACGCCAAGACGTACAGGGAGACCGGTAAGCTTAACGTTGCTGGTGTCGACCTTGTTGAGGGTGACCTGCGTGTCATTCGATACGTCGAGACAAAAGAGATCGAGGGCAGCTTCGAGTCCAACACAGACGGCAACGTGGTCGTGTTGCTTGATATTCAGCCACGACCCGAGTTGCAGATGGAGGGTACAGCACGTGAGGTGGTGAACCGTATCCAGCGTCTGCGTAAGAAGGCTGGATTGGTGGCGACCGACGAGGTTGATGCCTTCTACTCGTTCGAGAAGGGCCTGGGTGAGGCACTTGCTGAGGCTATCGAGAGTCAGCAGGAGACATTCATGAAGGCGCTTAGGAGGAAACCTTTGCCAGAGGCCCAGAAGAAGGCGGACGCCAAGGTTATCTTGCAAGAGGAGCAGGAAGTCGGCGAGGACAAGTTCTTGTTGACACTTGCTTGGGCTTAGATTGTGCTTACGCATGACTAGAAAGGCAATGTCAAATTTTGCGAATCACGTTGCTTTTCTTTTGAGAAGTGTGATGTGTTGCTTTGAGAATGTTGTTAGAGTGATAGTGATACAAAAGTGATAGTGATACAAAAGTGAAACGTGTTAGCTGCGATGCTTCAGGCAACGTGGATCTGATGCTTGCTCATCATGGATATCTGTGGGTATTTTGCTGAGCGACGAGGAGCTGTGCTGTAAAGTAGAGGCGTTGAAAGGAGCAGGCCAGTCATTGCTTCTTGGTGGAGCCAAAGCCGCCGAAGCCCATGGCAGCCATGATCGCATCTCCATCCTCCTGGCCTGCTGATCCATTCAAAGCGTTCGCAGCTGGAGTGTCAGTGACATTTGCTTCCACCTTCTGTAGTTTCTGCGTTCCTAATTTCTTTGCCAGCCTCTGTTGCCTTCTCTTCTCTCTCTTCGCTTCTCTCTCCTTTTGTTCCAGCTGGGCGATCTTTTTGATCCGCTCGTCGAAATCATACGCTTGACTCTGCTGACTGTTTCCCAATCTCGTTCTCCTCAAGTCATCCAACATCTCCTTGACCTCTTCCAACGTGGCTCGATCCTGCTGCGTTGACTGACCGATGCGCATCAGATGTACGCGCCCGTTGATGTGATCCAAGTATGCCAGATTGTCTTTGAGAAGCTTACGACAGACTTGACAGTAAAATCCTGGTCCTGTCTGCCCTTTCCCATCAGCTGCCAGGTCGACCATGAGCGTTTTGCCTTCATTCTTCTCCAAGCCGAGTGGAGCACGACGCTGCTGCATAGCGAGCTCGGGTTCGAGAGCATTGGATTTGAGTCGCTTGAGCGGGGGCAGACCTTGGGACCGACGTTCTGCATTGACGGAATCGAGCTCAGCTTGACGTTTCTCTCGAGACATGGCTTTGCGTGAGAACTCGACCTTGTCCCATGTTCGGCGACTCGGGCCGACTGCACTACCTCCACCAGCGGCAGGGGCGGCAGTAGGTGCTTTCGACATGATCCTTGATGGCTGCAGTGTACCGACTGCCCGGTGAGTAGGATGATATGGTGGGTGTGGTTGAGCAGTTGAGCAGCTGTAAGGAAGCGAATGCTCCACTTTTCGGTGAACAGCAGCTACCACAGTCCCGACTTCCGGAAAGCTGCTGCTGGTTGGGGTGATCGCATTATTGTTGAATCGGGTGATCGGGGTAAGATCGAACGTGTCACGCAGAGCAACAACTCGAAGTGATCTTCTGATAGCCAACTTCTCCGCCTTTTTCATTTTCATTTTTTTTTTCTTTTTCTTTTTCTTTTTCTTTTTCTTTTTCTTTTTCTTCTCAAAAATTGCGACGGTAGAGAAAGGCAGAAAGAGAGAGAGCACTGACCTTGCTGTTTTTGGCCATTTTCGAAAGAGCGTGTGTGTGTGTTGGGAGAATCGATCGCAGCTCCTCGTCGACTGTTGATCGTCATCGTCATCATCATCGTCATCATCATCGTCCTTCTCCTCTCCCGCTTCCACCCTTTCATCATCCTCTCCCCCAGCTTCCTCTTCTCATCCCTGATCCGACAACGGAGGACAGTAGGACAAAGCATCAACATCAGGTGCACAGGTCTCTGTCGACGTCATCCAATAACTCTCGCAATTCCGTTCTCATCAGTCGCGGTCTCGTCCACACAGACTCCCTTCTGCAATCTGTTCGCTAGCTTCAGAAACGAAAGCAAGTGCTGATCACTGCAGCTGTACTGCTCACGCCTTTGACGCGCTAAGCTTCTCTCGATTATCACAGCCCAGCGCCTCGGCCTGATTGCTTCACCATGTTTGGTTCTTCCGGTTTCGGCGCTTTCGGCCAGCAGAACAACCAGCAGCAGCAGCCACAGCAATCCGCTGGCGGCCTCTTCGTCCAAGCGCAGCAGCCCAACACACCCGCTCAGACCGGATTTGGTACGACTGGAGGTAAGTAACACCACTGTCAGTCCGACATGCGCTTCTGCCGTCTCATACTAACGTCTTCACACCTTCACTTCGCTTCGTTGCTACCATTCGCCTCTCTCGCTCGACAGGTTTCGGCTCAACAGGTGGCTTTGGTGCGGCCCAGCCAGCAGCACAGACTGGCGGAGGTCTTTTTGGACAACAAAACCAGACTCAAACCCCTTCCTTTGGCGGCTTCGGCGCTTCCACCAACAACGCATCCACCGCCGGCGCCTTTGGTGCACGCCCAGCTGGTACGACTGGCTTTGGTGGCTTCGGCACTCCTGCTTCCACCACGGGCAGTAGCTCTTTCACTTTTGGCTCCACACCCGCTCAACAACCACCACAGCAACCAGCAGCTGGCGGCTTTGGCACTTCCACTTTCGCCTCGGCAGCTCCGGCAACGGGCGGTCTCTTTGGTCAGCAACAACAGCAGCAGCAGCAGCAGCCTGCCGCAAGCGGCTTTGGTTCCACTGCTGGTGCCTTCGGTCAGCCTGCTTCTGGCCCAACTCCCGGTCAAATCACACAGGGTACTGCTACTGTACCTTACGACCCTTTGCGCGAAGACTTGACGCCCACCGAACACCTTAAAGATCGTAAGAACTGGGATGTGCAGCAGTCGATCACCGTTATGCCCGCGTACAGCCAGTACAGCATCGAAGAACTCCGTCTCATGGATTACCAGCAGGGTCGTTCCAAGGGCAACACCGGCCCAGGCGCTACTGGCGCTCCTTCCACCGGCTTTGGCTTCGGCGCGACCAACAACAACAACACCACCGGCGCCTTCGGTCAACCTCAACAGTCTGCCACCGGCTTTGGTGCCACTCAGACCAACACCACTGGCGGTCTTTTCGGCCAGCCCCAGCAGCAGTCTGGTGGCCTTTTCGGTCAACAGAACCACCAGCAGCAGTCCGGTGGTCTCTTTGGTGCCAAGCCTGCTACCACTGGTTTCGGTGCTTCCACCACAGGCGGCGGTCTCTTCGGCCAGCAGCAGAATCAGCCTCAGACTGGAGGACTCTTCGGTCAGCAACAACAGCAACAGCCAGCCTCCTCCTTCTCCTTCAGCTCTCAGCCTCCGCAGCCTGCCGCCAGCACCGGCTTCACTTTTGGCGCAAACAACAACAATCAGCAACAACAAAACAAGCCTGCATTCGGCTTCGGCGCTTCCACCACTCAACCTGGTCAGGCTGGCACCACTGGCTTTGGCTTCGGTGCCAATAACAATCAACAGCCAGGACAGACCGGCACAGGCTTTGGCGCAAGCACCACGGCCACTACAGGCGGCTTTTCCTTTGGTCAGAAGCCAGCGACTGGCGGCCTCTTTGGCGCTGCTACCAGCCAGCCTGGACAGACTGGAGGCTCTACCAGCACCTTCGGCGGCTTCGGTGCTGCTTCCAACACAGCAACCCAAAACAAGCCTTCCTTTGGTTTTGGTGCAGGTGGAGGGTTCGGTGGTACTTCGGGAACGGGTACCGGCACCACTGCTGCTCCTGCTACTGGCGGGTTGTTCGGCGGTGCTAACACGACACAGCCCAGCGGCGGTCTTTTTGGCAACAACAATACTGCTGGAGGGGCTACTGGCACAGCAGGCGGATTCAGCTTTGGTGCGAACAACAACCAGCAGGGTAACCAGCAGCCCGGTCAGACTGGTACCACCGGTGGATTCGGCGGCGGTCTCTTTGGAGCAAAGCCCGTAGGCCAGACAGGTACACAGCCAGCTACCGCCGGACTCTTTGGCAACACAGGTGCGCAGACAGGCCAGACAGCCGGCACTGCTTTCGGCACAGGTACCTCGACAGGCGGAGGATTGTTTGGCAACACTGCTAACAAGCCCGCAACTGGTGGCTTCTCCTTTGGCGGAGGCGCCGGCTCTTCACTTTTTGGTAACAACAATCAGCAGAACAATCAGCAGCAGGGCGCTGGTGGCCTAGGTAACGGCTTTGGCCAGACACAGAACAACACGACCGGCAGTGGACTGTTCGGTCAATCCAATCAAACCTCGACTGGCACTACCGGTGGCGGACTGTTTGGCGGTGCCAGCAACACGGGCGGCTCGTCCCTCTTTGGCAACTCCGGTACCTCGAACACAGGCGGTGGTCTGTTCGGCGGCTCCACGCAGAACTCGAGCGGTGGTGGTCTCTTTGGCGGCAACAATCAACAGGCCTCTGGTGGTTTTTTCGGTGGATTGCAACAGAACAACCAGCAGAACAATCAGCTGCAAAACCAGCAGCAGCCCACCGTGCAGGCTTCGCTCGACTTGAACCCTTACGGCACCGACAGTCTGTTCGCTTCCAACCCGGTCAACGGTGCTGCAGGCTCAGCCGCCAACGGTGCTTTGCTTCCCTTCAATGTTGCACCCAAGAACAAGCCTCCTCTCACCACACCTTTCCGCTCCAGCCCGCGTGGTGCCAACAAGATCAACCGTCTTCGCGGATCTACTCCTGGTACTTCCGGTCTGGGCAACTCCAGCTTCGTTCGCGAGGGTACACCTAGCTCGTTCCGCCAAGGTACGCCCGGCGCTCATGCTCGCTTCGGCACTCCAGGACGTGCTGGCTCGCCTGCTTTGTTCAAGGGCTTGAGCGACGAATACAGCCAGCCCCTCTCTTCCCAGGCCTTCGTGTCGCGGCCTTCCGCCAAGCGTCTTGTGCTCGACGATGCCGGAGAGAACAGCTTCACTGCTTCTCGCATTGGCCGCAGTGGCAGCGTTCCACACTTTGAAAGCGGTAGCAGCCCTGCTTCCGGCTCCCTTGGTGCTTCGGCTTTCCGCAGCGGAACCGTCCAGCCTGGATCTGCATCGCGTGTCACCTTCAGCCCTGCCCTTGAGCAGCGCGCTGAATCTGTCCGTCCTGGTGGAGGAGACCTCTCCTTCGCTTCGTCTCTTCCTTCACGTCGTGGCAACTTCTTCGGCGGTGCCTCATCCAGCGTCGTCGAGGAGACTCCGCTCAAGACGGTCTCTGCTGCTGCTGCCAAGGCTGGTGCGCCTCGCCAGGGTCGTGACCTCGAATCCTCTTTCGCCGCTCCCAGCACCACCAGTGCCAGTGCTTCCACCAACCCCACCAGCGCCGCTTCGAGCAAGGCGGGTGAATACTACACCGAGCCTTCGCTCTCCGCTCTCCGCACTGCCAACTACAACGAGCTTGCCGCCGTCCACAACTTTATTGTCGGACGCAAGGGTGTTGGTCAGATCGAGTTCCTCGAGCCTGTCGACCTTACATCGATTGGCGACCTGAACGACATTGTCGGTGGCATCGTCCAGATCCGCCTTAAGGAAGTTGTCGTCTATCCTGAGGAGGATGACTATGACCCGCGCAACCCTAAGGATGGCGCCAAGCGCAATTTTGTGCCTGGCATTAAGGCCAAGCAGGGCACCGGTCTCAATGTGCCTGCCCGTGTCAGTCTGGAAGCGTGCTGGCCCACCGACCGCGCCACTCGCGAGCCCATCAAGGATGCCGAACATCCTCGTGTCAAGCAGATGATCAACAAGCTCAAGAACAAGCCCGAGACCGAGTTTGTCGACTTCGAACCGGAGTCTGGTACATGGACTTTCAAGGTAAAGCACTTCAGCCGCTATGGTCTTGATGACTCGGACGAGGATGAAGAAGCTGCTTCCAAGCCGGCGCCCAAAGGAAGTAGTGGTATCAACGCCAAGCGACCCGCCAGCAAGCGTCTTGCTCCCATGACGGCAGACGACGAGTCTGACCAAGACGGGTCCATCGACGGGCCAGTCTACCACGAGCAAGGCTTCAGCGAGGGGGATGATGACGACGATGCGCCGCCTCCATCGCGGACGCTAGAAGACGGCGAGATGGACACAGATGACGATGCCAGCCAGACTGCTGCTATTGCAGCTGCTAAGCAGCGTGAACGACGTCAGTGGACCCCTTCTTCCAACGCCACTGGTCGCGAGCGTGCTGGCAGCCCCACGCCCTCCCGAGCCATATTGACGATGGGCAATGCCGGCGAGGCGCGCCGTGTGCAGGTGATGCAGGCGAGTTTTTTTGGGCAGGACGACAGTAAAGTAGCTTCCGCTGCTGTCGTTCCTTCCAGACCAACGGGAGCCAGTTTGAGTCACAAGAAGACGCTCAACCTTCGACCCTCTGTCGCATCGCCAGTCAAGCCGATCAAGGCTGTGCCTGCTACGGACAAGGAGGACCGCAAGGCTGGGATCAAGCCACGGGAGGCGCCAGTGGTGCAAGAGGTTCAGCAGCCGGCGAAGAAGCTGCGCAAGGTAGATGTGGCACAGTCTGATGCAGTTGCTGCTGATGGCGAGACGCTTGATGCAGGCTTGTCGCTTGGACGCAGCTTTCGGGTTGGATGGGGGCCAGACGGTGCTTTGGTGCACAATGGGAAGATCGTGGGCAGTTTCCGAGACGTCGCGACTGCGTCTGCAAAGACAGAAGGCGACGCCATCAGCTTGGCCACTACCTCGACTCTGGTTGTCGAGAAGGTCAAACTGTTCAAGGATGCTGAAACGTCCAAGGAGGAGGCTGCGCGAGCGGAGAAGTTGCTCGGTGTTCAACTTGAACACACCCTCGTCGACGTCGATGACGATGGTATCCCAGCCGCCTACACCGACTTCTCGACGCGCTTTCGACACTTCGCCACCTCATTCGAACACAAGGACCGCAGCTTCGAGGCGAGTCTGTGGCGCTTAGGTGTTGCGCTCTTTGACGAGATTGAACTACATGTACCTGAAGGTGCACCAGCAACAACAGCCGACCGCATTCGCAACATGCGCAGGAAAGCGGCACTGTCCGAGTGGCTCCGTCACACAGTCGCAGGCACGGTCGAGACCGAGGCTCGATCGCACATCGCCGCCTCACGGAGCGCTGCTCTGCTGTTCAGCTACCTCAGTGGACATCAGGTGGAGCGGGCTGTCAATGCCGCACTCGATGCAGGCGATTTGCGCCTCGCGACGCTGATTTCACAGGCAGGTGGCGATGAGGAGGTGCGTGCCGACATCAGCGAACAGCTGCTCACGTGGCGCAAGGAAGGTGTTGATGCCCACATCACGCGCGATCACCGCAAGATCTACGAATTGCTCTCAGGCAACGTGCTGGTCTCGCAAGGTACTGACTCGCGCACCACCAAGGATCCCATCGACCAGGTGCCTGATCTGGCTATCTGCGAAGGCCTTGACTGGAAGCGCGCTTTCGGTCTTTTCCTCTGGTACGAATCGCCGTATGAGGCTCCCCTCGAACACTCGTTTGAGCGCTACGAGGCTCAAGTGGCACCCAGTCCCTCCAAAAGCACAGGTATCGCTCCCCCTTTGCCTTTGTACCGCGAGAGCTCGAGTCTTGGAGCTACACGTTTCCGTCAGCTGCTGCAAAAAGTCGGTGGTTATGATCGGGACGCGCTGTTCGAATTGCTGAAGTTGTATGTCGACCCGACGTACGGACTCGAGCCGGCACTGAATGCTTGTGCATTCGGACCCTCAAACGTGGACGCTCGACTGCCATGGCATCTGTACAACCTTCTTTCACGCGTACTCCAGCGACGAGACTTTGGCGATCGCATTGAGCTTGGTCTCAACTCGGAGGATGATGACATGCAGGACGACGCTGACGGAGAAAACGCTGCGACGAAGCCCAAGGTGCAAGGCAACTCCGCTCGTGCCGACACGCTAGCTTCTTCCTACGCCACTCAACTCGAGCTACTAGGTCTATGGAAGTGGTCTGCTTTTATCCTCCTCCACCTCGAGCTGAGCAAAAGTCGCGAAACAGCCGTCAAAGCACTTCTCGCACGCAACGTGGACAAACTCGACACCGAGCGCGACTTCCTATGCGACCGACTTCGAATCCCAGAGTCGTGGCTGTACGAGGCTAAGTCTTACGAAGCCCGCGCCCGCGATGATAGGTACGTCGAATACCAGCTTCTCCTCAAAGCAAAGAACTGGACCGCTGCACACAATATTGCTGCACTGCATCTGGCCCCCGAAGCGATCATTCGAGGTGATCACGAGCTTGTCTCTGTCCTCTTCTCACCCTTCTACCTCGAAGTCGAGGGTGATCCAGCAGACGAGATTGCAGGATGGGCAGATGGTGCAGCACTCTACATCGACTACGTTGCTGCTTCGCGTGAAGTTCCTGCTCTTGCAACCCTGTTGGCAGAGGCTGAGACGAGACAAGGTGCGATGGAAAGAGCTGAACGTTTTGCCTCTCGTCTACCCACCCTCGCTGCTGGTGTAAACGCGTTGCTTTCCGTTCCTGCATCCTCCACTGCATCGTGCTTTGCAGCTGACGCCAAAGAGAAAGCAGGAGAGAGAACACACATGGTCGCAAGAACCGAGATGATTGCTGGAATCACGAACCTAGCTCGCATCTTGATCAATCTGACCACTTCTCCCACCGCAAAGGTTGACCCGGGGTCGAAGGCGAAGTTGGAGGCGATTTCGGCTAGATTGTTGTCTTCGGCTGCCATCTCGGGTGGTGGTAGTTCAGAGGGAGGAAAGAGAGGTGGAGAGGGGAGTGGATGGGATCCAGCTGCATTGGAGGTGGATTCGGTTCAGGCCGCTGCTGACGATTACTTGGCGAGTTTGGTTGCTATTGCTTAAGTAACGAATGGATACCCACATAGACATAAAATTTGCTTAACATGTTACAATATGATACTTCAATTACAATGCAATCTTGGGTGTCGAGGTCGAATGTGCTTTGAGATGGTGTAAGAATCTGTATAGGAGGGCTAGAGATCGGGGGTTTGAAATCGGCAGATTTTGTGTGGTTGTGTGGAGGAAGAATTGGCGCGCTACTTTACCTTGTGTTAATTGATAGTCTGTGCATTCTTCTTGTTCTTCCTCTTCACATCAACACACCCCTCGTTGATCACCATCACACGCACGTCCTGACATCCTCTCCTTCTCTTTCCACCCCTTCAAACGGACTTGTGAATACGCAATATACACTCCACTATGTCCAACAGCGGCCCTAGCGGGGTCCACCCGGTACTGACCCTCATCAACCGCTGTGACGAGCTAGCTCGCAACTTCGACTCCACATTCGAAGAATCATGTATACTCCTCACCAACCTCGCCAACAACACTCCCGCTCCGGGTCAACCGACGACGATGGACGACACACTAATGTCTCTCCGCAAAACACTAGAGAAGTGTGAAGAGATAGTAGGAGCAATGTTGAACTGTATCTATGAAGATATCCCCCACTTGCTCGATCAGTTGGATTCAGGAGAGAATGTCGGGGTGGGAAATTGGAACCCTAAACAAGCTTTGGATGGGATATCTCAGTTGTTCTACGTAAGTGAGCCATCCTTAAGCCTCCCGTATACCCCGCAGAGAGAGAAAAAGCTGACAACAAGTGGTGTTAAAACAGTCATATCAAGAGTTGTTGCTGGAGAAGAGGGAGTTGTTGGCAGATTTCACTTGCGAAGAGATCGACACTGCCACTTTTGTCAAAGGTTGGATTCAGATCGATGTCAATCTTGCGTCCCAGAGGAAACAGCAGGTTGATGACTTGGCCGATCTGTTAGCCGCTTTCTAGACAGGTCTTACTCGCAGAACTCAACTTAGAGATGAACACGGGTGATCGCATTGCGTTTAGGACAGGGGCGTTCGAAGGCTTCGCGATTGGCGGCAGCGATTAGAGCATAACAGATTCCAGAAAGGTTCGGGCTTACAGCTGGTCTGTGCAGCTACCTTACGCTCATTCTCGAGACATCAGTCAAACAACTCAATCTCGCACTTGTTGCGTCAAGGGAAACCATGCAATTGGAATCACACAACAGAACTACGACAATGGAACTACAGTATCGATCCATCGACCACCTCAGTCAACCCTGCTTTGCTTAAGGGAGTCTCGCCTACATATACACCTTGATCGCATCAACCAACTCGGCACCCGCCTTTGCGAAATCAACAGGAGCAGAGCGCGAGATCGTGTACCTCACCCTAGTCTGGTCGTTGAAGGTGTCCATCTTGGCACGACAGTTGAAAAGGTACATTCGGTTAGCTGCACGGTGAAGAGCGGCGCTGTATTCGGATTCGCTGTTTTCGCGAAGCTGGTGAAGCTCGCCAGCAGACATGCCGATGAGTTTAGTTGCATCTTCGTTGAAGCCTGAGAGCCAGATCTGACCTGTGGCGTCTGCGACGTTTGTTGAGAGGATGTATCTGTACGACGCGACCGAGGAAAAGGAGAGAGAGAGAGTTAGGAAGGGAGTCGGTAAGCACAAGAGTAAAAGTGTAGCTGGGGTTTCGGAGTGTAAACGTACCTGTACTCAGGAGCCTCGTACGAACGATCGCACTTCTCACAACGCCAGTTGTTCTCATGGTCGAGAGTGACCTTCTTGTTGCAGCCATCGGAGGGGCAAGCGGTGTAGTAGAGGTTCTCCTGCTTGATGTAGACCACGGTTGCGCGAATGTTGAAGTAGTCTGGCTTTTCTGTCATGCCCAAGTTCTCATCCTTTACCTGAGCGATCGTCCTCCTCTCGGCCATGTTTCCACCAGCACCAGCTGCACCCAGAGCACCACCACCAACGCCGGCATTGCTGAAAGCCTCGAACTGCGCACGAGCTCCGTCGTTATCGTACCATCCACGGAGAACGTGCGACTCAGTAATGTCGGGGTTGATCAACATGGTCGAGCTCGAGAACATGCTGAGCGATCGACCACCAAAGTCACCAACCTTGACACCTTTGAACGCAATCACCGGCTTCTCGTCCACACCAGCATTGTTAGGGAAAGTCTCGGCGTTCTTACCCCACAAAGTAAGCCTGACACTCTTGCCTCCCTGATCGACGAGAGTCAACTCGCGCTTCTGAACAGGTCGCTGCGAAGCCTTGCTGACAATTTCGCTGAGCTCGCCGTAGCTGTCGAGGACGCCGATGACATCGCAAGTCTGGTTAGGCTCGACACTCTCGAGCTCGTTGATGCGGACAAACTCGTACTTGACCTCGGGAACGTCCGTAGCATCTGTGCATTCTTCGATCTCGGTCGAGTTCTCGAAGGTGATCTCGTACTCGTTTTGCAAGTTGCTGAATTGTTTTTTGGCAATGTTGACTTTGGCCTTGGAGATGAGGTAAACGTGGTTTTCTTTGAGGAGAGAGTAGAAGCGGTCGACAGTGTCGTTGAAACCTGTAGCCTTGATCTCGCCGCTGTCGTCGAGAAGGTTGACGGAGAAGAGCTTGCCTTCACCACGCTGGTTAGACCAATGACGGATGTCGGATTTGGAGGTAACGCGGGCCTTGATGGTCCAGCGATTCTGGTAAGGCGAAAGACCTTCGATGGGATAGATGGGCATACCAGCGTTAACGCTGCTTCCGCCAGGGCGGCCTGCTCCGCCACCGATCTTGCCTGCACCAGCGGCCGAAGTAGCGGGAGTGGTCCTGCCAGCCGAGTTGTTGCCCAGGTTGCTGTTACCTAAAGCATTACCCGCACCACCTTCCTGCTTGACACCGCCTTCGCTTTTGATGGCGTCATCGACGTTGGTGGGGCTGCCGAGACGGTCAGCGGTGGGCTTGTGTGCGACCTCGAGATCGAGAAGGATAAGGATACGTCGGTTCTGGACCGAGTTGCTAGCATACTGCGAGATGCGGACGAGACAGTGCTTCTCAAGCTCGCCAGATTCGACCATCGAGCGCTTCTGGGAAGCAAGCATGGACTGCGCGTAGTGGACACCGTCAGAGAGGATGATGCGGTAACGATCGCCGACATTGGATGCGGAAGTAGCACTGGCTTGAATCTTCTTGATGCTTAGGATCTGACAGATAGGGTTCTGCACCGAGTTGGCAGGATCCGCCGTCTGGATCATCTGAGCAATAGCGCCCTGAGAAAGATCGTTGAGTGACATTTTGCGAGGGATTGCAGCAGCAGTGCGGCGCTTAGGCTATGCTGCGATGGGTATGTCTGATGAGCGACGGTGTTGCGGAATGCGGAGAAGATCCTGATACAGAAAGTGCGGGAACTGCTCGGAGGCTTCGATTTGCTCAATACTTGAGCCCTGCCGGTTGCGTTAGCTTAAAGAGCAGTCAGACGATGGAGGATGATAAGGAGGAGACCGCAAGTACGATGCGGAAAGATAGTAGCGACGATGGAGGCGTGAGTCGACGGTGGATACGAGGAAACTCCACTTCTTCTGGTCCACAAGTTGAAAGGCTGAGTCGCGAAGAAGCACACGCATTCCGCTCCTGCGCATTAAGTGAAAGCGGCGGACTAAAAAAACGGCGGACGAGCACTTTACGCGCGCGACGCGTAGAGGCTAGCTTGCGGAGTCGAAAAAAGAAAAGACCAACACCTCGACTCGCGCGAGACTGGATTTTTGAGGTTTGGTAATGTTACGTCAGCACTAGTAACAGCCCGGCCTCTTGCTTCGAATCAATCAACCCGATGCGATATGAGCATCGTCGCCTGCCATCTACAAGATCACTTTTCCCAGCAAAGACGATTGAGCCTCTTTGACATGCTCTGCCATCCCACGTTTGCTCGCCGTGATGACTTCCTGCGGTATTGCAGAAGCTAGGCCATGGAGCTCTCCACTCTAATGTCCGGGGCGGGGTACTACTGTATATAGATATTGAGCGGAGAGCTCGAGGCTACCGCTACGTTCTTCTCTCATGTCAATATAGTATAGTGTTTTGCTCAATAGCTTGAACACCGTACTTAGACTGATATCTCCCGATAAGCGTCGCTAAGAGTGAAATCTTCCAACAGAAAAAAGCGAACTACTCTGAAAGCGGCACTGAGACACGGAGATGCTTGGACATCAAGGTATCAAGGTCTCCTGAAACCTATCTGGCTTCAGCCAGCGTCGAAACAGGAAAGTTCTCAAGTAAGGAGGCGGACTAGTGGCACCTCAAACAAGGGAAGCGCTTTGCGAGACTGGAATGAGAGAAGCTTCTGTTTCCATCTCCGCGAACGCAGAGGTCCAACGGAAGAACTGAACGACCCTTCCGGAACAGGGGCTCAGCAAAGGAAGTTTGCCGGAAAACAGGCAAAGTGAAGCGAGACCTGTTGACAATCTACTTGGCAGCACTCTCGGCACCTGTGAAAACCTTTGGGTCCTCTTCGTATCATCTTCTGTAACCAATGTAAAGTTTGACGCCTCAAAGCCAGTCCCTTAACAATAGTCTAGTAAGACAGAAAAAGGCGCTTACTTGAATCCTGGCGAACGAGCTGCGGGCTCAAAACGAGAGTAATGAAGACAACAGCCGAGTTCTCCAAATGAAAATCTGCTCAGAGATGTCTACTTGCAGTAGGAGGCAGCCAAGCCCTGATTTTAGAGACATGGCAAAGGGAAAGAGAAAAGGAAAAGGAAAAGGAAAAGGATTTCGAACCCCAATTTTTCTGAACTTGCCTTATGATCGAATAGCTTGAGACCGCAGTGTCTGCAGACGTTTCAGAGTGTGAGAAGTTTCCTGCATGTACAATTATTGTCAACGGTTCAAACAACCGAACTGGCGATACGATGGGGGTGTGCTGCTGCAGTTGAGTTAACGAATCATACAGTCGTCAGCTTCTATTCAAGATAGGGATAGGGATCGAAATCCATAGGAAAGGTGTAGCATCGAAGATCACAGGAAAGCTTGTGGCTTGATTTCTATCCCACGGACAAGAGAAAAGCTTCGAGCCCGAAAAGCTGGAAAACAAGTCACATGCTCAACAATGTGAGCTCAATCGGGAAGTCGGAGGCTCCACAGGAGGTCCGTCGAAGGCAGTCAAGCTGTCTCTTCATTATGATTAGCCATCAACACAACCTTCTTCTCAGAAATGTAAGAATAGCAGCCATTGGGGTAAGTGGCTGACCCACGTGTAGTGACGCGTAGGAAAAACCCCCAACTTGATACCTGAACATGAGCGCGTTGCCACGGGAGTGGGCCGCATCCTACTGCAGGGAGGAACGCTTCAATGTGGCTTGTAGACTTGTCAAATCCGAGAGGTATAGCGACAGGTGTTCCATGTCACCGTCTTAATGCATCGAGCGGAACATGGCTCTCCGTCGTCAGACCCTAGGCACAGCGCTTGATTGGCAGAGATGTGTACGTACGCATGCTTGCGCAGGCAACGTCCTGTGGAGATTGTTGCTCTGTAGCGTCCACTCAACAGCTGTTGGCATGGTTTTAGACCTACTCAATCTCAGAACCAACGAGTCACTATTGCAAAACTAGCTGCACATTGCACAGCAGACGTCCTACGAAATTGATCCGATGACCGACTGACAGATGTCCAGAAGCACCCGCTCCCGCCTTCCCTTTCTCGATCTTGGGTTTGGTTTACAAGACCTAAAGCAAGCTCTCAAATCACCCTCTCGTGATGATGAATTTTTGCATGAATCAAATCTCTGGCCAACATCCATCGAGAAAGGGGAAAGGAAACTAGAGGAATACTTTGATAATCGAGATTGCTCAGCTGCAATATCTTTGGCTGGGCGACAGTGCACTCGCCCAAGAAGTAGCCACTCCGGTCCAAGAGGACACCTCATCTATATTCCGGCTCGGGTTACGGTAAAACAAGCGAAAGCAGATCAAAAGTTCATGTCGATCAACCACATGTTGCGCTTGAAGGATAGAGTAATAAATAAAAAAGGAAAAAGGAAAAAAGGAAAAAAGGAAAAAGGAAAGGAAAGAGAAGAGAAGATAGAGAAAATATGAAATAAACTGCAGGAAAACGGGTTTTTCGCAGCTAGAAAGGGCTCGTGGTTTTTTTGGCCGCGAGCGCCTCTCCGACCGCATCAGAGTGCATTGTCAAGACAGGCGAGTCAAAAGAGGCGAGTCAAAACAGCATGAACTAAGCCTATCCAAGACACCTCCCTTCAACTTCTTGTTTTGTCCTTTAATGTCGGCTCTTTCCTGAAGAAGCAGCTAGCTCTCTGACTGACCTGGGAAGGTCGCTCGGCCTATCACTGCACTTTGTTGGGCGATCGACCTCCAAGCCAAAGAGGAGATCGCCAAGAAGAGAATGTTCGCGTAGACTTCCTTTGTGTCGAAGCGCCACTCTCCTTTTGATCGTGCTCCATCGGAAAGCGATGAAGCAAGGTCTGGAAAAACAATCGACTCTTCCCGTGTGGTGTGAGGCAGCTGCGGGACGGCAAATTCAAGCAGGCTCTATGGAGTGGCTGATTGAGTCCATCGTAAAAAAAAATTGAGCTCTCAGTATCGATCTCCGCTGGTCGGTGTTTTGACGGAGAACTGTTGTGTGAACACGAGGGTTAGAGTGCACGCACAGTGGCGATCGCCAAGTAACTACGCATCTGGATTGCTGAACACACATGCTCTTTCCTGCGTCTGACGAGCGGACTATCCTCTGTCCTATTGAACGAATGCAGTCAACATCGGGGCTTAGCTCAGCTTAACTCAGTGCAGAACTGTCTCAGCTCGACAGGGCGTCACTCCTTCTGTGTCCCTTGCTGTTGTCTCATTCGAGCAGACTGTCAGCGCATTTCCCGCCATGGGTGATACATGAGTCCGCCAAAAACATCCTTTCGAGAAGAGTGAGACCGATTATATACCCCCTTCTTGATCATCTGGCAATCTCGTTTCTTCTACTTCCCTCTTCATCACACTCTTCTCAACACTTTTCCCAGCCTTCCCTTCCCCCTCCTCTCCCTCGGGTCTCTATCCAACTAGCCAAGGTAGCTACCTCTCAAGATGCGTGCCTCTATCCGTGCTGCTCTCCTCGTCGCCGCCGCCGCCCTTGTGGCCCTCCAGGTGGCTCAGCCCGTTTCGGGTCACCTTGTCGACCATGAGGCCTTCGAGAACGCGACCCCTACCCTCTACGACTACTCTCGTCGTCAAAATGATGAAGGCACTGCCGTTCCCACGTCTACCTCGACTGTCGTACCTACCGCCACTGCTGCCCCCGGTGCTCGGTGCCGCAGGGCCGCAGACTGCGCTTCGGGAGCATGTAGTCAAGGCAGGTGTGTCCCCAAGACCGGTACGGGTCCCAACAACTCTTACTGCAACCGCGATGCTCAGTGTGTCGGTGGCTCTTACTGCTACCGTGGTTCGTGCCAGTTTATCAAGAGGAACGGTTCCCCTTGCTACAAGGACTCTGGTTGTCTTAGCGGTAACTGCATTAACAAGCGCTGCATCGCCAACGCTTCGCAGCGCAACGGTGCCCGATGCACCAAGTCGACTCAGTGCGTTAGAGGTTCCTTCTGCTCCAACAGCAAGTGTGCGACCATCAGGACCGTTGGCAAGTACTGCTACAAGGACCAGGGTTGCACTTCGGGCCACTGCGTTCGCAACAGGTGCTCTTCTCGTGGTCTTGCTAAGCTCGGCCAGCACTGCACTTCCAACAGTAGGTGTATCTCGAACTTCTGCTTCAAGAGCGCTTGCCGTGCTAAGCGCAGCCGCAACCAGCCTTGTTCACTCAACGACACCTGTCTTAGCGGTCGTTGCCGCAGAAACAAGACTTGCGCTTAAGCGAGTTTCTCTTCGCTTGCCTCGCCATCCCATCCAACATCTCTCAGACTAACTAGTCCGCGCTAGACCCACATCCCTTCCCCATTCCCCCTCCTCTTGGCTTTGCCTCTTTCGCTCTCTTCTACACTTACGTTGTATCTGCGCCTTTGCAACTCTCTCCCCAATCTCTCATTCGACTTCATTCGTCAACAATCCTTTTTTGGAACATAGTCTGAGAATTTTAGTCGTCTTTTTTTTTCTCTATCTTCACTTTTTTCAATCTCTGCCTTGTTTGCTCTCGTGTTTCGTCCATTTTGATACCTTAAGAATCATCCCAATTTTCTGCCTAGTTCTTCTGTGAAACCTTTGAACATGCCTGCACAACGACGCAATCGATTTGAGAAAGAAAAAGAATGATGAAAGCAACAATGAGAACAAGCGAGCCTATCGATAAAGCTTTGTTTTGAAGCTTGGTCTTTTTTGATGGCTAGCTCTGGCACTTGCCCTACATCTTTTTCAGGGCAAGGGAAGAGCTCAGTGTCAGAAATTCTGGCTGCTTGCACTAGATGCGGTAATCAAGGTGAAAATCGTTTGTTTCGCCTACCGCTTCTGGCATTCATTCAACGGACTAAGCAATTACGGCACCATGCAATCTGACCTGCTACTCTACTGTACAGTTCTTCGTAACGTCCACGCTTCAGCCTTCCTGTGGCCCATAGACAGACTGACAGGGCCTGACGATCACCTCGGTGTTCTAGCGCTCACTGTCGATCGAAAACAGTGGTAGATGTCCAATACTGCAGCCGAGGCCGAAATTTTTCCTTTTCCTCCTTTTATTACGACGGGCACGATAGATTGTCCAAATAGGATCTAGTTGAAATGTATGCACCACTTGGTTGAGGTCGCGATGAGGATCTCTTGGCACAGGTGTGTAGCAACTGCAATGCTTATCATATTCAAGTGGACTAGGCTTACGAACATGAGTATATATCTCTTCACATTGTCTCTGAGAACACCGAGCAGCATTAGGTGAGTCGAGTGTCTCTGCTGCAGAGCTCCTGAGTCGTTGCCATGTCAACCTTGATGCATTTCACAGAGCTGAGTAAGCAAGTGCATAAGCGGCCTTCGCTTTTTCCAGCTTGGCCCTGTCGGCTTTCTGGATAAACCCAGGAAGGTCTCGGACCTATCTTGAACTATCTGCCAAATGCATGCGGACCGGAGTGGCGGAGTTGGACAGGCTTCAACCTGCAAACGCACAAGAGAGACAAAAGCCACAGGTAGGGCAGAATTATTCTATTTCCGTCGCCGAGCCAAGCCGCATTCGGACACAAGTTCATTATTGTGACCACCGATGCCTGTGCAGTTGGTCATTGTTGCTATCCCGTTGCCTTCGATCCGGGCCAACTTGACCAATCATGCTCATGTCGAGATCGGGCAAGGTTGGAAATACGGTCCTGCCGATTTGCCCGATCATCAACGAGATCCGAGTCGCACTCAATTCATGTCCCTACACTCTCCTGCTTACATAGCCAGACGGTTTTGGACTTTTGCTTGAAGCCTCAAGCATTGCGACTGGATTCTGATGCAATGGATTGTATTCGGTGACGGAGGATGACGAAAGGATACACTGGAGAAAGGACCATCTAGGGAACATGCAAAAAGCCGAGAAGCGAAAAGAGTACGGCTCACAGAGCCTCGTGAGATCACTCTTTCTTCTTCTTCTTAGGCACGTCCATCTCGGCCTGAAGAGCCGGAATTGGGGAGTGATACATCAACGTGGGACGGTATTTCTTGAAGGTGTCGTGGGCAACATCGATAGCCTTTGACAGAGTCGAAGGAATCATCGTGTCCTTGAGCCTGTTGAGCGTTGCGCCATAGAGACAGTTGTTTGAGTCGGCTGCGTCGGCTGTTGTATAAGGTGGCACGTTCCTAGCGTAGACGTTGGGTGTAAAGTAGCTCTCCTTCTCCTGCCCAGGAATAAGGTAGCCACCGTGGAACCAGAAAGGCTTTTCGCCGGCAGCGTTCTGCGACAGTCTTCCCTTCACGCCTTTAACTCTGTTCTTCTTTGATCCTTGCGACTGAAAGAGCGAGAAGTACTTGCGCGAAAGTTTCTCATGAGCAGCTTCTGGCGAGAGGAATTGAATGGTTCGAGGAGCACAGAGGAGAGGCGAGTGGTCGTCCCATTCACCATCAAATCGACCGATGGCACCTGGCCAGGTGTTTTCGAAAGCGTAGGCAATCTGAGCCAGCTCAAAGGCAAGCCAAAGCCCTTCGTTCATCATCTTTGGGTAAGCACCCCAGAACATGGCCAAGACCGGCTTCCTCCTCATCCAGGCGTTCATGAAAAGCGCAGCAAGGACACCAGGTCTCGACTTGTCAAGAACAACGACGTCCATGTCCATCCTCGAGCCGATCGAGTGAGAAAAGAAGGCGCTTTCGGCGAGCTGCTGCGAGGGTGCGCCTTGGTCGATTTGACGTTTGAGGAAAGCAACAAGATACTGCGATGCACGATCGACAGGCGTAGCTTCCGCGCGGAAGAAGAGGGTACCGGTGCTCGCAAAGGTGGGATGAGACAAGAGCAGGGATGGGTTCTGAAGGAAGACGACTTGTGGCTCGACAATAATGATCTCCTGGAACGACGAAGCGAGCAAAGCTAGAGACTCTCGCGACCAGACCTCTTTCAGTCCAGGGTGATGGCCGCCTTCATTTTCGAGCTCATTCGTGAAGAGAGGCAGCTTTTCCAAGTCAATGACGGTGACACGAGGGATGTCCCTGAACAAGTCGGCAAGTGCGCTGGGCATCTCGTCATCCGTGTGATAGTAGACCTCGATGGGAAGAAGACAACCATGCAGCTCTCGAATAGTCTGCACATTTTGCAAGGCTGCAAGTGCCGTGTATCGGGTCACGGTAATGACGATGCCTCGCCTTTTACCGCCTCTCACCTCGTCTTCCCTTTGAGCCTCGGCGAGCAATGAAGAAGTCTGATTGGTCGTCAGACTTCCGGATTTCTTGAGGATGGCCCTAACCTTGGCGTCAACGCTGGTTGCATCGTTGCTCGAGACCTGCTGTTCGGGATTGATGGGATCCACTTGAAGCGCTTTCCTTCGGATCTCGGGTGCGCCTGGTGCGAAGGACCAAAGCTTCTCTTCGATCCTTTCGAGTCGTCCAATTTGGTGGGTGCGAGCTAGTTCTGCGTAAGCATGTGCGCGGAAGCCCATCTCCCTAAAGCCGTATCGCTCGTCCGCCTCGACAGGGTGTGAGAGGATGTAGTCGGTCCAGATGTCGTGGGCAGCAGCATCGAGCGCTCGAACGTGCATGCCGAACATGGGTGAAAGTGAGGGACGGATTTGTACGGCCATTCGCATGAGCCAGACGATAGTTGCGAGGAAAAAGAGCGCCTTGACCTTTCCACCCATGCCACGAAGTTTGAAGCTCCATGGCTTTCCATTCTGACCTATGTAAAGGTTCTGGAAGGCTGGTAGCACCATTGTAGCGACTTGAAGGTACACCTGCTGTTCTGTGGTGACGACTGGTCTCTTGCTTTGGGGCTAATGCACCTTGCTCAGTGAGGTTGACTTGAAGAGCTCGATTATCCTGAGCAGCTGGCACCAGCTCTGTTGTAAGTTTGGTTGGATGGGATTGTCGATTTCGGGTCTAAGAGGCACTGAGCTTACCCCAGCAAGTGCCTTTAAAGTATGGTGGCGAGGGGAGATGATGATGTGAGAAGGGAAAGAGCGAGGAGATGGCTGTGGAACAAACATAAGCGTGCTCGTCAGCTGGCCCGACACACATTTTCCCCCGGGAAGTTCACGGTCGAGCTGCAGAAGGATCAGGGAGACAAAGGGGGAGCGGAGCCGGAAACAGGCTCAACAGAGATAAAGAGCAACAACATCAACATCGACACAGGCACAAGAACAACACATCTGGAATGCTTCTGCTTGCCAGGAACTTTGCGCCATTAAGGGTCCTTTCACCGTTTTCGACGATGCCGAGAAGAGAAGAGATCCCTTCCTGCAGAACTCTATGTATAGCTGTCAAAGCGCATGTCGTAGAAAGAAAAAGAAAGTGAAGAAAAAAAAAAGGTGAAAACTCAGAGTTTTTTTAAAACTCAGAGATAACTGAAACCCCCTTAGTGAGGGCTCTGAGCTCAAGATTCGCCTGAGCTTTCCTCAATCCTCCCCCCTCCCTGGATTGGATGATACTCCCTCTATAGTGTCCTCTGGAGTCCCAGCGATACCATAGTTGAGTAAGACCGCCGGCGTCCTTCACGATAGAGCATGAAAGCAGCGTGCCGAGGCTCTTGGGTCGCCTACCAGCGCGAGACTGCCAGTCTTGCTAGGTCAGTCAGAGCGTAGAACGCTTGACAAGTGCTTTGCAAAGTTGATAGGCGAGAATCGAGATCGGCGAATTGCAGGGTTATCAGAGTTGACGCAGTCTTGCTCCGTGTGAAAGACTGGTGTATCAACGTGATGTGCATAGCGCGGGACAGTTAGGTACAGCGACAAAACATCTGTCGGTCTTTCAGCGTGCTCTACGGTCTAGAAGTAGTGTTTATCCTTGATCACACAGCTTGGACCATAGTACATACGCCAACTAGGCCTGGAGCCAAGGTGGTTTAATTGCCCACGTGGGAGGGGCCACTATGCACAGTGTCGGACATGGGACAGCCCTGAAGTTTACCTTTTTTTTTTTTTTTTTTTTTTTTTTTTTTTTTTTTTTTTTTTTTTTTTTTTGAATTGAACTGAATTGAATTGAATTGAATTGAATTGAATTGAAAAAGAAGTGAGGATTTGACCGTTTGACATGCTGTTGCTTTTCTATTTTTCCGCGTTTTCAAGTGGGCATTTGAAAGCAATCTGCCATGTGGCTACCCGCACTCGGAGATGAAATGGGCGTGGAAAAACTCAAGAAATTTGGCTTGAGAAAATGTTTTAAGCCAGCACAACACAGCAAAGCGCAGTCACAAAAAATCAAATTGTAATTTCACCGGCTTGACAAATTCAGAAATCAACCTCCTCGCCGCTCACTTGGTCGATACACAAAGATAAATGGAGGTCGTAAAGAGATCATGAGAAGAAGAAAAAAAAAAAAAAGGGAGGGGGGAAAGTTGATTGCCTAACCCGGGTGAGTCGCTTGCGAGCTCCCGGGAGTGGCCAGCGGGAAGAGAGATGATGGATGTCAAGGTGAGGCAGACGTTGGGCGAGCGTGCGCTAAAGTTGCGCTCCCGCTGGGCGACACGTATACCGGCTACCTGCCTGATCGCAAGTTCGTTCAAGTCAGTGTCCGTGGCTCGACACTGTCTCAGACTTGATCATGCACCTCGGTCCCGGCCATAATTGTCCGTCTGTAGTCAGTTGAGTATCAAGCCATGCCGGAATGCTCGGTCTAGATGCCATTCGGTCTGGCTGGCCTGAGTTGAGAAAGGGTTCACCTGCCAACGTTACTAGTGACACCAACGCTCCCTTGCTCGCGTTACCCTTCCCGTTCCTGTTTCATTGCAGAATCTTGGATCCTTCTCCGCCGATGCCAAAAGTAACACAAATAGCTCCTACAAGACTTCCGGAGCAAGTGTCAAGTGTTGTTAGGCCCGCTGGCCTTTGCCTCCTTCTTGGTGTTGGACGTCGCCGCTTTCGTCTGCAAACAAACTTTTGGGATTGGCTGCTCCGACCGGTGCCCTTCTCCTCGCTTCCTCTGAAACCACGCTCCCTGGCTACGCCCAACTGTAAGTACGATAGGTGTACGCCCTTGCTTCCCATTCCGCAATCACAGTTTCGGTCATGTTCTTTGCTTCCTGGCCATCATTTATTACCACCACCACCACCACCACCACCACCACCACCACCACCACTTACTCGTCCTCCTCGGTCAGTCGCATCCACGCTTCTTGCTTATTTTGCTTGCCTGAACCATCATTAGCCCTCAAGCATCCTTGCTGAGGATCATCGAGCAAGCATCGCATCATGGTCAAGGACCTCCTCCTCAACGACGCAAAGTCTTCGGACCCCTCTAGCCCGGTGGACGCAAGCTCATCTACCTTCAGACCCGCCAAGCCAGCAAGAGTCGCTTCTTACGATGTAGATCTCTCTGCTAACAATTCCACCTCGAGCATTCTCGCGCAGAAAGCGCAGCAGGTTTACGAGCGCACCCCAACAACACCAACCACGCCCACTTTCATACTTTCTCCCTCCAATCTCTTTGGAGGGTCTGGTCAAGAAAAGTCGGGCGAGCCCATGCTCCTCGGTGGCTGGAGTCGAAGCAAAAGCTCCTATGGACAAGGAGCCAAGCAGCGTCCTTCGCTTCACAGGCCTTCCACCTTACTTTCGCAAAACACAAAGACAGACGTAGCAACGCTGGCGTCGCAGGCAGAAGACGAAAAGCACACCGAAAAGGCAGCGCTTGGCTCAGGTGGATCTCTTGCTGGATTGCCATCTTTCCAACACATGCTCTACACAAGAAAAGGCCGCAGGAGCATTGCGCTTAATCTGCGCGCCTTTTCCTCGTACAGGTACCTGATCGCGCTGGTAGTTCTGTTCTTTATCTCGATTCGCATGCTGGCAGTCCCTTCCACTGTCATCGAGACGAGCGTCAGTGGCGAGATCACGAGGCACAGAGCTTCGGATGCTGTCTTCCTGAACAATTGGATCCAACATGTCATTAACCACCCTGTCCGAGCCAGAGACAAGACCGGGTTTGCAGAGATGGGCTTGAGGACAGAAATGTACTCGCATCTCCTCCGCCATGCCACTCTGCCCAACTTTGAGCGCATGGAAAGGGCGCTCTGGCCCTTTGTGCCCGGAATCAACCAGCTGCGAAGGTGGTGGCAAGCTTCTGTCCAGGCCAAGCCTACACCCTACGCTGCTTCTGGCGCTTCCGCAAAGGGCTCGCAACTCAAAGAAAATCTCTTGGCGCATGGATTTGGCAGAGGACCGACAGTGAAGCCTGGTTCGCGCGGGATTGTCATGTCGCTCGGCTACAAAGGCTCGGTCTTTGCATCTCAGTTCATCTCGATCATTCGAGAGAAGCACAGGAATGACATCCCCATCGAGCTCTACTACTATGGCGACTCGGATCTCCCAGCCAAGTACCGTGACTACCTCACCAAGACCTACCGCAACGTCCGCTGCGTCGATCTCGAATTGCTTGGTCTCTTCGACGCGGATCTCGTTCAGCTCGAACGTCAAGGTTTCGCGATCAAGCCTTTTGCTCTCCTCGCTACCAACTTTACCGAAGTCATGCTTGCCGATGCCGATGCCATCATGCTTGAGAACCCAGACAAGTTCTTCGAGGAGCCTGGCTACCTCGACACAGGCACACTCTTCTTCCACGACCGAGACCACCAACGCGCCGGTGCCGACTACGTTGTTCAAGAATTCATGAACAACCAGCTCTCGCTCCGTGGGCCTTCGCCACGATTGGCTCAGTCCGAATTCTGGACCAAGAAGGGCATCTTTGAGCAGGAGTCCGGTATCGTCGTTGTCGACAAGAGAAAGACCGACGTTTTCGCAGCGCTTCTTTTCACCGCATGGCAGAACATGGGGGAGATCAGGAAAAAGACGACCTACCGAATCTGGTGGGGAGACAAGGAGACCTTCTGGCTGGCTTTTGAATTTTCCAACTTCCCTTACTACTTTGTGCCCAGGTACGCACAGGCCATCGGCACAACTAGGATGGTGACGAAAGCCGAAAAGCTGGCCGCAGCTGCCAAAGCCAAGGCTAAGGCCGCCAAGGCTGAGGCGGAGAAGGCCAAAAAGGAGAAGCGTGCACCAGCTGAAGCTGGACAGGACCAAGGCAAGAAGGTGGACAAGAAGCCTGCTGCTGTCGATCTCAACAAAGCTGGCCAAGCGATTGCGGCACCCCTCAATCCTGATGCTAATCCTTTGAAGGAGGGTATACAGCCAGCTCAGCCCAAGCTCAAAGCTGAGCCCGAGGCAGCAGCAGCAGTCGCTGCCAAAGCAGGTCCCCTTGCCCCCGTCCCCGCCGCTGCTTGCTCGGACGATATGGAAGCGACCGAAGAACTCTGCTCTGAACATCCACTACACTTCCTCGGAGCCGACAGCGAAGACGCCAATGGCGATGGTGTGATCGACAGCAAAACGCTTGGTCGACCAGCTTGGTTCAACGGTGGAATTCTCGACGCCAAAGTGCTCAGCGACGAGACCTACATCCAACCCAACACCTTCACTCTGGATGGTGAATGGGAGTTCCTGTTCGAGGAAGAGAAGTGGTGCATCCGAAACTACACCAAGGGTGACATCCAGCAATTCGATCTTACTGCTAGGATCGACGAGATTAAGGGGATCGCAAAAAAGGCAGAGGATCACTTCAGAGCCAAGATCCCAAAGACCAAGAGCGTCAAGGAGGCCGTTCTGGAGGACAAGTGAGGCATTCCTAGCACTCAATCACATCCACACTACACACATTCTTTTCATGTCACCTTTTCTTATCGTCTCAATGATACGTGCATGCATTCCTTTCACACTCTCCTTGTCTGTTCTCAAAGACATGGATCTTCTCGGCTTGTTCGCTGTGCGTTGTCGATAAGGATGAGCAACAGTTGATACTGTCACCTACACCGCTGGCTCAGGCTTGGCAGCAAAATCCTTGGCCTCGGGTACCTCATCATCATCTGAATCAACCTTACCGCCTTCCCACTTCCTCGCCCTCTTCCCCTTCCCTGCCGCCGTATCCTCCTGCGCCGCCTGTCTCTTTTTGAACAGCTTCGACCCGGGCACCTTCTCCGGGTTCATACACTGTTTCTGTCTTTTGTCAATCTCCTTGATCCTTTCCAAGTCCTCTGGGCCTTTTCCTTTGCCTGTAAAGCCGCCATTCTCTCTTGCTTTGATCAAATTCTCAATCTCGTCCAAGACCTTGTCCAACTCTTTCCTTGCCATACCCAACGGTTGTGCTTCTAGTAGCGCATCATCAAACTCCACCACCTCGTTTTGAGCTGTAGCAGCAGCAGCGGCAATTTCGTCCTCAGCGGCCTTTGCTCCTGCTTTGCCTTTGGTTCTCCTCGCCAAGGCAATCTTTGCCTTTGCTGCTCTGGCGGTCTCTGCTTCTCGCAGAGCTTGCCTCCTCTTCTTTGCCTCGAGCACATGCGATCTTGCACGGAGCTCTTTCGCATCCAGCCACTTGCCCACCACTTCTCTGCCGTTCGGCTCTTGTACCGCCCGTACACAGGCCAAGGCAATCTGTGCCGGAGTATAAATAAACTCTGCATCAGTCAACCTACTGTTTCGCAAATTGGAATGTGCTTCGGCAGCCAGCTTGTGCACTTCTTCCCTGCCCAACGCGGCTCCATGCTGGAGACTCTGTAGATCTAATATCAAGCCATACAGCGCTCTCTGAGCTCCCGTCAGGCCGTATTCAAAGTTGAAACTCTGGGAAACCAAAAATTCGAGGCCCAACACGGTTTGCTTGTTCTCCTCTACCACTGCTGGGTCGATGTTCTTCCCGGCCAGCTTGCGTGCGAACTCGTTGAGGGATAAAGGATAGTTCTCGGCCTTGGAGGCGAGGAATATGCAAGTGATGACGATGTTTTTCGGGTGGAAATCCATACATGTGTTTCGGAGGTAAAAGCGTTTGACAAAGGTGGTTGCTGTGGATTCGACTAGTTCGGGTAGTGAGAACGCTCGCACAATTTGGCCTACTTTGATGAGGTAGTATGTAATCAAAGCCAACTCGTCGTCGACGGAGAGAAAAGGGATCGTGGAGGGGGAGGAAGAGTTTTCTTCGGCCCATAGAGTCTCGAGTCGATTGCGTGCTGCAGTGTTACCCGTGGAGCGAATGTGAGCGAGTTGGGAGGGGGAGAAGCGCCAGTTGCGAGCCTGGGAGGTTTGGGCATAGGCTGAGCATGGACCGAAGCGTGGAGGGAGGGTTGGGGTGGAGGCGAGGGTTGTGGGTAGCATGGAGGCGGTGCTGTAGGATGGGCCTGCCGCGGCGGAGGAGGACGGAGGTTGGGAGTTGACCCTCGCCATCGTTGCGAGCTGTGCTGAGATGGCGAAAAGAGACGGAAGATGATGGGAAGGATTGGAAGAAGGAATGTCGAAGGGGTTGGCCGGAGTTGGAGGGAAGCAAACCGTTCTTGACGAAGCCGAGGAGGTGACATGGGGGATTATGTCAGCTTCGGTCAAGCCAAGTTGAGTCGAGTCCTTTCATGGCCTGCTGAATCGGTCATGTGGAGCAAGAAGGGCAGCGACAGGTGATGCGGATCTGATCTCCCCGATGTTGTTTAGTATCGGGGTAGAAAGGCAAATTTTGGCCAAATTTGTGGTCGCTTTTTTTGTTTTTTTGTTTTTTTGTTTTGGAAATCTCAGCCAAAGTTGAAAGCTGTCTTGGACCATGCCAAACTTCTTTGCCCTGCAATCCCTGCGCTCAGAACATCCCACAGGTTGAGAATGCTGAAGGATACGATCCAGCAGGATTATGATGCCGAATCGGGCCAATACGGCTAGAGATAGGATGTGGCATGGTCCCGCTCGATGCAACACTTGATATTGGATGGTATACACTCTTGCAAGTTGTGGGAGGCCAATACTTTTCCACCTTCGACGACCGCTCCGCTCTCTCTTTTGTATATATATATCGAGCAGAAAGCTCCAGTCTGGCACACCGCTCCATCTAGGTCAATATAGTATACTGTTTCTGTCCCAATAGCAGCAGTACTGTGCTTTGACTGATACCCGCTCGTTGAGCATCGCCAGCTGTCATCTTTATTAGAGAACTGTTGAGACCACAGATCCAGAATCATGTTCTCCTGAAGAGGTCAGCCATATGAAGGTATGATGCGGAGACCCCCGATATTGACCAGATCAAAGTAAAAATCGGGGATACACCAATGAAACCGGGCCGCTTTCCGCACGAACAGGCGTCCAAGCTCGGTAATCACGTGACAAAAGTCATGTGATGTGTTCGAGCAGCTACAGAAGGCTCTCTCTCCAATCACCACCAATCACCACCATGCTCGCAGCTGCTCGCTTAGAAAATCTCGCCGTTCTCTAGTGTTCTTCGCACCCTGTATTCCCCCCCGTAAACGGCGGTCCGGGAGCCTCTCGAGCCTGTGAGCACACTCACGCTCATCCCGCAATCTTAATCTTCCTTTATGCTCTCCTATTGTCTATGCTATGGTATGGATTGATGGTTCGGATAGGAAAAAAAAAAAAAAAAAAAAAAAAAAAAAAAAAAGGGGGGGGGCGACTTCTCACTGCAGAGAGGGAGGGACATGCCATTTCTAGCTGAGCTCGACGGGAGTGAGAGGAGCGGATAGCGAACGAACAGAAAGAAAGACAAGCCAATTTAGGGGCGGGGAAGAAAAGAAGAAGGAAAGGAAGGAGCGCATTGAAAGCTTGGCATTCCAGCGCCGAAGGGGTTTGACCGAGATGCAGACTGTTCTCCTTTTGGCCTCTGATTGGGTGCTGATTCTTCTTAGAATGGCTTGGCAGGTTGTCCACGCGCTCTCATGAGCTGTGTGAGCTGCGCGTTGCCGATCGAAGAACAACAATATGAGTGGTTGTAATGTGACGCACTCGTTTTTTTGCTGGAAGGACGGAAGGTTGAGAGCTTTAAGCCAAGTAGCAAGTGCGTAGGACCGCCGCCTCGGATCCGAGGCAGGCACACCACAAGATCTCGATGCTTTGCTTTGCTCTGTTCCTCTTCACCGTGCAGCAGTAGTCGCCGAAGCAGGGACAGCGTCTCTTTTATTGCCGTTGCTGCCGTCTGAGGGAAAGTCAGGGGGGTGCTCTGGTGGGAATCAAGATGCAGCAAGCATCTCAACATTCGCGACTTGAACTAGAGAGGTCGCTCCTCAACTCCATATCGACGCTAGGCGATGGCTTTAAGAGGCTGCGATGATCTATCTTGGTGATCAAACATCGGAACGGAGTGCCCAACACAGGAACGGAGTGCCCAACACCGGAACAGAGTGCCAAACACCGGAACAGAGTGCCAAACAACCTTGTTTTGCCAACATTTCTCGGCGGTCGATCGCATGGATGAAGCGGTGAAATTGGCGGTCTGCCAGTCCGAGTCGAGCAAGACGGTCAGGCAGGCATGAAGCACCTTATGGTGAAGCGGCGGTTTGTGTTGACATGCCCGAGGGAGAAGGGAAGAAGGGAGGAGTCGGTTGCGCCTTTGCTTGCTATCCTCCGTACACAGAAGCAGGGTTAGGGTGATAAGACCTGGAAAAGGTGGTCAAGTGAGGAATTTGATCTGCACCTGCGCTCGGCATGGCTCGGCCTTGTTTTGGCTGCTCTGACGCACTCATAGAAAGAGACGCCGGCATGGGACAAGTGGTTTTCAACTTGGCCTTTCTGCAAGTTGCATTTGGTGCTGCTCAAGAGCCGGTCGAGACTGAGAATGAGACCATCTTGATACATAGTCGATCGCGCTAAGACCTGCTTTGTAACGCCGACAGCTGTCATGGCACGAGAGACGTCGGATAACCAGGGTGCCGTGCCGCGATAACACACCTCAGATGTCGAACTGCAACCGATGATGCCGCTGATAATCGCGGAGGAAGATAGATGCAAGGGGCATGGTTCTGATGAAACGAGCACACGGTCAAACTTGACATTGGCAAAGGGAGGAACAGCTGTATAGCAACGCCGAGGGTCCACGCTAGCAGCATTGACAGTCGCCGAAGCTGTTGCCAAATTCCAAAGGAAATGGCATCAAGGCTGCTAACACAGAGACTGGTCTATTGCCTTTGTAGCGCCCTCGCCAAAGCACTGAAAGGCGCGCGCGTGTGTTTGGTGTGCGCTAAGCTTGAGTGTAACTTGCATCCACCCAACAAACACGCTTTACTCTGGCAGGCATTGCGTCAAGAGTATGGCGACGAGCATGCGCCTCTAGCGGAAAGATCCTACCTCCTTCCAAGCCAAGTAATGAGCAAACACTGCTCTTCAAACAAGGCCAAGATGATCACTTCTGTATATTGACGCTTGAGGTGAGAGAGGGGGTGTGCGCTCGGGCTAGTGGTGCTCTTTCATGCGCGTTTCATCATCCGTCACCGCCGCCGATTTTGGTTTCCCTTTGTTATGTGTGCACAAATTCCAAGGCTGCTGTACGGTAGGCATGCAAGCAGCAAGCAAAGCATGGCGTGTGGCTTTATGTTGCTTTTTTCTTTTTTTTTTTTCTTTCTTTTTTTTCTTTCTTTTTTTTTTCTTTCTTTTTTTTCTTTTTTTTTTTTTTTTTTTTTTTTTTTTTTTTCTTTTTTTTTTTTTTTTTTTCTTTTTTTTCTTTTTTTTCTTTTTTTTCTTTTTTTTCTTTTTTTTCTTTTCTTTTTTTCTTTTTTTTTCTTTTTAAATAATAATAATTTCGCTTTTCAAAAGTGCCATTTCTTGCGGCTGCTCCTGTGCTAGCGCCGATCTTGACTTTTGAGCCTTTCTCTCTCTCTTTCTCTCTCTCTCTCTCTCTTTCTTGCTATGTGTCCTCACTCAACCCCCTCGCTGCTACGGTATCTTACTCGCTCCCTCTCAACATCATCCTCGTTCATCCTTCCTGCATCCTTCCGCATCACCGCACCCATCCAACCCCTCCCACCGCCTCTCACACGCTGTCACCACCCATACTATCGCTGCATCTCAACCAACACGCTCTTTTTTTAGCGTCTCACACGCTCTCTCTCGGCCTCTTCACATCTGTGCATCCTTCAAACTCTCCTCTTCGCTCTGGAAAGCGTCGTATTCATCACTCTACAACAGTACCACGTTGTTCACCTGCCTTTCTCGCTCTTGCATCGCATCACCAGCCTCGTCGTTCAAGTTCACCTCGTGGTTCACATCTTTGCACCTCCATACCGTCCGTCCCGACTTCTCTCGCTCTCAACTTCTTCTGCACAAGCTCTTGGCACGCTTCTACCAACCCATCCACTGTTGCCGTCGATATCGCTATCTCTCTACCTTCTCTACCTTCGGGTCGCTCTTCTCAACCACTTGGCTTTGACAGCAGCCGTCGGTTCTTCTTCCTTTGCTGCTCTGGGACATCATCCAAGCCCCTTGCCCTGGATCTCAGTTGCAGGGCAACATCAAGCAACAAGTCCCCTCGTATGACCCTCCTCTAGTCATCCATCTTCCCTACTCCAACACCTTCCAGCCGAGCTTCTACACCGCAGTAATCGTTCATCTCTTAAGCCTCTCCCATTCGACTCCAATTGCCAACTAGTTCCTCTCCTCTCCGCGCAAGATGGACGCACACACACTCAACGCTTGGACGCGCTTTGCGCTCCAGAAGGGCGGCATCGGCACATGCACCGCTCTCATCGACAACCCTGCCACCGAGCCTGAAGATCTCATGTTCATGGCCGGTGAAAAGATCATTGTCCTTCGCAGACTCGACGATGATTCCCCAGATGCCAACCCACGTCCCACCAGTAGCACTAGCGCTCGAAGAAAGAGCGATGCTCTTTCCGACTCAGAAGCATGGTTTCTTGTAAGTAGATACAGCAGCCAACCAGCCCCTTTCTCTTCCTCTCATTTCTTCCTCTCATTTCTTCCCCACACTTCTCTTTCCCATGGCCCAGTCCATTCTACCTCTCTCGCATTTCGCCGCTGCTATCTCTACGGACGGGCGTACTCTATCATTCCTCTCTACCTCTGCATTAGCCCGTAATGAACCTTTTGCTAACCCCTTACTTGTTTTGTTTTTTTGTTTTTTTTTTGCTTCCCTTTCCTCTTCTCAACTCTCAATTCCGCTTTTTCCAACGCTCAATCCTTCTCCGACTTCATCTGCACCATTGCACCACCGCTCCTCTTGCCCCTTTTTCTTTCTTTTTTCTCTTTCTTCTTTTCTTGCAACATCATCTCGTTGCTTTCTCCGCTTCACGCCATTGTCCCTCTTCCTTTTCAATCTACATCCATCACCCTCACACGCCCGTTCTCGTCGACAGGGCTACTGCGAAGGTGTCGTAGGTCGCTTCAAGGGCGCTCACGTCCTCATCCACGGCCGTCTGAAGAAGCCCGTCTTGATGCGTCGCAGCGCTGCTGGTAGCATTCGCGACTCTAGCATGCGCCCCATGTCCAGAAGCGAAGCAGCCAAGATGCATCTCTCTCAAGTGCCTGCCGGTATTCCTTTCACTTCCGTCAACTCTGACGGCGAAGAGGACGCAGCTGCCTCCTCACCGGTCGATCGACGTGGGCACGCATTGCCACCGCCGGCACAGCACAGTGCGGGCTTGAGTTCATCTCACCCCCACCATCCGGCCGCCGCTTCTGCAGCTTCGACGTTCGCCAAGAATGGAACCTTTGGTCTCACAACACCGCCTCTGTCAGATGAAGGTCACCTTCGAAGACAGCCCCTTCCACGCAGGCCGGTCCAGGACAACGACGAAGACTCGGACGGCTCCACTTCCCTTCTTCCATGGGCTAGGCACAGCCGTGAGAGCAGCAACGCCTCTTCTTCCGCTCCTGCTCCTCGACCAAACAACTTGCTCGCTCGAAATGGATCGTTGGCACGCCCCTCAGCGCCTCTTGGCACTTCATCTCCCTTCACCCACCACTACGCAGCCACACAAGCACAGAACGTCTCCAACTTACCCACTATCCATCATCTGCCGCCTTCGCCCATCTCTTCCAGCGAATCGCCCATACGTGCCGAGTCGAGCAACCTTCTGGCTTCCATCACCACTACATCCAGCTCAAAATCCAACCCTCCTTCCGCCGACACCACCGCCGACAGCACCATTATCAACACAGTCACTGGCAACTCTTCGGCTGCAGACTTGGCTTCGCGTACATCCTGCACCTCTTCCAACTACACCACCTCGACCAACGACGATTCCGACGACGAACAGGGCAACGAGAACCGTCGCAGAGACTACACTTTCTCCATCTACGACGTTTACGGTCGTGATTCGGTTGCTTTCCCTAACTTTGACTTCCGTCAGTACGGCAGCAAGTCGTCTCTTGCCAAGTCGACCGAGTCGCTCAACATACCAAGCCAGCGCTCCTCCAACGCAACCGACGACCGCCTGCAGCTGCCGCTATCGCCTCAACAGTGCCCTCAGCAGCGTCCCCAGCCACCGAGCGCCGACACATCAAGAGCGCAGCAGTCCATGCAGCAGCAGCAACAACAGCAGCAGCAGCAACAACAGCAGCAGCAACAACAGCAGCAGCAACAACAGCAGCAACTCGGACCCATGGCTGGTGGTATTCCACGCCGGCCTGGACAGCTTGTCGTACCTGCTGCTAGCGACACCTCGATTCCATTGGCGTTGCGATCTCCCTCCGGTCGTCGTCCAAGCGCAGCGCCGGATCCGAGAATGGCGGACGTCAATGGACCACGCCCACCTTTGAACATGGCGTCGAGCTTGCGTCGTCAAGTGGAAACTCCGCCTGTGCCAGCTCCCGGCGCTCAACAGGTTTCACCGTTGGATGCAGCGGGTGCGGCCTTGGCAGCCGGTCCAAGTGCCGATGCGGGCCCCATGCCACGCGGCCCGGGCGCCTTCGATCCACACCGACGTCCGTCACAGCACAACACTGCTGCGCCAGTGTCTGCTCGCATGCACCCTAGCACGTTGCCTCCCATCTTGACGGGAGCTCCGGGCACAGGAACATCGTTAGGCTCCAAGTCGTCAGCCTCAACCTCAGCCTTCGGCCCTGGCTCTTCCCCACCTGTCTCTGCTGGCACGTCGGCGTCCAATAGCCAGGATACCAACTTCAGCCATCGCCCTGGTTTCGCTGAGGCGCGCTCACGCCATCGGTCCATGTCGGTGGGCACGCTCAATAAGGCTGAGAACCTTGCGCTTAACGAAACGGATGCAGACGGCGCAGAAACTGCGCACGCACCTATCTTGGCCGCAGCGCCTCAGCCACCACATCTCACTGCTCTTGGCTCTGCCAACAACACCACACGACCGAGCTTCCGAACTTCAGCCAGCTCTGCTCGCTCGCGCAACGGTCAAGCTACCTCACCTGGGTTTGGGCCCGTGCGTGCATCTTCAGATCGTCTCTCGGAGCGTGAGAGGACCAACTCGGGCCATGGTTCAGGACTGCTTCGTAAGAACCCTTCCAACCCTACTCCTGGCCTCCATGGCGGTAGCGGTCTTCACGGACTCTCTCCTATGGCACGAAGCGCAAGCCCAATGAGCCAGCTCAGCGCCCCTTCACCAACATTCCACCACCAAGACGAAGCAGGACGTCGCACCAGTGCTGCTAGCACTAGCGCCTACTCGCCAGGTCCGCGCAGCCCCGCGCTTCGCAGTCCACTCGGTACGGCGATCGCTCCCGGTCCTGCATCCGCGCCTGTGACGCCCGGCGGCGGCCCCGGGCCTCATTCGAATGGTATCTTCGCTTTCCCTTCTTCGCCCGGCTCGGTGGCCAGTCCCAGTGGGATTGGCAACCGTGGTTTCGATGCGATGGGCTTCATCATTGAGCCCAACGTGCCACCTTGCATGCCTCAGGTGGACGATCCTGAACTCAAGGACAAGTGGCTTTCTGTACTCAATGAGAACGACGTCACTGCAGCAAAGAAGAGCCGCAAGGTCAAGAAGCTGGTGCGAAGCGGCGTGCCTCAATCGCTGCGACATGAAGTTTGGCTCTTCCTCGCCAACGCCTCGGTGCGTCGTCGACCTGGTCTTTTCGAGCAGCTTTGCAAGACTTCGCAAGGCAGCAAAGGCAAGCGCGGCAAAGAAGAGGCTTACGAGACCATCGAGAAGGATCTTCACCGCACCTTGCCGGACAATCAATTGTTTATAGGTGAGAATGCAACGGGCCGAGCGGACCTAGAAGGCATTCTCAAGTCGTATGTTCACTTCAATCCCATGCTTGGCTACACGCAGGGTATGGGTCTCTTAGCAGCCTTCGCACTGATTCAGATGCCAGCCGAAGATGCATTCTGGTTGCTCTGTGCAGTGCTTCGTAACCCTCAGATGGAGGAATACTACTCGGCAGGCATGAAGCAGCTCCACGTCGACAGTGTCGTGTTCAGCAATCTTCTGCAGAGCATGGACGCAGAGCTGCATGATCGATTCGAACAAGTCGGATTGTCGCCAATCATGTTTACTCCCAACTGGTTCTTGCCGCTCTTCACGCGTGTCTTGCCTTGGACCACCTTGGTAAGGGTATGGGATGTCTTCTTCTATGAAGGCCCTACATGGATGTTGCGTGTTGCACTTGCCATTGTACGCATCTTGCGCGAACAGCTGATGAACCGATCCATCTGCCCTACCGCAGGCGAGATGTTGCAGTTGCTTCTTCACCCTCCTCCTCACAACTTGACGGCGGAGAACGTGTTGAACTGTGCTTTCAGCGTGAAGCTCAAGGATGGCGAGATGCGCAAGTTGAGCAGAACCGCTTCCAAGTTGGTTAGGGAGAAGAACTCTTTGAATCAAGCTGCGGATGCGAGGGGAAGAGCATCGTCCAGGAGACCCAGTGCTTCGGCGAAAGCAAGTAGGAGTACCAGTGCTCCTGCGAAGCGATGAGCTTTCGGTGAGAATCCACGGCAGATGTGATCTTCGCTATATCAACCTCCATCACTTGCTTTGTTTTCTACAATTTTGGCAAACAAATCTTACACACTCTTTTTCATTCTCATCATATGTCGTTGTTTGTGCTTGTGTCGTTGTCTGTGCTTGTGTCTGTGCCTGTGTCTGTGCTTCTAACGTGCTCCTTGCCTTCGTAGCGAGTGTCTTGCATAGGAGAGAGACGTTGAAAAGCAACGTTGCAACTTGAAAGTAGGCGGCAATCGGAGGTCATGCGTATCCCGATCCAGCCAAGCGAAATGAAATGCAGTTGCAGATCGCGAAAACAATGCGTCTCTCTCAAATTTTTTTTTTTTTTTTTTTTTTTTTTTTTTTTTTTTTTTTTTTTTTTGTTCTGCCTGCGGTTTTGACACGCATCTTTCCGCCGGGAGCACGGGCCAAACACGAGGTTCAGGCCTGCAGTTGATTTGGCATACCTGACTCACCCTCTTTGAAACCTCCTCAGCACCAAGAACAATCCACAAAAGCTAGGAAGCCAATGAGGCTCAAGGTGCATGGGAAGGTACCAGGGGGGAGGCTGCCCGATCCTGCATAGGAGAAACTATTGGGTATCAAAATTTGAGTGTTTTTATTTCGCACAAAAATCTTATGTAAGCTCACCCAAAATTGAAAAAACACGCCTCGGGACCAGGTAAAATGACCTCCCCTTTTTTGGTTGCTCTCCAAATGATTACTTCATCACACTCATGTCCTTCATCACCGGCAATTCATTTGATAGCCTACATGTTAAGTCGAATCAATTGCCACCTTTGCTGCAAAAGTGTTTTTTTGGATGCTCAAAAATGGGAAAAATAGGTCAAAATCGAGAAACACGTGTTTCTAAAAATACTCAAATTTTGATACCCCATCACCCTTGTACAGTATCATACATGTGTACACAGGAAGACATATATATATATATACATTCGATCATCTTGTACTTAGTTCATGATCATTATTGCAATCGATACTCGTGATCAAACGCTATTTGTCGCACGCCCTACAACAAAATGTCCCCACCTCACCCGGCGAAATGTCGTTCTTGGATCGCAGCTGCAGGCAAGCCAGAGAGGGAGGAAATTCATAATTCTCCTATAAGGAGGCTCAAACGTAACAGGGAAACTATGTCGGATGTCTGATAGCCGGTATGCCGATGCCTATCGCGACAGTCGGTTCGGGTCTAAGTGGTATGTGAGATCGAAGTAGAGCTCACACACTTTCACTCATTTCGAGTAAGCCCCACCAAAGCCGCCAGCCGCTGAGTCGCAGTTGCGGTCAAGCCTTCTCTGTCTGTTGCGATATGAGTGATAAAGATTCACACTTACATCCCTCGCTTCCTTGAGTGCTTCCTTGCTTTCCAATTCAACGACTCTTCCCATACCAGCTGCGGCCACGAATGGTGACAGCGGCATCTGTCAAACTTAATCCCTAATCAGCAGCTTGGCATCCGTCGTGTCCGACTCGATCCGGCAACTTCGACTGCCGTCTCGACACCACGACGGTAGAACGAGGCTAAGATGGCGTCCTCATCCGCCCGATACACATCCATACCCAGCAGCGAAGCAGTCGACTCGAACAATGGTTCGATAGGCTCTTCCTCCGCCACCTCTTCCCTTAGCAACTTCGGGTATGTCGTCTTGCGTCCGCTCCAATCGAATCGATTCAGCAATATCGCATCCAAAACAGGCGTATATGGAGCAACACTCTTCGTCTTTATCTGCTTGGCTCTTTCCCTCCTCCTTCCCTCCTCAATACCCTCTCCAGCATCAGAATCAGTAACGACACCACAAGACTTGACACCAGCTCAGAGGCGGGACCGAACACTGTCACCCACCACCTGCCGTCGCGAATTCCCCCTCCTGTTCCCACAATTGGACGCCAACGTAGCAGCATGGAAAGCCAAAGGCAGCATATCCTACACCGATCTCGACGAGGCAGCTCGAACCTGTGTTGATAGATGGGGTATGGCTCGTGTTGTCATCCGCGATGGTCAACTCTATTTGCGTCAAGTGCGTGAAGGAGGGGAATCTCGAATCTCTGCCCTCCTCCACTTGTTGCACACCGCCATCAGCACCGATCCGTCTTCCTTCTCCTCCGGCAGTGATACGGGCATAGAACTAGTGCTGAGCGAAGCAGATAAAGAAGCTTCCCCCTCCTCTAACCTCATCTGGGTTCTTAGTAAACGCGTCGACGAACCAGCATCCAAAGGCACCTGGTTACTCCCCGACTTCGGATTCATCGGATGGCCAGAAGCTGGCATCGCATCGTTCGACGAATTCACCCATCTAGGCCAACTTCAAGATCACTTGGTCCCATGGCACGCAAAAGGGGACAAGGCGCTATGGAGGGGTTTAGCTAACGGCTATGCCCCACGGATGGATCTTTTAGCACGAACAGATCCGAGAAAGGTGAAGGGTGCAGAGGAATGGGCGGATGTCAAGCAGACAAGTTTCCACGATGTCGGGGAGGAGTTTCATCCCTTGATACCGATGCACGAACATTGTCGTCACAAATACCTCATTCAAACCGAGGGAAACAGCTACTCTGGGAGGGGGAAATTCCTTTGGATCTGTAGAAGTGTTACAATCTCCCACCCGCTCGAGTGGACACAGCACTTCCACCCAGCACTCAACTCTAACCCGCAATCACCAAGGCAGAACTTTGTCGAGCTACCAGGACCCCTCTTCTCCGGTCTCGAGGAGACAATTCGGGAGTTGCAAGAATGGGCATCCTATCCAGCGAATCAAACGCTGAATCTTAGCGGAGCTCTAGGAGTCAATTCTCCGCAAAAAATAGCTGATAATGCAGTAGAAACACTCAGAAACAGATACTTGACTCCCGCAGCGACAAATTGTTACCTAAGGGCGGCACTGAAAGCGTACGAGGGGGTGTTGAAGAAAGACACTTGGCCAATAGAAGAGAATGCGGCGGCATGGGATGAGGGCGGAGTGGGCATTCTCCCGCAAGGTGGACCAGGTGGGGGGGTTGCACCTGGTGGAGGGAAAGGGAAGGATTTGGTGAAAGTGGGCGTGAAGGGGGACATTGAGTATGGAGTTTGGCTGTTGAGTGGTAGTCCGAATTGGCCTCCATCTCCATCTCAGTAGTATAGCAGGCATTGACTCACAGTCCTCTACACGATAGAAATGTATGCCTCGATAATGGACAATCAAGTTCTATTCCTTCCTTTTCGATCGCTGACCCGTACAATGTGTGATCAAGCTTTGGCATTGAGAGACTTGACATGCCTTCTAATGAAGGCAACCATACGCTCAAAGCTCTCCTTTTTCGCCCTACCCCCTGGCACCTCAAGGATGTTTTCATGCCTAACATCAGGTATTCTAGTCTCATAGCTATGTCCCACTCCTTTCGCAAAATACACCTCATGCTTTGCCTCCCCGCCCTCTTTCACCAGTTTCTCCCCAAACTCTTTCGCCTCAGTACCCAAGGGATCATGTTCACAGGCAACGATATAACACGGAACCTCATAGCTCCCCGTCTCCGCCTTAGCCGGACTGACTCTCGGATCGTTGCCCATCTTCTGCTGCACTTCCGGCTCCCAACCGAGATAGGCGCCAAAGAAAAAGTGCATGACCTGGTAAGAAAGAGCTGCCATTGGGATGTTTGGTAGTTCACCTTGTTCGTTGGTTGCTTTGTCAATTAGAGGGATGGATGAGTCTGTTGGGGGGTAAAGTGTTACGCAGGCTTTGATGTGGGAGTATTCTTCCGCGGTTAAGCCGAGGGAGAGAGCAGTGCTGCGGGAGGAGAGGGCTAGAGCGAATTGTGCACCTGCACTATGGCCCATTAAAATGAGATCCCCGTTGAAGAACGGCTGCGAAAGAGTCCAGCGTACCGCTGAAACGACGTCGTACAACGCCTCGGGGAACGGGTTTTCGGGCGCCTTTACGTAGTCTGCATCAACAACGGTAAGTGAAGGGAGAACTTCGACGAGGTAGCGATTGGCGTCTGCGTCCGCACCGAAGCGGTCGACGGTGTAGCCTGAGCCGTGCCAGTTCAACAACACCGGACGCCTAGAGGGGGTGCAAGAGTTTGAGGGGAGAGAAGCCGGGTCGTATATATCGAGCTTGACATCGCGAGGCAAGGAAGGAGTGATGGAGGGAGTGGTTGTCGACCAATCAGGGGTGGCTTCTTGAGGGTAAGTAATGCCGCCGGATCGAATTAATTTGAGAGCGGCAGAGATTTCAGCGGGGGAAGGGTTGGCGGGGTTGGGAAGGAGTTGGAAGCCGGTCGATGCGTTGGCTGCTGATGAAGCGGTGGACATTTTGGAGGAGCTATGATGCTAGGTGTGGTGGAGTGTGATGGTGGTGGATGGTGATGGAAGCCAAGCGGAAGGAGAGACGAAGTACCGATTTGAACCGTGCGCAACTAGACTCAGACAGGTAAACCAAAGCAGAGGGGGCATGAATAGCTCGAGCAAAGCAGAAGAAAGCTAACTCTTGCCGAATCAACGATGAGCATCGATCCTCGGGTATTGTATAGCCGGTATGCCGACGCCTGTCGCGACAGTCGGTCCGGGCCAAGATCGGTGCCTATCCGAATGAGCGAAGGTTGGTAAAAATGTGAGATCGAACTAGAGCTCACATGCTTTCACTCATAAATCAACACTTTTCTCACACGTTGGCGCTGAAGCCTCAACACTCTACGCGGTGCGCTGACTGAACCCTGAAGGGAAGAAGCTCTCTCAAACTCTCAAGCTGCGCATTTCAACATTCCGACCTTCACTTCACCTCATCACCATCATTACCTTGCTCTACTGCGCTCTGCCACACCACGATGCCAAAGGCATACTTTGTCAACAAACGCGAAGCTGCCCGAGCTTTCAACTCGGACGATGACGATGACGACGATGACCAACTCGAACAGCTCGATCTCGAAGCCACCTATCAAAAGGACATGGTCCTATTCTGTATCGATGCCGGCCCCTCTATGCACCGAATCGACCCTACCGCCAACACTTCCCCTCTCTACTTCGCACTTAAAGCAGCCGCCTCCCTCATGCAAAAGAAACTCATTTCGTCACCACACGACCATGTCGGCCTCCTCATCTTTAACTGCGCCGAAACTCTCTTCCGCTCTGCCAAACCAGGCGAATACTACAAGGGAAGCTACGAACTCCAGTCCGTTCGCCAAGTCAACGTTCCCGATACATACAATTTGAAAGCGCTGCTGCACGAGGCGGAGCACGACCCGAAGCATTTGCAGACGATCTTACCTCCAGCGGAGAAACAGATGCGGATTGATTGGGCTCTAGCCAACGCGGGGGTGGCGATGGTAGCAGCTCCTAATGCCGGGAGTAAAAGGGTGTTTTGGATCACGGACAATGATGATCCGCATCCGATGAGTGTTGATCCGAAAGCGACCAAGGCGAGGCGGGCGTGTTTGGATAAGATGGACGAGTTTAGCAAGATTGGGGTTAGGATTGAACCCTTTTTTATCAATCCGAATCAGCCTGCTTTCACGGGTGCATCGCAGGCATCGGGGAGCGATTTGACGAGGGGTTTTGAGATCAATAAGTTCTACGCAGATGTGTTCTCGCATTACGATAATGATTTGGAGGACGACGAGGACAGCGCGTATCCGAGGAGATTGCCGAAAGCGTTTGGAAGGACAGCAGCGGAGCAATTGAAGGGCCAAGAGGTGAAGCGCAGTCTTTGGGATTCAGCTGTCAGGTTTCAGGAACTGGAGAATGACATTGCGACAAGGGAGACGCCGAAGCGTGTTGTATTTAACATTCGGTTTGAGCTTGCTGCTCTTGATCCCCCGCCCGCGCCGTCGACAGAAGGAAGCGAAGCCAACGGCGAGGGCGCCAAGTTGCCACAAGCACGGTCACGAGGCCGCAAATGGCAAATCGGAGTCAAAGGCTACAGTCTCGTTTGCAAAACCATGAAAGGCAACCCTGTCAAAGTCATCGTCGACGACGACTGTGGCGAACTCAAAGAAGTCGTCACGCACCAGCACTACATTGATGTCAACTCAGGCCAGCCTCTCTCAAAAGAGCAAGTGATTCCAGCGTTTCAATTCGGTACCTCTTCCAGCTTGCGCGGACAGGTGACCTTCACTCCGCAAGAGTTGAGGAGTATCAAAACGTTTGGTATGCTGCCTTGCCTCAAGCTCATCGGGTTTAGGGATAAAGACGAACTGCTCAAATTCGAATGGAACGTCAAACATGCGTACTTTATCTACCCTTCGGATATCGAGTGGAAGGGCAGTAGAAAGACTTTCACTGCACTCTTGCAGTCAATGGTGAAGAAGGGAAAAGTTGGGTTAGGCTTGTTTATGCCGAGACAGAACGTTGTGCCTGTGTTTGTAGCCATTGTGCCTCAGGAAGAGGAACTCGACGAAGAAGGACAGCAGCTTGTCGCGCCAGGGATGCACATCATCACTCTACCCTACGCGGATGATGTGAGGGACATCCCCACCAATCTACTGCACACGGAAGACGCCAACTACACACAAATCGATAAAGCAATCGCCTTCATCGAACGCTATCAAAAGAAACAACCCTTCAATCCAGACCACTACCCTAACCCTTCCCTCAATCATCATTACAAAGTGCTCATGGCGACCGCTTTTCAAGAGCCTCTTCCCGAAACGCCGACCGATCTTACGGTACCGCAGTATGGAACGATCCGGAAGAGGACAGCTCATTTGATTCAGGCTTGGCATGACGAAATCAATGGTGATCCAAGGCTCAGTATGGTTAGTGCCGCAGCAAGTAAGCAGCCGAAAACGAGTACAAGTGTTAGGAAGACGAGTTTCGAAGATGATACAGAGATCATGGGGCTGTGGGAGAAAGGCAAGCTGAGTGCGTATACCGTGGAAGAGTTGAAGTCGGTTTGTGAGTTCTACAGGTTGGATAAGAAGGGGAGGAAAGGGGATCTGTTGGTGCGGATTGATGAACATATACGTAAGATGAGCAAGTGACCGCCAAGGCCTCGTAAATGACAGTTACCGCATACTCAATGTTACCGCACAGCATGGTCACCACAGAGAAGAAGAGTGGCAGTGCATCTATACCCTAATCTCAACCTCTTTCTGGTTATGCTTCGACGTGTGGGATGTGTCAGATGTGAGCCGCCAAAGAAGCGTCCGAGATGCGGATCAAGAACAAAGCTTCTGAGTGTGTGTCTCACCACCAATCATGACAGCGGCAGCGTTACACTTCGAGCTCTTGCAAGCCGTGATCCGGTTTCCGATGATGTTCGGATGTGACACTGTAATCGTTGAAAGTGTGACAGCTGCAACAAAGGGTCGGGATGAGGGTCAGCGAGACTTGCTTTGCAGAGTGTGGAGAGAAAGCAAATCAAATGCGCGCTTACAATCTAACAAGAAATGTGGAGCTCCAGCCGGCTAAGGCAATTCTAACGCTTCGCATTTCGGATTCACGCCATAACCGCCTCTCGCACGTGCCTCCCAAATTAGCCTTCATACACCTTAGCTCCATCTCCACACCATCATCCTACTCAACCACCGCACACACTTTCCCCCATCCGCAACACTCCAAGAACGGAAGCAGATATGTCCAACGAAGACACATCTCGACCCGCCGTCATCCTCCCCGCTGCAGATCCAGCTAAAATCTTCAAACCGGACATTTTCAAAGGCAAAGTTCTCTTCTGTACCGGTGGTGGATCAGGTATTTGCTATGAAATGACCAAAACCATCATGTCCTTTGGCGCCGACGCTGCTATCTTGGGACGCAAAGCCGATCGACTTTCGCGTGCTTCTCAAGAACTTTCTTCCGCAACTGGTCAGCAGTGTCTTGCCTGTCCTGCTGATGTTCGTGAGCCGGAACAACTCAAAGAAGCTGTTAGGAAGACAGTGGAGAAATTCGGCAGGATCGATTTCGTCATCGCTGGTTCAGCCGCAAACTGGTTAGCTGCAATCGAACAAAACTCAGAGAAAGGTTTCAAAACGGTTATCGACATTGATCTCATCGGTTCCTACAACACTGTTAAGGCTACGCTGGAAGAGGTAACCAAGAATAAGGGGAGCTATATCTTTATCAGTGCCACCCTTCACTACTACGGGCTGCCCTACCAGTCGCATTCCTCGGCGGCAAAGGCAGGAGTGGATGCACTGAGCAGAGTTCTGGCGGCGGAGATGGGTCCTCTGGGTGTGAGGAGTAACGTTATCGCTCCGGGACCCATCGCTGATACGGAAGGTATGGATAGGTTGGCTCCTAAAGGTTTAGGTGATGCAGTGGCGGAGCAAGTGCCGATGCAGAGGATGGGAAATAAGAGCGATATTGCCGCTGCAGGGGTGTATCTGTTCAGTGAGGCAGCTAGCTATGTTACGGGAACACAGATGGTGGTGGATGGTGGAGCTTGGCACGTGGGTGGAGCTATGTTGCCTTACCCGACCAGTAGTTTGGATCCTAAGAGTTTGAGTAGTATCGTTGCTGGCTCGAGGCTTTAAGCACCGAGCTGATGTTGCAGGTGTGTATGTACACATGTTGTTTCGATGATGCTGTCGCTTGTCAAGTAACTCGTTCTGTTGATGTTGTTCAGGTTTGTGCGATTTGTGTTAACCAGTTCACAGCTTTTGTCGCCGCTGATCTCCCATTGTCACGCTTCAGTTCTAACAATGCGACGGGTCATGCTCTGACGAGGCTGGCAGCTGTTGAAGTTCTGAAGGGCAGGAACGACTCTACAACAAACTAACCTTGAGGCATGATGATTGGCAAAGATGTGGAAATGTAACTGGTGTAAGCGACCAAATGCGGCTCCTCGACGTCGCAAAGACAAGACAGGCATGCCAACCGCTTGATCGGCAACGAAATATAGCCGAAGCGCATCGACGCTTTTTCCCCCTCATCTGTGTGAGATCGCGTTTTCTTCTGCGATCCATAATTTCGGCAAAACATTCATCATTGGTGTTAAAACTTTAACCTCACACTCGTTAAAAAAAAAAAATTAAAAAATTAATGAATGAAAAGGCACGTGCCTGCATGCCTCGGCCGAATTCGCAGCTCAGCCTCCCCGAAAGCCAGCCTCAAATCTCATCCACACAGCAGCACAGTGCACCGCAAGACAGAGAAGACAGCTGGTGAGTAAGTGTGCGAGTGGGCAGGCGTGGGTGTGCTTGGAGACTAAGACTAGGAGCTCACCACCCCGTTTGACCACCATCTTCTCCATCCGACCTAGAAGTAATACCGTCAAGATGCCGTCCCAGAAAACTTTCCGCACCAAGGTCAAGCTTGCCAAGGCGCATAAGCAGAACCGGTACGTATTTGGACACCAGCAACAGCAACCAGCAATAGCAATCAGAGAACAACAGTAGCAATCAGCAATCAGCAATCAGCAACCAGCAACCAGCAACCAGCAAAAACAGCAATCTGTATCGGTAACAAAATGAAAGAGAACTGGCAGCAGCACGATAAAGGAGGGAGTGGACTAAGCGCATGACGGAGGAAGCTCTCCGACGGATTGCAGAAATCGCAAGTGCTAGGCAAGTTTGTGGGAACGGTTTTGCGAAAATTGATGGCGATGTGTCCGGGTCCATGTTGTTGGCAGGATAAGGGATAGACAATGTTACGAAGTAGTATCTCAGCACGCAGCTTCAGCAACGGCGTCACCGATTCGACATCAGCATTATCGTCAGCTTCACATCGTCGATCTCTGTTGCATGCAAAAGCTCCGATCAATAATCTTTCTGCGCCACGCCTTTCGAGTCACCGGCGCCAAAATCCCTCTACAGACTTACACAGATTCAACATGATCAGCAGTAACAGCAATCAACATTATAATGGCAACCAGCCATTTGCAGTCGAGCCAGGATAGCAGCAGCATTCCATCTTGACTTGCCCCACCGCTCAGACATGCCACCTCAGCATGAACCAGCCTCGTCACAATCGCCGTCTCATCACAGGCAAACACTCGATCGTGAACAGCCGGAGGCGATCTGATTGCCAACCTTGCAGCGACACGGTGCGACAAGCTCAATCAACGAATGCATCCATTCGCGTATATATCACATCTCGCCCCCTGTACCGCAACCACTACTCAGCATGACTACTTTCGTCACCTACGTCATTGCATAGACCTCGCACGACGATCTATTTTGGGTCGGATTTTGGCGAACGGAACAGCAACCTCTGCATTTCATCCGTTACGAAGTAATGTACTGTGGTACGGGTTGGTCTCCAATCCTTTGTCTATGCCGGATGTAGTTGCAGCACCTTTCCGACCGATGGAGTTTGACTTGCGCACGATTGCAGATGCAATTCACACGAACCCAACTAGGCGCTCCTTGCGCACAATCCGCAACTCACAACCACACTACCACAATATTCGCACCATCCTTCCTGCTTTAGGTGGTAAAACTAGCATCAACATACACCAACCAGCGTCCAACACCGGACTTGTCTTCTTTTCCGGCTTTGTTACATGGGCTATTGCTTCTGCTGTTGCCACTGCTATTGCTCACATCAAGGCCGCTTTCAGGAAGACGCTCAATACTGACTTTCGTTCGACTGTTTCCGATGTTGATTCGTTAATTTTAGACCCATCCCTAACTGGTTCCGCATGAAGGCAGACAACAAGATCCAGTACAACGCTAAGCGTCGTCACTGGCGTCGAACCAAGCTTAACATTTAAAACGCTCACCTAACGGTTTTTGGATGTTTTGCTAGGCTTCTTTTTCGACACACTCTCTGCCTCTTTCGAAGGGTTTGAGCACACACATCTCTCTCTCTCTCTCTCTTGTAACATCATATTGATTACACACCCACACACACACAAAACTTGCATTCTTGGCGCACACAACAAACAAAAATGCATACTTAGCTTCTCTCCTTACTGGGGGCTGGCGGGTTTTCCCAGAACTTTTCTTGCGTGTTGGTTTGTGATCGGATGTAGGTTGGCTTTGAGAGGTGAGGCTTTGGTTGATGGCGAAGGCCGAGTTTGAGAGTCTGGTTAGGTGAGACTTGCAGGCAGGTTGCGGTGTAGAAGAGGGTTTTGATAGAAAGATTGTCGTTTCGCATTTGTTGCTGAGCATCTTGGTTTCTCAGCACCGGGTTCTAGCCAGAGTCGATGAAACGACGATGATCCTTTTGACACTCGAAGACGTTCACGAACTCACAAGATGGCTGAAGGTGGAAACATCATCATCTGTCCCTACCCAAGAGGATGGGTAGGAATGAAAATGTTTGATATTATATTATCGAAAGTGTATATTAGTATGATGACCAAGTTGTAAAGTGCATTGTTCAAAAGGGGTATGCAAAAGGTATCTTAACCATCCACCAAAGCGTTCTTTCAGGAAAGCAGACCATCGTATCTCTGCAAAATCCATGCATCCGTACCACCTCTCTTGGCCCTCTCTGCAGTACTAATTCGACTATCACCCCTATAGAATCCTCTTTTCACCGCTTTACTATCGTCTGTGGGAGCGTTGAATGCATGAGCTGTATACAGTGCTAGCGCATGAATGTTACTCGGGTGAACTTCTAGATAGGTTCTTGCTAGATACTTGCCATTTACAGGCCTGCCGGGTTTTAGATCTGAAAGTGTCGGTCGAGGTAATGGCGCTCTTAAATATGGCGATCTTGTCGAGTTTTCTCCCATTCCAGTGATGCCTGCAGGGGGCAGTGTCGCTTCATCGACAAACTTCGGACTGAGCGGAGGGATTGTAGGCAGAGGAGATTTGGATTTGGAAGGTAACCGCATAGCCATAAGTCTAGCTTTACTCATACATTCCCCATGCAGCGTCGCCAACAATTTCGCACCTAACCCTTGGCCCCTCTCTTCCGGCGCAGTAGCAAGAGTGAGCAAATGAACATCAATCAACGCCCGCACCTCGCTTTGCTTTTCCTTCTTTTGACCCCAGAGACTGTGCCCACACGCTACTGTGCCCACACTGAGTTGCGCAGAAACAACACCAAGAATCGTCTCAGTCTCCACTCCACCCCCTGAAGGCAGAGAAACAACTTTCTTGACAGGGGCTGAACAAGTCTCTACCGGTCCAGGCAAGGGATGTTGTTGCTTTAGGTGGGCGGATGGATGACCTCGTTCAGCAAAAATATCAGAAAACACCGAGGTTGCGGGAGTGTTGTTAATCCTCCCCTTATGATCGCGGGGGTTGGTCATTCGAGTTTGAGGTGCTACTGGAGCTCCTAGTGTCGAAAACAACGATGAAGTTGCTGCGTTCGGGGATGAGGAGAGACCCGAGCCGGCCTCGTCAGCTAGACGGAGCGAATCAAATTCTTCTTCAGCTACATCATCAGGATCAGGTAGGGATGTCGGCGTGGCAGCGCCGGAAGAGGCGCTAGAGGACGGAGAGGCGGGGATGTCAACTTTGCGACTCTTGGCGATAGCAAGATCTGCAGCAGCGGGTAGTGGAGCTTCAGGAGCTGGGAGAGGTTTAGCGACTGCGACGAGGCACACGTGTCGATCGTCGACGAGTAGGCGAAGGAGGAAAGAGGCCGTCGAGGCGTACGTCTCGCCGTGGTCGGGGGACTGTGGATCGGGCGAGGGCGGCCGATGAATAGCACAGAGAGTGGATGAGGTTGTTAGTGCTTGATCAAAGATGCTATCATTGTGGTGCGGGAAAGTGGGACCCTGCGCAAGATTTTTTTGACTTTTGTTTGACGCGTGCAAAGATCTGTGGCTGATAAGAAGGCCAAGTCGAAGCAGCGAGTGGAAATAGCCAGGCGCAAGGGAAGAGAAACGTGCGCAATCTGAAAGCTGAAAACGTGAACAATGAGCAAGCAAGAGATTGTCGTCTCGCCAAAGATCCAGCGAAGGCCCCGATGGAGCAGCGTTGCTTCCACTCGGCTGTGTAGCAAAGCAAAAAAAATAATAAAAGGCCGGGAGATTTGGGTTTATCGATGTTGTGTGACACGGCTGCGTGCGTTTCGCCGTACCACTGTCATCGGTCAACTTGCTCGTCAAGGCGAAATGAGAGCGAGAGATGAAGACCGAAGAGGACCTTCTCCCTTGCCTCGTAGCGGTGCTGCAGGAGGAAAGAGAGATCAAGCGGCGATAACTTTCGACGATGTGGCGTACACACTGAACACCGAAGTTGGCCCATGCTGCTCCTCTCCTAACTGCAGGTGGCATCGGCAGTCGTGCCCTGCTGTCTGACTGCTCCACGGCCCGGCAAGAATGTGGAAAGGTGCAAGCTCGGAGATCTTGGCTATCACATAATCGCAGTTGCTACTGCATGATTGGTGACAAAGAAAGACCCTGCTCGACCTTACACTGCTGCCTTTCGGCGGGGATGCAGATACAGTGGGACGGGCAGTTCTGTTGTACGAGCGCTTTTCCTTTTCACTGCTTTTTTCAACCTTGTGTTTGAAATGTGTCTTTGCGTTACAGATGTTGCTGTGCTTTTCATGCGGATCACTGCATGTGCCCTAGAGAGATCATTGAAAGCCAAGAAAGGAAGGGGGCATGGACGAGATGAAAATGCAAAGGTCAAAAACAAGTGGAATGATGCAGAGCTACGGTCGGTCAGATGATGGGAGTGGCAAACCCTCCGAACAGTGGCCGACGTGCTGGCAGTGTAGGAGAACAGCGGCAAGACGAGGCGGATGATGGCCATACCGCCTGTCCGCAGCAATGGTACAGTCTGCGATGTGCAAGATTGGCGTGACTAAACTGAGATGGTAGCGCAGTGTGTGGACTGCCTTGCGTGGTGGTTTCAATAGGCAAAGGGTATGGACATGTCGAAGAAAAGGTGAGACTGGCCAATTGGTTACTTACTCTGTCTGTGTCGCCGTGGAATGCGTGCAGATCACGAACTTGCTCAAGATCGCCACGTCGTAGTGGACGCACTTGAATACGTGCATCGAGTGCCGCAGCTCGTGCGGCTGGTTCGATTGTCTTTGCGCTCGAGGGAGGCATGGAAAGCTGGTTGGGGTCGTGAACTTTGACTTGGTCGTCCAAGGCATAGGTGGACGAAGGGTCGAACTGAAGACCAAAGTCGAGATCGTGAGGTGTTTCGCCTTCGACCAGGCTGACGGAGGAAGCGTTCGAGACGGGACGGTGCGGCAGTGTGGAAGCGTGTTGGGGGTTGTGCTGGAATGGATATAGTTGTCGTACTGTTTCCGAGACTTGGGGAGCCAATACGGGCTCCTCTTGGTCCGAAAGCATGTCTTCATCGTAGGGAAGATAAGTGGGTCCTCGCTCTTCAATCTCCAGGTTGCGTCGCACGCCTTCGAGACGAGAAGCGAGGTAAGCAGCATCAGGAGCATGGCTCATGAGCCTCTCGTCACGTAATGCCTCCAACTCGAGCTCAACAGCGTGAACGGTCTTGCCTTTCCATCGACGGCCGCCAAAGGCCAAGCCATCAAGCTCCTCTTCGCTGCTGCTGTCCATGAGGGCACTCGCTGGTGCTGGGTTGCTGTTGATCACGTTTCGAGAAGGTTGCGCGATGGATGACAGGTTGCTTTGATCGCCGACACCGCGGTATGTGGGTGGTTGTGGTGTTGGCTTGCCTTTGCCGTATACTGGCATGGGTGCGAAGGAGGCGCGGACATCAAAGTCGAGTGCGTCTGAGCTTGCGCGGGATGAAGGACTGCCGGATACGCTTTCAGCTTGATCCTCAGAGAGACGAGGTGAGCCAGCCTGGAAAGTAGCACGATGCTTCTTGCGCTGTGGAAGCTTGACTTTCTGACCAAGGTAGCCGAAGCCATGGGTGGAAGCAGCGGGTTGTTCAGAGAAGTCGCTGGATGAGGAGCTGGCAGCTTGTGTCTCCTGGAATGATGATGTAGATGAAGATTTGGTATCGTTGTGGCTCAAAGGAGCCGAGGGCTTGGGAGGATCCACGTCGGGTGCCATGGTGAGCCAGCGAGTGAAGCGAGGACGCGATGGTCCAGCCATCTGCTCTTGCAGAGTCGAGCCGGTCTGGTATGACATGAGCTTGGTATTGATCGTGAGGAGGAGGCAAGTTGGCTCTGTGAGGGATGATTTGAATATTCGCACAATCAAAAGCCGAATGCCTGTGTCTAGAAACGGAAGCAGATTTACAAGAACAAGTAGACCATTCTAATGTGTAACTGAGGAATAGACGCAAGTTTGTCAGAGTGTTGGCAGGGTGCCAATTAGGGTTCTCGACGTTCGGTTGATCCGAAGTTGCTGAGCACGATAAGGCTACGCGACAGCTCGACGCTTGAGACTTGGATTCTGTGATACTGTGACGAGTTGGGAGAGGCGTGGGAAAGGCGTGGGAATGGCGTGGGAATGGCGTGGGAATGGCGTGGGAATGGCGTGGGAAAGGGTCGGTGTGATTCCGATGCGGTAATCGGTTGTTGTGTTGGATTGTCACTGAAAGCAGCAATGAGAGTGCAAAGATTATGGCTCTGTTGATGATATAGAGTCAGGCGTTGCAGAAACGGTAGTAGTCTGAGGTTGTTGATGTGGTTGGTGGAGGAGAGGGATGGTTGTGATGTTGTATGAGAAGCTGAGTGCGGCAAGCATTGAGGAAGTGTGGAGCGAGCGGCATAGTCACAAAATAGAAATGACCAAGTTACCGCCTGCTTATCCGCACAGAGCAGCAGCATACACACACACACACAGAGCAACAGCGAGAGAACGGCGCGAAAGGAGCGTGGAAGCGCAGTTGCAGCAAAACGGTAGCGTGGATTGACAAGTGAAAGCCGGCTTAGAGTGGGACAGGACCGGTTCTGAGAGAGATTTTTTAAATTTCGAAAACTGGGCCCTTCATCTTCGGTAAATGCGTCGACACCCTCTCCGAAAACGTATGTGTCAGTCACAAAACAGAGGCTCTGTGAGACAAGCATCGAAAATTACCAATCGCGCCGAACCAAAGCCGAATCGACAGACAGGTGAAAAGATACCGCAGCGCAGCTGTGTCGCAATCCGCAGTTGAAAACACGCCAAAAGATCAGCGAGAGTGACACCAACGAGGCCTCCTCTCCAGCTCACACTGTCCATCGCTCAGTTGAATGTGCAAAAAAAAAAAACCCCACTTTTGGGCGGATGGATGTGAGCCATGGAAAGGCATTGGCCTGACTGAACCGGAGCATCTTGTTTGGAGATAAAGTTGTTGAAAACTTGAGTCGTTTTGGGTCCCGATACCGGTGATCGGGGATAGTCTTAGTACAATGTCACTACTCTTTTAAGGCAGAAACATATACTAAATTGACTGAGGGAATGTGGCGAGAGCCTAGTGCTCTCTGTGAGGTATATATACAAATGAGCGGTACATGCCGTATGTGGGAGTACTACTACTCAATGATCTACCATGACAACGAGCGGGACCGCGTTGTACCCGATCTCTGCTGAGATCTACTCGGTCCCATCTCCAATCGGGTCGGTCATCTAACCAGATCGGCTCCGTATCATCTTTTAGTGTCTCGTCGGATCGTTATCTTCAGCAAAAGTCTGTCCGCAAAGTCTAGGCGGACCTAACCGGTGATTCGGACAGAGCGGTCTCAAGGCTTATCTCCTCTCCTTACAACGCTTAACCCAATCTCGCGATATATTTGCTTGTCCGACCACTGATACTAACACAAAAAGAAAAAAGAAAAAAGAAAAAAGAAAAAAGAAAAAAGAAACTGCAGCACCTAGGATTCCCGAGTGGTCCCCCACCGCAGTACTGACTAGGCGATACCTTGCTTAACTTCGCAGATCGGACGGGATGCGGTGCTTTCAAGGTTCTATGGCCGCAGATATTCGAGTAGTTTGAACAGCTTGATATTACTAGCAGTCAGGTGTGATCAACAGACGCCAAGCACCTCGTCTCATCCACTCGCCAACGCACCTTCACGGCCACACGGAGAACAGAACCAAGTGTAGCAGGAAGATGACATGCATTGCTCTCCTGTCAAAAAAGCCGCGAGAAGAATGGTATCACAAGTAGAATACAGACAAGCGACAGACATGTCATTGAGAAAGAGAGCATTCCCACAGAAAACCCAAAGGTTAAAGGGCTGCAATCACAAGACATGTCCACCAAACGTCTTACCAGGCTGCTGCGAAGCATCCGTGCGAGCAGCGTCCACCGTCGTCGGACCGCCACCGCACTTCTGACCGCCATACTCTGACCCAGCCTGAGATCCAGATGGGTGACCACCAGCCGATGCTGCAGACGAGGCATCAGTTGAATTCGATTGACTCTCGCTGTCGCTCTTCATCGTGCATCCACCTGTATCGCTCTTGTGATGTCGGCTCAGTGCATCCGGACGGGCAAACGTCTTGCCGCACTGCTCGCAAGTATGAGGCTTGATGTTGAGATGCAGGTTCTGATGTCGCTTGCAGTCATGCGATCGTGCAAAACTCTTGTTACATCCAGGCCAATCACACTTGTATGGTCGCTCGTCTGCGTGCGATCGCAAGTGTCCTCGAAGGTTGTACTGTCGCGTGAACGTCGATCCACATCCCGGGATGGGACACGCGAACAATGCCTCTGACTTTCGTCGCGATGCCGATGCCGCCTGTGTCGCCTGACTCGTCACAACAGGTACTGGCGGCGCTCTCAACCTTGAGTGTGAGCTTGTCCCTGAGGCAACACTCGATGCTGATGGTGACTGCGCAACACCATCCATACCCATTCCTCCCATCGCTCCAAACGCGTCCCTCGGGTATTGCACCAAGTTGCCCGCTGCATCATACATCAATCCACCCGCCATCTGAGGCAATGGCGAAGCCGACCCAGTGTTGCTGCTCGATGCATTCGACCCGAACGAATAGTGTCGACCGTGTCCCGTGCGATAGGGATGCACTCTTGCTGATCCAGACAACGTCTGGTGGTGACCGCCTGTCGCTGCCTTGTTCGAAGAGACCGAGCGGCCTGAGCAAGGCGGTGCCAGGCCTCCGTTCGGCGCGGTGATCTGCATGAGGAAATCCTCGTCGTTGCCTCGATACATTCGGCTCCGAGACAAGTCCTCCGAGTGTGCCAGTCTGCGGTGGCCACCGGGCGAGCTTTGCCGTGCACTGTTGGATCTCCGCAGCTTTGGCGCACCAGAGGCGTCGGCACCAGTTGCTGGTTGGCAACCGTCGCCAGGGAAACGCCACTGTGGGTTGAACTCGTTCGGCCCTGATCCGCCAAGCTGTGAAAGATCGTCAGCTCCCATTGTGTTGCTTTGCCCGTTGAGCTGGAAGACGGGAGGCATCATCTGCTGCTGCTGTTGTTGTTGTTGTTGCTGTTGCTGCTGCTGTTGTTGCTGTTGCTGCGATTGGAACTGTTGCTGCTGCTGCTGCTGTTGTTGTTGTTGTTGTTGTTGTTGTTGTTGCAAGCTTACAAAGAAGGCGCTTGTGTCGCCAAAAGGCTGCGAGGCATCTGTGTTGCCCTGTGTATTGTTCAACAGAGAAGGATCCATGGTAGCTAGCTGCGAAGGATCAATCTGCAATGTCGGTCCAGCAAACGCAGACGAGTCGGTCTTCAGCGATGACCAGTGGAATTCTGATCCGTTGCCTTGTGTCTTTGCATCTGCGTTGGCTTGATTCGTTGCAGCGAAAGACCAGTCGAAAGCAGTACCAGCACTTCCGGCGTTGCCTGCAACGATAGGAGACCTTGGCCCGACGTCCGAGCTGGCGCGTTTCCGGAACATGGCAAGTGTCGGGGACTCGGTCTTGCCATTGGACTGGAAGCCCATGTCAACATCGAGTCGCAAGAATAGACGGATCTTGTCGTAAGAGTCTTGACGCTTGGTTTGACTCGACCACTGACCGGGTGCGTGGACTGCCGGATTGCGGGACTGGTTGCCAGCTAGCGATGACATCATCTCTCTGGGTTCCGCCGAGTAGCCTTCAGGAAGGATACGACTGCCGGCAGAGTGTGGACGGAAGAGGTCCTGACCCGAAGATGGCTGTTGCAACGTCGAGCCAAGCTGAGCATCGACGGTGGAGTCGGGAGTACTTGCATAGCTGAAGGGTTCTTGGTGCATGGTCAAAGTGGAAGGATCTGATGGCAGCCAATTACTCGAGGAGGTGCCGGGCTGGTTGGAGGTTGCTGCGACCGTGTTGCTGGATGGACCCTGAGATGAAGTAGCGAGCTGTGCGAGGAGATCCTGGAACCCACCTTGTTGGTCATGGGCGCACATTGCTTTTGGCGTCGAGGGCGAAGGAGCCATCACGTTGATGCTTGGCATGGCAGCATCGAGGCTTGCAGCCACCGGTGTGTAGTCCATCGAAGAATCGGAAACCGAGACGGTCGGGATGCCTAATGTGAGCTGAGGGGCGTTATTGCCACTCTGATTGACATATGTTTGACTTGATATTGACGGGTATGCTGACGATGAAGATCCCTCTATTGATTGCGATTGCGGTTGATAGACTGGCGAGCCGGCATGATCGGAGGCATCGTCGAACGTGGGCGGGTATCGCTGGTCCTCGTCAAGCCTGATCTGACCCATCTGACCGACGGCTTGTGAGAGCGAAGGATCAGACAGGAAGGCCTGACCAAGTGGAGGTGGGCTTGGGGCATCAGAGCTGTGCGAGCCTGCACGGCGATGGGATCCGGCAGGAGATACAGCAGCGAGGAAAGGACTTGATGATGGGCTCGGGTTGACATTATTGTCGCGGAAGGTGTTGGGCGCACTGAGCTGAGAGCCTGATGCCGAAGAAGCAGCGGGAGACAGAGCGGGCGCGGCGGTCAAGAAGCTGCTCGATGAGGGGGCGCTGTAGCCATCAGCGGATGATGGATCATAGAAGGCTCCATTCTGTAGGTTCCGGAGATTCTCCTGGGACAGGTTAGCCTGAGCGATAGCGTTGAGCTGGGTTTGAGAGAGGGAGCTCGAGTTCTGCATGGCGGCAGGTGCCTTGTGAATTACGTCAAAGCCGCAAGCCCCAGCGTCACAAGGCTTGCGCTCGGCGGCTCTAATGAGTTGGTTGTTGAGTTGGCGACGAGCTAGAAGGTCGAATGGGTTGAGCTCGGCAGATAGGATCTTCTCGATGTGTTCGAGATAAGCGAGGCGTCGAGGAGAGAGGGTATACGGGTAGTCGGAGTGTGCGCTGAAGTGTGCAAGAGTCTCGGCGGGTGAAGCGATAGCAGCAAACTTGCTCGAGTCTCTCGGTGAGAGTGATGGGTCGATGACAAAGTCGAATAGTGTTGAGGTATCGGAGCCAGGTGTGATTGGGTTTGGCGTTTGCGTCTGGATGCTGAGTAGAAAGTGATTTGAAGCAAATGAAGGCATTAAGGTTAGTTGCTCTGCTCGCTCTTGTCTGATCCTTTCGACCCGACAGCAATGATCGATTTCAAGAAGAGATTGGGTAGAGAAGCTAGCTGTTGGTGTCGATGTATCAAGTGAGCCGTGTGAGCCCTGAAACAGGGAAGATGTTGGTGGGGAGGAAAGAAGCTTATTGTACGGGGTGGTGGTGGTGGTGGTGGCGGTGGCGGTGGTGTTTGTGAATGTAGATGTGGATGAGGGATGAGGGCGGATGATGTTGGACAGAGATCAGCTTTGAGCGAGAGACTGTACGAAGCAAAAGGTTATCTTTGCTCGACGGATGCTGGCACGAGGGGGTGGTGAGGAGGCGTAGGGGGCGGAAGGTGCAAAGGCGGTGAAGCATGAAGCGGGCGTTGAAGAGGGATTGAGGCGGCAGCAAGGTGGAGGGATAGACTGATATGGAACTTACCCTATGACAGGAGAGAAGTGTTTGAGAAACGAGGCGATTGCCGTTATACGAGGGGATGGTTTCCTTAGGAAGCGTTGTGGCTGTGCTGGGCCATGTGGCTCGCTGAGCTGAAATGCAAGACAGCTCGGATCGACGTTGGTTGCAGGCGACTGGCTTGGTGCAGACTGACAGCAGGAGAAGCGGCCGCCTATGGAGAGTGGTCCGGCTAGAATGATAAGATGAAGCTTGCTACGTTGGCAATATAAGCGTCGAGTTGAGGTGAGAAGAGAATGGTTTAGGAGGTGTCCAAGATGGATGCAACGATGCAACGTGGGCGTGTGTCTAAGAGTTTGTGGATCGAGAAGCCAAAGAGAGAGAGTGTGTGTAGAGAACTGCAATCACAGATTGTGTTGCGACGAGTTAAGCCGACTGTCGTACATGGACGAGCTCATGTCTGCCGAAGGAAGCGATCCGATATGATGATGCACGCTGACATAAACACAATCGGCGATCAGATGAGATAGATTTGTCTAGAGATCGGGTGCAAGGTAGCCCCGCTCGTTGTCAAGCTAGGTCATGAAGGAGGATACTCCCACAATCGGCACGCACCCCATAGTTGTATATATATCAAGCCGAGGACACTAGGTCCTCACTATGTTCCTTAGTCAATTGAGTATATTTGTTTCTGCCGTAAAGAAGTAGTGACATCGTACTTAGACTCTCCCCGATCGCCAGTTATCGGGACCAAAACTTCTTCACTTCTATTAATTTATGTCCCCTTCGACCGACGGGCAAAAGCGGAAACCCACTCTGTTAGGCCGCGTTTAAGTTTGGCAGAACCTTTTTATATATTTTTATTATTATTATTATTATTTTTTCCTTCTCCGGGACAGTTGCCGATTTGACGCAGTAGTCAGAATGTTCAAACTCAGGATGTAACAGCCCGAAAGCCCGAACAATCCCTTCCGACGCTCCTCTCCCTTCGCCGACCGTGCGCGGCCAGGTTGTGAGTTGCCTGCAAAGACGCGCCCCTCTGACATTTTTCTTTTTTTTCTTTTTTCTTTTTGGGGGCAAACTTCAAAAAGAGACTCTTTGGAGTTCGAGATGGTAGTCATAGCACAACAACGACGTATCCCTTTTCGTCTGTAGAGGCTTGATGGAAAACGATGCGAGGAGAAGGTAGATGGTATGCAACAAAGTACTGTCCTTACTCAGACCTTCTTGCTGTCCTTACTCAGACCTTCTTGCTGTCCTTACTCAGACCTTCTTGCTGTCCTTACTCAGACCTTCTTGCTGTCCTTACTCAGACCTTCTTGCTGTCCTTACTCAGACCTTCTTGGCGTCACTTGACAACAGTCACTGAAGAGAGGTGGATAGATTGACACTTTTGGAACAAGGTGTTGTCCTGAAGCGTTTCCGAGGCCATCTACGCTCCAACAACACGCGACGCCCTTGTGGCTAAAAAAGGAAAAAAGAAAAAGAAAGGTGCAAGTCGAAAACTCAGCCAAAAAGCACGCCAAAGTTCAAATCTCGGTCGACGCAACACCATTTGAAAAACTTGAATTGAAATCCAACTCTGGCAGGTGTCACTTGAATTTTTGAATTTTTGAATTTTTGAATTTTTGAATTTTTGAATTTTTGAAATCGCTGGTTCAAAAAAACAAAGCGTCTGGCTAGCAGCGGCTCAGCTCAGAGACGCGTTCTAAATTGCCTATCCCGCTCAGTAATCAGCCAAACCCAAAAAGACAGAGAGCGTTTCAGCCACTGCTTTGCTGCCAAAAAAAAGAAGAAAAGAAAAAAGAAAGAAAGCAGGCTCTTGGCCAGTCTCTCAGCCCTCACTCACCGGAAGTGCGTCCGCTTTAGAGATTTGGAGATTTGGAGATTTTGAGCTTTTGAGCTTTTGAGCTTTTGAGCTTTTCTAGCTTGATATCGCCGCGCTTTCCATCATCGACATTATCACGACTGCTCTCCCTTCCTCTCTTGCTCTATTCCTCCTACCCCCACCTCAACCGTCTCTCCATCTCCTTCAACAACAACAACAACAACAACAACAACAACCGCACCCAACGCACAGAAAGTATTGCCGCCTTTTCACATCACGGCAAGCTCTACTTGATCGAATCCTCCCCTTTCCTTGTCGATTCGGGTTCACTTTTCCGCCACTTGTTCCTCACACCACACACTCTCACATACGCCTCCAACATGTCGGGCGCTCAGGAGATCGGCAGGAGCAAGAACTCTGACCAGATCGCTCCTACTCCTCAGAACACCCCTCTCAGCAACGCCCCTCTCACCCGTGACGCTCTTTCCCGACCTACCGTCGGCACAATTGGCGAGGAGGATGAGAATGCCGTCGATGTCGCCTCGGCTCTCCAGGGCAACCCTGCTCTTGCAGCCATGGTCCAGGACAAGCTTTCCAGCCTTGTTGGCCGATCCTCCGGCTACGTCGAGTCACTTCCCGACCACGTTCGTCGTCGCGTAGAGGGTCTCAAGGGTGTCCAGCTCGAGCACCACAAGATCGAGGCCGACTTCCAAAAGGAGATCCTAGAACTCGAAAAGAAGTACGCTCAGCGCTACAAGCCTCTCTACGAGCGACGTGCTGCCATCATTCAGGGTAAGCAGGAGCCTACATCTGACGAGGTCAAGGCCGGTGAGGCTGTTGACGCCGACGACGACGATGACGAGCAGCCCGAGTCGCTCGCTCATCTCAAGGCTCCTGCTGAAGGTCCCAACGGTATCCCTGAGTTCTGGCTTACTGCACTCAAAAACCACATCGCTCTCTCTGAGCTCATCACCGAGCGTGACGAGGAGGCTCTCCGTGCTCTTGTCGATGTTCGCATGAGCTACCTCGTTGACCAGGCTGGTTTTAAGCTCGAGTTCGAGTTTGACCCTAGCAAGAACGAGTACTTCACCAACCAGATCTTGACCAAGACCTACTACTACCAGGATGAAGTTGGATTCTCCGGTGACCTCGTCTACGACCACGCCGAGGGTTGCAAGATCGAGTGGAAGGAGGACAAGGACCTTACCCACAAGATCGAGACCAAAAAGCAGCGCAACAAGAACACCAACCAGACTCGTACCGTCAAGCGCTCCGTCCCTGTCGAGTCGTTCTTCAACTTTTTCAACCCACCCAAGCCACCCAAGAACGGCGAGATCGAGGACGAGGATGCTGACCTCGACGAGCTCGATGAGCGACTCGAACTCGACTACCAGATTGGTGAAGATCTTAAGGACCGCATCATCCCTCACGCTGTCGACTTCTTCACTGGCAAGGCTCTTCAGTACGAGGATATTGACGACCTCGATGATGCCGACTTTGACGACGAGGATGACGACGACGACGACGACGACGACGACGACGATGAAGACCATGACGATGGCCAGCCTCGTCGATCTTCGCAGTTGGGCGCTAGTGCAGGATCCCAAATGGCCGGTTCGCAAGATCCTCAAGAGTGCAAGCAGCAGTAAATCTGCCTTGTTTTGCTTCAACATGATGAGCTCGAAAACATCTTGCACATCTAAATATCGCACATAAGTCTCGACATCCTCTCTTCTTCTGTTGCCCGTCTTTTGCTTCAACCTTGTTGTGCGCCAAATCTTGGCGGTTCTACCTACTATCGATGAAAGTTAGCCTAAGATTCCAGTGTATCTTCATACCCTAAAGTTTCGAGATGATGCACTGTGTATGATGATCACAGATGATGAGCACAGATGATAAGCACAGATGATGAGCACAGATGATGAGCACAGATCCTGCATGAGAGTCACTGTAAATGTCAAATTGTCAAGTCTTTGTTGTACATCCAACATGAATAGACAGCCCCGTTGATTGTTGCACATGGAGTCATCTTTTGGTAAGAAACACGAACGATAATTGCGATGGGAGCGATCGAGGGTATATAGATTGACAAAACAACAAGACATGCTTCCCTCACAACCAGTATGAGGAAGCTTGAATATACGCTACATAATAAACAATCAACAAAGCAATGTCCATTGGCGAATGGCGGAAGCAAGTTTAGAAATCATCATCGCTACCATCCAAGTCAGGCTTCAACCCTTTCTTCTCTGCCTCTTGGAAGCTAGGTGGCAGCGAGGCTACGCGAGGAGCCTCTTCCTCCTCGGCAGTGGCTAGATCGACGGGCGACGCTTTAAATTGAGACCTCTTTCTCGGTAAAGTGAGCGCTTTATGGGCTGATCTTAGTCCGAAGTATCCCTCAATTGTGCTGCAGGGCTCTTTGGCTGTCCAGACGTTCTCTTGGAGCTTCTCGGACGCACGAGTGTCCAAACTGACACCAACTAGTTCTTCTTCCCTAACAACCGAGATTGGCGAGACCGGCTTGTCGCTTGTACTCGTGCATGTTTCGATTGTCCACACCCCACCTGCATCCGCATCTTCTCGCTCAGAAGCACAAGTCGAAGCAACAACAGGCGCCTCAGTGCGAACAAGCGTCCTCATTTGCGATGCGGTACGCAACAGTCCAGCTTCCAATCCAGCAGAGGCACAAGGAGCAATGGTGCCACCATCTGAGACTTCTTCCCATGCCGATCCAACTTCAGAATCCGACAAATAGACAGTGGAGAAGCTCTCATCAGCGCCTCCTCCTCCTCCTTCTCCTCCTCCTCTTCCTTCTCCTCCTCCTCCAAGTCTGACAGGGCTCTGGTGGGGTGATGTCTTGCTCTGACGGGCAAATGGAGCGGACAGATCGCGTGAGTTGGCGGGGTTTGTAGGACGGCGTGCAGGCCTTGTCGTGGCAGCGGAAGAGGTGGAGACTTGTCGGACGTCTGACCGCAAGGGATGTTGCAGAGCGTGTGCCTCCGACGAGGGCGAAAGGAGGTCAAGGGACGGGAATGCGATTCCAGCACCGCCGCCAGGAGCAGCATTGGAGCTGTTCGGCTTGCCAGAGCTATTGGTGATGCTTGGCTGACCATGTCCGAGCCAAGCAGCTGTCCTCTGCTGACTTTCAGTCAACATCTTGTCACTCGTTTTGGACTGCTGAGCACCCGGGAAAGGCGCCGGCCCATCCCTAACGCTAGTCGAGACACTCGAGCGCTGCAATGCGTCTGCACCGTCTCCGGCGTTGTCCGCGTCTGCCTCCGGATCCTCATGTTCCTTTTCGTCCTCAGCATCCGACTCTTCACCCACCGAAGGCTCCGAAAAGCTCTCCATGCTCGGATCAAAGTCGTCGTCATCGACCCATTTCGGCGCTGACTCGGCAAACGAAAAGATCGTCTTGGGCAGCGCCTTGATGCGGGCACAGAGGTCCTGCAGAGACTCCTCATCCTTGACCAAGAAACCCAAGAGCATGCTTGGGTCGAGCGACTTGATCGGCATCCTGCGCACCTTCTCGCAGTGGAAAGTGGATGTTTGAACCTCCGAGTATGCGTGCGACCACCACTCGTCCTCGTCATCCTTGTCCTCCAGCACGAAGCGATGTGCGATGCCGAGGTGGCGAGGTACTGCATCGGGGAAGGTGCTGGGAGGATAGCGAAGCGGTACAGCAGGGCGGACATTGTGCGGGTCGAGATAGAACAGCGAGTTGCCCTGATGACCCATGAAGTAGTAGGAAGAAGATGGACGACCACCTGCAATGCCGACGCTGTGCGGGAATGAGAAGGTAGCTTTGACCGATTCGTAGTAGATGGGGTTCACGCTCTCAAGACCGAGACGGATGCCGATCAGAATCAGCACAGGTCTGCGCCAAATTAGGCCTTCACCCTTGCGGCTACCCGAAGCGGCGCCAGAAGATCGCGCCTTGCCTCCAGACTGGACCGAGGCTGCAGAGGCTGAGGCGCTGGCTGCCGCGCGCACTTCGTCTAGGTAGAAGACGCCATCGCGTGCAAGCTCGACTGCGATACCAGCTTGGGGGAACTCCGACACCAGCTGCTTAATAGCACCTGATGCCGTGGAAGGGCCAAACCACTCGCCAACTTCTTTGCCCAGCCGCTTGCCCTCACGAGCCATGCGATGAACACCGAAGGGACAAGCAGGGCTAGGATCGTCTAGAAACCAGCTCAAGATCTTGATATAAGTAGCATGGCGAGCTCTCTTCTGGCGCCATTCTTGAAGGCTCTCTTTCTCGGCAGCATCAGCTATCGACAAGCCGGCGAGCTCCTCTAGGAACTGCTGCTGGCGTAGAGGAGGCGCATCTCGCTGCCAGGATCGGCCCAGATGGACGTTGATCAGTGCATTAGCGAGCAAGCTTTGCCCCGTACGAAGCATGCATCCCCAGCCAGAGTCGGTTGTTAGGCCTGCACGACTGAATCCGGCAGCTTGGGCTGCTGCTGTGGCCCTGCTCCAGAGATTGGTAATGCCCATCTTCTCGCCCAGTGAGGATGGAGGATTAGCATAGCCAGCGCCAAGCGCTGCACCGAGTCCCAAGGGGGAGTTGAGCGCCGAATCCTGAGCAGCATTGCTTTCGGTAACTTTGCGGCCGAGCCAGCCACGACCGGCGGATGCGGATGGACTACTTGACTGAGGCGGATCAGATGACGAAGGCGCTGCTGAAGGAGTCGATGGGGCTGAGGTGCTCTGCGTAGCTGCTGCAAGTTGGGCTGCCGCAAGGGCCTCAGCGGCCGATGCAGCCTGCTCTGAGATGGTGCCATCACGAGAGATGGGTGCAAAATGATTGCGATAAGTGCACCAGATGCGCGATGCAAAGTCGGGCTGAAAGGCGGATTGGACATCAGCCGAGCCAGAGCTTGTAGTCGCTGCTGTACCAGCATGAAAGCTGGTGGCGGATGATCTGGTGCGAAGGCTATCGGACGTCGATGTTGTTGCGGCTGTGGAGATGGAGCTGCCAACGCGACTGCTCTCCTTGGCTGGAGTTGAAGCACGATCGTGAGCAGGCGAGGAGGATGCTAACAAAGTGTTGATCAATTCGAGCGGCGTTCGGCGCGGAGAGGATGGCGAGATGCTGGAGGATGATGAAGCTGCTCGAGTCATCTCTGCGACTTGATCTTCAGAGTGACGAGCCGCTGCAGCTTGTTCGACCGAATTTGAGGCCACCGCGAGAGCTGATGAGTCCTTGCTATCGCCGTTGATGCTTTGTCGAGGTCCATGCCACAGACCAAGTAGCCAGATCCCCTCGTCCTCCTTGGCGGAATTATCGGTGTCCATGAAGAACTTGAAAGCTCGATCGAAGCCGACGCCACTTGGCACCCAGCTGCCATTATTATTGCTGTTGGCGGCCCCTGCATTGCTACTGGTCCCCGAAGCACCGCCGATGTTACTTGCGGCGATGTTTGCGTGACTGCTAGATGCGGAGCCAGAGGGAGTATTGTCACCTGTAGAAGCCTGGGTCGATCTGACAGCTTTGCCAGAACCAGCGTTAGCCCAAGTCTGGAAAAGGGCGCCAGCTTTCAAGCGAGTTGGCGCACTGCTGTGTGCGGTCACGGATGAGCCAGTTCCGGGATTGGACTGGTTTGCAGCAGCATCCTGGGCTGAAATGTCCCTACTTCCGTTTGGATTAGGGGTAGGGCTGGATGGTGGAAGGTCAAGACCGTCAGCCTCTCTCACAGGAGAGAGGGGAGCACCGCCCTCGATTGAAGGTGTGTTGTCGCTTGCGACCATGTGGTAAAGCCAGCCGGTGAGACGCCTTGGCGCGCTGGTGTGATGTTCTTGATCTGCTTGAGCTGGTTGTGAGCTGATGTCGGCAAAGTCAGCTTGAGATGAGCGTCCTTGAGGATCTGGCGATGCTATTGACCCACTTGAACGACCACTTTCGATGCTTCTTCGGGAGGTGGCCAAGCCTGGTAGCATTTCGCACTGTACCAGGCGGCCATTGTAGGCTTCAGAGCTCGACTGAGACGAGACTGAGCGGGACTTGCCGTTGTCCTTGGAGACGGACTTGCCGCGTCTTGGACCTATACCCTTTAGCGAGTCAGAGAAACGTCTGGAAACTTGTGAGTCGACAGATGCCATGGAGGAGAGATCGTCCGAGGAGGTGTTGGCAGGTGTGGCAGGTTTGGACTGGTTGAGGTTGAGGAAGCTGTTGCTACCCATGCGTCGCAATCGTCCGAGGGGGTGTTGTGGTGCTGCTGGATCGGTAGCTAAAGCAGGCAAAGTGGAGGAACTTGTCTCGCTCGGGTTTGTTGAGCGGCCATGGATGTTGTTGCTGCCAGCTGAACTTGCACCACTGCCTCGGAGGAAAGATCGAATGCTATTGCTTCTGCCAAAGAACTTGCGACGATTGAAGCCAGTACTTGGACCACCGGCAGAGGCGGAGACGGAATCTTTAAGAGACGATGAAGCCAAGGATGGAGGGCGGCTTGCGGGATCGATGGAATTGGTGCTCTTGTGCTGGGAGTGTTGGCTCGAAATTGGTAAAGGTAGTGAAGAGACGGAGGCAGAGCCATGCTCCTTTTCTAAGGCCGGTGATTGGGCGGAAGAGGCAGACGGGGAGGATGGAGTAGCTGCCTCTGAGTTCGTGGATGTCGCGGAACGAAGTCGGTTCTTGAGCTTGGGCGGATCTGATCGCTTGGAGGAAGATGGCGCTCCAGAAGAGGGGGCAGCTGCACTTTGCTTGAACATCATGGCGGTACCGAGCGAGTTGACTCGAAGACGAATGCCTCTGCGCGGGGCCAAGTCTGCAGGAGGCGAAGCAGATTTGGAAGAAGAGGAGATAGCGGATGGAGGCGCCGAGTTGGACGCTGAATCAGGCATGGGAATGGCACGGACAGGCAGACCGAAGGTGGGTGCTGAGCCCGAAGTCGAGGGCCGGGAAGTGACGGTCATCCTGAACAGCTGTACACGAGGGTGGTGTGAGGGAAGGGTACAGTGAATGGAAAGCGTCTCTAGAATGGAGACCCGATTGCGAAGGCGATCAAGCAAGTGGGAGTGACATTGGAGATGGAAAGTGGGACTGTATCGCTGGCAACGGCGAATGGAGGTTGCTGAACCAAGCTATGCAGTGATGATCAGGTAAAGATATTGGTGTAAGCGTTGTGCCTAGTCTCTGAGACGGCTGGTGATGGCGCTGAGAGTCGAGTACTTTGCCGGGTGCAGCGGCCGGTGGGGGTTGGTAATAAAACCTGCCTGTGCGGTGACCAAGGAATGATGTGAGATGAAATGACAAGAGCGAAGAATCCGCTGGTATGAAGGGCGAAGAGATGGATGGTGGGGGGTTGGTGAAGGGATGGGCCAACTGAGCTTTCAAGGAGATGGTGGAGAATGATTGAGAGCCGAGTGAGCTGGCTAAGCGGCTGTTTTGAGTGTGATTGTGAGTGTGATTGTGATTGTCTCTGTCTCTGTCTCTGTGTCTGTGTCTGTGTTTGTGTTTGTGTCCGTTGTCTGTGTCTGTGGATTGGACCCTTTTTTTCTTTTTTCTTTTTTTTTTTTTCTTTTTTTTTTCTTTTTTTTCTTTTTTTTCTTTTTTTTTTTCTTTTTTTCTTTTTTTCTTTTTTTCTTTTTTTCTTTTTTTCTTTTTTTCTTTTTTTCTTTTTTCTTTTTTTCTTTTTTTCTTTTTTTCTTTTTCACCGCTTCAAAGCTGACATTCTTCGAACGGCTCATCCGAACGTCTATCGGAACACTTTCCGACTCGATCCTCTCGTTCCAGCTTCGATCACGTCGTCAAGCATCGCTCATCCCCATCTCGATATAGACGAGGCAACAGCATGTCCAGCTCACATATCGACGTTAGCAACGACAGCTGATGGGATCGGCGCAGCCTGTCATCATCGACACGCTGCACCACCGCCGCCTCTCATCATCGACACGCTGCACCACCGCCGCCTCTCATCATCGACACGCTGCACCACCGCCGCCTGTCATCATCGACACGCTGCACCACCGCCGCCTCTCATCATCGACACGCTGCACCACCGCCGCCTCTCCCACCTCTACTATGCCAAGATGAACTTCTTCCGAGATAGAGACGCCAACAGCAATGTCTTTGACAATCCCAAGAATGATCCCACTGCTCCTAATCCCACCACATCGCCGCCCAAGAAGCCAAAGTTCGACAAGCTGCCTCCAGATGCTAGCTCCACCGCCAGTGTTGAAGCCCAAGATGCAGCGCTAGCCAGTCTGCGCAAACGTATCGCTGGTCCTTCCTCCGCCAAAGCCGGCCTAGCAAAAGATCAAGATGAAATAAATAGGATCATCTACCAAGTTTCCAAAGGAAGCAAGTTCTTCGAGAACGAGAGAAAGAAGGATGCTCAGACAACCGAGCGCATCAACGCTCTTCTTGCACGTCGAGATCAGAAGTTGCTCCACGTCCCTCCCGCTAGCCCGGAATGGCTTGCTATCGAGCGCAAAATTCAAGACATGGCGACCCAGCTCGAGAACTCGCGCGATCTCTCACGCATCATCCTGCATACCGACATCGACATGTTCTACGCCGCCGTCGAGCTTGCGAGGGACCCCTCGCTCAAAGGCAAATGCTTCGGTGTCGGCTCAGGTGTGCTCGTCACAGCATCCTATGAAGCTCGTAGGGGATATGGTGTGCGCAGTGGTATGGCCACATTTGTCGCCAAAGCGCTCTGTCCTCATCTTATCGTGGTCAAGAGCGACATGCAGAGCTACCTCCAAGCCAGTCACAAGGTCATGGCTGTCTTTGAACAGTACGACGAGAACCTCGCCAAAGCTTCCCTCGACGAAGCCTATCTAGACATCACCGAATATGTCGAGCAGCACCGCGGCACTATCGACCAAGTCGTCCAGCACTTGCGAGATCAGGTTCGAAACGAGACGCAGCTTACCGTCAGTGTCGGTATCGCACCCAATACCATGCTTGCCAAGATCTCAAGTGATCGCAACAAGCCCGACGGACAATTTCGCGTCCAGCCTGATCGCAAAGCTATCCTCGACTTGATGCGTCACCTCCCTTGTCGAAAGATCCCTGGCATAGGACGAGTCAACGAGCGCATTCTTGAAAGCTTAGGGGTCACCACCTGCGGCGAGATCTGGAACAAGCGTGTCCAACTCTGGCTCGCATTAGATGGCAAGATCCAATGGCTCATCAAAGCCCATCTCGGCATTGGCAACACCCTCGTTGAGCCAAGCAAGCGAGAGGAACGCAAGAGTGTTGGTCGAGAGCACACCTTCAGCCCTACCTCGGACACACAAGCTCTGCTGCATTTCTTGAAAGAGTCTTCCGATCGTGTCCAACAGGATTTAGAGAGGCTAGAGTTCAAAGGCAAGACCGTCACCCTTATTGCCAAGCGCGAAAACTTTCAGCGCTTCTCGCGCGCTCGTACCTCGACCAGGCCGGTCAACCGCGCCCAGGAGCTGTATGATATTACCCGCTCGCTGTTGCTGCAAGAGATCGAGCGCGAGGGGCCGCTCTCCTTGCGGTTGATTGGGGTCAGGGTGACTCATCTCGTAGATCTCCGTGGTGCAGCGGCGCGGGAGGAAAGGCTGAGGAAGCTTTTCCGATCACGATCTACGAACAAGGACGATGATAGTGCTGCGAGTGGTGAAGACGTTGCTGCAAGTGCGGTTCGCAAGCGCAAGACAGCTCAACAGTGGCAAGAAGAGGAAGAACGACAGCTTGCCCTTGCTATTCAACAATCACTACAAGGCACAGCAGATCCATTGAATAATGTGCGCGACCTCAGTCAAGATGATCCACTATCTCGGCCTTCTGGCGATCAGACTGCAAGCAAGCTCGACGACCTGCAGAAGCAAGTCTATGCTTCAAATTCAAAGTCACGCACTGCAACCCCATGCGCTTCTCCAGCGCCACCTCAGATGGAGAGCAGCAGTGTTCAGTGTCCCATCTGCAGCAAGATGATCAGCGGCTCAAATGACCAACTCAACGCTCACATCGATACTTGTCTCAATCAGACAGAGCTTGGGTCGCCAGCAGAAGGGACACACCCAGTTGAACCTGCCGGTGAGACCAAAAAGAAACGCGGCCCACTTGACTCCTTTGTCCGTAGATCGAAGAGTTGATTCTTCCCCTTGCTGCTTTGCAACTCTTTTCTTCGATCCCTGTAGATTGCTCTTCTGTATTTATAGCCTGCAATCAGATCTCTGTTGAAGCTTTCATCGTTTCTAGCCGAGCTTCTCCAGTCGCTCTTCTGGTCTGATCTGCAGCGCAACAATTTGTTTCTTTGTATCAATATCAAATTGCCAAGTGAGCTGTGCGCGATGCCATCAACATATCCAACTACTTGTCAATCAGAACGACGGCGTCAAACTAAGCTTGGCTGTTAGACGAGGCGGTTGAGCCAGGCATCTAGTGGTGGTTGTTCTTGTGGTGACCTGTCGAGTGCAAGAAAGGGGTGGTTAGTACAATGTCAGTAGAGTCAAGGTGCGACTCTCGGCTTTGCAGTGCAGGACAGCATGTTTCGAGCGGTGGAGCATGCTTGTAACTGAGCCAGTCAAAAAAGGTTGGCAGATATCTCGAGCAACGAAAAATCTTTCTTTGCCTGACCTTGGCAAGGTGTGCAAGCGTGCGCCGAAACCACAAGCATGCTTCCACCATTCGTAAGGGATGCTATCTCTGCTGCATGTCCATCAAGCTGTTGTTCTTAGCAGGCTGAAACTCACGCAGGTGGGTAGCATAGTCGATCGAGTAACCGATTAAGAAAAGGGTGAAGAGAGTAGCGACGATAGGCTTGCCCGAGGCGTTCTTGCCGTCAAAGTAACGAGCCTTGATTCCGCCGCCCCTCTTCTGAGGAGCATCGCCCTTGGGGAGCGCCTTGTAGAAGCCAACAACACTCTCCATACGGGCGGAAGAACCACCAGGACCCTGTACCGACTTGGGGGTAGCAATCTTAGGAGGGATGGGAAGCGACGAGTTGGCACGAACACCACCAAGGCGGAAAAGGTTGGCGGAAGGACCGGCCTGGCGAGCGACTGTGCGGGCGAACATGATAGATATCAGGTCGAAAGGTGAGAGAGGTGGTGAGGTAAAGATGTGATGGTGGTGAACAAGTGGAGATGAGCTTGCTGATCGCGACAACAACCACGGCGATGCGATTCACACAGAGCAGCAGCGCGGCAACTCTGCTTCGATTTCAACTAAAAACCAGATCTCCAACTCTCAACGGTTCCGAAGCCTTTTCTTCCCAACACCCCGATCTGTGAGATTGAGCATCGGCCTTCCCTATTCTGCCCGCGCTGTTCAGACAGCAATTAGGCTTGAATTTCGATCAGCACAGTAAAAACACATGACTGCTTAGTCATATTCCGACATTTCCGCAAACCTCGCTCAGCGTCGCCACCCGTCAACTCTCCCCCAACGCTCAACATCACCCACCAACACCGCTATCTCATCCGACAACGGTCACACCCTCATACCTGTCACCTCATCTACACACACACACACACACACACACACATCGATCGACAGTAAAGGCATATATACTCATGATATTCCTTTGTACTTAGCTCTCTGATACAATGCCAACGATTTCGCCGCTTGCTTGACCGCACTGATTGTGCTTTCCTCAACAAAATCCGCTCCACACCACACATACTAGCACATCTGACAGCGCACAATTTGAATGGAACAAGACGCATATGAGCATGCTTAGATTTTTGGGGTGAAGTTGTATGTGATGATGTATGCAAAATACAACCGGCTACAATGAGCACCGGAACAGAAACATGAAAGGGGGGATAGGGAAGCTTGGGAATAGAGGGGGCGAGATGTCGGGCCGCAAGAAAAAGTCGTAATGGGGGGAATGGGCGACCCTATGATATGGTGAACGACAATGCTGAAGATGTCCTCCGCCGCTGCCGCCGCACAATTAGGGGGGTGGGCGGGCGTCGAGTCAGGGCAACCTCACAACATCATCCGTACCAACATCAGTAAGAAGCGATTGCTGCTACTAGATTTAGTAGAGCGACTTCTTCTGGGTACGGGCGAGGTGCGAAGCGAACTCGACGTAAGGAGTAGCGGGGGGAGCAATGTCGCGCCAAAGGTTGGGGGTAAGGAAGGCGTAGGTCTTGGAGACGGCCTCAAAGGTAGCCTTCAAGAAGTTACCCATGGTGGCCGTCTGACCGGAAGACTGGGTGTAGCAGTCCTCAATACCAGCGAGCTGGAGCATGCGCTTAGAGGCGGGGGCGGCAACGATACCCGTACCACGGGGAGCGGGCACAAGACGGCACATGACCGAGGCCGTCTTACCGGAAACCTTCATGGGGACAGTGTGGGGCTCACCGAGAGCGTTACCCCAGTAGCCACGTCGGACGGGGATGGTGGAAAGCTTGGCAACAATGATGGCACCACGGATGGCAGTAGCAACTTCCTTGGCGCACTTAACACCGAGACCAAGATGGCCGTCCGAGTCACCAACGGCAACGAAGGCCTTGAAACGGGTACGCTGACCGGCACGGGTCTGCTTCTGAACGGGCATGATCTTCATGACCTCGTCCTTGAGCTTGGGGATAAGGAGGTCGATGATCTGGTACTCCTTGATAGGGAGGGAGAAGAGGTAGATCTCCTCGATCGACTTGATCTTGCCGTCCTTGACGAGTCGGCCGACCGAGGTAACGGGAACCCATTCCTCCTTCTCGCCGTCGCGACGACCACCACGACGGGGGCCACGACGGCCACGTCCACCGCGGTCTCGTCCGAAACCGCCACGTCCACGGGGTGCGGGAGCAGCGTCAGCCATCTTGTTTCTGAGATGATTGGCAGTGCGATAAAAATAGAACAAGCAAAGCAAGCATGTTAGTTGAGCTGCACCTTGAATTCATGCGAGGTTCGACAACCATTCCAACGCAAGCAAGATGATCCAGAGCAGAGCAGAGGCTGAAAGAGTGCGATCGACGTGGGCAGAGTCGACTGTATGGGCAACATTTGGCAGCTGAACAAATTCATGGTGCGGTGAAGCAGCAGAAGCATGTAATCGCAGTACACGTCGAAAGCGGTGGGTACTAGCAGATGAAGCGCGTCAGTCGAGAACAGCTAGTCTCGAACCCTCGTAATGGTGGCCGTCGATTCTCTGAATGCGCCGTGAATTGTCGCAAGCAGCTGCGCTTTGGCAAGTGTCGGCACATGTGTCTGGGTCTGCCGTGTTCGAGCATATGCCGACGAAGAGTTCGCGCAAGACGACCGCTTCGGTCTAGCGAGGGAAACTGATCCACGGGAAGCTGGCCTCATACCTTGGCCGTCCAGCCTTCCCGCTTGTTCGAGTCCAGAGAACAAATTGTGGCGACATGCAAAGATGTACGGTGGAAGACTGCTGGTCGCTACAGAAACGAAGCTGGTCGATCTCGATGCCTGGCTGACGAATGATGGTATCTGCGACCTTGATGGTCTGAACTGGTTGTATATCATTTTGTCGGCCTCTTTGGCATATGTGGTTGCTGACGCTTTCGCTGTGTGTCACGGGCGTTTTGCTGTCGTCTGTAAGACTGGCATGGACTGGCGCTTTTGGTGCTGTACCGTGTGTCGATCAGTGCGAAAGCGTGCTGGCCGGTCAGTTGGATATGCCGATAATGACGACCTTCATGCACACCGTACGGTGCTGTCGAGTCTGCGATTTCGTATGTAGCGTATGTTTGCTGCTTTCGGTGTGGCTGTTCGTACTGCGATGCTGCTTCATCGTTGTTCTACTGCTGTCGATACTGCTCGTTTTGCTCCTGCTTCCGTCATCACTCTCTCCAATTCCTGCTCTGTCGTGGATACATTGTTGCTGCATGCGTTCGGAATAGTCGTCATAGTCGATTCGTTTACTAACCTTGATGTATAAGGGTTGATGAAGGGGGGAAAAGGTGGTTGAGGATGATGAGAGTAGCGACGATGACGAGAAGGACAAGATTACGACAGAGCGCACTCTCCGGACAGGCTGTCTTCCTTGGCTGTCCTCTTGTGCCTCCAGCTGGTCCCAGATCTTGGTGTATAGTTGAAAACGCAAGTTGGGCTTGAATTTGGCAAGAAGGATTCTGCATCACGTGCAAAATGTCATAACTGTAAAAATTGGTGGTTTTTTTTTCTTTTTTTTTTTTTTCTTTTTTTTCTTTTCTCCTTGTTGGCAGTTGTTTGATCTAAACTTTATCAAGGCGGCTAAGTCTGTCAGCTTTTGAACCTTAACACTCAAATCTTGCTGAAATTGTGCTCGCTGCTGTGGCTTCGAAGGCTTCGTACTTGTGCGATTGTGAGTACGAGCGTGACTCGTTATAGATGATGATCGATTGCTGGATGTTGCAATGTTTGCGGACTTGATTTGAACTATCTAGTGGTACATCTGGGGTCTGATGGGGTATATAGCAAGTCGATCGGGTATAATGCAAAATCAAGCCAGCGTCTTAACAAATTGCATCCATTTGTTCACGATGCGTTGGGTGAGATCGAATGCGTCGTACTGTCGCGATGCCTCGTTGTTGCTAGTCGATCGAGGTACCATGAAGATTTCGCGGTGGCGTACGCTGCAATCATCACAGACTTCGTCGACTCTCTCACCGATTCCTGCCAACTCAACGTGCACCAGTGCCTCCCACCTATGGCTGAAGCGCACACCATCGACTTTCACTGAACTCGCGCCCGAGATGAGCCCTTGTTGTTCCGTCGAAGGATGGTAGCTTAGCAACAATGGGTCCTTGGACTGACAGCGCGTTCGCCATTCGCCAATGCGGCGAAATACGTTGCTTGTTCGCCCTACTTTGAGACAGAGGTGAGTGTCCGTTGAGCGATCTCGAAGCTCGTAGATGTAGATGTATCCTCGTTCGTTGCGGTCAACCTTGGACAGGTGTCGGGCCATGCATAAACGGAGCAGTGCCTCCGTATGCTCGCTGAGTGGCACAGTGTCGAACCAATCGCTGAACTGAATGTAGGGGCTGGTCGAGTTGGAAGTCGTGCCGCTGATGAGCGACGAATAAATGCCCGCATGTTTGTTGACCTCAGCCACATGCTGATAGCAATAGACTTGATCAACGTTATGCTCAGCCAGCAGTATCGTCTCTTGGCTGCAACGGCCGGCGGAGGCTGACGTTGCTCTAGCCTTGGATCTGGATGGCGAGGCGATGGAGCCGTCGTCGTCGTCAGAATCAACAACGACCAGCGGAACCGCAGCGGTGCGACCTCTGGTGGACAGATTTGCTGGCACGGAAGCACCGCGATCCGATCCGACTCTTGCATGACAAGGTGAGTGACTCGTTACCGAATTTGCGGGCGTGCGGACCTTGCGGGTGCATCGTGTGCCGTCCTTTTTAATGCCCCAACACTGTCCTGGAGACGGCGAACAGCCGGGGTGTTTTTGCGACCCATTTGGGGTCAGGACTCGATCAGATTTTGTCGTCTGGGCGTGGTCCTTCTCACGCCTACGTGGCGGGGTGACGTTGCTGTCAGACGCATGGGCGTTGCCAACAGCTACGAAGGGATCCCTCCTCTGAGGAGGCCGATTCTCTTTGCCCAATTCTTGACCGCCTCCAGGGTCATTGCATGCTTTCGTGTTCGATGGGGGTTGGGCTTTTGCCTGCGGAACAAGCTCCCAGGGATAGGAGGGCCTATTGCCAGAAGCTGTGCGGACAGGACCTGGAGTCAGACTGGACGGGTGAGCTTGCGGAACTGCAATCCGAAACGACTGGTCTGAAGCTCTGTAGTGCGGTTTGCTGGCGCGCGAGGGGCCCGCTATGGGTCTTGACGATGGACATCTGTGAGGTTTCGAAGGGCTCTGCTCCCCTTGCACATGGTGATGCTGAGGCTGCGGAAAGGAGGGACCAGGTCTATACAATGTTGATCGAGCCCTCGCCAAATGAGCTAGGTATGGCGGTAGTGATTCTGCAGCGACGGAAGGAGATTGCCCGTATGCTTGACGTTGCGGCTGCTTCGGAGGCAGCAAAGGAAGCGGTTCCGGTTCGTGGTGATGGTGCGGGGCAGGTGTTGGGGAGCGAAGCCTCAACCTTCTGAAGAAACTGGCGAGACTGGATGCTCTGGCATCGTCGCTACCCGCTACGGAGCTCATCGACGTCAGATGGTAGTGAGACCTCTGTGTAACTTTGTGCGACCAGCTTCTATGATGGCCGAACCAAGTTGACGCTTAGGCCGCGAATTCGGTTCGCGCTAAGCGGAGCTCCTTCACAGCGCTTTCGAAGGGGATCGGGGATGTAACCATCTACGAGGGGGGGGGGGGAAGATGCGGAAGGGCGATGCGGAAGGGTGATGATGAATGACACTCTCCGGGTCCAAGCGAACGCGCGAAAGTGTTGTTGTCGCGTGTGAGTGAATGTGGAGGCAATTTTGAGTCGCGGTGAGAGTAGGGATCTCCCGATGCAATGAGAGGAAAAGGAGAAAAAGCAACCGATTTCGATCGACTGCGGCAAGAGCAAGGTATCTCCCGATGCAATAAAAGGAAAAGGAGGAACAACAACCGATTTCGATCGACTGCGGCAAGTTCGGTCGAGGTCGAAATTCGTGTCAAGGCTGGAAGCAGGCAAATAGCAAATAACCGCCAGCCTGCTCCAATCGGAGAATCGCACAAGTGAGTCTCGTCGCTATCCTCGTGTTGAGCTCCGTCATATCTTTCTTCTCTTTTCCTTACACGCAAAAGTTTCGAGGTTTCGTTTCCCCTTGTCCGTTTCATCTTCACCAAAATGTCCAAGGTCCCTGCTGCTCTCAACCCCACCGAGGAGGACATCTCCCTCCTCCTCGCCGCCCAGACTCACATCGGCACCAAGAACGCCGACAAGCAGATGGCTCCTTACATCTACAAGCGTCGTCCTGACGGTATCCACCTTCTCAACATCGGCAAGACCTGGGAGAAGATTGTTCTCGCTGCCCGTATCCTTGCTGCCATCGAGAACCCTGCCGACATCTGTGTCATCTCTGGTCGCCAGTACGGTCAACGTGCCGTCCTCAAGTTCGCCGCCCAGACCGGTGCTACTGCCATCGCTGGCCGATTCACCCCCGGTTCCTTCACCAACTACATCACCCGTTCCTTCAAGGAGCCCCGTGTGATCGTTGTCACCGACCCCCGTGTCGACCACCAGGCCATCCGTGAGGCCTCGTACGTCAACATCCCTTGCATCTCGTTCGCCGACTCTGACTCGCCCCTCAAGTTCGTCGACGTTGCCATCCCCGGTAACGTTCGTGGCCGTCACTCTGTTGGTCTCCTCTGGTGGCTCCTCTGCCGCACCGTCCTTCGCATCAAGGGCGGTGACCTTTCGGTCATGCCCGACATGTTCTTCTACCGTGACCCTGAGGAGGTTGAGCGTGAGGCCCAGGAGGCCGCCGCTGCCGCCCAGGCTGCCAAGGAGACCGCAGAACCCACCGCCGACAACGCCGAGGTTCAGGCTGACGTTCCCCTCGCCGTTGCTGCCAACCTCGCCACCGAGACCGGCAACGTCGACTGGTCCGCCGAGGGCGCCCAGGACTGGGCCGCTGACGGTGCTGCCGAGCAGGCCCCCAGCTCCTGGGAGTAAACGCTGCCATCCAATCGACCTCAACCTCTCGACTGGATCAAGGTTTGCCGTAGTTGCAGCATGATGGCGTTCAGGTTTTAATTCGACATGGTGCACGCAGCTCTTGCAGACTGGCAGTTCTCTTTTCACTCTCATACCACCCACCACCCCCCCAAAAAAAGCCTCGAAAGTAAAGACATGGACATGCTATTTCGCGGTGATGCCTTCCAGTCTTTGCGTACTTTCTTAGCGTTGTCTTGCCTCTGATGTGTCGGCTCCCAAAGGGAGAATATCGCTTCTATGATATGCACCAGAGACCAATAGTCCGCGAATTTTACACCCGCCATACTACATGCATAACATGCCTGCCGCATCGCAGTGATTCGGGTGATGAGACTGTGCTTTCATGACGGGACCTGACCTTACTTTTCGCGGATGGTCAGGCTGTGACTGAGCGTTCGAGCGCCTCTCTGTCATCATACTGAATTGAGCCTCAGAGCCATGTTGGAGGTGACACTACCTCAAAAGCTTTGTGTCCTCGTGCCATTCCGCACCCTTCCCTTCCAATTCCTCAAGGTTCACAGACAGACACACTCACGACCATCGTGGTTCAGCTCGTTGAGAGGCTCTTGCAAAAAAAAATATCAAGCTGTGTTCGAAACTACAATTTGCATCCCTCTTAAACTGAATAGTTCGACTGACCAGTAGGAGCATTGATGGGCAAATCCACAAACAATCCATCCAGACCGTCCAGTGGCAGACCTAGATCCGACAGCACGCTATCAAAGTTGGTTGATGCCGAGAAAGACGGCATGCCATCGCCACCGCCTTGCTGCATCTGAGCGGTTCCGCTACCGGGCGATGGCGATATACCGAGACTGTTCGAGTGTCGATGCTGATGGTGTGGAGGGATTTGAGACGAGCTTAGGCTGCCCATACCGTGTTGCTGCCGGTGAGATGTGAGGCAAGCTTGACTTGCTTGGTATGCTGGCGACCTATACTGACTCGCAGATGAAGCGTGGTGCGGGACGGGGGATCGATAGTGGTCTTGGTGACTCCAGCTTCTGCCGGGTATGGGGGAGGCTTTGATGTCAGCGGCGCCGGTGTTGTTATCGTTGACACCGGCGTCGCCAAAAGCGCCGAGATCAGCTGCGGAGGCTCCAGTGGACTCTTGCATCCACAAAGGTAGCTGGATCGGGTGGTTCAAAGAGGTGTTGTGGTTGTGCGAACCGTCGCCAGCACCTCCGAACGCACCTCCTGCTTGCGTTCCAGAAGGAGTGTTTGGCGCGAGGAAAGAGCTCCATGGAATGCCATTTGCGTTGTTACCGCCGCCGCCGATACCAGCATGACCGCTGCTTCCGTTGTTTCCACCACCGTGGCCGAAGCCACAGCCGCTGATGCTACCACGATGGCTGAACAGTCCTGCCATCGCACCTTTGTTGGGAGAGAAACTACCCGACCCAGCTCCACCCAAGCCACTGGACATACCCGCAGCCCCAACAGATGGCGAAGAGATACCAGCGATCAACCATTTGTTACTGTCCCCGAACCCAGGCGTTCGAGAACCAGATCCTCCCAGCCCATCTTCTCCTCCTCCTGCGCCAGCGTCAGGATTACCCGACTGCTGCTGTCCACCCTCTCCAGCCTGGTCGACCTCCATGTGACCATTCTGATGTTCCTGCAACAGCTTGTACAACAAACTAATACCCGAATCGCTCGGTCCACCAGACTTGATCTCAGCTGGCGTAATCGCACCGGGCCTCGTCCCCTCGGTACCCAATGCTGCATACAAGCCAATAGCAGGACTCAAGTCAGCAATCTTTTTCCACGCTTTAGCCAACAAGGTACGAATGACCCTCGCATATTTGCTTGCGGGCACCTCGGCCAACCGACTCGCGAGCCTCTCAGCATTACTGAAGATGCCGTATGTGTCCACCTGTCTAGGGAACAGACGGGCGATCTTGATCAAGAACACGCAAGCGAAAGCGGCTGTAACATGGGTGTAGTGTGGAGCCCAACCGAGCATCTCGCGGTATTCCTTGGCGTTGACGGAGATGCCAAGGCAAGTATCGGCTGCACGGGTAGCTTGAATGATGAGTTCCTTCTGTTCGGGACCCATTCGGTCGGCGTCGTTTGCGTCACGGATACCACGAAGAGCTGTGCAAGAGAGGTAGAGTTCAGCACTAGCGCATTGAAGAACGAGGGATTGTTGGAAGAAGGAATCTTGACCGTAGCCTCGAGATTCAAAGTCAGAAGACCAGTATTGGTGCCAATCGTTGAGTTCCTCGGTGACTTTACGCATCTTGGAAAGCATGCGGGCATCAACAGGCTGATCGTAGGGCGCCATGGCGTCGTAGTGCGTTTCGCGAATGATGAGCAATTCCAAAGTGCTGATGAATCGAGCATCTGTCTTGACCGTAAGTGGGTAGTTGAGACTGAGGAAAGCTCGACAATTACGCACGTAGTGCTTGGAAAGCATCGCGGGTCGACCAGCACCATAGGATGCCTGATGATCGAAAAGAAAGAGGAAGAACCACAACCTCGAACCTCTTGCCAAGTCCTTCAATTGCTCCAATTCGCGCTTTGCTGCAGCATCCGCACCTCTATTCGCTGCAGAAGCGGCAACTGCATTGGCACTTGCCGGTGCCATCTTGCCATCCGCCGACTCGGCGCCTATGGAGCTGACATCGGTTGGCGAACCGGTATGGTGCGATCCCTGTGGCGAGTTGTGGTAAAAAGTCAAATGTTTCGGAGGCGGCGGAGGCTGAGGATGCTTAATATACCCACTCGCCGGCAAAGCTGACATAAGTTTCTGAAAGGATCTATCCAACCCCAACTCCTGCGCCATCCTAATCGACAATCCCAACGGCAACCAACCATTGTCGCTATAGGCAGCTAACAACACCATGGCCTGCACAGCTGCTTTACCAGCAACAGGAGTGAACATGGTATCTTTTGCATTCCGTTTGGCTTGAGCCATGCAAGTCTGGTATAATCGGCTCGGGGATTTGCCACCACATTCGACCTTTGCGCCGATGGCAAGCATGACGTTGAAGAGGAAATAGGAAGTTGTGCGGACGTAGTGGTACGCTTCTTCTATGGTCATGGATTCGTCTTCGAGATGGAAAATAGAGATGAATTTGGGAACACCTTTTTGGAAGGTTTCGAAGAGACGCATGGCGTCAGTTTCGTTGACTAGGCCGAGGGTGACGAGATCGCCAGGGGCAGAGGTGATGAGTCCGGGAGCTTCCATCTTGCCTGATCGACTAGTGCTGCTGGCTGAGGGGGAGAGACCGGAGCCTGAGGTGGTAGCTGCGTTGGCAGAAGCAGTGGATGAGGCGTTGTTGCAAGCAGCTCCAGGCTTGCCTTCACTACGGGCATCGGTTGAGGCTGCTGCATGTGGTGAGCCACCGCTAGCATCGCGTCTTCCCTTCTTGCGAGGAGAGTGACCACCGGTCTCAGCCTCATCTTGTACATCAAATGCGGTCCGCTTGCCACCTTCGTCAAGCAATTGCAGCGACGGTGTAGCATCGGCAGCGTCACCCTTAGACTTAGCGCCGTTGTCAGAATTGCCATTCTTCTCATCGCTAGAATCATTGGAAGTATGACCCTCCGACTCTTCCGCAGCCGCTGCAGCCGCTGCATCGGCCAAGCCACGCAGAGCCTCGATTGGGGCACTGAGCTGATCATTGCTGATATCCGTCTCGCGTGTGTCTGCATCATCGCCTGCTGGTTGGCCGTCAGATGGAGTAAGATTTTGATCGTTGGTGTGGCTGTGACTTGTCGCGCGGTCGGAAGAGGTCCATTGGCGGCGAGGTGTTGCTCCTGAAGAAGTAGGTGTCCATCCAGCTGCGCCTTGTCCTCGAGCAGCGTTGCGGTCGGAAGGGGAAGTGGAAGAAGCAAGCAAATTTTGCTGTTGTTGCCATGGCTGGGATTGTGAAGGTCGGTCTCGGTCATGAGATCCACTTCTGTGGCGATTGCAATCCAAAGATTGCGATGAGGTAGATGCATTGATGCCTGTGGCGTTCCAGATGCCTGGATCGAGTTCTGGCTGCTGTTGCTGCAGAAAGTTGTCGCCAAGTTTGGTAGTAGATTGACCGTACGGGCTTTGGAAGGATGGTGGCTGTTGTTGTAGCGGATAGCCTGGCATAGCCTGAAACGGTATCGCAGTTATCGAACCTTGCCCAGGAGCAGAGCTGACCATACTGCTGTTGCTACTCATCGATCTTGAAGAGTGCGGATAAGGGGGTCGTTGCGGATATGCTGTCGAACTAGCCACTTCGGGGAGTGGATAGCTCTGCAAGCCCTCGGCTTGCGCCGCCATCGCCGCTGCAACTGAATGACGAGCGCTATGATGCGGAGGCTGGACATACTGCCCCTGCTGGATCTGCATTTGTCTTGGGTACTGTTGCTCACCTCTGCCCGCCTTAATGGAATGCGGACTAGCTCTAGACCGACTTGAGGACCTCTGTAGCATCTGCATTTGCTGCGGCGGCTGTTGTGGCGGAGCAATGGCATTGGTGTTGGCCTTGATACTAGCCACCAATTCCGAGATGATACTTTGCATGCCTGCCATCTGCGCTTCCAACACTTTGATCCTATCTGAACTCGCACCTGTGTCTGCTCCACTTGTGGAAGCAGAAGTAGTGCTATCCTTGGGAGGCTTTTCAAAGATACATTCTATGCCAACTTGACGACATCGACGACAGGGAGGGTTCTCGGGACCATCACAACGAGCTTTTTGCTTGCGACAGGCATTGCAGGCTCGATGGACACGAGAGATGGTTTTGTAGATCTTGACTTGTTCTTTGCCACCTGTGTTGGTGTCTTTGTTGTCGGAGGTGTCGGAGTTGTCAGCTTCGGCTTTTGAGTTGGAGGGATTGGCGTCAGGCTTGGATTCCGAAGCAGAGGCCGTTTCGGCGGTAGAGTCAGGTCGGGAAGTGTTGTTGGTCATCCTGTCGAATGTTTTGCAAGAGAATGGATAGATGTGGTGATGCGAGGATGCAAGGATGCCCTCAGACCAAGTCGGCTTTAGAGGTGCTGAGAAGTAGAAGGAAAAGTCGGCTAGAGAAGGCTAAGAAGCGGCTGAGCTTGGATGCATACTGCTAACGGCGATAGCTAGGGATGGTATGGATCGACGGCAAAAGAAGCGTAGAGAAGGCAAGAGACGGAAGAAAAAGGTGCCTGTCGATGTGGTTGGTTGGTGTTGCGCCTTAAAGCCGCGGGCTGGCTATCCGTGTTGTGGTTCTCCAAGATGAGAAGTTGCCATTGCCACGGAAGAAGGAGAGCCGTCGCCGCCTTAGCCGAAGGCAGACTGTAGCATTTGAAGCTTTAAGGGATTGATGAAGTGGGAAGAAGGTGAACCGACGAGTGGATGAAATTATTCAGGAGTGATGATGGTGGGAGCATGAAACCAAGTCGAGGAGGCTGCTGTTCGGCAGGTAAAGACAGCGATCTAGTTCGGCTTTACTTGCGCCCTGCCTTCTGAGACACAACAATAGCCTAGCCTAGAGCAGCTGTACCTGCATTCCTACTGTTCTAATCTCATTCTGAACGGCCAAGCGGAACAATGTAGACCGCAATACACCATCCAACCATTGCATAGGGCTAACTAGCTTCGCATTCATGCCAACCTGCAGCGTACTTTTGTTCTCCTCATCCATGCTTCCTACACAAGCATGAGACATGATCAGGCCAAGTTGGTGCGGGCCAAGTTGGTGCGGGCCAAGTTGGTGCGAGGCAAAAAAAAAAAAAAAAAAAAAAAAAAAAAAAAAAAAAAAAAAAAAAAAAAAAAAAAAAAAAAAAAAAAAAAAAAAACTCTCGACTTTCTATTTCAGACCGGAGTCGACGGTCCGGTTCTCCGCATTTTCGTCTTTTCTAATAAGAGAGTGAAAGGAAAGCCACGTGAGCTTCTTCCAGCCCTTTTCTTCTCTCGCCCGAGTCTTCCGAACTCAGAGAGGTAGATCTCCCCCGATCTCCCCGATGGATGAAATGAGGGTGGTTGGTGCATGGACCACCTTTTCCGAGCAATCGAATCGCAACACTTTGTTGTTGCTATCCACATCGTCTTGCACCTCTCCCTTTTACTCCCTACTCATCATCACCGCATCATCGCATCGTCTCTATCTTGGGTACGCTCGTCAATATGGCCACCCAATTCATCAACTGGATCAAGTCTCCAGCTGGACGACAGTACTTCTTTGTAAGTATTCCTCATCTTCAACCTCAACTCACCACTTCAAACTAACCCCATCTCTTGTGCTATATTGTAAATTGCTTATAGTCGACACACTTCTGGGGGCCAGTCGCAAACTGGGGCTTGCCACTTGCTGCCATCGCCGATCTCTCGAAAGATGAAGAGATGATCTCAGGGACCATGTCCAGTGCACTTTGCGCTTACTCGACCGTCTTTATGCGTTTCGCATGGAGAGTTCAGCCAAGAAACTACCTCCTCTTCGCTTGCCATGCTACAAATGCTACCGCACAGGCTGTTCAGCTCGGACGATTCTTGGTAAGTCGCCCACCCACCACTCTCACTGCTACACCGTTGCAAAGGCAAAGACCATGCTGACAATCTTTGCTCGCGGTCAACACAGAACTACCACAACTTTGGTGGAAAGGAAAAGAGAGGCGCTTTGCCATCACCTCAGGTTGCATCTGCATAAACGCTTCGCATGCTTCTCTACAACCGTAGGCGTTCTGCGCCTTGTCTCGACCATTTCTCTCTCTGTACAGTACGTACAATATCAACACAACGCCGCAAAAGTAAAGGATCAAGGTGCGTTTGCAAGATTGCATTCTATCCGAACCAAAACAACACTGCTTCTGATTCTATACACCCCCACCAGCAGCACCCCTTTCGGCCATGCCAATATACTCCACCAGCGAAACAACGTACTTCTCGGCAATCGCACTAAAGTACCATTCATGTTCAGCATTGTGAGCTGCAACAACGTTATGCGCAACCTCATGCGCAACGCTGAAATACGTCGACACCAATGCATCCGCCAATTTGCCTTGCTTCACCAACTCATCGTGCCAAGCCAAATAGTACCTGAAGTTCAGATAAATCGCTCCCGCCCTGTTGAACGCGATCGCCGGCCCCGCAGTGTCGCAGAAAACATACATACTCCTTGGGTCCAATCCGAAGATACTGCCCACGGGTTTGTAGATGCGATTAATCAGGCGTTCCAGCGCTGCTGCATTAGCTTGCAGCATCGAAGCAGCATCCAGGGTGCGGTGGAGGAAGATCTTCATACCACAAACTTCGCCTGCTAGTTTAAGGTCTGTTTCCACACCTTGATCGCAGTACGAGTTGGCTGCTTCTTTGATCTCGGTCTGACGCGCTTCGGATTTGATCATCGAAGAAGCATCCGGTCGAGAGGCTCGGATGGCTTTGAGGACGTTGTTGTGGATTGAAGAGAGTGGCGTGACTTGGCTTGTCGGGGCTGTGGCTGCTGGGCCTGAGCCTGAGCCTAAGCCTGAGCCTGAGCCTGAGCCTGAGCCTGAGCGAGATGCGAGCGCGCCCAGCGATCGGTCTTCGTCAGCGCGACCTGCTGCTGCAATGGCATTGTCTGATGGCCAACCGGATGAACCAGGTCGCTCGGTTGAGCTTGTGCCATCAGTAAGAGAGCTTCTCTGCTGCTTCGCGCCAGCCTGAAGGAACTTGTTGCGGAAGCCAGAGAAGAAGCCTGCTCCTGCACCACCACCACCTCCGCCTGCGCTGATCGCAGAAGAAGCATCGTCTGGGATCCGCGAAATGGCTGACGACATCTCCTTGTTCCTGCGGGGGTAGTTTGTGCTGAGCATATCATTCGTCGTCCTCTCCACATGGGCATCACTGTGACTTCCAAGTGCCTGATCAACATACTGTGGGTCAGCATCAGGGAAGACGCTCAACACTTGTTTCCTCCATTCTGCGAACTCAGCCTCGGTCGCCTTCTCTTCTGCAGCTCGCTCCTCCGCTCGGAGTCTCTCGTCGCGCATCTTGGCCTCGGCAGCTTCTCGTTCAGCTTTGCGCTGCGACAGAATCTTGTCGACGTGGAAGCCACGACGCTTGAGGTTGCGCAGCGAGGTCGAGAGAAGCGTCATGTACAGCAACACCTCTTGCAACCGTTGCTTGGTGAGCAGATACTTGCTGATCGAAGTCGCCACTTCGAAAAAGTCGACTTCCATCGACGAGGAGAGATGCAAGATGAGCTTCGAGCCACGCATCGATGCTGTCGCCGTACATTTCTGCACGTTCTGCTCCTTCACACGCTCATATCGCAGTGTACGCACAAGACGAAGACCGGCGCCATCAATCTCTTCCACCTCGAGCGCACCTTTGAGCCACTCGGCCTCCTTGCGGATCTCTGATCGCGACGACTGTCGCTTCTCGAAAAGGAAGAGTGGCGTGCGTTCGAGGACCAAAGCTTTGATCTCTCGGGCGCGTTGTGTGTTTTTCACCACGCGGCCTTCCACCGAGTAGCGTTCTTCGACCAGTGTACTAAGTCGAGGCGAGCCCAACTTGCCATACAAGCCCTCCTGAAGCAGATCCTCGTGTGGAGCGTAAAAGAGGGACGAAGCGAAGAGCATGTGCGAGTTGGCATCATCGACAATGACGACATCGGCAGGTTTCTTGAGCGCATAGACTAGTGTTCCACCGTCATCAGCCTCTTCGTCCTGCTCGTCGTCGTCATCCAGCAGATGTCCTGTCTTAGCACCGCTACCCTTGCTTCTGCTTTCGCTGATGCGCTTCGAGCCAAGCAAGAAAGGCGAGCGAGCCATCTGGTTGCGGAGTGGGCTGCGGATGCGATTCCAGTTGGTGGCGATCTGACGCAAGATGCCAAGATAGGCGTCAGCACTGCCTGCCAGCTGATAGAATCGCTGCGGTTCGCTGATGAGACGCTCGGCAACCTCCTCGATGCTCGGCTCGTTCCGAACACCACAGTTCTTCAGAAAGGCTCCCGCAACAGATCCAAAGTCGCAGTAGAAGAAGACATCTCTGAACTGAATGTCGGATGCCGAGCCGCCAAAGTAGCAGTTCATCGGAGCGACCAACACAATCTCTCCAGCAGAAGGAGCAGCAGCATCCTTCGTGGCATCACCACCAGCTGGCCGCTTGTTGCGTCGCACTGGAATGAACTCTGCACCTCGAAGCTGTGCAAAGTCACTGAGACTGAATTCAGGCACTGTGGCAAGGTACCCAAAGATCTTGCGAGCCTGCGCTTCGTCTTTTGTGGGTGAATTGACAAGCCTGCCGATGAGCTGCGTGGAGGTAGGATTCGAGCGCAGACCCAGCTTCGGCAGGTCAGCCAAGTTGATCTCTGGACCAGCCACGGGGAAGCCCATCACGGCAGCTTCTGCGTTTGTGAAGACCTCGGTCGGTTTGCGCAACACCATCTTGTTCTCGCTTGGCAAGCGTGCTGGAACAAATGCGTATTTCTCGGCGCGGTAGATGGTGTACTGATTGGCGTAGTGTGCATGGAACTTGTCCAAAAAGAACGAGAGCGCCTTAGATTGCAGAGCGTCATTCGAGGCAGTCGAAGCCAGCTCCAGAACTGTCTCCATAGGCGGGTAGCGGCGTAGACCAAGATCGAAGACGAAGCGTGCCTCGTCGGACGAAGGCTTCCACGTTTTGTCGGCCCAGTCTAGCGCAGGCAGTTGCAATGCCTTGAGCACCTCGGTGGGCTCGTAAAGATCGCTTGCACGATGGCGAATGATCCTCGGCTTTCCATCTTCCTTGAGCCCGGAAATTTCGCCGTGCTTGGGGAAGATGGCCGTCTTCTTGAGTCTCTCCTTTTCTAGCTCTGATAGTGACTCCTTGTTAGAGGCGAGGTACGAGATGAGATCAACGTGAGACCAGCCACCGCCTGCAACAAGACGATTAAAGATCATCTGCAGCTCGACGTGACGACGCACGCCGAGAGCAATCAACACCTTTTCAAGGTTGCCCTTGACTTGTGCGGAAGGAAACTCGACGATGGGCAAGTCCGAGAAGAGCGACACGTTCGAAAAGTAGGCGTTGCTGGGCTTCTGCATCTGCAATCGGGTAGGAATGCAAGCGATCTCGGCCAAAAGCTGCTGGATCTCGTCATGCTGCGTAGAAGGCAACGCGAACCATGCTCGAGAGAGAGTCAGCAGCACCTTTTCGGCAAAAGCCGGCAAAGTCTGGATGTTAGTCTCGGCCACGGCAGCGGAACCGGATTGCTGTGCTTGAACGCTGATCTGAATGAGGTTCTTGACCCATGCAGACACCGTCAGCTCTGACCAACCAAAGACACGTGAAAGCTCGTTGGTGGTAAAGGACTTGGAGACCTCATACGACAGACACGACTCCGGAAGAGGCACGTCGGTCGGTAAGCGAGATGTGTTGAGGTAGAAGCGCACCAGACTGAGCGGCTGGATCTTCTCTGGCACTGCAGCGTCCTTTGGATCTGCGATGGTCAAGATAGCATTGTTGATAAGCTTTGATCGCAAGCTGATGTCGTAGGAAGGGTGAGCAGCGACGCTGAGCCACCACTTGAGACATGCGACCATCTCGGCGGGCGTCAAAGCACGTGACGAGAGCTCTTGGAAGACATCGTCCATGGTAATGTCCTGAACAAGGTTGCGCGATCGAACCTCGCGTACAAAGTCAGATGCAAGTTCGACGTGATCGGAAGAGATTACGGCGAGATCCTTGATGAAGTTCGAGAGGAGCGCATTGGGGATGCGGATGGCAGCAGAGTGCTTGACGCCTCGAGTCGACATAAGCGAGATGGTGTTCTGGCGTGCTGATCCGAAGAAGGAGGTGAGGAAGAGCGAAGAGACGCGTGAGGACGGTGACGAAGCACGGAAGGTGAAGAAGCGCATGAGATGGAGCGCACGATCCTTGAGTGACTTTGCGAGAAGATCATCATCCTTGGCTGGACGCTTTTCGCCAAAAGTGTTGGTCCACAAACGACCAATATCGGTCAATTCGTTCTCGTAGACAGCGCGAGCGACGTAGCCTCCCATGGAGAGCAGCTCTGAGTTCCACTGAGCACAGTAACGATCGACAAAGTCAAGTGACTCGCGCTCTACGGTGGGGATGAAGCGAGCAGCAATGTGACCGCTGAACCCTGTGGTCTGATGTGTGCGGAAGCCAATGAAGGCATGACCTTGGTCTTCAAGGCGTGGCATGAGCCCTGAGAAGATCTGACGGACGCCCTTGTCGAGTGCAGCAGCAGATGAGGTAACCGAGATAGATGTGTCGGCTTCTTGGTTGTCGTCCGGGAAACTCGCATTATACTCCTCTTTGCCTGTGAAGATGAGATGGAAGGCAGTGACTTTGGGCGGCGGCTTCTTTGTGCTGCGTTCGATCTCTCGTTCGAAGGCTTTGTCCACCGAGACGCTGACGTTGGCTGTGGCAATGCGTAGATGAATAGAGGCCGAGACTGAGGTGAGTGCAGCAGCAGCAGCAGCGTCGAGTTTGCGCTTCTCAGCAGCCTGGGCGGCTTGAGCTTCTTTGCGTCTCTGGAGCTCGCGCTCTCGCTCCCTCTCCTTCTCCTTTGCCGAAGAGGAGCCAAAGCCAAAAGCACTTTGGAGCATCGAAGTAAGACCTCCACCGGCAGTCTTGCCTAGCGCTGATGCGAGTGACTGCTTCGATTTGGGCTTGCCTCGTTCGGCTGCATCGATAACAAGCTGAAGGGCCTCAACATCGATCTGAACGGCGGTGGATTCGAGATGACGAACATGCATGATGCGATTGGGACTGTAGGCGTTGAGGTGGCCTGGCATGGTCATGGACTTGGGCAAAGTAAGCTTCTTGTCGAGCTTGCAGAGGAGGTGATCATCCCAGTAGAGTCCGATAGATCTGATCTTTGTGGTGAAGGTGAGCGATGTGGCGAGGAACTTGGCGAGAGCCATAGGAGAGTCCGGCAAGGGAGCAGGTTGACGAAGAGCCATGAAGAAGGTGGTCCATGGCTTGCCTGCGGGCGATGTCTGACGGTCAGCATTATTTGCGCGTTTTGTGAAAAGAGCATCGCCCTTCCAGAAGAAGCCCATGAGTTGGTCGCCTGAGGATACGATGGGCTCTTCGCAGATACTGAAGAGGGAGTAGAAGCCGACACCGAAAGCACCTATACGGTCGGGATCAGGGTTGCCCTCTGCGATTCTACGAAGACGTGACCAGTCGTCATTACCAAAGGGCTTGCCATCATTGCGGAAGACCCAATTGCTGAGGGTTGCCTTGAAGTGCGGTAGTGAGGGGGCTGATGTGGAAGAATTAGAGGCAGAGTCTGCAGAGGAAGAGCGCTGAGATTCGAAACGAAGCTCGCAATGGGTGGCACCAGCATCATCGGCGTTCTGGAGAAGCTCTCGAAAGACGGTGAACTCTGCGGCATATCTGGCGAGAATCTTGTCAATGAGAGCACGCTGATTGACGGTGATGGCTTCCTCCTGACGAGCATCATTCATGAGCGCCTTGCGGGCAAGCTCGCCGGCAGCAGTTGAAGCCATAGTTGCCTCGATTCGGTAACTATGCGATGTGTTGCTGGAATCGATGTGCAATGCTGTAGATGGGCGCCAGAATGAAAGGCCAGAAAGAGGCCGGAATGAAAGGCCGGAATGAAAGGAGAGGAATGTCCATGTGAGGAATGTCCATGTGAGGTTGCAGTCGCTGGCTTCAGCGTTCGATCAGCCGAATCGATGGGGGCAGAGTGATGGTGGGGGAGATGCGGTAGGTGCTATGATCCAGCGACCAAAAAAACTGAGGTCTGTATGGTTGAGATGGGTAGAGATAGGGTCCAAGAGGCTCGCAGATGAGGTTGTGACATGCGGAAAGGCTAAGCAAGATGAGGAGCAACAGGACCCTGCAGTGTTGCTCTCCGTGTGTCAGTCTGTGCGGACTCAGCTTGATTTTTTTTTTTGGACATCCCAAGCCTGACTCACACGGCCGTACAGATGAGAATCAGTCGGACGATACAGAAAACGATCGAAAAGTCATGTTAGATTGCAAGTCAGTGAGGTCAGACGATGTCCCTTCTCCGAGTCCCGAGCATTTGGGTGTGAAATGCTTATACTTTATGTTGAAGGGATAGTGGACTCTTTGTGGCAGGACAGGGTTGTATTGCGTTCTCGACGTTGGTGAGTAAGTACAATGGGTGGATGATGTGATCGGAGCAAACTAACTGACTCGAGGACTATATATACATCTTGATACCAACACAAAGATAGGAGGAAACGGTCGAAGCATGAGAGGCAGGGCACGAGAGCCCTTTGAATGAGGAGACCATTTTCTCTTGAGGGAGTTTGCCACCTCATCGAAAGGCGCCAACAAAGACTTTCGATTTGAAGAGAGACTTGTCGACTGCCTCGTCGGGTGCGCCGATCACCCCCCACGGAGGCTGCCCGACGGAGAGGCCGACGAAAGCTTATCAGCGTGAGAAGACTTGTCGGCTGTCCCATCAGATGCACCGATCACTTCGACGGAGACTACCCGACGGAGAACCCGACGAAAGCTTATCATCGTGCGAACTTTCGTCGGCCGTTGCATCGGAAAGGCCGGTCATCGCGTCGGACTCCCGGTGCAAGTCGATACCCCTTCACTTTAGTGTTGTGTCAATCGGGTAGATCAGCTAAGGGAGGCGGGCGACCTCGGACAACCTCCTCGACACTGCTCTTGCTCCTCCTGTTCCTCCTGATCTAGGTGCTGATCTAGGTGGACACCTCTTTGAGCTGCGTGTGTACATTTCCCCGTTTGCGGGACCTCTGTGACCTGCATGTGCCCCTGTGACAGGACAGTGCGGAGAGTGAGTTCAAGGGTTGTCTTACAATCACATGATATCAGCACGTGACAAAAACTCCTGATAAAAACCTTAAATAGTCAGAAACCCGGGCTTACCGCCAAAATAAGATGTCAGATTCATCTTTAGTAACAATCAGTTGAAGATTACTGGTAAAACGCGACTGTTAGGAGCTACCAGCAAGCTCAACTTATCAGGTGTATAACAGTTGTTGTGTTTTAATTGATAGGTGCTACAATGTGAACATATATATACTTGATTGTTACCCTTAGCCCATACTAGGTCATAATGAACTATTCTTCATATCACCCCTGTGTTGTCACCTCCTGAGTGTTGCCATCTCCTGAGTGTTATGGTTGAAGTACTTATATGTCCCACATGCATATCAATGCATGTTGACATGCAGCTCTGACTCACTGGTGTCTCACTTGTGCTCTGCAGACCACATGATTCAGTTTAGGATGCTGACACATCTTCAACTCCCCCCCTTGATGGCATCATCAACCCTATTAGGTGTGCAATCTGAGACATGGCCAAGCCCTTTAAAGGCTTTGTGAGGATATCTGCGACATTGTCTGTTGTCCCAATGAAATCAATTTTGACTTCTCCTTCCTGAACATGGTCTCTGACAAAGTGGTACCTTGTGTCAATGTGCTTCAACTTCCAATGCTTGGTGGGGTCTTTGCTTACCTGGATACATCCTTGACTGTCTGTCCGCAATATCAGTGGATGGGCCTCAACTCCCAGGTCCCTGAGAAGGTATGAGAAGAAGAGAGCCTCTCTTGTCACCTCTGAAGCAGCTACAAATTCAGCCTTGACTGCTGACAATGCCACACACTTTTGAACATGTGATCTCCAGCTAACTGGGCACCCATACATGTATGTTACTCCTCCTGATGTGCTTCTTCATCTGTTCATTGGGTCTGATGCCCAATTTGCATCAGTATACATAATGATTTGCTGTCCCAAGTGTTTGTTCACTTCATCTCCAAAAAGTAACTTATTGTCAGGGGTCTCGCGCCTGAAACCCAGGTCGGTCTGTCGAGATACTCGGTGACTATTAAACTGTGTGACAGCTATTGTCTCGGTATCGGTGACTATCAAGTTGTGCAGTGACAGCAGGTGGCGTTCGTTGTATATACTATCGTAGGTTTCGGCTGACCTCTGTGGACACTCCGTTCAGGGGTAGCTCGGCACGATCAATATCAATGTTATGATGACACCAAGGTCTGGTGTGGGTGTTGATGATGATGAGGTTGATGGTGTTGGTGATGAGATTGGTGATGTCGATGATAATGAGGTTGATGGTGTTGATGATAAGATTGGTGATGTCAATGATAATGAGGTTGATGGTGTTGGTGATAAGGTTGGTGGCGTCAACACGAGTGTCCAGTGTGTTGACTTGATGCTTTGAAGTGATCCCCGGACCGCAGTGGACTACTGCCTTCGGTTCTATCTATATCCGGACCGCTAACCTGCTATGGGCGCCTTCGGACGTCAGGTAGTGGTGATACAACACACACACTACGATGAGGAGCAACCTTGATAGATTGCTGCTATGCTGACTGAAACTAATGTATACTTATGCTGAAGTGATAACTAGTTATGGTGAGTAGAGTGGATGGGGATCCACTCGACCTATGATGATGAGAAAGCATGGTTATATACCTCTTCACAGCACCGCCAGCGATGCTGCTCCTGCTCTCTCTCCAGAGAGTACCTTCTTCATCGAGTACTGTTCAGGGGCCTCTCCTGCTTGGCACCCCTGTTCCTCTTGAGTGGTGTCGACTCCTTCGACACTGCTCCTCCTCCTCATGACCTGTGTCGACTCCTTCGACACTGCTCCTCCTCCTCATGACCTGTGTCGACTCCTTCGACACTGCTCCTCCTCCTCATGACCTGTGTCGACTTCCTGTCTCTCGAGCCCCTGAGTGGTAACCATCTGAGCTTGGTCCTCCTCGTGGCTGCGCCTGCTCTTTGAGCTTGGTCCTCCTCGTGGCTGTGCCTGGTCCTCCTCGCCTATGGACTCAGTGCTCCTTTGCATGTGAATCCATAGGAGTCCATGGTCTCCATGGAGACTGCACTACGACCATGCTCTCTACTGGTATCGACTAGGTCTTCGATACCTGTGCTCCGTCCATATGAACCAGTGACCCTCCTGCTTCTTGAGCATCCAGGCCCATGACACTTATATTCACTAGTTTGGTTGAGGTACTTCACCAAATGTAATGCTGCCTTCCATGTGTTGCTCATTGGGCTTGACATGTATCTTGCTAGTGTTCCTATGGTGAATGATATGTTGGGCCATGCTGTGTTGGATACCCATAAAAGCTGTCCAACTAATTCTTGGTACTGTTTTGCTACCAATGGGTCACACTTGTCACCACCCATAACACCTGTTAGGCTCTGCATCGGTACCCATGACTTCAGATCAGTTGTTTGTAGCCACTTTCTCACCATAGCCTTAATGTAAGCCATTAGGTCAAGTGTCATTCTTCTCTGTATCCTGTCTTGACCTATCCTTATGCCTAAGAACTCCTTCACAGGTCCTTTATCTTCCATCCCCCATTTTGCCATTATCTCATCCTTAGTGCAGCTTACCTCTGTATGACTGGGTGATGTTATAAGCATGTCATCTACATAGGCTGTGATGATTGTCATGCTATCGCCTGTCCCTCTTGAGTATAGGCATGGGGTGCTCAGCATGCAATAGAAACCTATCTTTCATAGGTGTGAGTCTAGCTCCATATTCCATTCTCTACCCAATTGCTTTAATCCATATAGGCCTTTCACTAGCTTCAGGGCCTTTCCAGAGGGTACCTTCATTCCAAGCAGTGGCTTTAAGAAGATACTATGATGTAATGTTGAGTTCAGGTACACCTGTTTAACATTGACACAATCTACTTCCCAGTCTCATATGGTTGCCATGGCTAGAACTCCTCGAATTGACTGGATAGGTGCTACAGGGGCAAAAACTTCTGTGTAATCAATACCCTCTCTTTGAGTGAAGCCCCATGCCACTAACCTTGCTTTGAACTTGGTAGGGATTAGGTTGGCATCCATCTTTATCTTTAGTACCCAACACATGTCAATGGTGTTCATACCCTTCAGGAGATTGGCAACTTCCCACATGCCCATGGCCTTAAGCCTGTCCAGCTCCTTACACATCGCTTCTTCCCAATGTTTCTTATCCTCTCCGGATAGCGCTGTCAGGGGTCTCGCGCCTGAAACCCAGGTCGGTCTGTCGAGATACTCAGTGACTATCAAACTGTGCAACAGCTATTGTCTCAGTATTGGTCTCAATGAGCTAGTTGCTCAGCGACTATCAAGTTGTGCAATGACAACAGGTGGCATTCATTGTATATACTATCATAGGTTTTGGCTGACCTCTGTGGACACTCCATTCAGGGGTAGCTTGGCATGATCAATATCAATATGTAGGTTATGATGACACCAAGGTCTGGTGTGAGTGTTGATGATGATGAGGTTGATGGTGTCGGTGATAAGGTTGGTGAGTGTTGATGGTAATGAGGTTGGTGGTGTTGGTGATAAGGTTGGTGGCATCAACACAAGTGTCCAGTGTGTTGACTTGATGCTTGAAGTGATCCCTGGACCACAGTGGACTACTGCCTTCGGTTCTATCTATATCTGGACTGCTGACCTGCTATGGGTTGCCTTCAGACATCAGGTAGTGGTGATACAACACATGCACTACGATGAGGAGCAACCTTGATAGATTGCTGCTATGCTGACTGAAACTAATATATACTTATGCTGAAGTGATAACTAGTTATGATGGGTGTAGAGTGGATGAGGATCCACTTGACCTTTGATGATGAGAAAGCATGGTTATATACCTCTTCACAGCATCGCCAGCAACGCTGCTCCTGCTCTCTCTCCAGAGAGTACTGTCATGGGCCTGGATGCTCAAGAAGCAGGGGGGTCACGGGTTCATATGGAAGGAGCACAGGTATCGAAGATCTAGTCAAGACCAGTAGAGAGCATGGTCGTAGTGCAGTCTCCATGGAGACCATGGACTCCTATGGACTCACATGCAAAGGAGGGCCAAGCACAGCCACGAGGAGGACCAAGCTCAAGGAGCAGGCACAGCCACGAAGAGGACCAAGCTCAAGGAGCATGCAGATGGTTACCACTCAGGGGCTCGAGAGACAAAAGCCAAAGGAACTGTCACTGATCAAAGGAGAAGGAGCAGTGTTGAAGGAGTCGACACCAGGTCATGAGGAGGAGGAGCAGTGTCGAAGGAGTTGACACCAGGTCATGAGGAGGAGGAGCAGTGTCAAAGGAGTCGACACAGCTCAAGAGGCACAGGGGTGCCAAGCAGGAGAGGCCCCTGAGCAGTACTCGATGAAGAAGGTACTCTCTGGAGAGAGAGCAGGAGCAGCATCGCTGGCGATGCTGAGAAGAGGTATATAACCATGCTTTCTCATCATCATAGGTCGAGTGGATCCTCATCCACTCTACTCACCATAACTAGTTATCACTTCAGCATAAGTATATATTAGTTTCAGTCAGCATAGCAGCAATCTATCAAGGTTGCTCCTCATCGTAGTGCATGTGTTGTATCACCACTACCTGATGTCTGAAGGCAACCCATAGCAGGTTAGCAGTCCGGATCAAGATAGAACCAAAGGCAGTAGTCCACTGCGGTCTGGGGATCACTTCAAGCATCAAGTCAACACACTGGACACTTGTGTTGATGCCACCAACCTTACCACCAACACCATCAACCTCATTATCATCAACACTCACCAACCTTATCACCAACGTCATCAACCTCATTCTCATCAACACTCACCAACCTTATCACCAACATCATCAACCTCATCATCATCAACACTCACACCAGACCTTGGTGTCATCATAGCATTGATATTGATCGTGCCGAGCTACCCCTGAACAGAGTGTCCACAGAGGTCAGCCGAAACCTACGATAGTGTATACAACGAACGCCACCTGCTGTCACTGTGCAACTTGATAGTCACCGATACCGAGACAATAGCTGTTGCACAGTTTGATAGTCACCAAGTATCTCGACAGACCGACCTGGGTTTCAGGCGCGAGACCCCTGACAAGTACCTTCTTCATCGAGTACTGTTCAGGGGGCCTCTCCTGCTTGCTTGGAACCCCTGTGCCTCTTGAGCTGTGTCGACTCCTTCGACACTGCTCCTCCTCCTTGCTATCCTGCTTGTTTGGCACCCTTGTGCCTCCTGAGTGGTGTCGACTCCTTCAACACTGCTCCTCCTCCTCAGGACCTGGTGTCAACTCCTTCGACACTGCTCCTCCTCCTCAGGACCTGCTTGCTGGTTCCCTATACACTGCTCCTTCTCCTTTGACCAGTGACGGTTCCTTTGACTCTTGTCTCTCAAGCCCCTGAGTGGTAACCATCTGCATGCTCCTTGAGCTTGGTCCTCTTCATGGCTGTGCCTGGCCCTCCTCGCATATGGGCTCCATGCTCCTTTGCATGTGAGTCCATAGAAGTCCATGGTCTCCATGGAGACTGCACTACAACCATGCTCTCTACTGGTATCAACTAGATCTCCAATACCTGTGCTCCTTCCATATGAACCAGTGACCCTCCTGCTTCCTGAGCATTCAGGCCCATGACAAGCGCCTCGCTAACGGTTGGGTCCAGGTTCTTTCTTTCATTGTCATTGGTCACCGTAAATCCATAAAGTTTATTATCATTCCATCTATCAGCAACGGTATTGTGTTCGATCGCTTCCTTGGCAACTTCATCTGGGGTCTGTTCTTCATCTGCTTCATCAACATTATCCATGTCCATGTATTCCTGCAGTGCTTCCTCTTCCCTCTTGTCAAAAAGGTTCTTGTCTGTGTACCTCAGATCGCCAAAGTCTTCCTTGTTTGTCAATGCTGGTGGCGGCTGTGCAGTCACTGGTTGCCACTCCATCCTATTGGACCAGCATTTGGTCTCCATGAACTTTGCCGAATTGCTCCAGAATATATTTGGTCTATAGTCTGGGCTGTAGAAGAGCCAGCCTCTTCTCTCCAAACTATATCCTAGGAATATGGATGCTATGGCCCATTGGTCGAGCTTCTTATTGTCTCTTTTAGCTTTAGGAATATTTACCCATGATAAACATCTGAACACATGTAGAAGCTTCATAAGCTGTTCTGGTGATCTTCCAAACATAGCCTGATATGGGACCTCGCCATCTATACTCAGGGTGAGATTCATCTTAAACACTGCGGCCCATATTGCATATGGCCAGAACCTCTTCAGCAATTGTCTCTGCATGAGTAGGGCCCACATCTTCTCACTTAGGCTCCTGTTCATCCTTTCTACATGTCTGTTCTGTCTGCTATCATATCCTACTGTCATTTGCCACTCTATACCTTTGTCATGTGCCCATTCATGGGCATTGTTGCTCCTCCATTCAGTACCTTGATCAGACCATATTGCTTTTAAGCTCTTTCCTGCCTGTGTTTCTAGGTATGCAATTATTGATTTTAGCTCCTTAAAAGCATGGCTCTTTCATAATAGAGGTTGTATGTACATGTACTTGCTGTGGTCATCAACCAAGACCAAAGTGCATGTGTACTCTGTTGCATGTGATGAATTGACTATCAAGTCGATATGAATGAGGTCAAGTGGAGAAATGGACCTTTCTCTGCCACCCTGACCCATCTGAGCTGCCATGCTTTTAGCTCAGATGCAATGCTCACATGTCAAAGTGGCATTTGGATTTAGGTTTGCTGGGTGGTCACCTTTTAGATGGTTGATGATGGCTCTCGTTTTGTCTCAGCCTGGATGCCCTAGACACTCATGCCATAATTGTTGTTCAGGTATCTTGACTTTGTTCTCAATATGCTCGAAATCTTCATCAACACCTTCAAATAATGATGCTGATGTGATCATTGCATTTTCCTGCCATGTGTTGCCTCAGAACTCCAAAAGTCCTCACTTGCGATTCTTGGTCATCTTGAGTAACATGCCATTTGCTAGATATATTTGCCCTCTGGTTGAATCTAGTATCACTCATGCTCCTTCATCTGTCAGAGAATTTGTTGACAATAGGTTAACATTGAGATGCTGAACATACAATACATTTTGGAGAAGAACATCTCCAGTGTTTGTTGATATGCTAGCATCTCCTATAGCAGTCACTTCCAGAACCTCGCTTCCAGTGGTGAGTATGCGCTTTTGGCAGGTTCTCAGACCAATGAGCATGCTATAGTCATTTACCATGTGATAGCTGGTGCCTGAGTCTAAGATCCAATGAGAAGTCTCTTTTGAATCTAGGGGGCTTGGCCAACTATGTGTGAGGGAGCACCAGATCTCCTATTTGGGCCTGGCAAGGGGAGAATTTTCTGGTATAGTCACTGATGCATCACATTGACTGATCCCATGTCCAGGCCTTTTGCAGACCCAACATCAAAGCCTTCAGGGTCTGGCAGCAACCTTGGCACTGGTGCTGTCGGCATCCTTTTCATCCTTCTCATCCTCTCCAGGTGTCTCATCCTGATTGTTGCTGCCAGTGACTCTGGCACTAGCTTGATGGGGATCAACCCTTGAAGTGGGGTTGTTCTCGATCACCAATTGCTGGATGGATAGGGCAGTGGCGAGGGCACTGAAACTAAGTTGGCTTACAGTAGCAACAGTTTCTTTGTACATTGGGTGTTGGATGGTGCACTTTTGTAGATTAGAAAACAGGGTGTCATCAGCAAATGGCTTTCCCAGTAAGCTGCTCTCCATTTGGATGGTTCTTATTTCTTGGATGAGCTTTCGTATGTCTGAGTTGTACATCCTGAGTTCTCCTAGCTGAGCAATCAATGCAATACAATGAGATATGGTGGTAGCCTCATTGGTGAGTCCATTTTCAATCTTCTTCCATACATTATGGAATGTATGATGTTCCCTGATGATGTCAAGAATCAAGTAATTTATGTTGAACTCTCCAGTGGTATCAATGGTACTGCATAGTGCATTTGTTAAGGCATCATCAAATGTGCAGTTCCACTTGGGATGTTTCTTGTCATACACTCCATCGAGATGCTTCATAGCATGGGGGACACATTGTAGGAAGGACTTGATATGGGTGCTCCAACTATAGTAGTTGTGTGATGTGAGTTTTGGAACTGGCTCAAGTAGCTTCACTAGGGTACAAAAGTTGTATTGCTTGCCATCATTGTTGTGGTCCAAGTCAGAGTCAGTTTCTTCATCAGCATTGTCATCAATTGCCTCAGTGTCTGACTCATTGGTGGCCTCGTTATCAGCAACATGCAGTTGCATTGCCTTGCCCTTTCTTCCTCCTTTGGCCTTGCTTGCTATGGCTTGAGCTTTGGTTTCTTGTACCATGTTATCAATGGTCTTGGCTAGCTCAATCAGTAGAGCCTCAGACTCTTAATCAGTTGAAGATTACTGGTAAAATGCGACTGTTAGGAGCTACCAGCAAGCTCAACTTATCAGGCATATAACGGTTGTTGTGTTTTAATTGATAGGTGCTACAATGTGAACATATATATACTTGATTGTTACCCTTAGCCCATACTAGGTCATAATGAACTATTCTTCATATCACCCCTGTGTTGTCACCTCCTGAGTGTTGCCATCTCCTGAGTGTTATGGTTGAAGTACTTATATGTCCCACATGCATATCAATGCATGTTGACATGCAGCTCTGACTCACTGGTGTCTCGCTTGTGCTCTGCGGACCACGTGATTGAGTTTAGGATGCCGACGCATCTTCAACTCAATCATTCCCCCTTTTTTGTTTATGAAAATTCAGGTTTACCAAAGTCTAACAAACCATGGCGAAAAGTCGCGGCTGGGCGGTGTAATTGCCGCTAAGTTACCGTCGGAGTCGGCGGTTACAGTCGAATTTGGCACGAGCAACGGCAAAATTCGGCTTTTGTTGTTGTTGTTGTGGACAAGGATTGTTGTGAATCGCACCTTGATCCTTCCCATCTCACTTGCATCTCACTTTCTTGATCTTGACCACCTCGTCAACAACTTCCTCATCAACTCTATAGAACACTGTTCAGCTTTACTTTCGGCTGCCTTAACTCCAACTTTCTTTTACCGTTGAACTGCTCTGACATCACGCGGGTGCATTGACACCTAACGTCCGGGTCCAATCTTGGCGAACCCACTTTCTCTCTTCATTAGACGACTGCAAGCAAACCTGGCTTTTCAGTCAAGTGGCCTTTACCTCGCCCACCATAACTATACCAAACAAAGTGGCTTTCAACCCTCCTCCTCTCACCGAAAGCCCCACCGACAAAATGCCATCCTCAGAGTCCAACCAGATGATCGAGACAAGACCATCATCAGCTGGTGATCCGCCACCTCCTGCATTGACTCCCTCTGCCAACGTTCCCCGCTCTTCCAATGCCAGCACCACCAACATCACACAGCGAACAAAGCGCGCCACCATCGCCAATTCAGAACCTGACATGCTCGAAAAGGGTCAAGCTGGCTCTTCCAACGAAGATTCTTCTGCTCTCTCACGCACATTGTCCTCATCCGATTCTGCAACAAGAACCACATCCAGACGTGATATGCACCACGACCAGTCCTCTATTCGTGAGGGTCTCGGTGGGCCCTTCGCTGGTCCTCCTCGCAGAGCCACAATGGAATCTAGAAACACTCGACGTTCCTTCACCGATCTCTTTACACCAGAGCATCGTCTTGCTAAAGCACCCGGCACATTAGCCAGTTTCAAGAACATCCTTTTCGGTTCCTTGCTCAACATCCTTTTGCTCTTTATCCCAGTCTCTTGGGCACTTCATTTTGCTCTTGACCAGAATGTTGTCAAGAACGGCATCATCGTCTTTGTCACTTCTTTCCTTGCAATCATGCCGCTTGCAACGATGCTCTCTCAGGCAACTGAAGAGCTCTCGCTTCGTGTTGGCCAGACTATCGGTGGTCTCGTCAACGCTTCGTTCGGTAACGCAGTCGAGTTGATCGTCGCCATCGTCTCGCTCTTCAACTGCGAGCTGATCATCACTCAGACTTCGCTCCTCGGTTCAATCCTCTCCAACTTGCTCCTTGTACTCGGCACATGCTTCTTTGTCGGTGGTCTCCGCGTCAAAGAGCAAGTCTTTCTTTCAGCACCCGCTCAACTCAACACTTCACTCCTTATGATGGCCGTCATCTCTCTCGTCATCCCTTCTGCCTTCCATGCCGTGCTCGGCAACATCCCTGACAACACCGAACGTGGCGACATTCTCCAATTCAGCCGTGGTGTATCCGTCTTACTCCTCCTCATCTACATTGGATTCCTCTACTTTAGTCTCTCCTCTCACAAAGAGTTGTTCGAAGACGACGGAGATGACGAGCAAGAAGAAGAGCAACCGCAAATGAACATGGTTTCCATCGTCATCTCGCTCATCCTTGTCACTGTCCTTGTTGGTGTCACTTCCGAATGGCTCGTCGATTCCATCAACGTCGTCGTCTCCACCGGTGGTATCTCACGTACTTGGATCGGTCTCATTCTCCTCCCCATTGCCTCTAACGCTACGGAGCACTTGGCTGCCGTCATTTTCGCATGGAAGAATAAGATCCAAATGGCTAGCAGTATCGCCATCGGCTCTTCCATCCAGATCGCACTCTTTGTCATCCCGCTATTGGTGCTGATCGCTTGGATGGGAGATAAGCCTTTGACATTGTTGTTCGATCCATTTGCAACCATCTTGCTCTTCCTAACAGTGTTAATCGTCAACTTTGCTATCGCCGACAACAGGTCGAACTACTTGGAAGGATTCGTTTTGATCATGGTCTATCTCATCGTTGCCTTGACGGTTTGGTTCGTTCCTGACGACCTTGCTGATGCCTTGTTCTCTGACGAGTACTGCAAGGCTCGATAGAAAGCGACACTCAAAAAACTAGAGTGCTCAATGTAAATACTGATCGCTGCATCCTTCACTTGGCATATACACTTTCTTGCAATTGTAGCCCACATTCCTTGGCTCTCCTCTTATGCAATCTATCTGACTGTGTAGGAATGTGTATTGCGATGATCAACGAGAACATGGCTGTTGAACATCTAGCACTTCAACTGACCCCTCAACTTTTCACCCAACCGCACAAACTGTTGCAAACTCTCGGCATTCAAGAGTGTAGCCTTATTGATCGCCTCCAATCCAGCGCCGTTGATGATCTTCTTGACTGGCACTTCGACCTTCTTTCCATTCAACGTTTTTGGGATATCAGAAACGAATTCGATAAACTTAGGAACGTGTCTTGCACTTGTTTTACTCCTGATCAAGCCGACTAAGCTTTTCTTGAACTCTTCTACATTTACTTTTACTGCCGCATTGAGGAGGATGAATAGACACACCACCTCATCATCGCCTGCGGGAGTCTTAAGGGAAACGACGAGTGAGTCTGTGATGCAAGATTGCAGAGCGTTCTCTGGCGATTCCAAAAGTTGGTAGATTTCCGAAGAACCGAAACGAATCCCGCCTGGGTTGAGGATGCCGTCTGATCGGCCTAGCATCACAACGCCACCGTGCGGGGAGATCTGGAGGAAATCTCCATGATACCAAACTTGAGCGATCTGACTGTAGTAGGAATCGAAATACTTGCTTTCGGCTTGACGCCAAAAGCCGAGTGGTTGTGCAGGGAAAGGTTTCTTGCATATCAAATCGCCGACAGTATTGGGGGTTGTGAGTTCAGTAGATGTGTCTGAATCGTATACTGAGATGGCCATACCCAGATTCCTTGCCTGGATTTCACCCGCTCTGACAGGCAAAGCAACATTGTGTCCGGCGAAGAGAGAGCACAGATCAGTACCACCTGTGATCGAACCAATGAGGATATCCGATGCGATCTTGGAGTGGATGTAAGGGTAAAGTTCCGCGCGAAGAGGCGAGCCTGTGCTCAAGAGCTGACGGACTTTGAGGTTGCCGTGGTTCGCTTTGACCTCATAGCCGCTCTTTTCGAGAGCACCGAGGTAAGCAGCGGAAGTACCAAATGTTGTTACACCGTGCTTCTCCGCTAATGTCCAGAGAACAGAAGCTGGCTTGAGTGGAGATCCATCATAGAGAACGATGGAACAGCCAGAGACAAGTCCGGCAATGAGGAAGTTCCACATCATCCAGCCGGTAGTTGTGTATTGGAAGAATACATCCTCTGGTGTCAGTCCACCGTGGATCAAATGTTCTTTAGAGAGTTGGATGAGCATTCCACCAGCTCTATGCGTAATCGCTTTCGGTTGGCCAGTAGTACCCGACGAGAAGAGGATCCAAAGGGGATGGTTAAAGTCGAGTTGTTCGAACTCGATCTCTTGGTCCGCATCTGCACTTGCTTCAGCCAGGAAGCTTTGCCAGTTAGTCCAAACACTCCCGGCGGTTGCAGCAGCAGAGGTCTCAGGAGCAGGGTGGGACTTGACATGGGGAATCACAATGACCGCCTCCAACGCCTGCTCCCCTTGCTCCCTACCGCTCTCCAGACGGTCGACTACACTTTGAAGCTTGTTCAGATGATCATGAACCTTACCATTGTACCTGACCGCATTCACACTGATCAGCATCTTTGGTCGGACGGTTCGCAACCTCTCCAGTACTCCCTCTGGTGCAAAATCAGCCGCTGCACTCGTCCAAACTGCACCAATACTTGAGGCGGCCAAGAAAGCCACGAGATTCTCGATGTTGTTGGCAGAATACGAGGCCACACAATCTTGCGCCTTGATGCCTCTCTTGCGCATCGCACTAGCTGCTTGAGCTGTCAGTCGGTACAAGTGGCGATAGGTGATTGAAGTTTCATCCAGCTCGCCCGTAGTTGTGTCTACTTCAGTGGATTGGATGACCGCAGTCCTCTGACCGACATTGACGGCAGCCGAGGGAGAGCCATGGCGAAGCAAGTTCTCAGCAAAGTTCAACCTTGCTCCTTCGAACCACCTCGGAGGAGGGTAGATGGGGGCCTTGTCTGCAATCGCTCGGTCTGCTTTCAGGGACGAGATAATGCGAGTTTCATCCCAAACTGTTAACCAGAAATCATTCAGGTGTTCGCAAGACCAAGACCAGAGCTCATCGTAAGTGTTGAGGTTGAGTGAGAATCGAGAGTTGACTGTGCGACGGAAAGCGTCCATAGAGGTAGAAGAGGGGTCTGAGGGTGACCATACCAGTTTGCCTTGGATGCCTGTGACGGCAGAGGTGGTGCCGTCCTCCATCGTTACTGTCTTGTCTATGCTTTCTGTTTAAGGATGGTGGAAGGTCTGATGAAAGGGGGGAAGCGAAAGAATCGAAGCGGGGGGTTAGGATAAGCAAGAGGGAGGTCATGCTGGCCCGTGTTGCAGTCAGGTTCGGCTTTTGTGGGGAGGAAACCGTTCAAGTTCGGAATAGACGGACAAGAAAAGGCACACATAGACATCATCAGTCGTCCAAGCAGCTGGAAGATATGCTACCGCACGAGTCGAATGATTCTCTACTGAACCCTCTCCCCAAACTTGAGCAAGGTGACGAGTACTGGACGTCATCCATCTCCAGATATCCTATCGTGCAAACATAGCAAACAATCTCAGTCAAGCCGAACTCGGCGATTAGCAGTCCCATCTCAGGCCCCCCCCCAAAAAAAAAAAGTGTTGGAATGATGAATGTGTATATATGCGTAGAGAGAGAGACATGAGAAGTGACAAGTAAGCTTAGGCCTTGGGACCAGCAGCAGCAACTTGGGCACTGACATCGTTGGCGTACTTTTCAAAGTTGGTGCTGAACATATGGGCAAGCTTGTTCAACTCGACCTTGAAAGCACTGACATCTGGCCAGCTGGTGGCAGGGTTAAGCAAGTTCTCGGGAACACCGTCGATCTTCTTGGGGATTTGCAAGTTGAAGACGCCAAAGTTGTCGAACTCTGCCTTTGCGAGCGAACCGTCGTGGATGGAGTCGATGATCTTACGTGTGTACTTGAGAGGGCATCGTTGACCGACACCAAACTTTCCACCGGCCCAACCGGTGTTGACGAGCCAAACATCGGCCTTGTGCTTCTGCATACGCTCGGCAAGCATCTTGGCATAGACACGTGGGTGGAGGACGATGAAAGGCTGACCGTAGCAAGTGGAGAAGGTGGGGGAAGGCTCCTGAATACCATCCTCGGTACCGGGAGTCTTGGAGGTGTAACCAGAGATAAAGTGGTACTGAGCCTGGTTGGCATCCAGCTTGGAAACAGGGGGAAGGACACCGTAAGCATCGCAAGTCAAGAAGATGATGTTCTTGGGTGGCGAGTTGGACATGCAAGGGATCTTGGCGTTGGGGATGAACTCGATAGGGTAAGAGCATCGAGTGTTTTCAGTGATGGTAGCATCGTCGTAGTCGACCTCGCGCGTAAGCTTGTCGTAAACAACGTTCTCCAGAACCGCACCGAAGCGGATGGCGTTGAAGATCTCGGGCTCCTTGTTAGCCGAGAGACCAATGCACTTGGCGTAGCAACCACCCTCAATGTTGAAGACACCTTCGTCTGACCAGACGTGCTCGTCATCACCGATGAGGGCACGGTTAGGGTCAGCAGAGAGAGTCGTCTTACCGGTACCCGAAAGACCAAAGAAGAGCGAGACATCGCCATCGGGGCCTTGGTTGGCGGAAGAGTGAAGGGAAAGCTGGTTGTGCTTGACGGGCATGAGGTAGTGCATGACGGAGAAGATACCCTTTTTCATCTCACCGGCGTATTCGGTACCGAGGATGACCATCTCGTGACGCTTAAAGTTGACCTCAACCGAGGTGGAGGAAGTCATACCGGCGGTGAATCGGTTGGCAGGGAACTGACCGGCGTTGTAGATGATAAAGTCGGGCTCACCAAAATGTTCGAGCTCCTCCTGAGTGGGGCGGATCAACATGTTGTGCATGAAGAGCGCATGGTAGGCACGACCGCAAATGATACGGACCTTGATGCGGTACTTGGGGTCCCAACCTGCGAAACCGTCAAAGACGTAAATGTCGTCACGGGTGTTGAGGTAGTCGATGGCACGCTCACGGTTGATCTCAAAGGTGTGCTCGTCCATCTTGATGTTGACGGGGCCCCACCAGACGTGGTCCTTGGAGGTCTCTTCGTAGACGATACGCTTGTCCTTGGGCGAACGACCGGTCTTCTTACCAGAGTAGTTGATCAAGGCACCAGCGGACGAGATGACGGCACCCTCCTTCTTGATGGCGTCCTCGTAGAGCTGAGCAACGGAAGCATTGCGCTTCAGATGGATCTTGTCCATGTCGAAACCGGCATCGGAGAAGAGCTTCAGGTCGGAACCCAAAAGCGAGTAGTGAGGGTTGTGAGTGGGGAGCTCATCGTGGTGGTTTCCTGGCGAAGTCATGCTGGGTAAAGAGCTGGACTACTGTGTTGTTCAAAGATGATGTTGTTGTGAAAGAAGAAAGGTTGGGGGAGTAAGTGGAGAAGGATATCCAGGTAATTGTGGTGGTGTCGAGGAAGCCAAGTGAACCGAGGGCAGAGCAGAGTTGATGAAAGGGGCGGAGTGAGATGAGGGCCAAGGGCGGGGCAAGGGCGGGGCAAGGTGAAGCGTTGTGGATGATAAATCGGCAACAAACGGAAAGGACCAAGGGCGAAAGTGGGGCCGGGGGGGGGGGCCAGGTTGGACAGAGGGCCGAAAGGGAAAAATGCGCAAGTGGAGCGAGCAGTGCACGGGCAAGCCAGGAGCGAGTAGAAGAAAGAGAAAGCAACAGCAAAGGGTCAGTCTTGCTAATTCAGTACGAACGGGGGGGGGGGGGGGAAGGGGTCGTTGATCATGTGAAATCCATGTCGCACACAGCGGGTCAACAATGAGAGTGAGAGAGAGAGAGAGAGAGAGAGAGAAAAGTGACACCGACCGGCTCACGGCTTCAAGAGAATAGCCGCTTCCGATCTTCAGGCTTGGTAGCAAGCTAGCGATGATGGTGATCAAAGCAAGAAGCCAATGGCGATCGATGTGGGCAATGAATGAGCGGCAGAGAGGGAAAGGGCCAAAAGAAAGCTGTTGGCCTGTGAAATCTGAGCCGCCTTTAGCGATCAGATCAGCCACGGGCCAGATCGGAAGGGCCAGATCGGAAGGGCAAGATCGGAAGAGAGCAAGATCGGAGAGTCTGCCTTTTCTGGAAGCCCTGTCACGTGCGGACAGTTGGAAATTCAATCCAATGCTTGACCGAAGCTGACATAATCCCGCTTGTCGGCTCCTTGGCTTGGTCAAGAACGGTTGGTTTCCCTGCAACTCCGCCCAATTCCGAGCTAATTCCAACCGATAAAGCCACGCCGCTGCTTATGTCATGCTCTCATCGCCAAGCAGGCAAGACAGACGTCAGCAGCAGAGAGGCTTTCATGGAGAGAGATAGAGAGAAAGAGAGAGAGAGAGAGAGGCAGAGTTGCCAACACTCTTCCCCACATTCTTCTCGACGGATCTCTCCGTTCATTCCTTTCCATTTGCTCCTTTCCATTTGCTCCTTTCCATTCGCTCCTTTCCATTCGCTCCTTCCCGCCTCGTCCAACCCGGCGGTGTTGACAGCCGTGAAGCTTGGAACGGCTTACAAGAAGCTAGCTATCCTTGCGATGGCAGGGCACCGCCGGCATGTTGGTAGCAAGCTATGCTAGGTAGAAGGAGCTACGATGACCAGCGGAAACACGAACGAGAGAACCGAATGATGACTTACGTTGAGAAGCTTTTCGTGTTGGAGAAGCGAGAAGACAGGTTAGCAAGGGTTGGTGCTGACAGAAGCAGGTGCAATCAACAGACCAAGCTGTCAAGTCATGCGTCGAACAGGGAGAGGAAAAGGGCTAATGAGGAGAACAAGATCTGGAAAAAGCAAACTATGCAATTCACTTGTATATATGTCTTTGCAACACTTGTGTCTCAAGGCAGTACAAAGCTGTCTTCTGGACCGAACACCTAGAAGCATGGCAGAAACCGGAACATCACGGACGCCTCACCCTGAGATGTAACCACAGCGAACCGTGCTGTCGCGTTCAATGCGGACGGCAGCTATCTCTGCAGCGACGGATAGAACCCCTGAGCGGTGTGGATGTGTGTGTGTGTTTCACTCCTGGTCTTGTTTGAGTGGGTTGGTAGCTGAAAGGCTTTCTCTCAAGTTGCCCTTACGCCGAATTGCAATTCGGGTGTTTGCGGACCCGGAGAGACGCGATAGCCTCGTTGCAGGATTCAATCTCGCTCTGTGTGCATGCTTGGCGCATCAATTCTTCTGAACTACAGCATGTCATCTTGACATCTAGTCGTCCAATTGCTGGATTGTGGTTGGTTGAGGGCAGCTGCTTGATCCCAAGTTGACCGATCAAGGAGCCCCAGCTTCTGTATCTGCTCGACGGCAATACATCCTCCAAGGTGGAAGAGGCAGAGTATCCGATCCCGGCCGCAAGACATGCTGAGGCTCATCACCACACCTTGCGCAATCACTCACCGATCGAAGAATGCATCGGATCGCACCTAACCGGATCGCAGCTTGAAAGGGTGCGGCTATGATCTATCACGAGTTGCAACAGCAAAGCCGAACGTCGTGTGCCTTTGAATGACCTTGACAGCCTTGACTTTCAGCTGATGATGCTCAGGTGAGCTCAAAGGTCTCCTTTGAAAAGGTTCAAGTCGTTTGGGTCCCGATACAGGTGATCGGGGATAGTCTAAGTACGATGTCACTACTGCTAAGAGACAGAAACATGTATACTCGATTGACTTAAGCAATGTGGTGAGAGCCTAGTGCTCTCTGTGAGATATATATACATGTGAGCGGCACATGTTGAAGGTGGGAGTACTCCTACTCAATGATCTAGCCTGACAACGGGCGGGACTTGGTTGTACCCGATCCTTAACTAAATCGGTTCGACTCGATCTTCAATCAGATCTGATCGGCCCCGCTTGACCTTTGATCAGATTGGTTCGTGTTGTCATGTTGGATTGCCAGTCTTTTCAACATCCTTTCGATCAGCGGGACACGAAGCCGATTTTTTTTGTTCAAAAGAATTTTCATTTGCGGTCTAACAAATTTCCCACAGGCCTTGATTAGGTATGCATGACTAATTGCTCTCCACGTCTCCATGCCGCTATGGCCAGCTCAGAAGAACTGCTTTCCTACACCTCTCCTCCCTTGGACACCTCTCCTCCCATGGACACCTCTGCTCACTTGGACACCTCTCCGCACTTGGACACCTCAGTCTCTTGTCTATCATCCAACCTAGGGGCCCAACACTGCGAGGAGAACGTCTGGAGCCTACAAGATCCGTCACCATGTCAAAGAAACTAGGAGAAAGGCCGTTGGCGGTAAGTTTGACAAGATCGCATGCCCATCATTACAACCTGGCCGCAGACTGACGATGATCTTTCTTCTCCATCCTCGCTACCCGCTTGACGACACACTGAAACGATTGCTCGATTTGCTATGCTCGATTTGCTATGCTCGAATGCGATCCTTCCACACCACCACGACAACAGGCACTGCACGCCGGATCGCAAGCCTTCAAGCCTCTGATCCCCACAGCACTGTTGCCATACATCGCTTTCATCCTCCTTTCATCACTCTTCTTGTCAGCATTCTACTTCACAACGTAAGTCGGATTTGCATCTGGATTATCATCATGCTCTCTTCTTCTTGGTGCTGACCGATGACGCCTTCCGCTTTCTGCTTGAACCATGCCCTGGGACCCTGATCGACTTGACGCAACTCTGATCGCAACCTTGCGCAGACTGCCAAAGCAAAGACTCACATCAAAGGAGATCATTGTTGGTGTCGCTGCAAGTCTGCAGGCAGGCTTTGGCGTCGTGGCTCTCTTCAACGCTGTCGGCGTCTATGTATGATTGCATGTTGGCCTCCTTGAACCGCTGTGTTTGCTGAGCTACTTGACAGCCATGAGCGCTGATGGCGACCTGTGACTGTCATGTCTTTGATACTAGAGCGGTAGAAGTGTGATCTTGTGCACCATATCCAGCTGCTTTGTGTTGTTTTGGCTCTTCCTCTTGGGGATTTTAGGGCTTCCTAAGTCTGAGCTTCTCCACGACCACAAATGCGGTGCAACAGGTTGGCCAAGTGCAGAATCTGTTGTCGACAGCGCCTCTCATGCCATCGACAAGCACCTCTTACCCTCTTCCATTGAGCCTTGATCGGCACTCGACGCTCGCTTTGCTCATCGACACTCTTTTGACCTACTCGATCTGCATCCTTCCTCAGCGGCCTCTTGCGAGCATAATTCGCTTTTGCACCTTGTTTCTTTCCAGCAATCGCAATCTCAATCTTGTCAGGATTGCCAATCATCGCAGATTCTCGACCTCAGAACAACTTGCTTGTCTGCCTATCACTTGCTTGCCTTCCTATCACTCGCTTGCCTGCCTATCACTCACTTAGGCCCGTGTCAAAGGATTTGCAAAGCATCCGCTCGACTTGCGCTCAACATCCGCTGCAACTTCATTTGTGGAAAGCAGTCCGATCCGTTGAAACACGGACCCACCTGCAACAAGCCTTCTCATCGCACATCTCCGCTTTTCTCCCACTATCCCGAATCTCTGGAACCCGCCCTGGCCGCTAGCTGCCAAGATGCCAGCAGCCCGCACAACACCAAAGGACGTCTTGATACGCGTTCCAAAAGTAGAACCTTACTCGAACAGCTACCTTCCTCCATCAGTCCGTGCTAAAGAGGAAGCAAAGAAGCTTGCTTCTGCTGCTGCTGCAACAACAACAACATCAAGCGCCGAGGGAACAGGGCAAGTTGGAACATCTGTAGCTGCAGGTGGTGCCACCACTGATGCATCCACCTCTGCATCAAGTACTGCTGCTCCATTAGATGCCGCTGCTGCACTTGCTACACCTAGTGCAGCCGCTCCGCCGCTCGCATCTACAGACACTGCCGGTGCTCCTTCGACATCCACTGACCAGCCAAGCACAGCTGCAGCAGAAGGAGAGAAAGAGAAAGATCGGAGCGAAAGGGGTAATTCACCCACCCTCCCCTTCCTCTCTGTAGAAAGGCAAGAAGATGAAACAGTACAACTTTCCAAAGCAGCCACATCTTCAGCTGCATGGAACTCTTTACTCCTATGGGCAAGACGTCAGAGAGGTGCGCAATGGGATGCTTCGACAGCCTTGTGGCAGGTGAACAAGTATAGTAAAGAGTATTATACTTTCTGTCAGGATCCAGCGACTAAGGATCCTTCCAAGCAGCCTGCAGATCCCAAGCAAGGAGAGAAAGCGAAGCAGACTTTAACAGCAACAGCACCGGCAACAGCAACAGGGCAAGAGGATCAAGACAAAGGCCCAACAAAAGTTTCGTCAAGCAACAAAGGCGAGGATACAGGAGCAGCTGGAGGAAGCCCACCTGTCGCGCCATTGGGAAGGACTGTACGGCTCGTTCGTCGTCCGTGACTTCAGGAAGCAATGCAAGGAGGGAGCAATGGATGGAGGGAGCAATGGAAGGACAATGGATATGTAACTTATTTCACATCGGAAGGAAAAGCATACCTACCTTAAGCTTTCCACCATGATCCACTTTCTTCCCCTCGCCGGTCGAAAGCGGCTCAAATGCGCTCCGAACACACACGCGGACACCATCTCTGCGTAGGCAAAGCGCCTGCCTCAGGTCAGACTGAACTGGTTGCCATGATCTGATACGAGTGATTCTAGAAGTACATGAGCCAAGGATACAATCCTAAATCAACCCTCGAGGTCATCAAATTTGAGATGTTTGGGAGGAGAAAAGCAAGGAGCGAGCGTGTGCAGCTAGCGAACAAGCTGGACTAGGCAATCAGATGAGGCTTCCTCCTTTGAGTCCAACTCTCCAATTGACGCCAGAACAAACTAACCACCTGCTTATCCGTATGTCGCTTGTTTCTATCCACTTGCAACTCCAACACGTTCCAGTGCCTAATGTTCTGATTCTGCGGTTCGTTATGCCAACGAACATAAACACCCATGACGTTCTTAAACAGTTCCCTTGGATCGTTCCACTTGTATGTCTTGAACTGCCATGCCTGACCAGTGGTAAACACGGCAATGACCCTGTTCCAAGGATCTGTAGCCGGTGCTGACCCACTCGAACCTCCTAAGCGCGTCACTGCCTCGGCGCTCTCCACAACCAAAATACGTCGACCGATGCCTACACCCGTCCCACCTTGGGCCCCGCTGCCACCGCGACTAGTGATCGACACGACCAGATCAGCTACACCTCGTGCCTTCTGACGAGCTTCTTCTGGTGGAACAAAGATGCCCTCCTCCAAGAACTGCTTGATGTTGAACATGTTCAACAAAGCTGTAGGAGAACTCGACAACACAACGATAGGATCCTGAGCACGCTGTTTGCGTACCTGTCCGCTTGCAGGAACACCTGCACGGGCGGCAGCTTCTTGTTGTTGTTGTTGTTGTTGTTGTTGTTGTTGTTGTTGTTGTGGTGGTGGTGGTGGTGGTGGTGGTGCCGCTTTGCCTGCTGCTTTTCTCGCTGCTTCCACTTTTGCCGAAAAGGTCTTCCGGAAGCTATCAAAATCAGCAACCTTGCTCCCTGCTAGGCGCGACACTGCTGCTCCTCCTGCCAAGCCTGCGATGTTGCCTCGCAATGCATCGTTTCGTGTGCGCAGTACAATCTCGTATTGGTTTCGGATGCGTTTGACATATGCAACATCGTCCTTGTTGACCTTGTACGGACGCTTGACACCCGCTGCATCTGGTGCGGCGACTGTAGGAGCCGCTGCACCGGCGGCAGAGGCGGGGAGGTCAACGGTTTTGAGTACACCCGCCCATTCAGAACGCTTGCCGAGCAGATAGTCGAGAATAGCTGCTCGGTCTAGGGTGGGGAAGGAGGCGACTTTGGCAGTTGCTGCTTGGGCTAGGTATGCACCTGGACGTTCATCTCGTGCTTGAAGGGCAAGGATGACTGCTTCCACATTGTAGAAGAACCCTGGTTCCTTGCCGGGGTTTGGTGGATTGCCAGATGAAAGGCGCGCCGCGAGCCCGTCTCTGGATCGTGCTAGACGTGTTGTAGCGGATTTGTCGAGCGAGACATCGCCTATCTTTACTGTTGTTGCTTGGAGAACTGACTGCAACGGTGCAGACTGGCTGTCAAGAAGCTGGATGGATGCCAATGGATCTGGCGAGTTGGATGCACCTTTGATGGCGGAACGAATCAGGTCAAGCGCATCCCTACCACTCGCCGAGGCTGTTGCGGCCATGACCGTATCAAGACTATGTGTAGCAATAGACACGCGAAACCAGCCTTCCTGCGCGAGGATGCGACTCGTTGTCTTTCCAAAGAGCCTGGATGCTGAGAAAGCCAAGATGATGGTGTGTGGTGTCTAGGATGTGGTGTCTGGGATGTGGTGGTGGTGAGGTAGGAAGGAGAGAGTGATGGGCTTTGTGCGAGTTATCTGCGGCGCCTCCACTTTTCTTGCTTTCCGCCTCCACTTCGGATCCGAAATGTCAAACTTTTCGGCCAATTTTTCACGTCGAAAAAACAATAAAAATGCGAGGCACCTCAGCAGTCAAAACGCGATTTCGGTCGATGAAAAAGTCTCGATTTTCTTCGCTGAAGATCCTGTGCTACTCGATATGATTTCAATCCGTACTTCTTGCCACCACCAACAGCCACTCTGGATCGAGGCTGCCCATATCTCTACACCTTATCCTATCCCCTTTCAACCGCTTTCGACCGCTTTCGATCGCTTTCAAACCCTGGCTTGCACAATCAGAACAAGCATAGGTTACACAAGGTTCTGACAACATGGCTCGAGGAGGCAATCGTGGAGGCGGACGAGGAGGTGGTCGTGGTCGTGGTCGTGGCGGCGGCGGTGGAGGACGTGGGCGTGCGGGTGGAGGTCGAGGTGGCGCTCGTGGCGGTCACCATCAGGGAGTCCGAGCAAACTTCCACTCCAGCGACCAGAAGAACGCCCGTCTGGAAGCCTACTACATCGACCAAGCTATTCTCGACCCTTCCGAGTGGGGTACATTCATGCAATATCTCCGCACTCCTTTGCCAACCACCTTCCGACTCACTGCCGGCAAAGAGACCACCCCACAGCTCCTCAAAGCGCTTCAGGACATCTACATTCCCTTCCTCTCCAACGTCACTTTCGACGGCGAGAAGGTCGATCCTCCCAAGACCCTCCCATGGTACCCTGACGGACTCGGATGGCATCTTAACACCAAAAAGAACGTCATCCGCAAGTCGCCCGAGTTCAAGCGTTTCCACCAATTCCTCGTCCACGAGACCGACGTCGGTTCCATCAGCCGACAGGAAGCCGTCTCCATGCTTCCACCTCTCTTCCTCGATGTGCAGCCACACCACCTCGTACTCGACATGTGCGCTGCTCCGGGCTCCAAGACCGCTCAGCTCATCGAGTCGCTTCACTCGCCCTTCACTTCCGCTCCTAGCTCGTACAACCCCATGCCTACCGGTCTCGTGATCGCCAACGACTCTGATACCAAGCGCGCACACATGCTTGTCCACCAGTCCCAGCGTCTTCCTTCGCCCAACCTTCTCGTCACAAACCTCGACGCTTCCAACTACCAGTCGATTCAAGTTCCCTACAAGCCTAACAATGAGGGAGCAGAGGTCATTCAGACTGCTATCAAGTACGACCGCATCCTTGCCGATGTTCCATGCTCAGGTGACGGTACTATCCGAAAGAACGTACCTATCTGGAAGGAATGGACACCCAACAACGCCGTCGGTCTCCACGCTCTTCAGCTCAAGATCCTCATCCGAGGTCTCAACCAGCTCCGTCAGGGTGGTCGTCTCGTTTATTCGACTTGCTCTATGAACCCTATCGAGAACGAGGCTGTCGTTGCAGAAGCCCTTCGACGATTCGAGGGCAAGGTTCGCATTGTGGATTGCAGCTCCCGATTGCCCGAGCTCGTTCGACGAAAGGGTCTTACCACCTGGAGGGCCGCTCCCGGTCGAGGTGCTCATCTTTTCGGCAAATCAAAGTACGCCAAGGACAAGGCTGCCAAGTCTGCTGCTGATGCTGATGCTAATGCTGCCGATGGCGAGGGCGAGCTGGTCGATGCCGACATGAAGGATGCCGAAGGCGAGGTTGACGAGCAAGTTGCTGCCGCCGCCGCCGCCGCCGCCGCCGAAGGTGATGCTGCTGCACCGGAGGAGCAGGCTGCTCCTGAGCCTGAGATCGGATCCGCAGAGTACCGTGACCGTCTCCCCGAGATCGCCTGGATCGACAACTGGGACCAGCTTAACGAGCTTGATGCCGATCTTGCTTCGCGTACACCCAAGTCTCTTTGGCCACAGGGTGACGAGGATGCTCTTGGCACACAGCACTGCATGCGTCTTTACCCTCACTTGCAGGACACTGGTGGATTCTTTGTTGCTTTGCTCGAAAAGGTTGGCAACCCCGAGGACGAAGGTATGGCTGCCGGCATGATCCGCGCTATGGACCACCTCGACTCTCTGCGAGACGATGGAGAATCGCTCACCGACACCGTCAAGCGAGCGCTCTCCCCTGAAACCGAAGCGGATGGCGCCCAACCAGCAGCCAAGAAGCTTAAGGAAGTCGACGGTACCGCTAGCCCCGCCCCCGCTGCTGCTACTGAAACCGAGACCGAGGTGGCAGGAGAAGTGACCAACGTCAAAGAAGACAAGCACGCCGCCGACCGAGCTCGCAAAGCCGCCCAACAGAAAGCGGTCAACGAAGGCCACGGTATCCCCGGTGGTCTCCCATACAAAGAAGACCCGTTCGCATACATCCCACCTTCCAACGACCAAGTTCAGGCTTGCAAGAAATTCTTCGATCTCAAAGACACTTTCCCTCTCCGCAACCTCCTCGTTCGTAACGAAGACCACCAGCCTCTCCGATCCGTCTACCTCACCTCCACCACCGCCCGTGCTGTCATCACTGGCGGAGGCCCCGGTCGAGGCAACCACCCTCACATGAACCCCATCTCTTTGCGACTCATCAACTGCGGTATCAAGAGTTTGGGTCGTCAAGACGCTGGACGTGACGGTACACTGGAATGCAAATGGCGTATCATCTCTGACGGCTTACTCTCCATTCGACCTCAAATCGAGGAGAGGGCCATCTTGAAGGCTCAATTGAAAGATTTGGCTTTCTTGATCGCTAACCATTATCCTGTTCTCGACACTCTTCCTGGCGACTTTGGCGAGTTGCTCAAGACGAAAAAGATGGGAAGTTACATCATCGATGTTCTTCCCTCCGAACATGATGGTAGCAAATTGGACTACAAGTTGAGCTTCCCCATCTGGCGTGCTGTCAACAGTGTCAACCTTATGCTCGACAAGCAGGAGAAGAGGTAAGTTCTCCGCACTTGCACACCTGATCTCCTCTTTTTGCTTCTTTCCCCGTTTCCGAACTTTTCTTACTGACCAAATCTTACATTTCTTCTTCTTTTCCTCGCTTTCTGCTTATCCCCTCACACAGTGCGCTTTCGTTCCGAATCTTCGACACCGATCTCTCCTCTGCTGACGGTGGTCGTCAGTTCTCCTCCCAACCTAGCAAAAAGGACAAAAAGGCCAACAAGGACGCAAAAGACGCAGAAATGCAACTTTCCGACGCCGAAGATGCAGCCCGAGCTGCTGCTCTTGCCAAGTCCAATGGCACCACCCCCTCCTCCTCTGCCGCTGCTAAGGTCGAACTTGCCCCCTACCAAAGCGAATACATCCAACTAGCACTCGACAGTTGCATTCTCAAATTTGAAGGCCCCTACACGCTCAAGTCCGGCCGACTCAGCCCGTACTTCTTCAACGCAGGATTGTTCAACACCGGAGCAAAAGTGACTAAAGTAGCGGAATGCTATGCTAAGCGTATTGTCGAGTCTGGTGTACAGTTTGATGTGTTGTTCGGTCCTGCTTACAAGGGAATCCCGTTGGCTGCTGCTACTGCTATGGCATTGCAACTCAACCACGGAATCGATGTTGGATTCTGTTTTAACCGCAAGGAAGCTAAGACTCATGGCGAGGGCGGTAGTTTGGTGGGAGCAGAGCTAAAGGGTCGAGTGCTGATCCTCGACGACGTTATCACTGCGGGTACAGCGATCAACGAGGCGATGGACATTCTTGCTTCCCAACCCTCAGCTCAACTTGCTGGTGTTGTTATCGCACTTGATAGGCAGGAGAAGAGTCAGAAGGATGGTGTACCAGGTACGACCTCGGCTATTACCGAAGTGGAGAAGAGGTATAACACCAACGTCTACTCAGTCGTGACGCTGGATCAGATTATTGAATTCATGAAAAGAGATGCGGCGGCTTATGGGCAGAAGATCGAAAAGATGAACGAATACAGGATCGAGTATGGGACTAGCGAGGTGGCTAAGGCTGAACAGGCTGCTGCAGGGAAGTCTTAAAAGAGGTCTAAGTGGACCAGTGAAAAAATGTATGTACTCGGTGCGATGAGAGTTGCCCAATTTCTGGCCTGGGCGAGGTCAACGAGTATGTCGAACCAGTCCGCTTGCATTATCTTGTTCTGTCTCAACTTCTGTCCTCAATCGCAAGGAGTCCGCAACATCAGCGTCTGCGTTCACCCTATTCCCACACTCAAAAACACTCCAACATTGTCTGTGATGCTAGAGATCTATGCTATTGCAATGCGTCAACAACAAAAGGTATCAGGAAATGCTTTCACTTTCCACCCTTCTTCGCACCCGCAGTGCCCTTCTTATTGTCATCCTTCTTATTATCATCCTTCTTATTATCATCCTTCTTACTATCCTCCTTCTTACTATCCTCCTTCAAGCTCACAATCCTATTCAGCACGATCTTGCCACCCTCCATCTTGTTGCCAAACAGACCCAAATCGCCACTCAACCTATCCAATGCGAAGTAGGCAGTGCGCATACCTTGAAACCTGACCAATTCCTTCCCAACCAACTGCTCCGCCGTCCTCTCGGGTGCACGTGCACCTTTACCCTCCGTATCGGCGGTTTCAGTTTGGCTTGGTGCTTTGGCTGCGTCTGCTTCCGCTTTCTTGGTCCTCTCTGCTGCCTCCACTCGGGCCTGCTCGATGGATTTCTTAGCAACTTCCCAGAATCCAACCTCGACCATGGCTCCTTTGACGATTTCGAGTGAGTCTGGGTTGACATGATCCAAGTAGTTTTCCTCTGCAGCGGGATCGTCTGATGTGAAGAGCTGGTGGAAGATCCTCGTCTCGTCCACTCTAACAGGTGAGTTTGAGGGAGCGTGCTCGGCGATCCATTGGATATAAGCCTTGGGTTTGGGAGTGCAAGCGTCACCGTAAGTGGCAATGACTTCGATAGGTTCACCCTTATCGTTAGTCTTGAACGACGTGCAGGTGATGGGGTGGGGTACCTGCAACAAGCCAACAGTTTTACCAGGTGCCAAACGGAAGTAGTCCTTGCTATCCTCCGTCCTGAAGTCGGATGCATCAATGTACACCGTGCGAGTGAAAGGCATCTTGTTCGTTCCCATCTCCGGTGCTTTGGGGTGTAGAGGCTTCTCCAGCTCCTGGAAGTGATCCTCAGGCAGATTCTGGATGGTAACCTTGAGCGGGTTGAGAACCATCATCAATCGTGGAGTCGAGAACTCAAGATACTGTCGAATCGCCTGATCGAATCGACTGATCTGAATCGTCGTCTTCGAGGTCGTAACACCCAAGGAGCTGATGAAAGACAGAATCGCACCAGGAGGGACACCCCTCCTCCTAAGAGCAATGAGAGTGAACATTCGCGGATCGTCCCAGTCCTCAATATACCCTTCCTTGACCAACTTGAGGATCTTACGCTTAGACATCACCGTACCCTGCAACGCAAGTCGGCCGTACTCGGACTGTCTGGGCTTGTACACTTCCAGCGCGTCGCACAGCCACTCGTACGACTCGCGCGACAAAATGAACTCTGTCGTGCAGAGCGAGTGACTGATGTTCTCAAAGCTATCGACCAAACAGTGGGTAAAGTCGTAAGTCGGGTAAATGCACCAGTCCTTACCCGTTCGGTGATGCGAGGCTTCAAGAACGCGGTAGGCGATAAGATCCCACATCTGAGGATTTCCGTTTTCGATATCTTGCTTCATACGTAAGGTCACTTTGCCGGGAGGATACTTGCCATTCTTCATATCCTCAAAGTCCTGCAATGACTCTTCGATGGGACGATCACGGAAACGCGAAGGCTTGCGGGGTCCACGTTCGGGCCCACCTCGCTGCTCCTTGATTTCCTCTGGTGTCGAGTGGTCTACATACGCCTTGCCACGTTTGATGAGCTCCACAGCAAGCTCGTAGAGCTGCTGAAAGTAATCACTGGAGTAGGTAACCTTGAAAGGCTCAAACCCGAGCCATCGAACCGTCTCGAGGATACTGGTGAAGTACTTTTCTTCTTCAGCCTCCGGGTTGGTATCATCATATCGAAGGTAGCAAAGACCGCGGTGGTAGCGAGCAAAGCCGAAGTTGACGGCGATCGCCTTGCTGTGTCCGATATGCAGAAAACCGTTGGGTTCTGGTGGGAAGCGAGTCATGACCATAGCTTTGGTAGCAGCGAGGTGCTGCTCCTTGAGCTCTGGCTTGATCTGAGGGTTCTCTCCAGGCTTGTGAAGGTTGGCAAGGAAGCCTTCTTTGAACATGGCATCTGGGTCGACAGGAGCGGCGTTGGCTGCTGCGTCCTTCTTAGCATCGGTGGAAGTGGAAGCAGCGGGCTTCTTCTCTTTGGGAGGTGGTGCCTTTTTGGGACCGTATGTTGCGAGGAGCACTGCATCGACCGAGTTCTTGACATCTACTGCGCTCGCCCAGCGCATCTCGGGTGTAGCCTTGAGGCCTGCCAAGATGGAACCGAGTTTGGGCCAGCCGTCGACGGGGTCAAGCTCGGATCTGTGGGATGCGACGTAGTCTTGTACTGCCTTGCGGCACTGTTCCGGAGTCACAACGACGCCTATTGTCGCCAAGAAGCAGACCCAAAAAAAACAAAACAAAGATGAAGGCGCAAAGTCAGCGAAAGTGTTATCGGTATGAAGAGTGACGGCGCGAGCGATTGACATCAGCCAAAGGATCAGAAAGAATAGAAACTGCATGCCATGGCAAGACAAAAAGTCTCGTTTCGGCTCTAATACATGCGTTTTGGTTTTTGTATCTCATCATTCGAGGTGGTTGCTGCTGCTGTGTCTCATTGTTGAGTTGATCTACTTACCAACACCACATTCCTTATCAAAAGCAGCTTTGTCTGGCTCACCATCGACGTTGGCGAAGAACTTGTATGCGGCGTTGACCTGGTCGGATGATGTGAGACTGCCATCGACGATGCGCGATACAACATAGTCTCTGCTGTTCTTGTCGGAAGCTTGGTTTGCTGTAGATGCTGAGATGATAAGTGCCGAAGCTTTTGGGTCGATGGTTTTCGAGGTGAGTTGGTTGTCGTTGATAACGCTCTCGAGGGCAGCAACGTGTTTGGGATTTGTGAGGGTCTCGACGGCTCTGTTACCGCTCAAGTTGAGCGACTGGAAGAGGGTGAGAAGCCTTGCATTTTCGGGGTCGTTGACGTCGACCTTGGGTGGCATTGTGGAAAGTCCTTGCTATGTAAAGGTGTGTGTGTGGTGAGATGGATATGATGCAGCTGAGCTGCTTTCCACAACAAGAAAGGGGAGGAAGGATGCTCCGGAAGGGGAAATGGGGATGCCTTGGTGGTTGGTGGTTGGTGTAGGAGATGGAGTTAAGGAAAGGTGGCGAATCGTATTGTGGTAGAAGGTCAAGTGGAGATAGTAAGGCTGAAGCTGCTGAACTGCTCAGCTGAGTTGCTACTTTTTGAAGAAATCTGAAGAAGTTCTGTCCCGATATCTGCTGATCGGGGCGAGTCTCAGCACAATGTCACTGCTGTTTTTAGACAGAAACATATATACTCAATTGACCAAGTGAACATGGTGAGAACCTAGTGTTCTCAGCTTGATATATATACAAAGGTGCAGCACATGCCAAAGGTGGGAGCACTCCTACTTCATCATCTATCTTGACAACGAGCAGGACTGTGTTGTACCCGATCTCTGTACAGATCTGCTCCTCCATGTCCCGATTAACGATATGTTTATGTCAGCATGTATCATCATATTGGATCGCTTCCCTCAGCACTTTTTTCTTGTCTCTCTTCCAGCTCATCCGATCTTTTTTGATGTGAGCGAAGGCTGCCAAGGAGAGACGTGTAAGCAAGTCCCGATGTAACACTTTCAGCTCGGCAGCTAACTTATTTCGCAGTCCTGTCTTGCCTGACCAGAATAGCACAGTATCACTGCCAGCTTTGGCGGTTGTTCAATGCGTCGTAATCAAATGAAGATAACAATTAATATACGGCGTTATCGGGGTCACGATCAGACTCCCTTTAGTACAGCCGTATGTTCTATGTAATGCTTAGTTTTCATGATGTGAGACTGAATGACAAACACATATATATACTCCATTCACTGCTCTGGTCCTATTCGAGGCAGGATGTGTCTCTTCATTTGTACTCCTGTGTTGCTATGATACCGGGTGCCACTGTGCTGTCACCATGACAACAATTACGTACCTCATTGTACTTCTCGCTTACGTGAGCCTCCCGTGTCTCAATGTCTCGGCCGTAACATGTGCATCTTACTTGAGATGCCGACGCATCTTCAACTCCCCCCTTCGGCGGGATCTCCAGTCCTATCATCCTAGCCAATCGTGAGGTGTTAAGACCCTGTAAGGGTTTTGTCAAGACATCTGCAACGTTGTTTGCCGTTCCGACATATTTGATTTCCACATCGCCCTCTTGTACGTGATCGCGAACGAAATGATACCGTGTGTCGATGTGCTTTAACTTCCAATGTTTGGCTGGATCTTTACTCACCTGTATGCACCCCTGGCTATCTGTGTATAGTACGGGCCGAACGTCCGTGGTCTCCAAATCCCGGAGCAAATATGAGAAGAATAAGGTTTCTCGTACCGCTTCGGAAGCGGCGACAAACTCTGCTTCGACTGCCGACAATGCCACACACTTCTGAACGTGTGATTTCCAACTCACTGGACACCCATATACATATGTTATCGACCCCGAGGTGCTTCTTCGTCCATTTGTGGGGTCGGATGCCCAGTTTGCATCGGTATACGTCGTTACCGGTGTATCCGAGTGCTCGTTTGTCTCCCCTCCTAGGTGCAACTGATATTCGTTCGTTTGGTTCAGGTACTTTACCACGTGGATGGCTGCCTTCCATGCACTGTCGATCGGGATCGACATATATCGCGCCAATACGCCGACGGCAAAGGCAATATCTGGTCGGGCTGTGTTGGAGACCCATAATAGTTGGCCGACCAATTCTTGATACTTCTTTGCTCGCTGAGGTTCACATCGCTCGCCTCCGGCAACGTTCGCTACACTCAGCATGGGTACCCAAGATTTCTCGTTTGCTCCTCCTAACCATTTGTTCACCATTTCCTTGATGTATGCCGTTAGACCCAGAGATATCCTCCTCCGTCTTCTATCACGTGTGATCTTGATACCCAGAAATTCTTTGACCCTTCCATTGTCTTGCGTCTCCCATTTGTCCATGATCTCTCGCTTTGCGCGATCTACTTCATCACGACTGGGTGATGTTATTAGCATGTCGTCCACGTATGCTGTGATGATCGTGATCTTGTCGCCTGTCCCTCTTGAGTATAGGCATGGTGCGCTCGGCATGCAATGGAATCCGATCGTCCGGAGATGTGAGTCTAACTCAATGTTCCATTCTCGGCCCGATTGTTTCAGACCGTACAGTCCTTTCACTACCTTCAACACTTTTCCGGGTGGCATTTCGATTCCTACTGGGGGCTTGAGGTATACATCATGGTGTATAGTGGAGTTCAGGTACGCTTGCTTTACGTCGATAGAATCCATTTCCCAATCTCGTACTGCTGCGACAGCGATCACCCCTCGAATGGATTGGATGGGTGCTACTGGTGCGAAGACCTCTGTATAGTCGATGCCCTCGCGTTGAGTGAAACCTCGTGCCACGAGCCGGGCTTTGAACTTTGTCGGCACGAGGTTTGCATCGGTTTTGATCTTGAGTACCCAACGTGTGTCGACAGTATTTGCACCCTTTGGGAGGTCGACTATCTCCCATGTGCCCATCGCCTCCAATCCATCCAGCTCCTTTCGCATGGCCTCCTCCCAGTGTTTTCTGTCCTTTCCACTCATTGCTTCATGTATGGTTGGGTCCAGGTTCTTTCTCCATTCCGGTCGCGTCGCTACGAGTCCATAGAATTCGCTGTCAATTTGAGTTTCGGCGATTGGTCCTTGTTCCATCACCTCCGCTGTTCCTTCGCTTAATCTTTCTTCCGAATCTGTCTCCATATCCATGTATTCTCGTAGTGGCTCTTCATCTGTTTCGTCGAATATATTTTCCTTATTGTATCCTAGATCTTCGAAATTTTCCTCTGTCATCATCATTGGGGGTGCCTTTGTGTCAACCGGTCGCCACTCTGTTCTGTCTGACCAGCACTTTGATTCCATGAATTTTGCTGAGTTGCTCCAGAAGATGTTCGGATTGTAGTCCGGGCTGTAGAAGAGCCAGCCCTTCCTTTCTAGACTGTACCCTAAGAAAATGGATGCGACGGCTCGCTGGTCCAGTTTCTTGTTGTCCCATTTAACTTTGGGTACGTTTATCCATGCCAGACAACCAAACACTCGTAGGAGCTTTAAAGCTCGTTCCGGCGACTTGCCAAACATCGCTTGATAAGGGAATTCATTATCAACGCTCGGAGTGAGGTTTATTTTGAACGCCGCAGCTCTGATCGCGTATGGCCAGAACTTCTTCGGTAGTCTCCTCTGCATTAGCAACGTTCTCATCTTCTCTCCAAGGGTCCTGTTCATTCTTTCTACCCGTCCATTTTGTTTGCTGTTGTACCCTACGGTGGTTTGCCACTCTATGCCCTTTTCTAACGACCATTCTAATGCATCATTGCTTTTCCATTCCGTTCCTTGATCGGATCGGATCGCTTTTAGCTTCCGATCCGTCTGTGTCTCCAGGAACGAAACAATCCTTTTGAGTTGCATAAAGGCATGACTCTTTCGTGTCAATGGCTGTGCATACACATACTTGCTATGATCGTCGACCAGCACCAACGTGCATGTGTACTCCGTCACGTGGGACGAGTCTATTATTAGATCGACGTGGATAAGATCCAGGGGCCCTACGGCTCTTTCGCCGCTACCTTTCCCCATCCGAGCGCTTGTGCTCTTGGATCGTACGCACTGCTCACACGTCAGAGCGGTGTTTGGATCCAATTTCATGGTATGCTTATCCTTTAACTTGGTTGTGATCGCCTTAGCTTTATCTCTTCCTGGGTGCCCGAGACGCTCATGCCATAGTTGTTGTTTTGAAACTTTCGGCTCATTCTCAATATGCTCGAACTCCTCATCAACACCTTCAAACAATGGTGCTGATGTGGCCATCGCGCTTTCTTGCCATGTGTCGCCTCGGAACTCCAGAAGTCCTCGCTCGCGATTCTTTGCAATCTTAAGTGTCATGCCGTTTGTTAGAAAAATTTGGCCGCCGGTTGTGTCCAATATCACTCGTGCTCCTTCATCCGTTAATGAATTTGTTGACAGAAGGTTAACATTAAGGTGCTTTACATACAATACATTTTGCAGAGAGATTTCCCCGTAATCTGTTGATATGCTTGCATCTCCTATAGCTGCCGCTTCCAAGACCTCGCTTCCGGCGGTAATTATCCGCTTTCGGCAAGTTCTCGGGTGGATGAGCATGCTGTAGTCGTTCACCATATGGTAACTCGCCCCCGAGTCCAAGATCCAATGAGCTGTTTCTTTTGTGTTCGAGGGGTCCTGCCATTTCATTGGGAGGGTGAGGGAGCACCACGCTTCCTATTTAGGTTCAGCGAGGGGGGAGTCCTTGGGAATGGTAACCAAGGCGTCGCATTGACTGATACCATGTCCCGGTCGCTTGCAGACCCAGCATCGGATTCGGCATGACTTGCTTGCGTTCCTCGAGCTCGCGTGGCTGTTGTCGGCTTCGGCTTCGGTCTCTCCGGCCCGTTCGTTTTGATCGTCGTTGCCGGCGGTTCTAGCACTGGCTTGTCGAGGGTCGATCCTTTGTGCGGGGACGCTCTCGACAGCGGTCTGCCGGATGCTTAGTGCGGTGGCAAGGGCGTTGAAATCGATTTGATGGACGGTGGCAACCGTCTCCTTGTACACCGGATGCCGGATCGTGCATTTCTGCAGAGCCGAGAACAATGTATCATCGGCGAATGGTTTGCCGAGGAGGCTGCTTTCGGTTTGTATGGACCGGATCTCTTGAATTAGCTTTCTGGCGTCCGAGTTAAACATCTTTGTATCGTTGAGTTGCGAGATAAGCGCAAGTCTGTGAGACGTCTTGGTGGCTTCATTCGTGAGACCGTTTTCGATCTTTCTCCACACTTGGTTGAAAGTAAGGTACTCCTTGATTACATCTAGAACGAGGTAATTTACATTGTGTTCTCCGGTAGTGTCGATTGTTCCACGCAGGGCGTTGATTAAAGCATCGTCGAGGGAGCGGCTCCATTTCGGGTGTTTCTTGTCGTACGTTCCCTCGAGATGTTTCATCGCATGAGGCACGGATCGGAGGAAAGATTTCACGTGGGCGCTCCAGCTATGATAGTTTCGTGACGTGAGCTTTGGCACGGGTTCGAGGAGCTTTGCTAGGGTGCGAAAGTTATATCGCTTGTCACCATCATCAAAGTCGGAGTCGGAATCGGTGTCTTCGTCGGCTTCATCATTGATGGCCTCCGGCTCGTTCTCGCTCGTGGCATTATTATCGACCCGAACCTGGGTGTTCTTGCCTTTTCTGCCTCCTTTGGTCCTCGTTTCGGTGTCTTCTACCATGGTTGTCGGCGAGTTTCGGTTAGCTCGGTGATAGCTTCTTCAGACTCTTAATCAAATGAAGATAACAATTAATATACGGCGTTATCGGGGTCACGATCAGACTCCCTTTAGTACAGCCGTATGTTCTATGTAATGCTTAGTTTTCATGATGTGAGACTGAATGACAAACACATATATATACTCCATTCACTGCTCTGGTCCTATTCGAGGCAGGATGTGTCTCTTCATTTGTACTCCTGTGTTGCTATGATACCGGGTGCCACTGTGCTGTCACCATGACAACAATTACGTACCTCATTGTACTTCTCGCTTACGTGAGCCTCCCGTGTCTCAATGTCTCGGCCGTAACATGTGCATCTTACTTGAGATGCCGACGCATCTTCAACTTAATCACGTGACTTTTTAAAAGTCACGTGGTGTCATCTGTGGTCAGAGATTCTGCCAAGTCATCGTGCAGCTGCAGATTGCTTCTCTCCAATCACCACCATTCTCGCAGCTGCTTGCTTAGCAGAATCTCAGCATCTCTTCAAGTGTTTCTCTAAGTTTTCCCCACACCTTGGGTGCCTCTCAGATAACACCACCATGATGACATCAAACAATCAAGCGGTCCCACCAGGCAATCTCTTCCTTGAAGCAACTCAGGAGCCACTTTACCCAACTGAGATGCAGCCACTGCAAGCACCAGCCACTCAACCATCTGAACACATCTTCACTCGCTGCCATAAGAGCCTCCCCATCAGTCAGTTCTTCTCTTGGAGCTGCCCCAACACTGTCACACTGTCCTGCACCATGTCACAGGGTCTGCGCAGAAGACCCTGGACAAACATGGGGTGTGTCATGCACCTAAAATATGAAATCAACTGCATCACAGGGTTCTGGTTGATTTCACTGAAATCAACTGGAACAAACTGTCATGGGCCTGGATGCTCAAGAAGCAGGAGGGTCACTGGTTCATATGGAAGGAGCACAGGTATCGAAGACCTAGTCAATACCAGTAGAGAGCATGGTCATAGTGCAGTCTCCATGGAGACCATGGACTCCTATGGACTCACATGCAAAGGAGAACTGAGCCACATGCAAGGAGGGCCAGGCACAGCCACGAGGAGGACCAAGCTCAAGGAGCAGGCACAGCCATGAAGAGGACCAAGCCCAGATGGTTACCACTCAGGGGCTCGAGAGACAAGAGTCATAGGACACTGGCAAGCAGGTCCTGAGGAAGAGGAGCAGTGTCAAAGGAGTCGACACCAGGTCATGAGGAGGAGGAGCAGTGTCGAAGGAGTTGACACCACTCAAGAGGCACAGGGGTGCCAAGCAGGAGAGGCCCCTGAGCAGTACTCGATGAAGAAGGTACTCTCTGGAGAGAGAGCAGGAGCAGCATCACTGGCAAAGCTGTGAAGAGGTATATAACCATGCTTTCTCATCATCATAGGCCAAGTGGATCCTCATCCACTCTACTCACCATACAACTAGTCAATACTTTAGAAACATAAGTACTCATTAGTTACAGTCAGCATAGCAGCAATCTATCAAGATTGCTCCTCATCATAGTGTGTGTGTTGTATCACCACTACCTGACATCCATAGGCACCCCATAGTAGGTTAGCAGTCTGGATATAGATAGAACCGAAGGCAGTAGTCCACTGCAGTCTGGGGGTCACTTCAAGCATCAAGTCAACACACTGGACACTTGTGTTGATGCCACCAACCTTATCACCAACACCATCAACCTCATTATCAGCAACACTCATCAACCTTATCACCAACATCATCAACCTCATCATCATCAACACTAACACCAGACCTTGGTGTCATCATAACCGAAGCATTGATATTGATCATGCCAAGCTACCCCTGAATGGAGTGTCCACAGAGGTCAGCCAAAACCTACAATAGTATATACGACAAATGCCACCTGCTGTCACTGCGCAACTTGATAGTCACTGATACTGAGACAATAGCTGTCACACAGTTTGATAGTCACCGAGTATCTCGACAGACCGACCTGGGTTTCAGGCGCGAGACCCCTGACAAAAACCCTCCTCAGAAGGAGCAGGAGAGGTGTCACAGGCAACATTGAGCAAACACATAAATACTCCCAATTCACCATAACATATGAGTGGATCCTTATCCACTCTACTCTTTATCTTACTATTCTTTACTTGACTCATATCATTGCAATAGCATAGCTTTGCAACAACATCTCAAATGTGTGTGTTGTATCACTGTTGGACATCAACTGTAGGCAGTGTTGCCCAACACCTGTGGTCCAGTTCATCACTGTAGGTGGTGTTGCTCAACATCTGTGGTCCAGTCAGTTACTGTAGGCAGTGCCTAAAACACCTGCAGTCCAGTACCTCCCATCATCTGTGTCAGCGGTCGCGCGCCTGAAACCTGAGATCAGTAGTAGTATCAGTACTATCACCGATTCTGTCGAGTTATGCGACAGCGCTAGTGGTATTACGATTCCTAGTGTAATATGCGACAGAACCATCTCTGCTGCTTTTCTCGTTGGAATCTGTAGTTGTATTGATGTTGTGACAGATTTCGACTGACCACCATGGACACTCTGTCCAGAGGTAGCTCGGCACGATCAAACTATGATACGACTCTAAGTGAACTTGATGTTGACACCAATGGTCTGGTGTGAGTATGGATAGATGACATCGACATGAGTGTCCAGTGTTTCGACTAATGCTTGAAGTGATCCCCAGACTGCAGTGGATGACTGCCTTTGGTTCTATTGTTATCCGGACTGCTGGTTTGCTAGAACCACCTTCAGATGTCAGGAAACGGTGATACAACACACACGCTTCAATGAGGAGCAATCTGTTGATTACTACTATGCTGACTGTGAACTAATGATACTTATTGCTTGTAGTAATACTAGTTTGTTTGATGAGTGTAGAGTGGATGAGGATCCACTCAACCACTTAGTGATGAGAAGGTATGGCTTTATACCTCTTCGCAGTGCCACCAGCGCCACTGCTCCAACTCTCTCTCCAGAGAGTACCTCCTTTGTTGAGTGCTATGCAGGAGTCCCTGTAACCCTACTCCTGTCCCTCTTGAGCTGCATGGCAACCTCCTTGACACAGCTCTTCTTCCTCATGAACTATATGCTGGTGTCCTTGACACAGTTCTCCTTCCTCCTAACTGGCGACTGTTCTCTTGACTCCTATCTTGTGAACCCCTGAGTGGTAACCAGCTGCAATCTACTGAGCTCGGTCCCTGTCTTGGCAGAGCTTGGTCCTCTGCACATGTGGATTCATCGTACAAACATCCTTGTCACTGATCTCTGTGGAATCTACTATACAACCTCTCCTACTACTGATCTCATCAGAATTCGTGATATCATCCTTGTTTGTACTGATCTCACTGAGATCTGTCATAGAGCCGATTCTACTGCAGATCTTGGCGACTTCTGCTGCAAATCCTACGATCTGCCCGATCCCCTGATTCCTGCGCTCCCTTCATATGAGCTAGCGGTTCTCCCTGCTTCCTGTGCACTCAGGCCCATGACAATCTGTAGGCAATAGTCTTATTGTGGTCAAGACAACATCAGGAGCATCAAGCACTATGAACACTTGTGCTGCAATAGGAGAGTTGTGTTTGATACCACTCTCATATCAATGTATTACAGATGTGCTGCATAGCCTCTGAACAGAGTGTTCAAGGCAGTCAGTCGAAACCTACCCGAACTCAACTGTCTGGTCTGGTTACTTTCAACCAAAACATACTGAATAGATCATACTCAATTGATCTCACCAAAATCAACCGGAAGCATCCAATTTGGTTTCAGGCATGCAACCACTTACAGGCACCACCTGGGCTGCACACCTTGGGACCTTGACCAAGGCCATTTAGGCAATGGGATGCTGGTCTTCCAACTGTTTCCACTGCTACATCAATTGTCTCCCTTCTGCATGTGGCAAGCACACTGACTGTCTCCTACTTCTTCTTGGCCTTTGCCTCCCCCTCTTGATCCTTCCCCAGTTTGGTGCATGACCCCTCAGCCTCTGGCTCCTGTCTCCTCCAGCAAAACCAGAGCTTGCTGTACAACCAGTTTGGCCCTTGCATGAGGGAGCAAGGCATTGATGCGACCTAACTTTGAGAGACTGGCCAACTTGGGCTGATGGCTTTGCTGAAATTGAAGCACCACCAAATGAGGGACTAGCAAAAGTGTCGGGCAGGCCAACTCACACTGGGCGCGTTGTCTCGCTTTGGAATGCAGTTTAGTGTGGTAAAAGGTTGAGCGTGCACGCACGGGCCCTTTGTTGTTTGCTTTCTTGAGGCGCGTTGGCGTTGCGGTTGCGGTTGCGGTTGCGGTTGCGGTTGCGGTTTGAAGGATTAAGAGAGAGTCTCGTCGCTGGCTGTGCCTGTTTTCGGTCGGCTTGGCGCGCCTCGCTTGTTTCTCTCTGTCGGCTGTTGCGTGTTTGGATGAGCAAGTTGGCAGACTGGTCTGGAGGCATGTTTCGTCTTGCTTTCACCTGGCACCTTTGCACCTCATCATCGCCACCACCAACATCATCGCCACCACCACCCCATCTTCTGCTCACCCTAATATTACCCGGCGCAACCATCCCGATAGCCGAGCTGGTCGGCATTGCCGTCTTATCTCCAAGCACAGCCCCGGCTTCATTCCCACGCACCACACCGATCCAGGTTGCCACATAAAAAGCTCAGTCCCCGCCATTTGCGCATCGCTTTGCCTAACTCCATCTCTCGATCTCACGACAGCATCCTTCTCTCGGAAGTGCCTCTTCTGCGTCTCACACACTCCACCACTCGCCAAGATGGGTTGCGGTGCTTCCAAAGTAGACAAAGAGGGTCGGGCTCGCAACGATAGCATCGAAGCACAGCTCAAAAAGGATCGTCTCGCCCAAAGGAATGAGGTCAAGATGCTCCTCCTCGGTGCTGGAGAATCAGGCAAATCCACCATCCTCAAACAGATGAAGCTCATCAACCACGGTTCCTACAGCTCAGAAGAGCGTGAATCCTACAAAGAGATCATCTTCTCCAACACTGTCCAGTCCATGCGTGTCATGCTGGATGCCATGGAGCGTCTCGACATCCCGCTCGCAGATGCTTCCAACGCACCGCGTGCAGAGATCATCCTCGGTCTTTCTCCCACTATCGAATCCGACGTTTTGCCGAGACAAGTGGCAGATGCCATTCATGGCTTGTGGGCTGATGCAGGTGTTCAAGCTTGTTTCGCTCGTAGTCGTGAATACCAGCTGAACGACTCTGCCAAGTATTACTTTGACTCGATCCAGCGTATCGCTCAACCCAACTACCTCCCTACAGACCAAGATGTCTTGCGATCCCGAGTCAAGACTACCGGCATCACAGAGACGCACTTCCAGATCGGCGAGTTGAACTACAAACTCTTTGATGTCGGAGGACAACGTTCAGAACGTAAAAAATGGATCCACTGCTTCGAAAACGTCACCGCCATCATCTTCCTCGTTGCCATCTCGGAATACGATCAACTGCTCTATGAGGATGAGAATGTCAACCGCATGCAAGAGGCTCTTACCCTTTTCGACAGTATTTGCAACTCGAGGTGGTTCGTAAAGACAAGCATAATCTTGTTCTTGAACAAGATCGATCTTTTCAAGCAAAAGTTGCCCATCTCACCTATGGCGGATTACTTTGGCGACTACACGGGCGGTGCCGACTACAATGCCGCTTGCGAATACATTGTCAACAGGTTTGTTACCTTGAACCAGAGCGATGCAAAGACCATCTATACGCATTTCACTTGTGCAACAGATACAACCCAGATCAAATTCGTCATGTCGGCAGTCAACGATATCATCATTCAGGTCAACCTTCGCGATTGTGGTTTGCTTTAAACCCAGACAGCAGAGACATGAGCGAGATTTGGCCTCCGACAATCTGCATACGGCTCTCTTGCATTCCATCATGCACTCATTTACTCTCATTTTCTCTCATTCGGAATCTTCCCTATCAGATCTCTACGCACCGTTTGGCTTTGGTTCACTGTTCATTCTTTTCAATCATCTTATTAGACTCTTGCGCAGGGCATCCCATACATCATACCATTTCTGTCATTTCTTCCATCCCTCGTTTCTTTGCGTGCTCTCGAGTTGCTGGTGTCTGACGTCAGACGACCGTGGCGACCGCTCGTGACGCCACAATGTGACAAGGACAGGTAGTATACCTCCAAAAAAAAGGCCATCGCAAGAAAGAAAACTCTTAGATCTTCTTCTCATCATCATGCGAAGCGATCCTACCAAACCTCTGATCACCAACATGTTCGATACTGTCCTCTTGATCATGCCCCTTGCCACCCCCACCCGTCTTCTCGCTTGGTGTAGCTGCAATGTGATCACCATCCTGCTCACCCGCTCCCGGAATGGTAGCGGGCAAAGCCTTCTGAAACTCGGCACCCTTAAACTCGCAACCAAAAGTAACGACGATCAGCAGATAGGCGCAAACGGCACCAAGCAGAATCGCCGAAACCTTAGCATAAGCTGGAATGAACTCCTTGATGCTTTCCGGTGCTCCCGGACGCCATTTAGGGTTAAGTTCTTTAAGGTTGTCACCACCGATAGCTTCGATTTGCGAGGAGGCCGAGGAAGCCGCGTTACCGAGCTGATAGACGAGCCCTGTGTAGGTCGCTCGAAAAGGAGGCGAGATTTCAAAGAGGTAGATGGGTACAACACCCCAAGCACCCTGAACACCGAACTGCAACAAGAAGGCACCAGCAGAAAGAGCGCCAAAGCTGTTGGGCAAGATCCAAGCAGGAATGAGCGCACCAGTGATAATCACGAAGAGGATAATGGTAAGACGTCGACCAAGGTACTGCGAAAGGTAGCCAGCGATCAAACCACCCGAGATAGCACCACAGTTGCTGATGATCGTAGCCTTGGACGACTGCTCGGCTGTCAACAACTTGGACTGCTGAAGCATAGTCGGGTAAAGATCCTGACTCGAGTGCGAGAGAAAGTTGAAACCGGTCATGAGGAGGATACCGTAAATGCATCTCAGCCAGTAAGTCTTGAGCATCTCCTTAAACTCGGCGATGAAGGCGTTTGCCTTAGAATGAGCCATCTGACCATCGGCATCTCGCTGAGCCTTCTGACGCAAGAAAAGCTCCGATTCGGGCAGAAGGAGACGAACAAGAGCCGCAAAGGCAGAAAGTCCAGCACCGAGGAAGAATAGGATTCGCCAGTTGTTGCTTCTCTCAACCCAAGTTAGGTTGACGGAAGCAGCCAAAAGGTATCCTACCGCATAACCTTGTTGGAGGATACCGGAGAAAAGTCCTCGAGGAGCCGCGGGCATGTCCTCCAAAGCTACGGCCGTTGCCAAACCCCAAATAGATCCCATCGAAAGTCCGAATAAACTGCGCACCGCAAGGAACTCTTTGTACGTCTTGATGAAGCCAGAGCCGAGAGAAAGAGCAGCGATGACGAGCAAGTTGATGACAAGAGGGTATTTTCGGCCATATCGATCGGAAATGATACTGCAATCGTAAGAAAGAATGTTAAGATGTAAGAGCCAAGGCGTCAGCTAGCTGTGCCGATCTGAATAGTACAGGAGGCAAGGAAGGAGGCAAGGAAGTAGGCAAGAAAGGAGTGGTCTACATACCCGAAGATAGCCGCACCGACGGATCGGAAGAGAAGGGTAAGAGTGATAGCGGTGGTAATGTCGTGAGCAGGTCTGTCGAACTGCTTCTCAAGATGGCTGACGGAGAGGGAGACAGCAAAAAAGTCCCATGCATCCACAGTCCATGCAAGCCAGCCGGAGAAGAACATGGCAGCCTGGAGAGGAGAAAGCATCATGGCCAGTTTGAAGGGGTTCAGGGGAATGTCATTTCGCTCCATCCTGCGCTGCTCCTTGGAGGGCATTTTGAAGAGTCCGTGAGTAGGGTCGTACATTGTGGCGGCGCTGCGATCCGAACGAGAGAGGAAGCTTGGTGGATGGCAGAAGGATTCGAGTATGCGTAGGTGATGGTGAAGAGGCGGTTGGGGCCAAGGATGGTGTGACTGAAGGCGAAGCAAGAGGTCTTTCTACTTGGACCTATGGGCAAATGTGTTGCTTTGGTATGATTCTTACATGGCCCATCTAGTGCGGAAGAGCGCAGAGAATGGGCCGCCGTCAGAGAGTCATGTGGATTGGGTCTTTCGTGTCCAACACTGATGCGGAGAGAAGCGATTGTGGCCAATCAAACCGAGTTTCGTGGGGTGATCCGCAGTCGCTTCTCCTGTCTTGATTCTGGGCAGTACAACAAGGGATAAGCGAGGTATACCAAGACCGACGGCGAGTGTCTGACTGGTGTGTGGGGGGGCCCATGACTTTGCATTGTCGCTGTAGGCGAAATTGACCGCTGTCATGCCACTCACTCGTGGCCTGTTGCACCACAACCCCTAAGTCGCACACACAGAAACACAGGAGGAACGTGCAAGAGCTGACCACCGAGTCAAGGTCACAGCTCTCCCCTGTTTCTGCGCAATCGACTGTCAGATGAGAGGAAGCCTGCAACCTTAGGCTCGATTCGAACCGCCGCGCCGCGGTATCTTGTTCTAGACTTCACTTTCCCTCCCGCCTGGGATAGATAGTAAATGGAGCCAACCCCATCCCCCCTGCCAAACAGCGCCACTACTTCGTCTGTCACCTTGCGGGCTCTCGATGAATGCGGAACCTTGTGAGCTGTTTGTGGTTGATAAGAAGTAGTGGCCTGGAAACTTTCAACTCGACTGAACCACTAGCGGTGGTCTGGTAGTGTTTTGGAACGGACACCATCCATTCTGCACTATAATCCTCGCTTCCCCACGCAATTGCAGCCACAACTGTGATGCTGTGATGCTGTGGCTGTCGAGGTACTTTCGGTCCTATTGTCCGACACCCTCTGTCCACCCACTCTCTCTCTCTCTCTCTCTCTCTCTCTCTTTGCGTGTGCTCAAGATGTTGGAGCTGCTCGGTTGCATGAACAAGTTGGGTAAGTGAGTCATGTTGGACTTCTCAGGTCTTCTCAGTGTGCAGACGGCGACCCTGAGCGAGCTTTTCATTGGTTCCTCGGTCAAGTATTCTCCGAACGCATCAGCATCGAATCTCCATCCATCTAGGCGACTTCAGTCACCTAGTTAGCCAAGAACCTCGCTTGACAACATGAGTGCACCATACTACATCCTTCATTAAATGAATAGACCAGAAATAGCAACCCAATGCAAAAAATATCAGAGCCAGGGAGAAGGACAAAAAGAAAAAGAAAAAGAGTCCTACGGGGATTGAACCCGCGACCTGCAGAATACCTTGAAAAGGAACTTCGAAAGAGGACCGAAGTCTGCCGCTCTACTGCTGAGCTAAAGACCCTTCTTCAGTTTCTGGACCGCACGTTGCATATATAAAATATTTTACATTACAGAAAATATTTCGCCGACGCTAATGTTGGAGCGAATAGCGTGAACGCTTGTCACTTGCGACACAGACTTGGATGGTAGAGGCAGTGGAAGGTTGTGGTATTAATCAAGAACGAACTGAGACTTTTGCTTTCATGCGTCTACCCTGTGGACGAAACAGAAACATGTTACCCTGTGGATGAGGTTGAAACATGACGGGGTAATGCAAGCATGCAGGGGTTAGAATCTTCTCCTCTGGCATCGGATAGCCAGTATGCCGATGCCTATCGCGATAATCGGCTTGATGCGAGCCGATACAGCCAAGTCTGAAAATTAACTCTCATTCTTGCCCACAAGGCAGCCGTATACTGACACACACACGCAGACAGTTCAACGCAACACATATGTATTGAGAGTCACGAACATGGACATATGAGATACATCCGAACTGTATCTGTACTTTTGTATCTGAAAACGACTTCTGACGATCGGCACCAGCTTTGGAAGGGCGTGAGCTTAGGCCTTAGCCTCACCGGCAGCAGCTTCACCATCAGCAGCCTCAATCGAAGGCACAGACTGAGCCTTGTTATCAGTTGGCAAAGGCTTGTTAGCCGGGAAAGCCAATACCTCCTTGATCGAGTTTGAGTCGGTCAAGAACATGACCAATCTGTCGATACCCAGACCCCAACCACCGGTAGGTGGCAGACCGTGCTCCAAGGCATCGATAAAGACATGGTCAATTCCCTGAGCCTCGTCATCACCCTGATCCTTCTGTCGGCTCTGTTCTTCAAAGTTGGCACGCTGAACCCATGGATCGTTCAACTCGGTGTATGCGTTGCAGATCTCCTTGGTGGCAACAAACACTTCGAATCGCTCGCAAAGACCCGGAATGTCACGATGACGTTTAGCCAAAGGCGACATGACCTGCGGGTGACCAACGATGAAGGAAGGGTTGATGCACTGAGTCTCGATGAACTCGCCGGTCATCTTGTCGATAAGTCGAGAGCAAGTGCGAGGTTCGGAGCAGTCGACGTTGTGTTTAGCAGCAAGGTCCGAGAGCCATTGGCGCGTCTCTTCGGTGTGAAGCTGGTCGGCGGGAGGGAAAGTAACGTTCATCTGCTTCTCGAGTTCTTTGATCATGTCGAATCGCTTCCAAGGAGTGGAGAAATCGATCTCGTACTCTCTTCCACCTTGCACATCTTTGCCATCAGGATGGTACTTGATCTTGTACGAACCGGTAACAGCCTTAACAAGACCGCTGATCATCGACTCGGTGATATCCATGAGATCGTACATGTCGGCGTAAGCCATGTAGAACTCGCAGATCGAAAACTCGGGGTTGTGAGTCTGATCGATCGATTCGTTCCTGAAGACACGTCCAATTTCGTAGACTCGATCCAAACCACCTACGACCAACTCCTTCAAGAAAAGCTCGGGAGCAATACGCATGAAGAGATCAAGCTTGAGATCGTTGTGATAAGTGACAAAAGGCTTGGCGGTAGCACCACCGGCGATCTGGTTCATCATCGGAGTCTCTACCTCCAAGAATCCAAGGTTGTCCAAGAAACGACGAACGTAGTTGATGATCTTGGCTCGCTTGACGAAAATATCACGAACGTGGTTGTTGACGATCAAATCGAGATATCGCTTACGATGACGTTGTTCGGTATCGGTGAATCCACCCTTCTCTCCCTGGGAAGCCTTGGGCAACATCTTCAAGTTGGGCGAAAGCAACTTGATGGAACGAGGGAAGATGGAAAGTTCACCTTTCTTAGTCTTACCCGGAACACCGGTAACACCAACAATGTCGCCACGACGAAGCAGGTCGTGGATAGCATGGAAATCACCATCGGTGTGGTCCTGAAGCTGAGCAGTGATCTGAACCTTGACACCTTCACCGTGCAAGTCGTAGAATCGCAACTTCTGACCAGCCGAACGCATGTTGTGCAAACGGCCAGCAATGCTAACCTCCTCATTGTCAAGATGCTGACCTGCCTCAAGCTTGCCTTCGTACTTGCCGATGAACTCGGAGAGAGAGATGGAAACGTGGAACTTGTGCGGGTAGGGGTCCGGGTTCTTGGTCTCGCGAAGGCCTGCGATGGTTCGGAATCGACGCTCGTAGTACTGGTTAGGGTTGAGATCTTCTTCGGAAGCAGCGGCAGACTTTGCAGCAGCGCTGGCCGCGGCCGGAGCAGGGGCTTGAGCTGCCTTGGTAGCCTTCTTAGCTTGCTTCTCTCGCTGCTTCATTCGTCGCTTGAGCTCGGACTTGGAGACCATCTCGCCGGTAACGTCATCCTTGACAAGGTTGGCAGTCTCACCAGCGGTGGCGGGCTGGTTGGTAGCGTCGGTGGAGGACATGTTGCGAAATGTGATGTAGTTGTTGGGGATGCGCTTCGAAGTTGGAAAAGTGAGTCGAGGTGGAGCTGCAGCTGCGATAAGGCAAGTCGAAGGCAAGGATCTGTAAACAAGAGTCAGAGATCGAATGAATGCCTTGATCATCCAAAGCTTCGACTTGTAGGGTCGATGTGTTGGTAGTGGGGAAAGTGACCAGATGCTTGTCTATCTGGCGATGATGGATGATGGATGATGGTGAAAGATGGTGAAAGATGATGGTGAAAGATGATGGTGAAAGATGGAGCGCTTTTTGCCAGGAAATGCAGCAAGAAAGCCCAAATTTGGCCAACTTTCGCTGCGGATTGGCAGATTTAAGATTTTCAAAATCGTTGCCACGTGACCTTGTAATCGAGCATTTCAATTTCTTAACGCAGGCAACCTCACAGGTTCGCACGTGTTTCTTTTGCTGCAAGAATTTGGCGCTCTAACAATCTCAATGTTTTGCCGATGTCACTGAGAATGGGTGAAGAAGATTAGTCCCGATAACTGGCGATCGGGGAGAGTCCGAGTACGATGTCACTACTACTTTAGGGCAGAACAATATATACTCGATTGACTCAATGAACATGAGGGGGTATCAAAGTTTTTGTGTTTTTAAAAATACGGGTTTTTTGAAAAGCACATTTTTGGAGGGAATTTGAACCCCCCCTTCGAATCCTGAATGCTGCCAGGCTGTCCAACAACTGATTCAACAATCCACAGTGAATGTGGCAGGTGTAAGCAGTCGCACGCCTGAAACCAGGTTGGGTGTTTCCAATTGATTTTGGTGAAATCAATTGAGTAAGATCTACTCAGTATGTTTTGATTGAAAGTAACCAGACTGCTTCATTCTGGTAGGTTTCGGCTGACTGCCTTGAACACTCCATTCAGAGGTTGCACAGCATGTCCATTACTTCCTGGGGTGAGAGTATTACACTCTCCTATACAGCACAAGTGTTTGTAGCACTGTTGCTAATGCTCTTCAATGTTGCCTGGACTGCAATATGCCTATCACCTACAGAGGACAGGATTTACTGGACTGCAGGTGTTAGACACCACCTACAATAACTGACTGGACTGCAGGTGTTGAGCAACACCACCTACAGTGATGAAACTGGACCACAGGTGTTGAGTGGAACACTGCCTACAGTTTTGATGTCTGACAGTGATACAACACACACATTCGAGATGTCGTTGCAAAGGCTACTTGCTATTGCAATGATATGTAAGAGTAAGTAAAGTAAAGAGTAGTAAGATAAAGAGTAGAGTGGATGAGGATCCACTTGTATGCTATGGTGGAGTAGTAGTATTTATGTGTATGGAGGGTGTCATCCATGGCACTGCTCCTGCTCCTTGTCAGAGGTTGTGCACCCAAAACCTGATATCTGTAATAGAGCCATGTCTATTATGAATCCTGTCAAGTTATGTGACAGTGCTTGTGGTATTATGGTTCTTGGTGAAATATGTAGTAGAGACATCTCTATCACTTTACTTGCTCAGAAATGCAGTAATGGTCTTGCTATTGCAGGTTTCGACTGACCACTGTGGACACTCCATCCAGAGGTAGCTCAGCACAATCAATAACTGATATGAACTGGTACTGACACCAAGGTCTGGTGTGAGAGATATGATTGGTGGCACCAACACGAGTGTCCAGTGTGTCAACTGTATGCTTGAAGTGATCCCCAGACTGCAGTGGATGACTGCCTTTGGTTCTATCATTATCCAGACTGCAGGTTTCTTTGAACTGCCTTTGGATGTCAGTGAGCAGTGATACAACACATGTGCTACAATGGATGCAATCTAATGGGATTGCAACTTGCTGACTGGATACTAATGTATACTTATGTGTAAGCTATAACTAGTAATGTATGGTGTAGAGTGGATGGAGATCCACTCATCCACCTATGATGAGAAGGTATGATTATATACATCTTTGCAGTGTTGCCTGCGATGCTGCTCTGGCTCTCTTCTCCAGAGAGTACCCTCTTCGTCGAGTACCATACAGGAGTCCCTGTAACAACACTTCTGTCTGTCAGCGGTCACATGCCTGAAACCTGAGATCGGTAGTAGTATTGATACTATTACCGATTCTGTCGAGTTATGCGACAATGCTAGTGGTATTTCGATTCTTAGTGAAATATGCAATAGAGCCATCTCTATCACTTTTCTCGTTCGAATCTGTAGTTGTAGTAATGCTATTGCAGATTTCGACTAACCACTGTAGACACTCCATCCAGAGGTAGCTCAGCACAATCAATAACTATATGACATTGGGTGAACTTGATGTTGACACCAAAGGTCTGGTGTGAGTATGATACTTGGTGGTGTCAACACAAGTGTCCAGTGTGTCGACTATTGCTTGAGGTGATCCCCAGACTGCAGTGGATGACTGCCTTTGGTTCTATCTAATCTGGACCACTGGTTTGCTATGAACTGCCTTCGGACATCAGTGAACAGTGATACAACACATGTGCTACAATGAGAGGCAATCTATTGGATTGCAACTATGCTGACTGAAACTAATGAGTACTTATGCTTCTGAAAGTAATACTAGTTATATGGTGTGTAGAGTGGATGGGGATCCACTTGACCATTTGTGACAAGAAGGTATGGTTATATACCTCTTCGCAGCATCGCCAGTGACACTGCTTCTGCTCTCTCTCTCCAGAGAGTACCCTCTTCATTGAGTACTGTACAGGAGTCTCCAATGAGACTCCTCCTCCTCATCGAGCCTTGTTGCTCCTGTCCTTCCTGAGCTGTGTCGACTCCATCAACACTGCTCCTCCTCCTCATGACCTGTTTGCTGGTGTCTGTCACACAGCTCTTCTTCCTTCAACTGGCAACATTTCTCCTATCCACTATCTCCTAAGCCCCTGAGTGGTAACCTGTCTGCATGTCGCTGAGCTCGGCCCCCATCTTGGCAAGGCTTGGTCCTCAGCCCAGTGGAGCTTGGTCCCCTTTGTATGTGAGCTTGGTCCATCCTGCATGTGAATCATTGTACAGACATCCTTGTCACTGATCTCTGCAGAATCTGTCACATGATTGTGCTTGCTGCAGATTCTGGCGGGATTTGTGATATCAATGATGCTCATGCTGATTTTGCTGAGATCTGTCATAGAGCTGATTCTACTGCCAATCTCAGTGAACTCTGCCACAAATCCTACAATCTGCCCAATCCCTTGATTCCTGCGCTGCCTTCATATGAACTTTGGTTCTTCCTTCTTTCTGCGCATCCAGGCCCATGACACTGTCCTCCTTGAGCTGTGTGTCGACCTCTTCAACACAGCTCTTCCTCCTCATGACCTATATGCCGGTGTCATCAACACAGCTCTCCTCCCTCCTAACCAGCGACTGTTCTCCTGCCTCTTGTCTTGTGAACCCCTGAGTGGTAACCAGCTGCATGCTTCTGGGCTTGGTCCCCATCTTGGCAGAGCTTGGTCCTCCTCGCACATGAGCTCATCGTATGATCATCCTTGTCACTGATCTCTATGGAATCTGCTATATGATTGTCTTGGGCCTGAATGCTCAGGAAGCAGGAGGGTCACTGGTTCATATGGAAGGAGCACAGGTATCGGAGATCTAGTCGATACCAGCAGAGAGCATGGTCGTAGTGCAGTCTCCATGGAGACCATGGACTCCTATGGACTCACATGCAAAGAAGGACTGGGTCCATATGCGAGGAGGGCCAGGCACAGCCACGAAGAGGACCAAGCTCAGGGAGCAGGCACAGCCATGAAGAGGACCAAGCTCAAGGAGCATGCAGATGGTTACCACTCAGGGGCTCAAGAGACAAGAGTCAAAGGAACCATCACCAGTCAAAGGAGAAGGAGCAGTGTATAGGGAACCGGCAAGCAGGTCCTGAGGAGGAGGAGCAGTGTCGAAGGAGTCGACACCACTCAAGAGGCACAAGGGTGCCAAGCAAGCAGGATAGCAAGGAGGAGGAGCAGTGTCAAAGGAGTCGATAGCTCAAGGAGGACAGGAGTGGTGCCAGAGGGGCCCCCTGTACAGTACTCGATGAAGAAGGTACTCTCTGGAGAGAGAGCAGGAGCAGCATCGCTGGCGATGCTGTGAAGAGGTATATAACCATGCTTTCTCATCATCAAAGGTCAAGTGGATCCTCATCCACTCTACAACCATCATAACTAGTTATCACTTCAGCATAAGTATATATTAGTTTCAGTCAGCATAGTAGCAATCTATCAAGGTTGCTCCTCATTGTAGTGCATGTGTTGTATCACCACTACCTGATGTCTGTAGGCAGCCCATAGCAGGTCAGTGGTCCGGAGATAGATAGAACCAAAGGCAGTAGTCCACTGCGGTCCAGGGATCACCTCAAGCATCAGTCAACACACTGGACACTTGTGTTGATGCCACCAACCTTATCACCAACTCCACCAACCTTATCACCAACACCATCAACCTCATCATCATCAACACTCACACCAGACCTTGGTGTCATCATAACCTATGCAGTGATATTGATTGTGCCGAGCTACCCCTGAATGGAGTGTCCACAGAGGTCAGTCGAAACCTACAATAGTATATGCAACAAATGCCACCCACTGTCATTGTGCAACTTGATAGTTGCCAAATGTCTAGCTTGTCAAGACCGTTACTGAGACAATAGCTGTTGCACAGTTTGATAGTTACTGAGTATCTTGACAGACCGACCTGGGTTTCAGGCGCGAGACCCCTGACAATGATCTCTTCTACTACTGAGCTCAGTGGAATTCGTGATACTATCCTTGCTTGTGCCGATCTCAGTGGGATCTGTCATAGAACCATTTCTATTACAGATCTCAATGAACTCTGCTGTAAATCCCACAATCTGCCCAATTCCCTGATTCCTGCACTCCCTTCATATGAGTTGATGGATCTTCTTACTTCTTGCGCACCCAGGCCCATGAAACTCCTCTTGGAGGAGTGTCCCCGTCCTCCTCCTACTCCTCCTCTCCTTGTGTGTTAATCTTCTCGACACTGCCTGTCCTCCTCATGGTACCATTGTTGGTCCTTTTAGCCCATCCCCCTCTCCTCCCAATCTGTGGCCATTCCCTTGGCCCTTATCTGATGGCTCTCCTTGACCTTGTGACCATCCATATTGTCCCACTCCTGTCCCTGCAGTCTACCTTGTGACTGGTTCTTATGTGATCAAGAGCATGTCCCCCCTGTGTGGTAACCTGCCACTTGCTCTTGAGCTTGGTCCTCTTCTTGGCTGAGCTCAGACCTTCTCTTCACATGTGAAACCTTTCCCACCATCCTGGCCTCCCCCTTGACCATGGAGGTCTTCCCTACCCAGCCTCCCTTTGTTTCCTTGTAGTCCAGTGGCTTGTTCTGTACTGATGGAAGCTTCTTGTGGTGTGTTTGGTGAAATCAACTGGATAGTTGTATTCTGATTGATTTCAGCAAAATCAACCAGACAAATGTGACACAGTCATTGTCAGGTGAAATCAACTGGAAACCCATGATCCAGTTGGTTTCCCAATTTTGTGCACAAAAGACTCCTCATACCTCATTTTGGATCTTCCTGCGCAGCCTCTGTGACAGCAGGATCACCAGCGCTACATTGATGCTGTGGAAGCCTTTGTAGCAGAAATGCTCTTGACTGAGCATTCCTGGCTTCCAGGCAAGAGGGATGTGTGTGCCATCCACCACAAGCCAGCCCTTACCCCACTCTTCAACCCCAGTTGTATTGCACACCCAGGCAGAAGCATGTTGTCTCTCTCCCTCCAAAGCAAACTGCATGACCTCATTGTTTAGCTCAAGGAGGCCAGCAACTGTGCAATTGGTGTATCCAACAATGCTCCCAACACTGCAGCTGCATTGCAAAGCAGCATCATGTTCACCACCTCCATTTCCAGAACAGCCTAGTCTGTACAGAGCCACCAAAAGGATCTCTTGCACTCTGTTGAGAGACATCACACCTGAGCTGCTGTAGTTCCACTGGAAAGCCTCTGTTTGCTGGAGTCAGATGGCGAGATTGTTGAATGCTTCAGGAGTGCAGCACTCTGTTGGCGTTTTGTTCCATCTCGGCAGGTATAGAGACCTCGAGAGTGTGAACAATGTCATTGAGAATTACTTGCTTGTTGCTGTAGTGCACCATGGCTGGAAGGAGGAATGAGGATGGAGAGGGAGCATGGAGAGGAAGGATGAAGAGGGAGGATGGCAACAAGAGTGATGCTGAAAGGTTGCAAAGTGTAGTGGTGGTAGTAACAGAAGAGGTGTGAGAGTGAAATTTTTTGTTTAAATGCTTTGGAGCTCAATACTTGACTGCACTGCACATCATTTTTATTCACCTTATACTTGCACTCTACAGAAAAACATTCAGATATGACTTTGCATTGAGACCAGATGATAGTACATGTAATGCTACAGGACAGGAACATTGAATGATGAGTCCATGTTGTTGTTGTTGCTGGTGTTCTGACAAGCATCCTGTTCACCACTGGCCTGAGAAGCAAGGAGGTGCACCATCTCTATCACCATGTCATGATCATGTGTGCAAATGCATTTATCACACTCTTTCTCCTCCCTCTTCTGCTGCTTGTGCATCTCCTTGTGTTTGGTATGCTCAGCCTCCAGCATTCTCTCATGTCTGGTGCATTCCTGTTCAAGCTGCAGGCAGATCTGAAGGGTATTGATGGACAAATGATAGAAAGCTTCAGCAAGTGTGTCATGCTTGTGATCAAGTGCACTTCGCTTGCGCTTGGTGCTGGGGGGTTTGGTGGAGTCCATCAAGTCGAAAATAGGAGGCAAGCCATGGCTGTGAATGCCATGATAATACAGCTCACTGCCAGAAAGATCCATGGGTATTTCAGCTGAGCCATAGGGGGGCATGCCAGCCTTGTCATTGCTGGTGAAGTTGAGACTGGGAGTCATGGTGAGTGTTGTGGGTTTGGCATAGGATCAACCATTCATCATCTCATGCATCTCTTCAAACCAAGTGTACTTTGTTGACAGGGCAAGGCGAGTGTCAGCGGTTGCGTGCCTGAAACCTGAGATCGGTAGTAGTATCGATACTATTACCGATTCTGTCAAGTTATGTGACAGCACTTGTGGTATTGTGATTCCTGGCGAGATATGTAGTAGAGCTGTCACTATTACTTTTCTTGCTTGAATCTGTAGTTGTATGAATGCTATTGCAGATTTTGACTGACCACTGTTGGACACTCTGTCCAGAGGTAGCTTGGCACAATCAATAACAATGTGAACTTGTACTGACACCAAGGTCTGGTGTGAGAGTGATTGTTGGTGGTGCCAACATGAGTGTCCAGTGTGTTGACTGTTGCTTGAGGTGATCCCCAGACCACAGTGGATGACTGCCTTCAGTTCTATCTAATCTGGACTGCTGGTTTGCTATGAACTGCCTTTGGACATCAGTGAGCAGTGATACAACACACATGCTACAATGAAGAGCAATCTATTGATTACAACTATGCTGACTGAAAACTAATGTACTTATGCTTCTGAAGTAATACTAGTTTATATGGTGTGTAGAGTGGATGGGGATCCACTTGACCATTTGTGACAAGAAGGTATGATTATATATCTCTTCACAGTGTTGCCAGTGACACTGCTCCTGCTCTCTCTCTCTCCAGAGAGTACCCTCTTCGTTGAGTACTGTACAGGGATCTCCAAGGAGACTCCTCCTCCACATCGAGCCTTGTCACTCCTGTCTTTCCTGAGCTGTGTCGACTTCATTGACACTGCTCCTCCTCTTCATGTCCTTCTCACTGGTGTCCTTTACACAGCTCTCCTTCCTTTGACCAGCAATGGTTCTCCTTTACTCCTGTCCTGTGGGTCCCTGAGTGGTAACCAACCACATGTCACTGAGCTCAGTCCCCATCTTGGCAAAACTTGGTCCTCAGCCCAGCAGAGCTTGGTCCTCCTTGCATGTGAATCATCATACAGACATCCTTACTACTGATCTCCATGGAATCTGCCACATGATCTTGCTTGCTGCAGATTCTGGTGGAATTTGTGATATTGATGATGCCCATGCCAATTTCGCTGTGATCTGTCATAGAGCTGATTATACTGCTGATCTTGGTGAGCTCTGCTGCAAATCCTACATTCCACCTGATCCCTTGATTCCTGCACTGCCTTCATATGAACTTCGGTTCTTCCTTCTTCTCTGCGCATCCAGGCCCATGACAGCGAGATGCATAGGACTGTTTGAAAGTACAGCCAGATACTGAATCAGCATTCAAGCATACCATTGCAAGCAAGGAAGATCACAAAGACTTACCAGGTTGGATGCATCCATGTCCTCCAGCAGTGTACCAGCTCCAGTGAGTGAAAGCTTCTTCTTCTCCTTGTAGTATGTCTCTTGCACCCACCTCAGCTTGGCCTTGATGCAATTGGGCTCAACAGGTGCACTTGGGAAAATCAACTTGAAGATCTCCCAAAAAATGGGATGTTTGCAAAGTTTGTTGCCTGGATTGCTCTCAATCAATACTCAAGATGGCAGCAGAGCATGCTGGTAGGATTCACTGTCATAGATGATTGTGACAAGGCAGAGGACATCAGCACTTGGCCAAGTGAAGTTCTTCTTGCCTGTGGCAGATCCAGAGACTCAATTTGGACAGGAAGTGTAAATGTCAGGGGCACTTGTAGAACCAGATTGAGATGGCACAGGAATGTTTCTGGTCTGTGTTGCAGAGCTTGTAGGTGTAGCAGACTGCCAGAACAACTGTGCAGAAATGTCAAGAGAATCATCAGTGGTGGTGGTCATGTTGAAAGAGTGCAAGGAAGGAGAGAGCATGCAAAGAGTGACGAAAGTGAGAAGAGGAGAGAAGTGTTGTCAAGTGAACTCAGTTTTACATTTTTGAAAATGCACAAAAAGCTGTGTTTTCAAAAATGCGGTTTTGTTTTTCGTTTGGCGCAGCTTATGTAAGCTTTTGCGTTTTTCAAAAAACCAGGGTTTTTAAAAACGCAAAAACTCTGATACCCCCTATGGTGAGAACCTAGTGTTCTCAGCTTGATATATATACATCTATGAGGTATGTGCCGAATGTGGGAGTACCCTACTTCATCATCCAGCTTGACAACGAGCGGGGCTGTGTTGCACCCGATCTCTGTACGGATCTGCTCCTTCAGATGCCGATTAACGATATGTTTATGTCAGCACGTATCATCATATTGGATCGCTTCCTTCGGCAATCTGTAGTGTACAGATTGCTAGTGTTGGACAATGCCTTGTACGATGGCGCACATGCGTCGGTCAAGCAGAAGAGTCGCCAATTGGGTCCCAACTATGAAGAGAAGCAAGGATGAAATGTCAGCATTGAACTCACAAGGACACGTTACGCCAAGGATGGCGGTTGAGCACTTACTCGGTGACCAGGTATTGGTCAAGGCTGAGTAGCTTGTCCATGTCTTGATCGTCCAGCTCGAAGCCATAAACGTCGGCGTTCTCGATGATACGTTGTTTGGAAACCGATTTGGGGATCTGCCAGGACGAAGGGATGCGGTCAGTACCAAGCTCTGTGACCACAAGGAGTTGTCGAAACACCTACTGTGATATATGCTCGTTGCAAAGAGAAGCGGCTGTTGTTTCAAGGCAGGACGCTAAGGATTTATCAGTCAAGACCGACAAGCCTTGGAATCACAGGCAAATGTAACACTCACATGAGAACCTGAGCCGAGGTGACGGAATGCTTCTTGGCAAGCTCCATGATGGCAGGATGATGGAAGCGTTCAGCCCTCACCAATGGGCCCCAACACTGTGCAACCAGAGATAAGACGTTCAGGTATCAGCACTAACCCCCCAGCATGCTACGAAAGTCGAAACCTTACTTACCTCAAGAAGGATTCCCTCCGACTCACAGTACTCAACCAGCTCCTTCCTCGCCATGAACGGATGGAGATCGCACTGATTCACCGTCGGTCTATGTTTCGGCTTTGATTCGAGCAACTCCCTGATATGTCTCTCACCGTAGTTGCTCACCGCCACACTCTTGATGAGCCCCTTATCTTTCGCTTCTTCGATAGCCTTCCAACACTGCCACCTCCTTTTCTTCCCTCCGTATGGACTGTGGATGAGGTACAAATCGATGTATCCCAACCCACATTTCTTGAGCGATGCTTCAATGCTGCGTTTCGCCGACTCGTAGCCGTTGTTCGATTGCAGCTTGGAACAGTAGAAGATGTCGGATCGATCGATGGGGCATCCTGGACGAGAGAGGAACTGAGTGATGGATGAACCGACACTTGCTTCGTTGTAGTACCATTCCGCACTGCCAAAGCAAGCAAAGATAAGGACCCGAATCAAGCTTAAGCCGAGAAAGAGGGATGGTGAACAGCTTACCAGTCAAAATGACGATACCCAGCCTCCAAAGCCCATGTGACAGCTGGAGAAGCTTCTTGATCAGACATCTCGTAAACGCCTAGTCCGAGGCGCGGGATGAGGTTGCCATCCGATAGCTTGGCTTTGGAGCTTAGACTCAGCTTGCCGGTGAATGCCATTGTCTTTGCTGTCACTCTGTAGAGTTGCGATGGCGACTGATGAAGGTCAGCAAGGTAGAAGCTGAGGACGTTTTGGCCTGCACTTCCATCAACTCCAAGCCCAACCTCTGTGCATTGCGATTTTCGCCGATGACGCGGATATCAGTCACCAACCCCTCTCTCTCTCTCTGTTGCGGCACAATTGAACGACGTCGAGCACTGTCAGACAGCGGTGGCATTACATGCGCAGGCTACATGAACGTTGTAAGGGAGAGTAATCAAGTTGGATTGCGGGAAGGAGGATGTAGAGGCAAGCTAGTATAAGTACTAGCTGCCGAAGGAAGCGAACCGACATGATGATGCATGCTGACATCAACGCAATCGGCGATTAGATGGAACAGATCTGTCTGGAGATCGGGTGCAACACAGCCCGCATGAAGGAGGATATTCGCACATTCGGCAGGCACCTCCTAGATGTATATATATCAAGCTGAGCACACTAGGTCCTCACCACGTTCACTTTAGTCAATCGAGTATACATCTTTCTGGCCTAAAGTAGTAGTGACATCGTGCTCGGACTCTCCCCGATCGCCAGTATCGGGAGCAAAACTCCTTCACTTTTCTTACTAGCTTCCGTACAAAGCAACGATAGGAAATCCAACTCTCTCTCGTGCGGCATGTTATTCGCACGAGAAGGTGCCCAGGCGTGAGAGGTTGTCGATACGCGCGCCCATTTCACTTTGAATGAATGGAAAGCGCGTATCGCGAGAAAAAGTGCCGAAGCAGCGAAACGCAAAACGCGAAACGCAAAACGCGCTCACACTATTGCTCGGCTATTTATCCATCCTCACTCTTAGACTTGGTATTGCTTTGTTTTTGACCTTTCCTTGCAACTCTCACCATCTCGACTTGTATCATCCAGCCTCTTCATCCCGCCTCTTCATCCCGCCTCTTCATCCCGCCCATCAACACACACACACTTGCACATCGCAACTTCGACCAAGTACTACCATCGTCGCATACCTCAGCAGCATTGCCCTCCGCCTACGATGGCCACCCGTACCCTCGCACGAGAAGCCGCAGCGGCCAAAATCAAATCTCTCCCCGACACCACCATCTCCAAATACCGCTCCTCCCCATCCTCTAAACGCACCCGAGATGAATCCCTGCTCATCACCGCAGCTCGCATGCTAGCCACATTCGACAATGCCAAGAACGCCATCTTTTTCCTCGTTCTATACCGCTATTCCACCCGACTTCTCCGCCATCTTAAAGTCTATGGTCTCTCAGAATCACTCTACCAACTCTACCGATCCATCTCCTGGCGTGCTTTCTCTCTCCTGCTTAAAACCCCCGCTGCGAAGCGCAAAGTAAAGAAAGAGCTAGACACGGCAATGGCCGAAGTTGAAGCTAAAATCGTCCCTCGACCCTCCCACCTCCAAGTTCACCGCGATCTACCGACGTTGGGGAAGCAAGGCGATTGGATCCGCTCCGAGCTTTCCAAACTAGCCACAATGGAAGCTGGAGTAGATGCAAAGATCGTAGAGGCGGACTGGCAGGATAGGGATGGACAAGTGGTTTGGAAAGGTGGCAAAGTTTCCGGTGCTGTTTACCACGGTGGCGACCATCTTTCGGAGCTCTTGGCCGAATCTATGAAAACGTTTTTAGTATCAAACCCACTCCACCCTGATGTGTTCCCAGGGGTGAGGAAGATGGAAGCAGAAATAGTCTCCATGGTTCTCCGAATGTACAATGCCCCCGCAGACGCAGTGGGAGCCACCTCGTCAGGTGGAACAGAATCCATCCTCCTCTCCTGCCTAGCTATGCGAGAATGGGGTCGAGCTGTCAAAGGAATCACCGAACCAGAACTTATCGTCTCTGTCTCCGCCCACGCAGCATTCGACAAAGCGGCCAGCTACTTTGGTATTAAAATCCACCATATCCCCGTTGACCCTATCACTCGTAAAGTTCAAGTTGGTCGTGTTGGACGTGCTATCAACTCTAACACTGTCGCTCTTGTCGGTTCCGCACCCAACTTCCCAGATGGAATCATCGACGATATTCCACATCTTGGAAAGTTGGCCAAGAGACATAACATCTTACTCCACGTCGATTGCTGTCTCGGCTCTTTCCTAGTCCCCTTCCTGGAGAAAGCAGGCTTTGATTCGGAACCGTTCGACTTTAGAGTTGAAGGAGTCACCTCCATCTCCTGCGACACGCACAAATACGGCTTCGGACCCAAAGGCCTTTCCACCATCCTCTACCGCTCTCCTGAACTGCGCCGGTTGCAGTACTACATTAAAACCGATTGGCCAGGAGGAGTATATGCCACTCCCACCCTCTCCGGTTCCAGACCGGGCAGTATTATTGCTGGAACATGGACAGCTATGCTTCACCTTGGTTCTTCCGGTTACACGCAATCTTGTCGTGAGATTGTTGGCACAACGCGAGAAACGATTGCGAGGATTGAAAGAGAACTTCCAGAACTCTTTGTACTGGGAAAACCAAAGGTTAGCGTAATCGCTTTTGCATCCGCCGCCAGCAATGTAAGCATTTACGACGTCGGCGATCACATGAGCAAAAAAGGTTGGCATATCAACGGTCTCGCAGGCGACATCCCTGCTATTCACATCGCTGTGACGAGATTGACAATTCCAGTTGCAGGCGAGTTCGTGGAGGATTTGAAAGAAGCCGTCAAGGTAGCTACGAGCAACGTCTCGGCTAAGAAAGGTTCAATGGCAACGCTCTACGGCTTAGGTAGCGGAGTTAGTGCTACTGCAATCCTTGCCCAATTGGCTAGTAGGTTCATTGACACTCTCTACCTCATCTAGTCTTGTTGCTACTGTGTATGAAATTCTACTGGTCATCTATCGCATTGCCACTATTCAAAAGCATCTACCATCATATCATCCACCTTCCTTTCCAACCCAGACTCGATCCTCGTGAGATCTTGAGCTCTGCTTGAACATCAAGTCCCAAGCTGCATCATCACAAGTGTCGTTCCATCAAGCAATGCGACACTTGAAATCAACCAGTCTGCAGTGCCAAAACAGTGCTTTTGCTCACCAGTCATGACCTCAGCCCATCCCACAGAAGATCTTCAAACGAGGTCGAGAACAAGTTGCAAACACTTTCGTTTTGATTGCTGATAACATTACAGAATGATAAGAAATCACACTCCCGATAACAATAAATCGTATGCTACTTTTCGTTCGCATCGCCATTCAACGGTGGCACATCCGCATCCTCGCCCTCTCCTTCCGCACTTGCCACCAAACCACTGCCATTCACCTCGCCCTTTTCTACCTCGACCGCCTCCAACCTCGCCTTCAACGCAACCACCTCCTCCACCAACTCCTCCTTCTCCTTCCTCAACCCATCCCTTTCACCCATCGCCCCCTCCATTTGCCTCTTAACCTCGCTCAACCCTTCCTCTCCCTGCCTCGCCGCCCTCCCTTTCTCCCCCTTCAACTCCCCCACTCTCCCCACCAACCCCTGCACTTCGACCCTGAACCTCTCATTCTCCCTCTCCAACACCTCACACCTTGCCTCAATCTCGCTTAGCATCCCCTCGGTTGCTTCCACCAAATAACTCATCTCATCCCACCTATTCAATACTCTCTCCATCATCCCCCTCTGCTTTTCATACTTCAACACATCTGCATCCCAATACTCCAGACACTTTGTCAACTTTTCAACCTTGCCCTCCAACTCGCTTAACTTGGCTAGTCTCGGTTGATCTGCTTCCATTTTGGTTTTGAATTCAAACAGTTGTGCTCCACTCTCCTCCAATTGCCGCGTCAATGCTTGGATGTGAGCTGAATCTTCTTCTGCTTGAGCTTTGAGTTGACGCGCTTCGGTGGTCCATGCTTTTCGTTCCTCACGGTAGGCTTTGAGTTTGTTGTTGAGATCAGCTTCCCATTGGACATGGCGGGATTTGGTGGATGCTGCTTCAGCACGACTCCTCTCCAATTCGGCGCGAAGGGTGGTGTTGGTAGTACGAAGAGTTCGGACTGTGTGATAGAGGTTTTGCCGTTCAGCTTCGAGCGCTGTATCCGTGACCTTTTCACGATGAAGACGACCGATATGTCGAAGATGCTGCTCTTTCAGGTAGAGCTCGAAATTGAGCTCGTTGCGTAGAAGCAAGTTTTCGCGCTGGAGGAAGGATATAATGGATGCATCACTGCCCATTCCGCTCATATTGCCAACAGCAGCAGCGGCAGTGAAGGGCAACGAGCTAGTGGTGATCGTCGTCGAGTCGTGAGATGGTAGGGGAAGGAGCTGCTTCTCACTTGTCGCTTGCTGTGGTGTGAGAGGGCCACTCGGCAAGTGACTCGATGCCAAGGGATGCCTTGCTGCCAATGTAGGCGAAGTAGGAGTTGCTGGACTGAGCGAGTTGTTGTTCGAGTGCAACGACGACAGCGATCCAGACCGAGACCTGACTCGAGCAAGATGAGCATGCGTTGCTTGAGAAGAAACAGCAACATGTGCAGCACTTGAACTTCCCGTCGCAGTGACGATAGCAGGCGTCGCAGCAGCCGTAACACTAGCTGCAGGCAACAATCTCGGAAGGGTGCCACTTGCCGTCATGCCACCATTCCCGCCACCTCCAGCAGCTGAAGCTCGACGCTGCGCCACAGCAGCAGTAGGAGGCACAGCAGGCGACTGTTCATCCAATCGCTGAGCAGCAGCTGTCATGGGCTGCGTCGCCATACCAAAGCCAAGAGCAGTAGGCGCGTTCATACTAGCAGCCTCTGCAGCAGCACTAGTCGACATCAACGGCGCACCTGAACGCAGCGAGGCGTATGTCAGCAAGATATCATCAGGATTAACTGAATGCGGCACCTTCTGGTAATTCCGATGAGCCGAACCACTGGGCGAAGAAGGATGCAACAGAGCTGCAGCACTGCGTTGTCGACCCATATCGAATGAACCGATCCTAGCCTCGCTTGAAAAGATGGATGCATTGTCCTCGTCCGGCGCATCGTGCTCCAGCGAGCCGGATCGTTGTCGTTCCGCCTGGACAATGTGGGAGGAATTGACATCGTGCCACTTGCCGAGAAAAAGACCAAGACATTCGGCATTGATATCAGCCGAGTCATGGTCGAGCCATCTCTGCTTGTCGGTCAACTCGGTCTCGGCATCCATGGTGATGATCGAGGGATGAAGGGTGTGACGACGCAAGATCGGACTGGAGCGGCTCTGAACCGCAACCTCGTCCATCATATCCTCCCATGGCCCTTCAAAGGGACTGTCAAACGATGCTTTGCGCAGATAGTCCATGGGTGAGCGAAGGAAGCGGATAATGTTGCACGGGAACAAACCATAGAGGAAGGTAAAGAGATGCTCGGCATTGGGCGGCGTCGACATGGTCGTATCAAACGTCGACTCGAGACGGTTCCATCGCAACAAAGGCTTGATGTTGAGTCGCTTGCCGAGACGGTCGATCTCGGTCAACTCTTCGTCCCTCTCTCGTCGCATTTCCTCCAACTCGGGATGATCGCCGACGCGGCTTTCCCAGCCATGACCAAGCCGTCTCCAGTCGACGATACGTGCAAAGATGCTGAGCAAGGTCGGCAAGCCACCTGCACCTCCATTGGCGATCCAATTAGGAATGTGTGGGATAAGCATGATCAAGGCTGTGACGCCGAGCGAGACACAAGTGGTCGAAGTATCGAGCTGAAGCGAGAGGATGAGCATGCGTGGCAGAGCTGTGGATGTGATGTGGTATGCGTGAATCGGGTAGAGACGCAAGAAGGTCGAAAGCAGGAAGAGGAGCGGAACACGAGCGGTAGGCTCGCCGAACGATTCGGCAACGTGGTGGAAGAACTCTTTCGGCTTTTCATTGCTGTAGACAAGCAAGATCGACTCGAGATTGCCTTTCCAAACCAGAGCAGCAGGGTCTCGCAAGAGATGGCTACTGTGACTCGGATCTCGAGCTACTCCATGATCAGCTCCGCCAAGGCCGCCACTGATCGAGCCGGACGCACTACCAACCACACTACCAGGGTTGGTGGTCGAGGCTAGCTTGATTGCATCAGCACCGCTGCCTCTCCTCTGCTCGCGTTGACTTGCTTCGTCCGACCAGATCTGCTGCGACTCTTGGGCAGCTTCGGCAAGGTAGAGGTCGAGGATACGCTGAGTGAATCGACAAAAAGTGTCCTGCCGTGAGCCGAGAGAGGCAGATCGACTGCCAGGGCCGGATGCAGTAGTGACGGAAGTGCTTCGTTGTTGAGGCTGACGAGAAGGACAAGAGGGGATGGGTGCAGCGGCCGATATTGGATAGGGCACAGCACGAGCTCGTCGTGGACTGGTGCAAGTTGCAGCTGGCGACTCTACTGCATCGATGGGAGCTGAAGCTGGTGCTGGCCAGACGGGAGTGGGTGCAGGCTCATCCTCGTAGGCTGTGCTGGGAGCGGCTACCATGGCACGGACAACCAGTTGACGGGCACGATTGGCGGTGATGTTCTGAACAGAGGCATTCTTGAGCAAAGGTCGCAACACCCAATCCCACCATTGCATGACAATCGTAGTGGGGCCGAGCAAAGGCATGAGCACAAAGAGGACGTCGACGATAGCTGGCAACTTGTCTTTGAAGCTGGTCTCGAGCTCGTGCTCATTGTGGAGCATGTTTTGGATAGCATCGTCGATACGAATCGAGATCTGCGATTTGATCTGTGCGGTGGGTGAAGGACCTGCTGCGACTGGATGGTTGGCTTCATCGGCTTGAGCTGCCGTTTGGAGGGAGCGAGCGTGTTGCTCGACAGAAGCCTCGATTGTGGAGAGGATGGAGTGTCGTTTGGCTTGGTCGTCCGCCAAGAGCGCGGATTTGACCTTTTGAATGGTCTCCTTGAGCCAAGACTGGATGGCTCGTGGAAGGACGACGGAGGTTTGGTGGGAGAAAGAAGGGGGCGGCATGATTCGAATGCACTGCTTTCACCTGAATGCGAGGCCAAGCGGCCGTTGATGCTTAGGATCAGGCTGGAAGGCAGCTAGATTGTGCGGGTGCTTAAGCTGGCCTGCTGGATAGGATTTGCGATTGGGACAAATGTAGGGACAAGTCAAGGAAAGCCAAGATGAGCGCTGGAAGGGAAAAGAAGCTGGCTGGTGTCTTGATAGTTGGAGTATCGGCAACCCTGACCAAAGACGGCTGACATTGAGAAAGAGATGGATGGTCAACAAGAGGGGCGATGGGGTAAGAATCAACTACGTGTTGTAAGGATGCCTTGTTGGTGTGGCAGGGTGTATGCGTGGAAAGTGTGTGAAACGCTCGTCGTTGGCAGCAAGGGATGCTTAGAGGGAGGCCATTGGAAGTCTTGGGTGTGGCTATGAGATTGGGACAAGTATATGCCTTGAACGCTGTTGAGGGCTGAGCAGCTCGTTGCTTCTGATGATGGTGTTCAGAAAGTAAGAAGAGCGAAAGAGAAGCTGAGCGAAAGAGAAGCTGAGCGGCAATCGAATGGATGCTTTCCAGGGTGGCTCGTGCGTTGGTGTCGGATGGACCGACTTTGGCTTAGTGAGAAGCAGAGGCTATGTGATGTGATTCAGGAGAGTAGCTTTGCCTCAGGGTGGAGAAGAGAGTGACACAGTGCCACTCGACGCCTACACGAGCGAGCGAGCGAGAAGCAATCGGCAAAAAAAGAGAGAGTAGTGTGTGTGTGCGTGCGTGTGCGAGAATTTCCACCAGCCCCTTTTTCCCTCCAATTTTGCCGACGGAGCTGAGCTGACTCGGACACTGACGAGATGCAGTAAGCAGCAGCCAAGCCAGAGCGAAAGCCAAAGCCAAAGAAAGCCACCTCGCCGCCTCTCTCTATCAGCCGTTCCCACGCACACACGCTTGTTCCCACGCACACACACACACCGTCGGAAGCTCGCCGAGGGCAGGATCGGCTCTTGCAATTTCCTCCTCTCCTCCTGCTTGAAGGGATATAGCCTCTCGCTTTTCAGCTCAAGTCCAGCGTCGGGTGGGAGGGAATCGGAGAGTCCGTCTACGAACGGCAACAAGCTTGTGATACGACAGAAGGGACAATAGAGACAGCTGACAGGTCCCACCGAGTCAGCCTTCTCAGTCTCAGCATCGGTTGTGCCTTTCACTCTCGTGATAGGAGCACAGGAGCACAGGAGCACAGGAGCACAGGAGCACAGGAGCACAGGAGCACAGGAGCACAGGAGCTTGAGCAATCATGTCCCGTCTGAACTCAATCGCACGAGAAACAGACGAACAAAACCAAGTGTCCCGACCGGCCGTAACAGAAGGCTGTACAGGGAGGACAATTTAATCGACGAACCGGCGATGATGGTAGACGCGCACGCCATCATGTCTGATCACGTGATGCAGTTTCCTATCATTCGTGCCTTCCTATGTGATAGGGTTTGGTCCCGATAACTGGCGATCGGGTGGAGTCTAAGTACGATGTCACTGCTAGTTTATAGACAGAAACAAATATACTCTATTGACTAAAAGAATGTGGCGAGAGCCTGTGCTCTCTGCATTATATATATATATATATATATATATATATATATACATTGGCGTGGCACTTGCCAAAGGTGGGAGTTACTTAATGATATACCATGACAATGAGCGGGACTGCGTTGCACCCGATCCCCTGTCAGATCGGCCCTGCCGAATCTCTGATCAGATCGACCTGTCCCGATCTCTTCACCATCGGCTTTCGTCACCTCACATCATCATGTTGGATCGGTAGCTTTGCCACTATGGTGGTCCATCTCTCTCCCTCTCTCCTTGTCTCCCTGTCTGCTTCCCTGTCTGCTTGTCTCCCTCTATCTCCTGAAGGTCTGCGAGGTTGGAAACGAGTGTGTTTTACTGTAACCCTGAAAGGATCGCATTCTGGTAACCACACCATCCCCACTTGCACTCACTCTCACTTGACGATGCTCATACTTTGCCACACACTCTAACTGCTTCAAAGGACAAAAGTCGGATGAGAAAAGACGAGAGGAGAGGGTGCAATACAGCTACATGATCTCCTAACTTGACCGCTGGAACTAAGGCGGAACCTCCTCACGATGCCATGCGAAATAGTCGTTGGACTTGTTCAATCGCTTTACCAGCTGTTCCACCTGCTTCCTCCTTTCCACCTGCCTATCTTTCAGTGTTTGTTTGGCTTTGCGAATGCTGTACATGCTTTCCACTTGATTCGCTGCTGTACATTCGTCGGCTCTTGAGGCTGATCCAGCTTGGCTATCCCCTCCATCACCGCCCTCCTTGGCCAGACACACAACCTTCTCTCGCTCCTGCATCGACACTTTTTCCTCGTACTCGACTTGCTCTAACCGGTAGGTGACGTAGTCGATCAACTTTTTGATCGTCGCCGTATCGTTGGCTCCCATGCAGATTCGCTTGTCAGATTCAGCCCAAGCCGTCGCCGATTGTGCAAGTCCGAGCCAAGTGCTGCTCTTGGTGTCCGCTTGAGCTTTTCCGGCTTCAGATGCTCCATCGAGAGACGTAAGGCCGCTGTTATCGTCTCCTGCTTCCCCTTGCCCCTTCTTGGCTTCACCCATGCTCACATCCGCATCCCCTTTACCAACCTCTTCTTTCTTCTCCTCTTCTTCCTTGGGCTGATTCGGATCGACAGGGAAAGCTTTGCCAAGCACCACCAAACACCAAGCATATCTGCCTTGCGTAAACTTGGGCATCCTCTCCTGATACTCTCTCAAATGCCAATACTCTCTTCCATCTACATCGTATCCCATCGGTCCTGTCCTCAATGCATGCGTATCAGTAGCTAGCTCCGACGTTACTCTTGCATCCAACCTGCGCCAGGCAATCTTTGCCTCCAGTTCCGCCTTATCCGCTCTCCACTTGTAATACTCCTCTGGCACCATGCTGCGTGCGCGCTTATTGATTTCTGCAACCTCTTGCGCCATTTCCTTCTCCAAATCCGCATTGGCAGCACGATGGGTGCGTTCCAGAGCGACAATGTTGTCTGCTGCCGTCTTGAGCTCTTCTGCCACAGAGTCGGCCATCACTGCTGCATCGATCAGAGAGCTGAGGATAGAGACCTTCGTCTCCAAGTCCGGCAATTCTTCCTCCCGCCCGTCAGATTCCTCTTGCTCTTCAGTGCCACCCTTGGATTGGGCATCACCGTTTTCCTCGTCCTCATGTTCCGAGTCGTTGGCTTCATCTTGGTCGTCGCAACTGCCGGCTGTGAGTCTGCGCCTTTTCTTCTCACTTTGACCTTTTGTGTGGCCTTTCTCTTCCTCATCTTCACCCGAAAGTTCGCTGGCAGCAGACCCATTGCTGTTGACACCGTTCGCGGAAGAACGACGCTTGCGAGAGAGATCTTGCACCTGTTCTGCCTCCTTCTCCTCCTCCTTCTCCTTCTCCTCCTTCTCCTCCTCCTTCTCCTCCTCCTTCTCCTCCTCCTCCTCGTGTTGTCGCTGTTTGGCTTCCTCTTCCTTCTGCTGCTCTTGCTGAAGCTTGATTGCTTGTTGTCGACCTGTCAGTCTGACTTGGGGTGCTGGCTCCTTTTTCACAGGTTTGCGTGCGCGTCCTGATCTGCAATCACCGCGCGCGCCATCATCTGGATCTGCCATGCTGTCATCGTCACTGTGATCATCGTAGACGTAGATCGACTTCTTAGTGCCCCCTCGTCGGCGCCTACTGGAGGGCGCATCCTCCTCCTCTTCATCATTACCACCGTCATGACTCTGTGCCTCCCCAAACTCATCCTCCTCCCACTGATCGAGCGTCGAAAGCTGACGTGCGATCTCATACTGCTTGTTCTCCTTCGCTCTGCGTCCTCTCCTCACCCGCAACAGAGGTGGAGAAGGGGACCTCTGAGCAGCCGCAGCCTCGACCTCGACAGGAATCTCATGCTCCACGTATGGCAGCCGAGTCCTCTCGAGCCGCAGCACAGTCAAGAGCTCACTTGCCGCCGACCATGGCTCTCCTCTCTTCAGACTCTTTCCATGAGTGCGGTAAGCAGCGACAGCCTTAGCACACGGCTTTGTCGTTTGACCTTTCTCGATATTTCTCAACCCAGCAATCGTCCGAAGCAAGCATGCCAACATCTCTTGCACCATGGCATGGGTCCAGTTGTCAAACTTGTCGAGTTGAGAAAGAACGCCACGATTGAGACCGAACTTGTCAAAACGGACCATGCTCTCATAGATCCACATGCGAGCGCGCATGTTGTCTTCGGGAAGCTTGGTTGCGATCACCTCAAAGGCGGGCGGTGGTGCTGCGCTTGGTGCTTTGAGAGGTTTGAAGATAGGTGCTCGCACAGAGCTGGCGAGGATGGATGCGAGGGTCTTTTTCGTGGCTGCACGTTTGCTGCTACTGGCTTTTGGTGGGGGAGGAGTGCTGATACCATCGTCCTCATCTTGGGCATCGACCTCAATGTTGGCTTTGCTCGCTCCTCCTTTGCCTTTTCCGCTTTGCTTGCCAGCGGCTGCCATGGCTTCAGCAATGTTAGCCGTTGCTTTGCCCTTACCCTTGCTCTTGCTCTTGGCTGCAGTCTCTTGTTCTGCTCCATCTTCTTTGGCCTTGGGGTTGACTTTGGCGTTGACCTTGTTGGTGTTTGGTGTGTCGCCATCGGCGGTGTCAGCAGGAGGAGCAGAAGCGCCGGCCGCCTCCTTCGTACCGGTCCATTTACCCAACGGCTCGAGACCTTTGGCTTTTCGACAAGTCGAACAATCACATCTGCCACGACAACGTGGACACTTCCATGCATACTTGGTCTCTGTTGGCGGGCAATGTTCTTGAGGATTGATCATCATACGATTCGACTTGACCGTAGCTTCCGGATCCTGAGCGTAGAAGCGCTTGAGCGAGGAAAAGCAGTATCGACCTTGACATCGTTTACCTGGTGCACGCATGAATGTGCATTCCAGTAAAGGACCTTTGCATGGGTGATGATGCTGATGGCAGACCTTGGTGGGGTTACCTTGACAATTGACGTGGGTGCGTGCTCGGACGATATCGCTGATAGGTGCAGAGCGAGATGGCGACGCTTTTGGCTCGGCGCCATCAGCCTCTTTCCGCTTGGCTTTGGATTTGCAAGAGGGCTCATCGGCGGTTGCATTGGTGTCGGTGGACTTGTACAAGATAGGCTGCGACTTTCTAGCTTTCGCCTTGGTAGTGCCGATAGCAGCAGCAGATGATGCTTTGGACTCGGCGGATGACTTGGATGCCAAATCGGAAGAAGAGGCTGATTTCTTCATGGTGCAAAGTTTCGCCTTCGCCTTGACCTTGGCCTTGGAAGAAGAGGTGGGAGCGCCGGCGTCTGAGAGCTTGCAAAGAGAATCGCCGTCATCCATAGTGAGATCGACAATGACGGATGACTATTTTGAGGCAGCCATGCGGGACGATTGATGCGGTGAGCAAGGCAAGAAGAAGAGATGAAGCAAAGTCAAAGAGTATAGTCAAACGGAGCTTTGAGCATGTCAGTGTACACAGACTCGCCAGTCTGATATCCGAGCGATGACGACAGGCCACGTGACCTGATACGACAATCGCGCTCGCGTCTTGCTCTCCACGTGCCTGGACACGCTCTCTTGTTGTTGCCATCAACGCGTCGCGTAAATTGCTTTTTGGAAAATGTCAGAAATTGTTTGCAATGCACAATCTGACATTCATCTAAAAGCAACGCTGAGGCTCAGTTGGACCCTTACTGTCAAGCTCCTCATCATCGTTCGTCCTTGCAACGATCACTAGCATCCATCTTGGTTTCCCCCCGAAGCGGCTGGTCGCGATGCCACGCAAGAGGAAAGCCCCGAAGAGGGAGCCTTCTGAGGGCGACTCAAGATCGAACATCTCGTCCAACACTCACAACGACACTGCTAATGTAGCTTCGACTTGCATGCCGGCTCCCTCCGCATTCCCTTCGACTCATCGCCAGCCGACTGCTGAGCCTTGCTTGGTAGCGTCGCTTGCTCGTCAAGATACCACAGATGTGCAGCCGTCCAAATGGGCAAGGGTGCTGTCTGACAATGAGGAGGATCGTTTGGGCAAGCTCGTCGGTCTCGAACGTTGGGTGGAAAGCGTTGGTCATGGCAGAGGCGCCGCTGTCAGCATCTGCGGTCAAGTCACCCGTCTGACTCCATCCACAAGCTCGCCATCACTGACCGCCTTCCTCGCCGAGCTCAGCTGCTTTCAGCCCAACAATCCAGGCCAGCGCTCTGAACTCCATATCAGCTTCCAAGGGCAGCTTGCCCAGAAGGTTGCAGAACCCCTCCTCCTTCTGCACAGGCTCGGCCCGCCAGCTGTCATCTACATCTCTGGCTTTGCCGCTCAACTCTCTCACCTACAGCAAGGTATGGCCTACGTCATCTTCAAGCACGACCAGCTCGTCCTCAAGATGTCGCCCCAACCGCCTTCGCATGACCTCTCCGCACCAACTTCGGCAATCTGGATCGAGCAGCTGGCAACGCATCCCATATTGGCTTCAGCGACCACCGCACCGCCAAGCTTGCGCCATCAGCAGCCTTCTACCCATGTACAGCCTCAACCCGCTGCAGGTGCAGCAGCCAACCCGGTCCAGCCTTCTCCGCCCAGCCAGCTGAGTGACTGGTTCTCAACACCTGACCCTTCCGGCAACGCACCTGTTCGACCAAACGCAGTCCCTGTGACCACAGTTGCCGCTGGAAACATACTCACCATGGCTGCCTTGCCACCAGCTCCACCCCAACCCGCTCATCCCCAGGCGATGCAGCCTCCGGCGGCTGCGCCCAGCGTCGTCAAGAGTGAAGCACAAGCAGGCACCTCTTCCTCTTCTACATCTTGCTCACGTCCAGGCAGAGCAGCTTCGCGACAAGCTTCTGCAGCACCGCAACCACCATGTCGCAATGCACCTAATGTCAAGCCTAAACGCATGGGCAACTGCATCTATACGCCAATGTCCATGGTTCGCGATGGCGAGCGTGCCAGCTTCGTCGGTGTTGTGGTCGCCGCCGGAGATCCTCGCAGATCCACCAGCGGCACACGCGACCTGGGCATCAAGATCACTATCGCCGACGCTTCTTGCCTTTCTGGCACTGGCTACGCGAAACAGCTGGCTCGATCGATAACTGTCATGCTCTTCGCACAACAAGCCGAGCGCATCCCACAGAACATTGCTCAAGGGCACATCTTTGCTGTTCGCAGTGTACAAGTTCAGATGTTCTCTGGAAAGCCTCAGGCCGTCGGCAAATCGGCTGCCAACTGGAGTTGGGCTACCTACGATCCTGTCTCAGGAGACCTTTGTGCTTCTTCCAACTTCCCGCTCGCTTCACATACTCCACCTGAGTGCAGTGCCGAAGAGATGGAGCATTTTCGCGACATGGCTAATTCCTTCTCCGAGCTGCAAGGTGTAGATGCCAATGTCGTCACTCGGTCTTCTCGCCCTACTCTCAAGCTCAAGGATGTCAGTGAGAATACCTTTTTCGATACCGTCGTTGAAGTGCTCAAGGTCTACACTCACACATTGGCACCGGATCTCTACGTCACAGACTACACCAATCACTCGCTTTTCTATCGCGGTAACGACAAGTATCTTCGTCTCGAGAGTGAGGTTCCTTATCCTGACGATACGGATGGATGGGGACACGTCTTCCAAATCAGTCTTTGGGACAGTCACGCGACCATCGCAGAAGGTTTGCAAACGGGTGACATTATCCGCATTCAGAACGTTCGACCCAAGCTCAACCCGCGTGGCCTCCTTACTGGTGGCCTGGGAAGTAGCACAGATAGCGGCATCAAGATTCGAACGCTCAAACTGACCGACGAGGCACGTGTCGAGCTCGAGCAGCGACGTGCGCGATTCATGGAGACGCTCTTTGTTGCTGAGGAGGAAGCTGTTGCGGATCAGGTGGAGCGTAAGATGCAATCCGCTAGTCAGCAACAACGGCAAGCTGAGCAGATACAGCCGCCAGCGCCCGTGATAGCACAACAAGCGGAAGCGTCGGCAGCTCGTCCCGTTCCAGCCCAGTCAGCAAACGCGGTCTCTGATAATGCAGCTGCATCCGACACGGCAATTCAAGTAGGTCTATCTGCAGCACAAGCTGCAACGTTTGCAAGAACGCAGGAGAGCCCGGCACGCCGTGTTGAAGGAGCAACAGAAGCAAGTCCTACAGCGTCGACCCAACCGCCTTTCCCCACTCCGGCTCAACGACAGATTCGCGCCATGCAGCAGATCACACCATCTCGCACCACTGCACTTGGTAACAGTAGCAACACCAAGCGCGATCGCGACGATCTCTCCCTCGTCGAAACGCCGGATCTGAAGGCAGGCATGCTGATGGGACCTCCTGGTGCTGTCATGGAAGAGCGTCGTCCGCTGATCCGCTGCAACGCTCCCGCCTCCATTCCATTAACAGCCCTGGCCGAGCTGCAGACAAGCTCACTTTGTCCAGGCATGTACAAAGTCAAAGGACGCGTCATCTCAACCAACCCAGCCAAAGTGGAGCAGTGGGCACGACTCGAGTGCAAAGCATGCAAGCGTCTGCTCCCACTCGATCAACGTTTCTGCACCAAGTGCGAGGATGAAGATGGCGAGTGCCTGTCGTACTGTTTGCGATTCGCTATCATGCTGGAGGAAGTAGATGCAGAGTTTGTCGCCAGGAAGCAGCAGCAGCGGAATCAGATCCAGACTGGAGAGAGTAGTGGAGAGAGTAGTGGAGAGAGTATTGGAGAGAGTAGTGGAGAGAGTAGTGGAGAGGGAGGAGTGAAGAAGGTAGCGATTCCGCTGCTGTTCCATGGACGGAGCTCGGATGTGTTGTTGCCATGTGTTGATGCCAAGGCATTGTTCAATGGAGAGAGATCGTGTATCAAAACGCTCAAGAGGTTTCATGCGAGACTGTTGCATCCGCAGGAGTATGGCAAGCATCCGGAACAGGTTCTTGCGGTCTACTCTTTCCCCTCCAAGGAGGCTGGAAGGACGGTGCGCAGGTTTGCTGCGCTGAAGGAGCTTAATTGTCTGCACAACCCTCTCGATCTTTTGTAAGCATCTACACATCAAGTTGGTGCTCTCTTGATCCGTTCATCACTGCATCGCGAACCCAAGCTTGTGGCGGAAGAAGGGTGAGAGGTGAAAGTTGTGTCTAATGAAAGTCTATCTATTGGTACAAAGTGAATATCGAGTCTATGAAAGACCAGCAGCCTTGCTCACCTGGTGGGCAAAGGCTTCGCCACTTGCCTCCTGAGGAGCAGCCGTCTCACCCAACTGCCACCTGTGCATATCGACCACCTCGACAACATGGCCCTTGTCGGCATCGAGCTTATTGTGACTGGCCCAAATCTTGAGTACCTCGTCAACACTCTGTCCGTTGCTTTCCTCACTAGGCGCAGCAGCAGGAAGCAACATGATAAATGGCTGCTTGTACAATGCTGTACTGACCTCGGCTTGCTCCTTGTCGGCAGCTGAAGACTTGATACTCTTTGTTTGCATACCAGCTGCTTGTCTAGCCAAACTTCTTGTCAAGGCCCTAATGTTGTTCTGCAGACCTAGATGACTCGAGGCGAGTGCATCAGGTAGCTTGGGACTAGCCAAACGAGTGATCAGCAAGGAAGCAACTCTGCCGCTTGTCAACAGATAAGCAGGCTTATTCGCATCCTTCCCAGCAGCGAAAGTCGGGGATGCACCATGAGCAAATGCACTTGCCAACTCCACCACCGCTGCACCGCTATCCTCTGGCGTTGTTGATCTGCTCTGCGCATCAGCAGCTGGTACTGTCGGCGGTAAAATCGCCGCAGCCCTGGCAATAGACACTTTCTCACCTAACCTCGAAACAACATCCACCACCGCCGATGCAACCGTCTTGGGCGCAAGACTTGAGCCCTTTACCTCGGGCGAACTAGGCAGTAAGGGGAAGGCTAACAACTCATCCACTTTCACCTCCACCAATCCTTTTCCACTCGTACTCTCCTTGGCCAATGCTGGGAAAAGGGCAACGGTATGAACAATGTCCTTTACCAACTGAGCAAAAACCTCGTTCTTGGCAACGAAATCGGTTTCGCAATTCACCTCGACAATCGCTCCACTAGCTGCACTTGTTGCACCAATACCGGCAACCTTTGCCTGAGGTTCCAGCTGCGATTTGAGCTCCATATTGCTCGGTAGACCGTCAGAGAGGATCGTTACGGCAATGAGACCTTCTCGAGCTTGGCGAGAGGCGATTTTCTCTGCCTTTATGGCACCCGTTTTTTTACGGTCGCATTCAAGCCATGCTAAAGCCGCTGGGATTGAGTCCGAGTCGGCAGAAGAGCGGGAGCGGGAGAGAAGCAGGGCTTCTTTGGCTTTAAGCATGGACGTTCCGGGCATGAGCTTGCGGAGTTCGGCAATGGCTTTGATCGAGGCTTTCTTAGGTTCTAGGGCGAGGGCGGATGGGTGCAAGGTGCGGGCGGTGGTGATGGTGGAGGGAATGCATCTGCGGGTTGCAGTTAGGCGCAGTGAGCGCAAAAGGGTGTGGGATGAAGTCGACATCATCTTGCTAGGGGGTTTAGGCGAATGGTAGGACAGAAGGAGGAGGCAGAGGAGGAGGCAGAGGTAAAAGGCAATTGAAGATAACAATTAATACATGGCATTATCAGGGTCATGATCAGACTCCCTTTAACAACAGTCGTATGTTCTATGTAATGCTTAGTTTTCATAGTGCAAACCTAAATGACAAACATGTATATATACTCCATTTGCCACTCTAGTCCTATCCGAGGCGGGATGTGTCACTTCATTCATACTCCTATGTTGCTATGATACTGAGTGCCACTGAGCTGTTGCCATGACAACAATCATATATCTCATTGTGCTTCTTGCTTAAGTAAGCCTCCTGTGCCTCAGTGTCTCAGCCATGACACGTGCATCTTGCTTGAGTTGCCAATGCATCTTCAACTCCCCCCTTTGGCGGGATCTCCAGCCCTATCATCCTAGCCAATCGTGAGGTGTTGAGACCCTGTAAAGGTTTTGTTAAGACATCTGCAATGTTGTTTGCTGTCCCAACATGTTTGATTGCCACATTGCCCTCTTGCATGTGATCGCAGATGAAGTGATACTGTGTGTCGATGTGCTTTAACTTCCAGTGTTTGGCTGGATCTTTACTCACCTGTATGCATCCCTGGCTATCAGTGTATAGTATGGGCCGAATGTCCATGATCTCCAAATCCCAGAGCAAATATGAGAAGAACAATGCTTCTTGCACTGCTTCAGAAGCAGTGACAAACTCTGCTTTGACTGCTGACAATGCTACACATTTTTGAACGTGAGACTTCCAACTCACTGGGCATCCATACACATATGTTATTGACCCCAAGGTACTCCTTCATCCATTTGTGGGGTCAGATGCCCAGTTTGTGTTGGTATACGTCATTACTGGTGTATCCAAGTGCTCATTTGCCTCCCCTCCTAAGTGTAACTGATATTCATTTGTCTGGTTCAGATACTTTACCAGGTGAATAGCTGCCTTCCATGCACTGTCGATCGGGATCGACATGTATCATGATAATACGCCAATGGTGAAGGCAATATCTGGTTGGGCTGTGTTGGAGACCCATAATAGTTGGCCGACCAACTCTTGGTACTTCTTTGCTCACTGGGGGTCACATCTCTCACCTCCAGCAACATTCACTACACTCAACATAGGTACCCAAGATTTCTCATTAGCTCCTCCTAACCATTTGTTCACCATTTCTTTGATGTATGCCATTAGACCCAGAGATATCTTCCTCTGCCTTCTATCACATGTGATCTTGATACCCAGAAATTCTTTGATTCTCCCATTGTCTTGTGTCTCCCATTTGTCCATGATCTCTTGCTTAGTGTGGTCTACCTCATCATGACTGGGTGATGTTATCAGCATGTCATCCACGTATGCTGTAATGATTGTGATCTTGTTGCCTGTCCCTCTTGAATATAAGCATGGTGCACTCAGCATGCAATGAAAACTGATCATCTGGAGATGTGAGTCCAACTCAATGTTCCATTCTTGGCCCAATTGTTTCAGACTGTACAGTCCTTTCACTACCTTCAACACTTTTCCGGGTGGTACTTTGATTCCTACTGGGGGCTTTAGATATACATCATGGTGTATAGTAGAGTTCAGGTATGCTTGTTTTACATCAATAGAGTCTATTTCCCAGTCTCATATTGCTGCAATGGCGATCACCCCTCAAATGGATTGGATGGGCACTACTGGTGTGAAGACCTCTGTGTAGTCAATGCCCTCGCATTGGTGAAACCTCATGCCACGAGCTGGGCTTTGAACTTTGTTGGCACAAGGTTCGCATCCATTTTGATCTTGAGTACCCAACATGTGTTGATGGTGTTTGCACCCTTCGGGAGGTTGGTGATCTCCCACATGCCCATTGCTTCTAACCCATCCAGCTCCTTTCGCATGGCTTTTTCCCAGTGCTTTCTGTCTTCTCCATTCATTGCTTCATGTATAGTTGGGTCCAGGTTCTTTCTCCATTCTGGTCACATCACCATGAGTCCGAAAGATTTACTGTCAATCTGGGCTTTGGCGATTGGTCCTTGTTCCATCACTTTCGCCATTCCTCTGCTTAATCTTTCTTCTGAATCTGTCTCCATATCCATGTATTCTTGTAGTGGCCCTTCATCTGTTTCGTCGAATATATTTTCTTTGTTGTATCCTAGATCTTCAAAGTTCTCTTCTGTCATCATTGCTGGGGGCACCTTTGTGTCAATCAGTTGCCACTCCATTCTGTCTGACCAGCACTTTGATTCCATGAATTTTGCTGAATTGCTCCAGAATATGTTTGGATTATAGTCTGGGCTGTAGAATAGCCAGCCCTTTCTCTCTAGACTGTATCCCAAGAAAATGGATGCAACAGCTCGCTGGTCCAGTTTCTTGTTGTCCCATTTGACTTTGGGTATGTTTACCCATGCCAGACAACCAAACACTTGTAGAAGTCTTAGAGCTTGCTCCAGCAACTTGCTGAACATGACTTGGTAAGGGAATTCATTATCAATGCTCAGAGTGAGGTTTATTTTGAATGCTGCAGCTCTGATTGCGTACGGCCAGAACTTCTTGGGTAGTCTCCTCTGCATTAGCAATGTCCTTGTCTTTTCTCCAAGTGTCCTGTTCATTCTCTCTACCCGTCCATTTTGTTTACTGTTGTATCCTACAGTGGTTTGCCACTCTATGCCCCTTTCTAGTGACCATTCCAATGCATCATTGCTTCTCCATTCGGTTCCTTGATTGGATTGGATTGCTTTTAGCTTCCAATCTGTCTGTGTTTCCAGGAACGAAACAATCCTTTTGAGTTGCATAAATGCATGACTCTTTCATGTCAATGGCTGTGCATACACATACTTGCTATGGTCATTGACCAGCACTAACATGCATGTGTACTCCATCACATGGGACAAATCTATTATTAGATTGATATGGATAAGATCCAGGGGCCCTATGGCTCTTTTGCTGCTACCTTGCCCCATTCAAGTGCTTGTGCTCTTGGATCATATGCACTGCTCACATGTCAGAGTGGTGTTTGGATCCAATTCCATGGTATGCTTATCTTTTAACTTGCTCATGATCACCTTAGTTTTATCCCTCCCTGGGTGTCTGAGACACTCATGCCATAGTTGTTGTTTCGAAACTTTTGGCTCATTCTCAATATGCTCGAACTCCTCATCAATGCCTTCAAACAATGGTGTTGATGTGGCCATCGCACTTTCTTGCCATGTGTCGCCTTGGAACTCCAAAAGTCCTCGCTTGCGATTCTTTGCAATCTTAAGTGTCATGCTGTTTGTTAGAAAAATTTGACTGCCGGTTGTGTCCAATATCACTCATGCTCCTTCATCCATTAATGAATTCGTTGACAGAAGGTTAACATTAAGGTGCTTCACATATAATACATTCTGTAGGGAGATTTCCCCATAATCTGTTGATATGCTTGCATCCCCTATAGCTGCCACTTCCAAGACCTCACTTCTGGTGGTAATTATCCGCTTTTGGCAAGTTCTCGGATGGATGAGCATGCTATAGTCATTCACCATATGATAACTTGCCCCCAAATCCAAGATCCACTGAGCTGTCTCTTTTGTGTTCGGGGGGTCTTGCCACTTCAATGGGAGGGTGAGGGAGCACCACACTTCCTATTTAGGTTTAGCAAGGCAGGAGTCTTTGGGGATGGTGACCGAGGCGTCGCATTGGCTAATACCATGCCCGGATTGCTTGCAGATCCAGCATCGGATTTGGCATGGTCTGCCTGCGTTCCTTGAGCTTACGTGGCTGTTGTCGGCCTCAGCTTCAGTCTCTCCGGTCTGTTCGTTTTGATCGTCATTGCTGGCAGTTCTAGTGCTGGCTTGTTGGGGGTCGATCTTTTGCATGGGAACGCTCTCGACAGCGGTCTGCCAGATGCTTAGTGTGGTGGCTAGGGTGTTGAAGTTGATTTGATAGACAGTAGTGACCATCTCCTTATACACTGGATGCTGGATCATGCATTTCTGCAGAGCCGAGAACAATGTATCATTGGCAAATGGTTTGCTGAGGAGGCTGCTTTCAGTCTGTATGGACCGGATCTCTTGAATTAGCTTTCTGACATCCAAGTGAAACATCTTTGTATTTTTGAGCTGCGAGATGAGCACAAGTCTGTGAGATGTTTTGGTGGCTTCGTTCATGAGACCGTTTTCGATCTTTCTCCATACTTGATTGAAAGTAAGGTACTCTTTGATTACATCTAGAACGAGGTAATTTACATTGTGTTCTCCGGTAGTGTCGATTGTTCCACACAGGGCATTAATTAAAGCATCATCGAGGGAGCGGCTCCATTTTGGGTGCTTTTTGTTGTATGTTCCCTCGAGATGTTTCATCACATGGGGCATGGATCAGAGGAAAGATTTCACATGAGCGCTCCAGCTATAATAGCTGCGTGACATGAGCTTTGGCATGGGTTTGAGGAGTTTTGCTAGGGTGCGAAAGTTATATCGCTTGTGTCAGGGGTCTCGCGCCTGAAACCCAGGTCGGTCTGTCGAGATACTCGGTGACTATCAAACTGTGCGACAGCTATTGTCTCGAGATACTCGGTGACTATCAAGTTGTGCAGTGACAGCAGGTGGCGTTTGTTGTATATACTATCGTAGGTTTCGGCTGACCTCTGTGGACACTCCGTTCAGGGGTAGCTCGGCACGATCAATATCAGTGTTATGATGACACCAAGGTCTGGTGTGGGTGTTGATGATGATGAGGTTGATGGTGTTGGTGATGAGATTGGTGATGTCGATGATAATGAGGTTGATGGTGTTGATGATAAGATTGGTGATGTCAATGATAATGAGGTTGATGGTGTTGGTGATAAGGTTGGTGGCGTCAACACGAGTGTCCAGTGTGTTGACTTGATGCTTTGAAGTGATCCCCGGACCGCAGTGGACTACTGCCTTCGGTTCTATCTATATCCGGACTGCTAACCTGCTATGGGCGCCTTCGGACGTCAGGTAGTGGTGATACAACACACACACTACGATGAGGAGCA